GTGACGCGTGACATGCGGGCCCGATCGGGCCCGCTCCCTCCCATCGCCCGTACCAGGGGAACCCAGAGCTTGAGGCCAGAGAGCAGGAAGAAGTGGCTAGGACAAGGGTGAACATAAGAGACAAGAGCCTGAGCTGTCCAGCCCAACCAAGGGCTCAGGTCAATGAGGCAAGCTAGCCTGGGTGTTGGAAGTCGTCTAGACGCCCCTTTCCCGGGGTATGGTTGCAGCAACCCCGCTCTAGGGGACCAGGCCGGAGTAGGGTTCAAAGGAAGAGACTTCAATGCTAAACCTAAGGTACAGGAGTAATACTGTAGTCTTTATATACTGTGGGCGCTAGGGGCCGATCGGGCCCGCTGAGGGTCGATCAGAAGGGAGCAGGGGATGTCTCTGGTCGTCCCTGGTCGCTCCGCTAGGAGCCCAGGGACCATTCCTCTGGAAAGGAGCCATGCCAAAGTCGACACTAAGGAGTGTTTGGCAATGCAACAGTAAGGAGCTCCCTCCTGATCCCTGTGGTTGTCTGGGGCCGATTGGGCCCGCTGTCAAGGGCGTCCGGCGGCGCATCATGATCCCTGATGGCGGGTCATGATGGCTTGATGGCTGACTAAAGCGCGATCCGTGATTATGTCCCTTCTCTGGGATATTAGTGTTGTTGCTCAGTGCTTTGAGCTTGTGAATATATGAGGGCTTGTCAAGCCCTAGGGCTCTAAGGGTGGTAAGGGCCCGATGGGCCGTATAGGGCCCGTTGGCCCGACCCGAACCCTGACAGATAATAGTACTGTGAGGGATCCAGAACAGATATAAGGTTGATTCAAGTGCTGGACAGGTTCATTTGGAGCTCTATACAATTCTAGGCTCAAGGCTTGCATCATACTTGAAATTAATTTCTGACCTGTTGTAATAGCGAAGGCACTCTCTTTTACTCTAGGCATACCTACCCTCTGTTCAGCTACCTGTAGCAACACATGCCACAACCACAATGCATTATAGTATGGAGTCCTACTAGACATCCAAATATCCTTATCTATGCATCTTAATGTCTGGTGCTCAGTCTATAGACCCCACCATTCATGTAAACCTGTTCTGCACTCAACTTATCTCGGAATATTGACCCCAATTCATCCTCTGGAAATATAGAGAGATCAATCAGAGTATGTGGGTATGTGTATACACCATATTTGTTGAGTTCTACATATTTGATCTCCAATCAAATGATACATCATAGCTTCATTGCCAATATAATATATAGTAGTATTCATCAGTCTAATAGAGCATAACAGGATTTTCTGGACATAGTATGTGATGTAAGGCATACCATTTCATAGGGGGATCCCTCTACATGTTTCCCACCTTAATCCCATTAGGGGGCCCCTCACCTTCAAGTAGGTTATTAAGAGATTAGAGTGATAGAATTTATGCCATGTATACAGGTGCATGTGATATATAAAATTATGGGGGGTATACACAGCTACTATGGACATCTATTAGACCTGAATGCAACTTGGATCATGATTATCCATGCATTTCTCAGCAAGATATCAAGTGATCATTGTGCCTGATCCAATTTAAAACATGGAAACCAGGGGAAAAGTGGCATAATATTGGAGTATTAAGATATAGGACTATGATCACATCAGAACATCTAAAGCTTAAGTAAATAGCTACCTATCAGTACAACAATCATTTGAATTCATACAGATTTGGTGGACAAATTTCAACATCAATAGATATGATGAATCATCATGAGATGGTATAGGTATACTAATAACATTATATTTTAAAGAGTACTGGTCTTAATATTCAGGTACCCTTAGTGGTGCTTCAATAACCTATGTGGGTTGTCCACATAGTAAAGTATCACTGTATAAAGCATAGATCAGCTAATAATTGGCCAATGTTAACATAATTACTAAGCTGCCACTATTGGTCACTCAATGAAAGTTGTTCATATAGTCAAAATATATAACTTTAATTTTGTGATGCTTTGTGACATTATCTGATGATTGTACTGTCAAATGGCAAAAATTTCCTTTTTAAGAGATATGTTACACCTGTCACAGCACATATGATATAACAGCACATATAGAGCTGAAATGAGTACCATCAATATGAATAGTATGACATAATATAACAAATATAGTAAGATGTCATATAACAGTGTCATATATTATAGTTACTTAAGTACTAGATCCTTAATACTAAGTATTTCTTCTTTTGGTAACTTTCAATGATGTAATCATAATATATCACAGAGATAGTAGATATTACAGTCTACACACCTTATAGTCCTTTCAACCGAAATTGCCTTTTTTGGCAAGCCTCAATGATCTGTTAGCTTAATATTTATAGTAGATATTGCAGCGTAGGTTGCCGACTTAGCATTCAAGTCTTAGGCCCCAGAATTATTACATTTATTGCAACTTTAAACTCTATTTATTGCAGCATTAGGCCATTTACAGAAACATTTATAGTTAGAATGCACACCGCGCTGTAGCGGACATTCTAACTACAAGGGATATGTGGGATTAACAGGTGCTCGCCTCTCGAACGATATTCCGCTTCTGCGCTCGCTCAACACGAACGGGGACTGTCAGCTTGCGCCGTTTTCGTGTGGGAACTGGCGATGAAAGGGTTTGAAGGATGCTGGGGCTGCTGCTGGTGGATGCAAAGGTGCCGGAGACCAGGTGCGTCAAACAAGTCGTCGTCATACCAGTCATTAGCCTGCTCATTGTCAGAGAACAGGTCCTCGGCATCTTCGTCAATATCTGATGCATACTCTTCAATCCCAAGATTGTCGTCATGGACAGCTTTCTTATTGCTGCTGGTCGCCGAAATCGAAGATGGTGTGGGTGCCAATAGCGCTGGAGTATCTGGCAGCAACGGGACATTGGCAAGCAGTCATGCTGCTGCTTCATCTGGGACCACACCAGCAGCCACTGCCAGCGCTGGTGCCGAGTGCCCGGTTACACGCTCCCAGTCCGCTGCAGACCATGGTTTCCAACCTGATCCAGAGCTCTGGACAGGCTTTGACGATATGGGGAGACTGGTCGGGGCCATGGCAACTGGCAGGGATATAGTTGGAGCTGCGAGCGTGGGAGGGCTGGACTGAGCCGGTGGCGGGGGATTTGTTGTTGAGGGCGGAGATACAGTGCTGGGTTCCTTGTGGAAGTAATGGGTGAACGAGTGGGCACCAGCACTGCGAAGCTTCAAGTTCAGTATGAGCTGAGGATCACCGAACAAGCCATACCTTGATTGAAGTTTGGTGTCATTGGCGTCTTTATCCCGCTGCTGCTGCTTATGCAGTCGAATAGTCCTGGGTGCACGGCCTGTTTTTACACCTAACCACCGCTTTTCCGGTCCCCTGGCCCATTCGCGCACCGAAAGCTTTGCTCCCGTCAAACGCTGATACATCGACAAGCGCGCAATTGTGGCTAATTCGCGATCCACTGTTGCTTCAAGACTTGCACGCAGTTCATCCCCAGTGAGTTCCTCGAGCTCTGGTTCATCGTCTGTCCCTTCATCGTCCCATTCAGATTCTCTTTCCAAGTCAATATGTTCCGGTTCGGCTTGATCCTCAGTGTCAGGCTCTAGTTCAATGTCGGACTCGGTATTGATGTCAACAGTCCTGGGTGGTGAGTACCCAATGATTTCGAAGTCTGAGTTGCCATCTGACGTGTCAGAAGTGTCGTTGTTGTGCCCACGGAGCGCCTTGCTTGCTTTTCCAGTGCGTGCACGGCCAGCTGCTGCAATATAGCGCTTTGGCTTGCGGCCCATAGTAGATAGAGTCAAGGGATAACACTAAAGACAAGAAATTTTAATTTTGCCGTCGCTATTGCCACCCACGTGATCATATTACATAAGATTATATAATAGTCCCAAAGTGGTGGTGTCTAAGTGACGTGCACCATAGCAATGTATGTCATATTCCACCTACGTGAAATGGCGTTCATCTTACCTTATAGCCTGCACACATTCCCGATATCATTCTAATGTACCGCAACCTGATCACCCTCCCGGGCAGTCTTTCCGGCAGCGATGGGTTCATTGCGTTGGCGATTCGCTCGCTAAGCATCATACCAAACTCTGCCGGGCCCGAACGCATCTTCAGTGACTTTAGTATCATTCACTCCAAGAGACGCAACCGCCTGAATGTCGACAAGGTCCACAAGACCACGATGGTCCGCCAAGATCGAAATCGCGCCTATGCTGCTGCTGGCCGGCTTGCCAAGCGAAAAATGCGGTACTACACCATGCCTGATGCCGAAGGACTTGCTGGTGACGAGAGCGAGAGCGAGGTTGAAGGGGTTGAACCGGAGACAGGGACTGAAGATAGTGTAACCCAACCAGGAGTTGCGGGGGAGGTTGAGGATGCATCTGGCGAGATTCAAGACACTGGTGTCAATCCGTTCCAACGAGCAGCAGAGGTTTTGGTGTCGCTCGCGCGGGACGAGGTGCAGGGGACGAATATCGAGTCAGACGATGAAGACTTGCCTGCAAACCTGCCACTACCACCTATTTCGTCTTCACGGCCTCGAGCCGTTGCCACTCCAACCTCGTCCATCCGTTCAAGTACCCGATTCAAGAAAATACCGTTGAAAGATCTCTTCAATTATCCACCATCTGGGACACAGAGTGAAGGCCTCGAGTTCTACTGGAATACGGGACAGGCGACTTTAGATGCAGAAGACAAGGTTTTGGAAGAGGAGCAGGCAATTGCTGTCTCGGGAACCAGCGACACACCGTCAAGTAGCCTTTTACCAGCAATATTGGCAGATTCAAGTGTATTTTCGCGTAGATAATGAATGTTTTCTCTCCAAACAACTGTATTTATGTGTAGAGAGACAGATTATGCGGTGAGGGGTCGCGACAGACACATCAAAAGTCGTGGAATGTCGTGACCGCGTCATGACGGGGTCACCGACGGTCATCGACAACACTGGTCGGAACAATGGACAACTTAGCCGATCACCATCACCCCCTGGCCCTCTTTGACTCTTACACTCATGGAAGACGATACACTAAGTGAACTTCTCATTGCACAACTCATTGAAGAAGATTTGCGCTCACTTCGTGCTACACAAGAAGCAGAAGCCATCCAGCTCAATCAGGTAGTCGCATTATCGGCCCATGCAGTCGGCCAGCTTCCTGTGTTCTCGAAACTATCCGCCTCAGAAGACGACCAACTCGTTGCATTGGGTCTCTATGCCGAGCAGTCGCGATTGAGCAGTGATGCTGTGTATGCCCAGCAGCTGCAGCGCCAGAATATCGCCGATATGCAATATGCTCAGAAGGTCGCTGCAACAGAGAAGTGAGGTCGGTCCCTTCTTTCTTCGTCTACTGAGGAGTTTAAGAAAGCTCGTACTTGATTCTGAGTTTGCCCGAAGGCTCCAAGCGATGGACGATGACGGGGAGGATATGGATGAAGCAGATGACGTCGAGAGTGTTCTTGGGCGGGAGACTATTGAGAATCTTATGGTGTGTTGCCAGCAGCATCTTTCATTTCCATTAGCTTACTTTCAAAGGCCTCAGATCTCAATGCGAAAGGGAAAGGCAAACCCGTGAAAATTGAAGGCAACATGACTTCCAAACACATTCAGCACTCGCGTCCGTGTTTTCTTTCTTTTTTTGCGTGGGAATCATATATATTCAAACGTGCGCAGAGGTAGTGGTAATCAAGAAAGAAGAGTCGAATGACTGCAGTCTCTCGTCGCCGCACAGCACCTGTGGGATTTGTATGGACCCCTTTCAACCAACTTTCTCTCCCTACACTGCATCTCTCACCGCCAATTCTTCCAGCCGAGTACAATTTGGCCTCCATCTGCCCTGCCCTCAACAACACGCGTACTGCGTGGGCTGTCTCACCAATTACATCGATACAAAACTGAATCCTGACGGAAAAGCTGGTGTCGCGGGCATCATGATTTTCCCCATTCGCTGCCCCGAATGCCCAACGGATGAGTTTGCAGATGGGATTCCGGACGATATTGCTGCCCGCGTTATCGGACCAGAAAAAATGGTGATTTGGGTGCGTGTGTCTTTCTAAGCCTTTGTCCACCAAACAAACATCAATCGATGTCTAGGACCACCAGAAACTTCTCCATTCGATTCCGTATATCTATTGCCCCAATCCTAAATGCTCTGCGATCGTTCAAACACCTGAAGAAACTGATGATGAAGACCCTCAAGCCGTGTGCCCGTTCTGCCAGCTACTGATGTGCGTGTCGTGTCGTGTCGCTTGGCATCGAGGTATGCTTTTTAAATTGTGTCTTGCTCAAGTTCAAGTTCTTGTTTCACATAGATCTCTCGTGTGAGGAGTTCCAAGCCCTCCCCCCAGATGAAAGGTCTCCGGAAGACCGTCTTCTCATGGAGTTGGCAAAGGTCATTTAACTGCTTTTCCAACTGAACACTTAATTGACGATTTATTAGGCGAAGCACTGGCGACGCTGTCCAAATTGCTCGGTACTGGCCTTGTATTCCCATCTGCATTGCTGACACTCGCATAGTCGCTTGTGGAGCTTGTTTCTGGATGCAATCATATGACTTGTCGCTGCGGGACCCACTTTTGTTTCAAATGCGGTGGTCGGTCGCATACTTTTTGGATTACAAGACAGAATTGACTGAAAGTTATAGCCCCTTGCACAAACAAGGGTCTGTGCACCCGTTCACCGCCTTGCGATTTGTGGGACGAGGATATGCTGCTGGAAGAACGAGAGCGAGAGCGAGAGCAAGCCGCCAATGTCCCTGCTCCAGCTTATGCACCTCAACAACCGGTGTTTATCCCACGAGTTGAGCTGATTCGCCCACCTGCTTATATCCCCGCTCCGGCGCCAGTGCTACATCGTCGCAGTCCACTAGAGTGGATGGATGATCCTGGTAAATAATTCGGCATTCAATGTGGCAATACGTATAATTGACCGACACACCAGATGTTGTTTGCAGTCGCCACTGGTTCACAACCGAAATGATCAACACGCTCATCTGCGGGTACTGTAACGTCCGCTTGAACTCTCTCGCCGACTTGCGGTTCCACTTGACCCATGTTCGCCGTCATCCTGTCTACGCGTGTTGCGGCAGGTTCTTCAAGCACGAAATAGACTACGATCGGCATGTCCAATCGTATGCAGCGCGGTTTCATGGAGATCACGTGCATCAGATGAGAAGAGACTGAGATTTTATGGTGTTCACTGTGCGTTGACCGCATTACGAATCCAACATAACAAGAATCATAATACTATTAACCCAGCAAAATATAAGTACACACAGCAATGGCACAGAGCAAGTTGGATAGCAAACACAGTCTCTTCGACAGCCTCATTCATAGTACTTGTATCTTCTCGATCCGCCATAGAGAGCATCCAGCGCCAGTGCATGTTGAAACTTCAACTCTCGCGCTCTGTCTTCCTTAATCTTGTCCCATTCACGCTGACGCTCTGCCTTGGATAGCCATGCTCCACGACCAAAATCAATCATGCGAAAGGAGGGGGTATCCAGCGAACGCAAATGCGGCGGGAGTGTTAGTGGTCCCTTTTCTACAACGAGATTGCGTGTGCCGAATGAGCCTTGTGTGATGCCTGCAGACCAGAGCCGTTCGAGTAGCGCATAGCAAGTTAGCCTAAACGACCAATGAAGCTATTTGTTCCCAGTTTGAAGTCGAGAGAGTAATAACGAGACCCACTTTTGTCGTTTGGACAGATTAATAGGAATGATCTGCGAACCACAGTTCTCTAGTAGCATCAGCGGCTGGCCCTCTGCTGCTTGGTCGGGAATATAGTAGCCGTAGAATTGCGGGAGGACTGCTGTCGCTGCCACACGCACGTCGTTTCCGACAACCTTACGCAATTTGAGGGCCTCTTCAATCACATTGAAACCTGACCAGTGCTCGCTGAGATGAGCTTCGCGCTGTAGCATCTCGGTGTACATCTTCGCCTCGTGTGCTAGCATTTCTTGATCTCGAGAGTGTCGGGTGGCAACTTTTGCGACAACTTCTACGACGGCGCGTTTGCCGGTTGCAATGGGTACCTCAGAGTCGGGAAGATTAGTCTGTTCCAGCAAGGTAAAGCGCTCATCCAAGGCAAGGTGAGCGGCGTAGACACTCCCGTGGTTTCCAACGCCTACAGTTTTATGTGAACATATTCCAATGCAAAGCTTTGCAGTAACGTAGTCATTTTTTGGTGTCGAAGGTGCAATTGGGGGAGAAACGCGGCAATATTGCCTCGTTTGTGACTCTCCCGTCAAGTCCTTGCTGAGAGTAGTAACCGTCAGAATTTCGGGGAGCAGATGGGCGGGAATGGGTTGTTTGAGTTGAGGAGAAGTTTTCGCATGAGGGATTCCGCAAGCGCAAACGGTCGAAGGTTCTTCCAATTGAGTATCCGCGCTCTATAATGTGTCTTCAAGCTTGCTTGAGCCAGAGACAACTCACCCTCGGGTTGTCATCTAACGCTTTCGAATGCTCTTTGACCTCACGTGAGTTGGTAGGGACACTTCCGTCGACGAGTCCACGCAGCTCATCGGGGCAGTCTTCCAATCTCCAGTCCTTCAGCGCGACCACTGGCCAAACCCGCAATTTCTTCGGCTCGAATGGCAAACCGTGATGGACGCTCCAGCCTGCGCCATATACCTGCTCCCACAAAGAAGGACGCTCTTCGATGTCTTCGTCTTCACATTCCATCTCATCCAACACTTTTACTCCGGCAGATACCATACTCGGCGACCAGTACTCTGGTTTGCGGTTTACGTTGGGTTTGGCGAACAAACGAGGGAGGTGGAAGGACTCGAGATCTTCAAGCCTATGGGCCCAAACGAAACCATTTGGAGTACAAGTCATTCGCGTTTTGCAGTCTTCTCGGTCTAGCACTGGAGTTGGTTTGTGTCGCTCACAGGACCCACAATCAGAAACATCGCTTGGAATCGAAACTTCCATGACACAAGGTCGAAGGCTCGCCAGCCAGGGTTTTAGCGCACCTATTCACTTAAAAACAGAAACAAACGAGAGACGATCGTGGTGGTAAACGTGAGAAGCTTCTGCCAGTGTGACGACGGCCAGATACAGATAAGATAAGGAACTGATATTTACTGGCAATTAATAATATGGGGTTAGCCTAAAACCATAAAATCGACGTCTTCTTGACCCTCCATACACAGCGTCGACAGCCGCCGCTTGCTCCATATCACGCATGCGTCGCTCCTCTCCCGACAGTGCTAGCTCTGCAAACTTGACACCAGCGTCTGGTGCTTCCGGAATCCATTCCCCGCGACCAAAATCAATGATACGAAACGAGGGGTTCTGAAACGAGCGAAGCCATGGTGGTTGTGTGAGTGGGCCAGGCTGAATGAGCATATTTCGCGCATAAATAGAACCTTGTGCTACTCCTTGTCCCCATAGACGATGAATAAGCGTATGGCACGTCATCCTAATGAGTGTCAGGATCGTATGAACACAGCAAGCATGGTCTTACTGCTGATCCTTCGTCATGTGATGAGGGGACGTATCGATTTGCTGACCACAATCTTCGAGAAGAATGAGAGGGCGTGCTGTGGACCTGCTGCGATCGGTCGGAATGTAGTAACCGTAGAATTGCGGGACAACGGCTGTAGCAGGGACGCGAACATCCTTGCCGACTGTCTCTTCCCATCGACGCGCCTCCTTGATGACATGAAACCCAGACCAGTGCTCACTCAAATGAGGAGAGTGTTCCTGCATTTGGGCATATATTTCCGCCTCGTTTTCCAACATGCTCCGATCTGATGAAGAGCCATCCGTGACTTTAGCCATCACTCTGACGGTCGCAGGGTTTCCACTTCTTGTCGGTTGAGTTGAGTTTTCGTCGTATTCGAGTATTTCGAAGCGCTCATCTAGCGTTAGCTCAGCCGGGTAGACTTCTGAGTGGTTTCCCAACTTGGTCGAAGAACGATGAGCGATGAGTCTCAGATCGGCTGTGAACTTCGTGTCTTTTGGGAATTGCCGTGGATAAACTCGGATGTATTCCTCTGCAGCAGGTTGTCCACTCTTGCGTCCGGACAAACCGTTCGGATCAATAACTCGAAGAGTATCGGGAAGCAGATCAGTTGGCATGGGCTGTTCGAGCTTGGGGATGGCCTGATCAAAGAAATAATGAGAATAAATAAAAAACATATCGCGCTTCGCATACCCACCGTCGGTGAGGCGTTAAACCCGTTCAAAGGCAAGGCTACCGTGTCATCGACCACACCACCAAGTTCCTCGTGACATGTATCCGCGCTCCATGCTTTCAGCGCGATAGCTGGCCATACCTTCAGCTTTCGCGGACTTGGTTCTTCCTCAGGACTGCCATTCCAATCTTTCCCATATACTTGCACGCAGAGAGACATGCCGCTGGCCTCGAAGCCAGCGCTTGAGGTGGATAACTTTTGGCCCACGAAAACCATACTCGGCGACCAATAATCCGTCGTTCCGTCACTCGTGAATTCCTTGAGATCCTCCTTGCGATGCGCCCACACGCGCCTGTCGGGCGTAGTGGCCATCGATGCTTCGCATTGTGCTCGAAGTGGAACTACTTCCTTGTGATCGCTATGAGTTGAGGTGGCATCTGTCTATGAGGAAATGAGTGATTATATGACAGAATGGTCTGGCTTACTTCTGAGCCCTCCAGTGAGGAAGAGCTATCGTCGAATCTGAACGCAGATTGAGAGTCAGTCGAGCAGATGGACTCTGATGTGCAAAGATCCACATCGGCCACAATTTCGGGACTTTCTGAAATGGGTTCATAAACAAGTTCCTGAAAAACGGTCTGAACAATCCCGGATAGCAGAATGCGTATGCGTCAACCAACCTCTGATTGAGTAGTGAGCTCGGTAAGGCTTGAGCTTGACATATCGTAGTCGGTGATTCGATACAAAACAGACTGAGAGCGGTAATGAGAGACCTGGAAAGGAGCAGCGCAAGTTTTATACCTTCGATCAAGTTTCAACAGTGCTTTGACTACGCTTTGGATGCAGAAAATCGTGGGATTTTGTGCGCTTGGGCTCGAGGCAAGTGCATCAGGTGTGGTCCGAGTCATTGTCTATCCATATATGGTCAGTTGAAGTATAGCACATTTTTAGAATTCAGGGATTTTTACAGGAACCGCATGTTCATGCGCCGTTCAGTATTGCGCGCAAGCCATATTCATTCAATCGCAGTTGAACAGACTGAGTCCCAACTTGCAATGATCGTTCCGCTTAAAGCAGGAGTAGATGTGGTTGAGGCTTGTTCAACACGAACGTGAATGAAGATGAAAGAGTGTCACGTGTTTGATCGAGATTTGAAAGAATTTTTCTCCATGGTTTCCACTTCTAACTAGTCGTTGCGTATGCTACTCTAACTCTACTCAAGTATCTAATAACTCTATCATATCTAGGCTATGGTGTCTAACACGAAACGAGTGCAGGACAAAAACGACTGTACGAGCCAGAGCCACAACGGCCAGTCAGGCTCATTAAACAGAGAGAGAGAAGAGAAGAAAAGGTCTGCTGCGGTCTATTTTGAATCAACCTCGACACCCGAGTCTTCGACGTCACTGTTGGTAGCAATGATCAGCGGCTTTGCAGCAGCGAGTCCGCGAGCATTCTTGTAAAAGACAACTCCGCCTTCATCTTCGACAAACTAGAAGAAAATGAGTCACATAAACGCTGTTAGTGCAATGAACGGACCTTGCACTCGCGCATCACCCGGTAGACCTCCGCCCAACCACCAGGCCGTCCTACGAGTTTAATTCCAGCCGTTGCGAGTCGAGCACGCAAGGCGTCAGTCGCTTCCCAGGCGTGATAATGAGGAATCTTGCTGGTAACATGGTGCAAAACATGGGTCTCAGAGATCCCATGGCTTCGTCAAGTATTAGATGAGTTCATGTCAAGAAAAAAGTAAACATACGTCGCGTGTGCTCCTAACCAACCCATCATGGAGCCCAGATCACCAAGTAAGCTGCGATCCATAGTGCAAAGCGCGCCACGCTGGAACGTGAACATCTCCGAGCGGTAGTGGGGCAGGAGTGGGTCTGAATGTTGCAAGAAAGTCACAAGGACCAACCAATGGTTGACCCAGATATACGGCATGAGATATGTGCGGAATACGGTCCAGAACGACCAGTGGTTGCATGAAAGAACGATGAGAGCCAACCACGTCAAGATACCGATATCCGAAACAATGATCTGCGAGAATTGCTGCGGTGAGAAGATGATGGACGAGGGGGTGAAGTCTGCAAGATAAGCAACCACTCAATAAAAGTAAAGGAAGAAAAAATACGGTTTACATACGGTTGGTGCCTTTGGGATAGCGCAGCTGTCCACCGATGTTGTACAGCAGATACATAGGAAGACCCATGAACTAGACATTGCTTCACATCAGACTGTGACTCGAGAAAGTGAAAACAAGACGAACCAGGTATACAATGGATTGCACGAAGACCGCAATAGGCGAGTCTCCAAGAGCCTCCAACAACTCTGCCTGAACTGCCTGAGAAACATTGACACCGAGAAGATCGTCGCGGGTGGGGTCAAGAGGAGGCAGGCCCATTTGTGTGCGCGTCCAGGGCACAAAAACCTGGTCCTGCGTCATATGCCCAGTCGCGGCGTGGTGCTTTGCGTGGCTGATGCGCCAAGAGTGGTAGGGGACGCCAAGACTGGACACAGTTAAAGAAAAGAGATAGTGGCGGGAATTGTCTTGGTTACCCTGAGTGAAGAGTCCATCCTACGGCATTATTCACGCTTTTGTATGGACTAAAGGCCTAGCGTTGGATGAGAAGGAGCTCAACAAGGTTGGGGAATAAGGTACCCCGTGTCCTGGAGCGAGTTTAGGAGCAGCGAGCAAGAACAAAGACGACATACCACATTCATGAGCGACTATCCACAAGCCAAATGCGAAGAGACCAGCAAAGAAGGAGTACAATGCCCATATCGAGAAGCTCGCAAGGCCCTGAAGATTTGGCGGGAGGGTGGTTGCCACGAACGCGTCAGACACGCTGGCGAGTTTCCACAACGACGCGATAACGACCAGGTCCCAAACCCTATAAAGCGTGTCAAACACTTTCAACGCGGGCGAGGTAAATCCTACGGGTATGCTGCTGACCGCAACGTCGAGCGCTCGAAACAGTGAGCCCTTTTAATGAATGTGTGAGCTGGTCAAAATAGGGATAGGCAAGAGATACGGACGGTATCGCTGAGAGTAGGTCTTTCATGCTGAGGTTGGGAATTGTGACCTCGACCTGCGTGGCCTGCATCGTTTCTGGGACGGTCATGGAGGGCAGAAGGAGAGGAGATGGAAAATTTCGCTTTCAATTGATCGCTTGTGAAAGAGACATCTCCACCTCCTTTGAGCCATCACGCTAATTTAGTACCGTTACGCACTTTCCTAGCTCTCCAAACGCGTCGAGACGCGTCTTCAGAGCAGAAGCGTAGACGCAGCATGAACGTGTCTGGAAAGCATGAACGAGCTTATGTAACGCACCGGTGGCAGCTTGCACTTTCCCTCACTGTTCTATGCACACTCTCGAAGCAGTTTTCTTGGCTTGATGTGTACACCGTGTCATTCTGAACACTAAATCTAATTACCACTACGTCCCGCAGCTTTCACAACTCCTCCACTGAGAACAGGTAGTACCCTTGCTTTTTCTAGCGCCGTTGGACTCGGTAAAAAGTCAGCAGCAACCAGCCACGATAGATACAGCCCTATCAAGTTATCCGACACTGTGCTTTCGGTCGCCGCCTTCGCAGCCGACAACAAAGCCACAGTGTTGCTATCATCGAGCTGTGGCGACTTGCTGCTTGTTGGGAGGTCGTCGAGGACGAAATGGAGCAATGGGAACAACGCATTATCCTGAGTTTCCAAGACATGTTGCTCGAGTCGTCGTCGCCAGACAAGATACTCGCATTGGGTGGTCTCGAAGCCGTATTGAGCTAGCGGAATCAAAAGGTCATTGTAGGTGGGTAATGGTTGGGCGGTAATATGCAAAACCGACATAGGTGCCCCAGCAAGCGGAGAAATGCCAGCGAGGGTTGTGCAAAGGGCGACATGGTCCACAGGCACCATGTTGACTGTGTTGTTGATATCAGGAACTAATCCAAGCTGGATGCAGCCCTTTACGAGTCGCCAAATGAAATCGTCTGTGTTAGTCACAGCCGTCTTGGAATCACCGACAACATATCCCGGCCGTATAATGTGCCCACGTAGGCCTCTTCGACCAGCTTCAAATAGAAGTTTCTCAGAAACCCATTTTGTCTGACCGTAACCCGTTTTGAGCGTTGTCCGAGCTCCTTCGAGGTCATCGTCCTCCGGAATACCTCGTTTGGTCTGACTACTTAGTAACGAGTCTGCCAATTGCACATAGTGCAGGGAATCCACGGCCGACGTTGAGGATACAAAAACAAGCAGTTTCTGCTTCCTCTCGGACACCAAGTCGATCGCAGTCAACGTTGAAAGAACGTTTGCTGATCGTAACTTGTCGTAGGGGTAAACCCAATGAACCTGTGGAATTGTTAACGTCATTTTCTTGGGTGAGCCAACACCTACAAGAGCACCGTTGTGGATAACAACGTCTGCCTCCTCTGCAACACGGTTCCAGTGCTCTTTTCCCAACCCAAACATCTCCACAGCCAGATCACCACAGACAACCTCCAATCGTCTACTGATCACCCATTGCTCATTCCATACTCCACGATCTGTGGACCCAGAGCGCAATCGTTCTAGCCCAGCTTCGGGTATCTTCGCTCGCACAAGGCAAATGACTTTGCCGATGCGCTTGTCTCGGTTGAGCAAGTCTCGCAAAATAAAGGCTCCCAGGAAGCCCGTTGCACCAGTCAAGAACACGGTCAAAGATTTGGTCTCAAAATCTGATGGAAGTCCAGCATACGAGTCCTGCAGGTGAGGAAGTAATTTCTCCAAATCATCGCCATACTCCAGCAACTCTTGAGCAGCACTAACCGTCGCAGTTGGCTCGGAAGATTTGTACTCCAGCCCTAAATCGGCATTCCGCAGAGAATCTACCGCTTCAACCAGACCAGTGATTGTAGGTCGGTCAAACACGAGCCCGAGCGGAGCATCGATGACAAATGTCTTGCGGATTTCAAAAATGAGCCTAGTTGCAAGGATTGAATGTCCACCCAAGTCGAAGAAACTTTCGTCGGCGGGAATAGGTTGGGGAGCGTTTGGCAGCAAAGAGCTCCAAATTTGGCGGATGGTGTCCTCCGTAACACTGCCTTTGCGGGCTGCTGCTGGAACGTTCGTCACGGCTTGGACGGTATCAGGGAAAGGTAGGGCTGGCTTGTCGATCTTGCCATTTGGATTGAGCGGCATTCGGCCTAGGGGAACAAATACTATTGGGCACTCATCAGATTCAATCAAGATTTCAGAAAACGGAAACCCACATGTAGGCACACTGTAACTTGGCAACTTCTTTTTGAGATGCTCCCGAATATCCTTGATCAACCTTCTGTATTTCTTGATTCCCCTGGCAAGCTCCTTGTCCTCCTCTCCATCTGTGACCTCGCTTGCATATTCGCCTAGTGATGGTCCGTCGAGCGGGACGAAATAACTGACCAAGATCTTTTCTTCGTCTTTGTCTCGTCGCACAAGAGTGACGTTCTCTCTGACCAGCGGGTGTTGGCTCAAATGGGTGTCAATTTCGCCCAGTTCAATCCTGAACCCACGAATCTTGACTTGATCGTCAGCCCGTCCAGTGCATTCAACAATACCATTTGGTAAATAACGACCCAGGTCTCCAGAGCGGTACATCCTGTCTCGAATCCCCTTCCAATGTCGGGCTTCTGGCCCCGCAAGTCCATTGGCTGAAGGGTGACGAATGGTATCCTTGCGGGCAGGAGCTCCTACTGCGAACCAATTGTCAACAAACTTTTCCGCACTTGCCGTTGTGTCGAGATAGCCTTCTGCCAGGCCTCCAGAGCGAACGTAAATCTCGCCAACCTCGCCAACCGCACAAGGAACAGTCCGGTCATTTCGATTGACAACCAAGAGTTGGACATCAGTCATGCCTGAACCAGCGGGCATAATATCTTTCTGTGTCGCAAGGAAGGTTGGGTCTTCGCTAACGGGTGGGATAGCAAAGTATGAAACAGCTCGTTGTGTTTCAGTTGTACCGTACATGTTGATGATGCGAACATTGGCAGCAAGCGCTTGGAGTCGAAGACAGTCGCGTTTGGTAAGGATGTCGCCCACAAAGAATGCGTTGAGAAGGCTCGGGATTTGCCGTGTCGCTTCGGCGGAGAGAAGTTGTCCCATTGCAGGAGTCAGATGAGTAATCGTAACCTCACTGTCGGCCATCCACTCAGCCAGTCGGCCAGGGATACCAATATCATCTGCGGTCGGGACATGCAACTGAGCACCAAAGAATAGCGGAGTAAACACTGCGTGTGCTCAATGAATATTCAAAAGAAATCTTGGTCGACTTACTATCGCGTTGGATGGGATCGTGTGCTATTCCACTCAGCATGGTGAATTTCGAATGTTCGCCTAAGCCAAAGCGCTCGCCCATCCAAGGAAAGAAATGCGTCAAACTGAAATGACGTCCTTTGACACCTTTAGGAATGCCTGTACTTCCAGTCGTGAATGAAAGAGTCCCAATGCTGTCCGGACCAAGAGTGACATTTGGGTCTGTCCCACCCAAATGGGACAGCGACTTGAGGACATCTTCTCCCTCCGCATTTGACCCTCCGAAGATTTCACCAGTGGATAAAACTTCGACCGCAGGCACGTCGATCCTGATTTTGAGGTCCGTTGCAAGGTATTCTCGCACAGTGGGATGAATAGTTCCTGCACCTTTCAAAACAACTAGCCCTCGTGGTTGAGCCACTTGTAGATAAAGTATTTGCCTTGCAGCAGGGTACGCAGGGTCGATAACGGAAAATGTTGCTCCAGCCTTGAGGACGGCCATGACAGCAACGACAAGGTCGACGCTTCGATGAGCGTAGACCATGACCACCTCTTCACGTTGAACACCGCCCTTGATTAGATGGTGCGCCAGGATGTTTGCGGCATTGCGGATGGCGGCGTACGAAAAGGTGACTTTCACCTGAGGGATAGAAGGCGAAGATGCTGGAATGCTTTGAACAACGCAAGGTCGTTCAGGCCATTGGATGGCGTTGCGAGAAAAGACGTCGGTAATGGCGCCTTTCCAACCACACCAGTCCAAGTCGGCAACAGGATCAGGGAGTGCTTCTCGTTGGGAAGGGGTGAGTAACGGGATAGACCCGACAGGTGAAAGTGGGGAGGTTGCTACTTTGCGAAGCAAAGCGGAAAGTTGGTCGACAATGGAAACAATCCGAGTGGGGGCGAAGAGGAGAGAGTTGTAGATGATACGAAGTGATATTCGAGGTACGAGGGATGCTCTGGATGAAGCTGCTGGCCGGGTGACAAAGACCGTGAGGTCTGAGGTCAAACTTGTTGTGCGAATGAAGTTTTCCGTTGGCTGGTCTGTTTCGTCGAAAAACCGAACGCGGAAAAGGGGCGCAATCATAGACTCGTCCTTTCCCTTGTTGACCTCCCTCGTTATGAGTTCAAAAGGTACCACATCTGCATCAGCTTCCTGCTCAATCTGCTGAACCCTTCTGACAATTGACCAGTACGGGTCGGTGGGGTCGACTGTGAGGCGGAGAACAAGAGGATCGGGAGTAGTGGACGAAGATGAGCCTATAACGACGTCGGTATCGCCTGTATATCGATGCAAAAGGACGGTGAATGCGGCAAGTAGAAGGTGGAAAGCAGAGGGGGTGTGGGGTTCGTCTTCATCGTTGCCATCACCCTCATTGTAGAGAGCAAGTTTGAGGAGAGCAAGCGATGTTTGATCAGACAAGTCAGCGAGGTGTGCTGCCTCGATGAGTTTGTTCTGGGTTGTAGCCCGTGGATAGTCTGTCGGAAGGGCTATCGAAGGAAGATTTTGGAGCCTCGACACGACCCTTGCAAGTCGCTCATCCATTATGGTCGAGTCAAGACTTTTTTTGGTGAACTTTTCGGCCGAATTTCGGCTGACACGGTCATGTGAAATACTACTCGGAGCGTAACTAATTATACTCCTTCATGTAGTCGGGACCAAGGACAACCTCTTCACCTGTGGTCTTGTTCTCGTCTGCATTAGTTATCTCAGAATAGCTCCAGGAAAACATCAAACCACTCACAAGAATTCCACGTTCTTACAGTCAGCACCTTTCCCCGTAAATGCGCCAGATCTAATTCAAACACTCGTCCATTTCGTACTTGGCTATGTTCTGTCGCATATCCACCATAACCAGAATGACCATTGAAGCAAATGGGTATCCCTGACGAGGTAGTGCTTCTGGCGCACCATGACTCTCCGTGGTCATGTCCAGAAGTCATGCCCAGTACTCGTCCTCCATACGGACCGCCGTTTAACGAAATGAGAGCGCGCCAAACTTCCATCAAGTACATGATATTCACAGTCTTGAATTCACTCACATGGAAGGTCCAACCCGGTATATGTGCCGTTCAAGAAGCCTTGCGAGGCTGGATCTGGCTCATCGTCGTGATCCCCGAGAGCAGGGCTGTGGTTGATGTCAGTGATGAAGCTTGTACAACAGAAAAGCCAACAGGGTAGCAAGAATTTGTGCTTTTTGGACCTGATAGGGAGTGTAAGTATGACAAATCGGTGGATAACTGAACAGCTCGCCGGTATGTGGACAAATATAAGAGAAGGTGGAATTTCACCCCACTAAGCTATGAAGCCATGAAAAACATTGAATATCAGAGATACGCACCACACATTGCATCAGTTGCATTTGCCGCTCGATATATGGCGGCACAGAATTCTCATCTACCCAGTAGTAGTTGGCAGCATCAGGTACTTTTCCTACTACGTATCAAGGCTGTCAGTTACAGAGTGAACAAGGAATAGACCTGATCCTGTCCCTTGTGGGTCACCAGGCACAAACGAACGTGAATCGAAGAACCACATGATCACTGCAGGGACCACATCTCGCGGGCTACCATAGACAGGAACCCCTGATTCTTGCTGAGTTCAAGTTAAGAATTGAAGGCGTGTTTAATACGCACAATAGTTACCCGAGCCATATGGCTTGGGGCCAACATCAGACCGAGTATACGACAGTGTGTTTCCATAGTGCTTTTGCTCGTATCTGACCAGAGTGAGTAAGCATAAGTTTAGATTGAGCACATGGCATACTCAATCTCCTCTTGGTGGTTGACATGATCCTGCTATGAATCAGCACACCAGAAAAATTCATGTCTTTAACTGACTGCGTTATCATGCTGCGGCCCAGATCATCAGCAGAGAAACTTAAAGCGGACAATATTCCAAACCGCACATTACCATGTGTTGAGGAAAATGGGATATTTCGCTCTACTGTCGGGGCAAACACAATGTCCAGGTACTTGGTTGCATTTTCTTTGAATGTGTTCTCTCCTGTTAATTTTCAAGTTCTGGTCGCCAAACTTCTCATGTAAGTGAGTCTGAGCTACACACCAGTGACAAGGTCTCCATTGAACACTCTGACAACCAACAATTCATGCAAGGCAAAATCGTCAAGGACACCTACACATATCTTGGCTTTTCGTGATCCAGCACATTTGCGTGAACAATGGATGTATTGACGTCTTGCTGAGGGCCCCAATCTTGTGGTTTTGCTATCATAAACCAACTTCAGAGAAGTATGAAACAAACTCACCGACTTCTTCTCCTTCACCCATATGCATATCCGAGAATGAAACCACCTATACTTGCTCAGAGGTCACAAATGTATTGTTGCAAAAGTACCTTGAATTTTCCGTGGGCATCGAATATCAACTTCGGTTTGTCTTGGACCAGACCCGTAAGGGAAAGGGAGAAACTCGATGATAAAGGTGCTCCGACAGCGAGAAGACTGAAAGTCAGTACTTTCAAGAGGATGAGGGTGGGCATCATCATTGTGTGAACATCACTCAGAGAATCGAAGCCGCTCTATTCTCAGGCTGGTGTTGTGAAGGGTCTAGACTTGAGCGAGTTGCATTGCAGATGAATGGTCTACGAAAGCGCAGCATGTTGACCACTGCGCCATTCCGCGTCAGCTGCAGGAACACAATTTGGGGCGCATTCTCGGAAATGGGCAACTGGTACACATGACGTGCGTTAATATGTTGGTGAAGATGTGTCGAGAGGTGGGTCAGGCGAAGTTTGAAGTCCACAGGATCCTAATCGCAGGGAACAACAAGCAAACAAAACTAGATGCGTCCTCCGGGAGTCGAACCCGGTGCTAGGCCAAGCAAAGAGTTAACTGAACAGACTTTTTTATTTTATTTTATTTTCTGGGAAGACCCAATGTTACCGATACACCAAGAACGCTGTTAGCTTGAAGCCGTGTTGGTCCCACAACGCCTTTCGTTAGCTTGATGCTACTTGAGTGACAGAAAGTATCGCAATCATGTATAGCTTTGATGTGTTCCAGTCAACTCTAAGCTTGATGGATTAATTGAAACATGTTTATTCTAGGTGTACATTGGTAATACTTTGATAAATATGCTATGCTGAGACTGCAATCTGCCTAACACGACTGCGACTTCTACTTCGACTGCGATTTCGCTGCCACCATTTTGGAGATCGGGAACGGTCAGGGCTCAGGTTCTGTGACGAAGCCTCTTCTTCAGAACTGGTTGTGGCCGTGGTTATAAATGAGCTGGAGCTAGACGATAAGCTGCTAGCGACGTCTTGGGGCACCAGACGTGTAAACGGTGAGAGAAGCTGGGAGTCGACAACAGGGATGGGATTGAATATGGCTTCGATAAGCGACTGGGTCGGACGCGGCCCATATGCGAGTGTGAGTCGAGGAACGGTAGCAACATCTTCTTCAACCGGCGGTGCATATAGGTCCAATGCTCTCGGTCGTGTATTGAAGACTTCGCTCTGCGTTGTTAACGAAGATGTCACGCCTGCTAGGATCTCTCCATTAGGCAAGGGTGGGGCGATGAAAGGTGAGGGCGATCCGATAGGCTCGACACGGATAGAAAGACGGAGGTTGGCATTAGTCTTGCTGCCGCGGAGAAGATAGCGGCGGTTGACTAAGCCCTTGGACTGGCCAGACTCTGGCACACTGTCAGCATATTCGGCAAGGTCGATGTCGACAGCGCCAAATCGGGGATTACGGGGGGCATTAGGGTCACCGGCGACGATGCGCTGGAGGATGGTAAGCTTGAAGGGATGTGGGAGGAGCTGGTGGGAGTCGCGGTCGATAGACATTTGGACAAATACTGCCAACTGGTGGTCCCAGAAAACCGTATGCTCGCGAAGGGGCTGCCAAGCAGTTTGGCCACGGGCTGAAGTCGATTCCTCTTCGACTAGGTCGTCTAAGCTGGACGTTGAAGAGTCCTGAGGGCCATTTCCGTTGACTTTCTGTGTGTTTTTGAACTTCCACCGGGCAGAAAATTCTCCATGGACCAAAGGCACACTCGAAAGTTGGTGGATATGAATGCGGACACTGAAGGTAGCGTGGCGGGGGAGAAGATGGTGTAACTGAGCCTTGAGGCCAGTAGGTCGAAGCTCCTCGGTCATTGCAGGGGCATGGGAGGCAAAAGGAGCTGCCGAATTTTATGTCTCGTCATCGCGGCTGTCAAGTTTTCATGAATGACATAAGCGCCCACAAGATTGTATCTACGATGGCTTCACAACAACCTTCAGCGCTGTTTTGCTCTCCAGCTTGTCCAACGCCTTCTGGTAGTCATTTACCGTGAATACGTCTGTCACCTGTCGCAGCACACGCAAAAATCAGACACTTTGAGTCAATGACAAGGTTGACTGACCATCCCCTGGACGCGCACTTTGCCGCTATCAAGATATGCCACGGCTCGAGGGAAGCAATGAGTTTGGGCAAAGGAACCGATGATCTTGATTTCGTCGCCAAAAATTTTGGCTGGTGGCCAATGAACAAGGGCGTCGTTCGCATAAACTCCATATACCATCAAGGTCCCTCCCCTGCGAACGTAGTTGATGCTTTCGTTAGCCACCGTTTCTGACCCAGTCGCCTCTACCACTGCATCAAATCCATACGGATATAACTCCTTCAACGTCTTCCATGCTGGTTCTGGTGCCTCACGGTCAATTTCTACATATTCGTCTGCTGCCTTAAGTTGACGAGCAATCTTTGTCTTGATCCCCTTGTTGGCGGCGATAACAACCTTCGCAGCACCATTCAACTTGAGAAGTTGTGCGAGAATCAACCCCGTTGGGCCCGCGCCAAGAATCAAAACTTCTGAGCCAACTGGAAGATCCAGTTTGTCAGCACCGTGGACAGCGCAAGCCGCAGGCTCAACGAGGGTGGCCTCTTCGTTGCTCAAGTTGAATATCTTGTACACCTTCTTGCTTGCCCTGTCATTTCTTGGTCAACTTTCATCCTCAGCTATGAAGCAGCAACACTCACACGGCAACATATTCCGCAAACCCTCCTGCCTGTGTGACCCCCAGACTTGCAAAGTTCTCACACAGCAACGACTTGCCTCGACGACAGTAGAAACACTCGTCGCACGTTATCCCGGGGTCTGCAACCACCCGATCCCCCAGAGAAAAGCCCGACACTAACTTGCCAAGCTTGGATATCGTTCCAACGATTTCGTGGCCAGGAATCAGCGGAAATTGGGCGATAAACTCCCCTGAAACATCATAAACGGAACTCCGTAACGCTCATGGCAGACAAACCCTTCGCAATGTGACTGCAATTCAAGGATTAGGCGCTTGCAGAGTCAAGGCAAGCGACGAACCTGTCCGTGCCACAAATACCACAACACGAGACTAAAAATATTAAACATTGGACTTGAAAACATTCCCAATTACCCTTGATCTGAATCTGGTCCTCAGAAATGTCGACGATAGGCGCGGACTTGGTGACTTCGAAATCTTGAATCTAGACATGTGCTGAGCGCGTTTTTTAGAGTGTCAAACAGCCCCAAACCGTACACCGTGGTAATACACAGCGTTCATGATAAGGCAAAGGGAAAGGAAGAATGCGTCAACATGGTTCCACTTCACGGCGCGTGACGGCGCAACGGCCCGTGCTTCCCGCTGTTGACAAGACGAAATCTATGGTATGTACTCAAAGCTACAAACAACTATAGATACAGTAGTGGAAGCAATGCAAACCGGTCACCATTTGCCTGCTGCGCGAGCTGCTATCCATTGGCTTTGTGACGGTCTGTTAAGTATTTTGCCAGGCTCGAATGGTGCTGCCCTTCCTGATAACGTGGATGTGTTGAGTGTTGCGGAAGAGTGTATCGGTGAGGAATTGGAGCTGAGAGATGACGACGAATCATTCCTAGCGGAGGACGAGCGCTGATGCGATGCATTATTTGGCCGCCAAAATGGATGGTCAGAACTTGACCTTGACGACGATGTGTTCAGACCCGGTCTTTGGATAGGAATTGGCGCGGGCCGAGGAATGATACCAGGCCGTGGTGCTTGTTCATCAAAACCCTCTGGAGACTCCTGCGAGTAGGCATAGCCTAGTGGATCAGCCTCGATGCGCTCGATCTCTAGTTCAATTTCGCGCAGTTGCTCTTCCAGATCAGGGATGATGACCGTCTCAAGCTTTTCCCTTTTTCCAGTCAGTTTTTCCATCTTGTTCCCCAGACCATTCAACTCGTTTTTCATCGCCTCAACTTTTCTCCGCTCTTTGTCTTCTTCTCGTTCTCTTTCCCGTCTTGCGCGATCCGCCTCCTCCTTGACACGGGCGTAAGCCTTTTCCCGTCCAGAACGCTCTTTCAACAGCGCCGGTAGCTCTGCCTCTACTTCCACCACCATTCCTTCTATGTCCTTTGTCGATGTCTGAGCACGTTTGGCTGCTTCTTGGAGAGCCAGCACTTTCTGTCGTGCCCTATGTTCCGCAACCGCATGTTTCTCAGAAGCCCGTTTGAGAATCTCGATCTCAGAACGCAGTGCAGCATCTGCCTTTTGGGCATCTCGTCGAGCAGTTTTAAGAGAGAGCGTGACCCCGTCTCGTTCGGCGTCAATCAGGGAAAGGGTGCTTTGAAGCTGTTTTAAGCGGTCTTCAAGGGTCATTTGGGGATGGGGTGCTGCAGGCGGAGTAGAAGAAATTGTGCCACTGGGTGACGAAGACGGAGTTGGGATAGGCGATTCGGCTCCTTCAAAAGAATCCGATTCCGCCAACGTCGTTGAAGAGGCCATATCAAGGTCTATGCCAGAATTTGAGAAGAGAAGAGAATGAAAAGCGGGGTTGGCGCACCGTCTGTAACAACCTGCTGCCGGATATTTCCTTGCACTAGGCCCAAATCGATGTCGTACTTCTTGCCTGGCATGAGTCCGTATATAATTATAACAGCCTCCTCGGTTTTGTCGTCCACTCGAATATATACGCCCTTCCAAATCGCGTTGTTCACGTTGACAGACAATCCCTTTGCGAGAGCCTCTGCAATAACGGAGGTTTTCTTTTGGACAGAGTCGTCCGTGTCGTTATCTGAGTCATCATGCTCGTCGTTGTTATCGTCCGCGGCAAGACCAAGTGACGCGATGTAAGGGTCCGCGTCAGCCCCCAAATCCGAGAATGTCGACGAAAGGATGAAGGTGACCGATACAGAGGTGATTTCCCGAACGGTGAGTGTTAGTGGAGGCTTCCCAGGACGGATCGTGTGCCATTCGGAGAAGACAACAGGGTCAACAAACGTGTTGTCTGGCGGCGACATGAATGTGGGCGCTAAGCAAAGTAGTCGTGACTGTGTGACGACCCGATCTTCAGCTTCTCCCGCAACCTCGCAACACGCTAATTATACGTGTCTCTTCAATAATGTTCAGGGTTCTATTGCAAATACTAGAAAGCTACTGTGGCAGCCCTCAATTCATTTTTGCAGTGTTCAGCATCAACAAGGAGGGTTATTTGCGCAAAAGAGGCTTACAACTACAACGCTAGGAGTCCATGAGTCAGGGCGGAATGATCAACAACTACAAATAGACCTCTGAGCGGCAAAAGACGCAGCACTATCTTCTCCCCTTACACTCATGTCACCGAATTCTCTCTCAAGCAAATTCATCACCATCTCCGTGGGCTTAGAGGGTCAGGACGACAATTTTGACCGTATCCAGCGGTTTTGGGAAAATCTGCAGATTTCAGCATACGAGCCTGCGGCGGAACCAGAGTGCGATATATTCTCGTTTGCCCAAACTGCTGTGTTCTTTGGAATTGTCCACAAAACCACTGTTCCCGAAACCACAAATATTGAGGACGACGCTCACAAGAAAGTAGACGAATGGCGCAAGGTCACCAATATTTTGTCTTCTTCGTCTTCTGCATCCAAGAACAATTATAAACCAGTTTCTCCTTCGAAGCTGAGAGGCAGTGCTATCGACGCTGAGGCCATAGTTGGACAGGTGCGAATCATGCGTGCCCGTACCAGCACATCTAACTAACTAGGGTCATTACAGGCTTCCAGCTCGCCACATAACGAGGTAAATGTATTGCTCCATGCTAAAGCATCTTTTTACTAACCACGTGTTTCCAGGATTCCGTGAATAATGCGAAAATGCCCGATGGCCTTACCATTGACAGTGACGACGACTGGTGGAACTCGCATTTTCCAGCAGCTATTCTTCCCGCCATGAAAAGGACATACAATACTTATCAACAGCATCGAAAACTTGGAGAGCAGGGCAGGCTAGAATATTCGTCGACCGACGCCGAGCCTCTTCCGGTTGATTCCACCACAACCCCAAACCAATTCAAGCTCGACAACGACCAGTCTGATGAAGAGCAGTTGACCCAGTCAAGGCTGCAAGCAGAACCAACAATCGAGCCTCAGCATACACCGTCGCGCTTGGAGCAGCTATTGGATGGCTGGGAACAGAGATTACCGCGAACTTCAACTGCGCAGTCGCAAACCATCAGCTCCCTCCCGGCCCCCCGAGACTCACCACAAGTACGCTCAGAACCCGAAAGATTCCCCAGAGTAAATGCGCACACTCTGGCCTACCAACGTCCCGAATATCCACCTCATCAATACTCACCACCAAGCTCGGGGGATATCATAGGACTGGTTTACCTCACCGGCTCGCCGTTTGTCATGGGACCTCCTGGCGCAACCCAAATTCCGGAGGTTAATGTTGGTGTCTTTATCGACGAGCCGTATCGCCGGAAGGGATATGCGCGGGAGACCATCAAACTCGTCCTGGCAAATGCATTCGAAAATCTCAAGGTCCATCGCGTTCAAGCAACTCTCATTGGACACGTGACTAGAAACCATATGAGTTCAATTCTCACGCAGCTGTACATTCATTCCCTCTCGGATTCGTGAATCGGAGGACTGACCACCCACCAGATTTTTCACTCATGAAGGCACCGCACGTGCCGCCTTTTACCATCCATTCGTCCAAGAATGGCAGGACATGACTCGATTTGGGATCCTTGACACCGACTGGAGTATGCGTCAGCTCTGGAAACCTGCGCCCAAGTCTATGTGGGACGAGCTCTTCACGCGCCACGAACGTGAGCGTGACGAACTGCTTCGGTGGGAGGAGAAAACTGGTCGCGTCAAACGTTCGGCCAGTTTAGAGACCTTGCGGGCTCCGCCTCCGGATTCTGTGTTTGATTTGACCATGTCGGAAAGCGATTTAGCCGCCAAAAGCTGGAAGGGAAAAGAGAAGGCGAAAACCAGCGACAATGAGGCTGAGACCGACTATGAAGGCCCAATTCAATCGGCGCGGTTGAGAGGACAGAGCGAACAAGGGTATCTGTCAGATGCAGATAGTGCTGCTTCGTTCGACCAGACTGAAATGGGGACCGTGTTTGATATGGCAGGAAGCGCTCGCTTAGCCCGCGTGTCCACTAGCTCATCAAGCAGTGACTCGTTCTCCGATATCGAGTCTGAGGCGAGCATGCCAGAATCAGTCGTGTCGACTAGCGGTGTCAGCTGGAGCAGCGACTCTTGGGATGATATCATGTGGGACGACGACAATATTCCCGAGGAATGGGAGTAGCACTTACTTATGCCAGAATTGTAATAGTGTTAAGACAATATGTTTGTACAGTCTATTCCGTGTTCAATTCTTCTTCAATCCACGCTTCGTGCCTCCGTAAAAGCTCCGTCACGATGTCCTCTTCTATCTCTTTTCCAACAGCGTCTTCTGCGATCCGTAGCCATGATTCGACAAAGGTCATACTCTCCTGATGATCATGCTCCGATTCTCCAACTATGTGCTTGGGAGGAGGAGACGGTGGGAGTGGGGCGTCTACCGCTGCGGCATGGTCTGAGGAAGCATTTTCCTCGACACCTGGTGGCAAGGGTGGTAACGGCTTCCTCTTCTGCTCCACAAACACAACTTGATACTTGCGGGAATGTAACTCGTTGCCGATGACAACTTGGTGGCCGTATCGACTGAGGGCCGCGCGTGCTTTCGGAATTAACAGATGGTCATCGGTTTCCAGCTATCAAGCTGTTAAAAAACCCAAGATGCCACGAGGAAACGGATGTTGTACCTTGAAAGACACAATATACCCATCCCTCGTCCATTCTTCCACCATGGGTTTGAGAATCTTGGGGACTTGGTCCATCTCAATGTGCAGACTACCTTTGCCTGACTGGATCTTGTGCTCTGCCTGTGTTGAATGAGAGAGAATTCCCGTCAGAAAACAAGGGACCGACCATCTTCTGTCTTGGTAAGAAAAAGTCGCTGACCGCAGCCGCCAGGTAGTACATCGCCCGTCGCCCGAGGATTGACATTTCCTGCGACACAGCACGCAGTAGCCAGAGGTAGTCGTTCACCGTAACAAATGTGAGCGTGTGGAGAGTTCCAGCTACTTGCACACTTTTGTAGGCGGACAACACAGACAAAAGTTGCTCATCCTTCCTTGTGTCGCTGGTAATGCATGCCGTCTCGTCTTCAACAGCGAGGAAGTCGAGAAAGGGATTGGTCGAATGGGAATAGTGTCGGCTAAAGGGTTGCAGACTGAATTGGCGGTGCATGAAGATGACCGCATAGTCAGCTTTGAGGAAGTACTCGGCCGAAGTCGCGCCTCTAGTCCCTGTTTTCCAGGTTAGACGTGGATTCCGAGCGCTGTTTAGTTGTTGTAGCGGACACACCAGCACTGAAGTTATCCAAGAAGCGCACGCTATGAGAGCTTGAGCCCTTCTGAAGACCAGCGACGGTAGCGCTCTCACACGTTCAATTCCAGCGGCACCGTTGTTCCGCCACTCTGCGATATTGCATGAGGTAGCGTTCAACTGATGAGCGGTGCACTCACCGTAACCAGCACAACATTGCGTTTTGCTTCGACCTGTCGGGTTATGAAGTCTTTGACGCCAGAAATGTCCTGCGAAAGGGATGAAGGGGCTGGTTGCGTCGCAAAGTAGCTTTCTGCAGAGAATGGCGCGGTTTCAGTCATGGGCTGGTCCAAATCTCGGGAAGACTGGTCAAGCCTTCCGAATGGCTGACGGCAGTTGACTTTACTGACTTTACTACAAGTCGTTCGATGAGGATCAACAATACTCAAGGCAACGTATCAGGGACCCTGCAATCGAGAACAAGAGGACAAGAGGTGATTGTGAACCCGCTAAAGAATTTTACACTACAACCTACGCGAGAAGAAAACAAGAAATTGTCCCGACTCTACTGCCGCCATTGCTGGTCATAACTAGGGGGAGCATCTGTTGGGATAGCTGACCCCGATCCTGAGCCAGAAGCAGTAGATACTTGCGGCTCTGCTAGTGCTTCCCAAGTGAGCACCGTCTTGCCATCACCACGGAAGTACTCTTGTTGTTGTTGTTGTTGTTGCTGCTGCTGCACTGCAGGAAGGTTTGCTGGTCCAAATGAGGAGGGCGAGGCTGGAGTAAGAGGAATCAAAGGGCTGTGGGACGAAGATGGACTGGTAGGATATTGTTGAACTGATCCACCAGTGTTTTGGACAATCGGGGGTGTGGAAGCATAACCACCGGATGAGACACTCGGTGAATAGTGTAGTTGTTGAGGAAGAAGTGGATTAGTTGAAGAGGCGTATCCACTGCCCGACGAAACACTCGGCGAATGATGAAGTTGCTGAGCATGAAGCGAATTTGGAGTCCAAACCGGGTTCGGTATCGAGGGCTCAGACATTGGCGGTGGTGACGACGCATGTGAAGAAGGCACCATTGACATCGGACGCACGACACTTGCACGGTTAAAGGAGCCAGGTTCAGGAACGTATTGCCCCGACATTCCCATGGGAGGCCCTGTCATCGGGGTTGAATATGGGGAAGACTGAGGAGGTAGGCCGTATGGGGGTTGGATGTGGGCTACGATGAGGTCAGCAGGGTTCCTATGAGAGTCATGAAACCAACTGGAGGGTGGAAGTTGGATTATAGACGACGATAGTTGAGGAGGATAAGCATTCGTTCGGCGTCGCATCCGACGCCTGACCATTAGAAGAATTGCGATCAAGACAAGGACGCCAATCTACGAGGGGGTGAACAACGGAAGGATGGTAGGCCATAAATGAGACAAGCTGACAACAATCCCTGGGAGAACGCCTTTCGTAGACAGAAAACTGGAGTTGCTCCTTGAGGTTTGAGTCACTCTACTGGTTGGAGTAGTGCGCGTGGTCGTTGACCGAGAGCTAGTCGAATAGCTACAAGTTGCATAGTTAGGTTACAGGTTTCATAGACGCAAAGTTTTGGTACCTTCTTGTTGTATACGACCTAAAAAAAGTAAGTCTACGCCAGCAAGTATAATCAGGAACCACTTACATCGAATCGGGGTTCACTCGCAGCGAGGATGGAAGGAAGAGTGAAGAGAGCGAAGAGAGGGGCCTGGTGACACACAGCCATTCAACCACGACTGCCCCTGTTGACACGAGCAGACAGCGCTTCTTGAGCTAATCTATCAACCAAATGACTGCATCGTCGAATGGTCCATTGGCGAAGCGAGTATACGACAATCGACTGCTCAGAAGGACAGGATCGTTCAGGAAGCAAACGGGTTATGCACGTGACTCTCCCCCGCTTCAACTGCAACATACATGTGTAACTGGAGCAATTGGATCGAAATTGTCTCCCTGCTTGAGTGAAGTGTGTGTTCATTTCCGTGAGTCGTTATCGACAGGCAAGCTGTTCGTTCCCCATAATGAATGTACAGTATCAGATCAAATGAGAGGTAGGTTCACACTTTCTTCTACCGCCACACAGTATTATTAACTTGCCCCACCGATGCTTTGACTATAGGCCTTCCAGTCTCCACCTCTACATACAGCAAACACGAGGGGTCATGTCATTACTGCCAGGCGTTTATCAATAGAACTCATTTATAGGTTCGTCAGGCCAGCCGCTTTCCCCCAGCACTTCTTCTATGGCTGATGTTGCCGTATCAATTCCACCTTGTCATACTGTTCAAGATTCTCCTCCTGTCCCTCTAACAAAACTCCAACGACAAGAAGAGCTTTTGCAGCGTCGTTCTATGCCGAGCCATTGGAGAGCACCTTCCAACCCCGTGTTGAAGGTCTGTTTTCAAGCGCTATCCCTTATTGCCTTCGGTCAAGTGGGGCTAGAGCCTATCTGGGCAACTATAAAGCTGGAGGAAGAAGGGGATGAAAGCATCTGGGAGGAGGGAATCAGGATCACCTGCGACCGCTTGAATAACATGTTGCTTGTGGTAGGCAATTCTAGACTTTCGGGATTATCTCTGTCATTTTTACAGGCTAGTTTACTGCTGGCCACCTCGGCCGTTTTCATTACCACAACACCCCCCAGATTGAACATTGTGAATTATACTCTGCGGGGCCCTTATATCCTGATGCTAGGGGCTTTCGGCCTTCTCATTGGAGGTATTATAGTCGCCTCAGTAGCTGTCCTTACAACAGCTAAAGCGCGGCCGTACTGGTCAGAACAGGTAAGTGACACCATCCTTGTTTAAGTCGATAACCTCCCGGCCTGATGCATATGCCAGGTCCTCTACGCCACTCGCACTAACGTTTGGTGTACTCTCATCGTGCTTTCCTATCCGTTTTTTGCCATTGGGCTTGCTGCAATATTCTTGGCATTCGGTTCGTGCTTTCACCAGTGCGAGTCTCAAACTGATGAGCTAGGAAGGAATCTTGACCGCGATCTGGTCCGTTGAAGATTCGGGTCTCCAAGCAGCTGCTCCTCTTTTGCTCTTCTTCCCACTCTTGGTTGCGCTTCTTTTCGTGTACGTCAATGCAACGGCGAAAGCGCGCAGTCGGCTGCGAAAGAACTCGCAGGAAACGGCTGAGAGGATGCTTCCTTAGTCAGAAATTCAAGAAATTGGGTATTTATTCGTGAAATGGCTCGTTTACACATTAAAGTGACTGCTAAAAATGCATCTATAAGTTTATCTATTTAAACGTCCGATTTCGTCTCTTCTGTGGGTTCTTTTGTTTTGAGCTCCTTCGTCTTCTTGTCCTTGGGCACTCGTAGAAGCCAGTAAAAGAACACGGCGGCCGACGCATTGAAGAGGATGAAGACCCAAAGGATACCAAAGTTGCGCCATCGTTGAGAATACTGATGGGCAGGTGAGAAACCAAAAGTGAACAAAAGGGGAGGACGCACGAAAATGTTGCTCGAAGCTAGGAAGACATTCGTCTCTGCCACGGGGCAATACTCGCAGCCGCTCGTCGCGGTCGGGTTGTACACTCTGCCGCCAGCTAGGCTGATATATGGCTCGAAATACGTCTGGCAGGTTTGTCCAGACGTCGGGTCAACCCGCAGGAGCTCGATGTCAGAGCAGGTGACCTCGGTGTTAGCAACACCTGTTGCAAGCATGCCGCTAACTAGATAGCTGAAGGGCGAAACACGGTACATCCAAATCTAGAGAAAGAAGCTCAAACTTAGGACAAGCTCAGAAGAAGAAATTGCAATACTTACCCACCAGCCCAAGGTTCTCGGGGCAGCAAGCACACCACAGAATAGGAGGGTCAAGGAAAACAGCAGGTTGCCGGTATTTCCAGCAGCTTCGGCACTATCACTCCCGGCAACTAACATTTGACTGAACTAGAAGCAAAGGCACATCAGTCTCTGTGTCTGAAAGATAACGCGAGCCCCTACCGTTGAAGTGAAGAGCATGAACTGGAGGATAAACAAGAACATCAACGCTCCACGCTCTCTAACTTGATGGAAGGGCATGGCGTTGCGGTAAAGACCGATTGGGTAGTACCACGAGACAAAGCTCACGACAGCCGAGAGCGCTTGCCACGGAAGTTCGACGAGAATTTGAGCGATCAAGAATGCGCGCCACGAGTATGCTTTCGACGGTCGCTCACGCGCTTCGTAAAGTTCTCGTTGCGACACGAATAGAGGCATTATTTGCTGCTCCAAGTTACCGAACAAGATCAGCAGCATGAAAATAGAGAACTGAACGACGAGTTAACACAGCACATTTGAGTGATTCGGGACTATACCAGTTGGTTTTGTAACCCTTGAAGAGTATTTTCCGCCTTGTAAAAGGTAAAGCCGATAAAGAGTGAAGAAATGCCGACGAGGGCCAGTTTGGAGTAGATATATGTCGGAGTTCGCCAATATTGGATCCAAACCCGCTTCAGGGTTTCTTGCAGCTGTGTTGAGAATGGCATCGCGAAAAGTTCGAACCCGGCAACAGACTCTCCGGTATCAGGAACCTTCGATAAATCGCTGGCCATGGCATCAAATTCCTTGCGGATGGCGACACGCTCCTCGCTAGCCTTCCAGACCTCGGGCCAGTCTTGGGCGGATTTATGACCACGAGCAGCACCGATAACTGGTTCCAAGCATCAGATTGGGAAAACGCAAGTAAGATGGATTACCTTCTAGAATCCATTCTGCCGGATTAGCCTCTGGAGGACAGGGAGAAGCACCGTATTTCTCGAAGTAGCTGGTGAGGATTTTCGAGTTTTCGCCAATCTCGCCGAAATACACAGTCTTGCCGCCGGGGGCCCTGGAACAGAATTGGCCGGTAAACAAAAGAGACGAAAGGAACACACAAGAATAGCAAGCGGTCAAACTCTTGCATTAAGATAGCGCTAGCTGAGCGAAAATCAGATTTCTTCAACGTTCGAAGGGTAACGACGTACGTTGATGGATAGTCGAGAGAATGGCCTGACCGTGGTTGGCCAATTTGCGCATCAACTGACAGATAGACCAGGCCGTCTGCGAGTCCAGTCCGCTGGTGGGCTCATCAAAGAAGACCAGGAGCTCAGGTTTGGCGACCAGTTCAACCGCGATCGTCAGCCGTTTGCGTTGCTCGACATTAAGACCCTCTCCAGGTACACCGACGATTGCCTCCGAATACGATTCCATGTCAAGGAGCGCCAAAACCTCGTCCACATAGGCAAGTTTCTCTGCCTTCGGAATCGACTTGTGTTGGCGAAGGAGTGCGCTGAATTCAAGTGACTCTCGTACGGTTGAAGTGGCAAGGTGGAGATCCTGTTGTTGGACATAACCTGTCTTGCGCTGGAACGACTGGTCACGAGGGCGTCCATTGACCAACATGTCGCCCGTAACAACACCCATTGTCGTCCGAGTTGCCAATACATCCAAGAGCGTGGTTTTACCAGCGCCGGAAACACCCTTGAAGGAGTTCAAGACAGAACATGCTAGATGAAAATAGCTCACCATAAGCGCAGTCAGAGTCCCAGGCTTCACCCAGCCATCGACATGGTCCAGTAGTCGCCGATCGGACTTGTCCTTGAGCTTGATGTCATAGCAAACGTCCTTCCACATGAAGATCTAACGAGATTAGGGACTGTCCCTCATACAGAAAATAACGCTAACCTTCGTCTGTCTAGGGATCTTCATGTCACTCTCTTGCTTTGCTGAGGTGTTACCGGCAGTCGGTTTCTCTCCGACCGTTGAACTCTCCGTGTCGTCCTTGCGTTGGTGTGGGACACGCCCACGAGTGAACACCAGAACTTCTCCCTTCGATTTCACAGCCGAGATGTATTCCGTGGCAATCAGGTGGGTGGCACAGAAGACGATCTGCTCTTCAATAAGAGCTATAATTCAGCACAGGTAAAGTTGAGCTCACCATATAGCCAATAAGGATTCCGAAATTCCGCCATAGATGGCTATGAACATAGCTAAAAGACGTTTCCAGATACTCTGCTCCAACGACAAAATCGTTTCCAGGTCGCGCGCCCGTGGTGCTGCATATGCGGTTTAGTGCTGACACATTGGCATATGCAGGCCCAGCCGGGATGAAGGCAGCACAAGGATAGGTCCGACCCGAAAACTCGTTCACCATCACTATTAGTGGGATGAGTTGTGCGAATGACATAGAGCAAGACACACATACGCGATTCGAACGCATATCCGACAGGGTTCTTGTTTAGGACGAATAAATGTCAGTGTCGGAAACGGCAATAGGTACAGATACTCACGATGTAGTTTATCCACCTGAACCAGACAACCATGTCACGCACAGGTACCGTAAAGCCCGTATACATGACGAGACCAAGGATGAAGACGGCCGCTGGTGTTAATGCTTGGATTAGAGAACGAGAAACGGATGCAATTGTTCGGAAAATCATCGACATCACGAGGGTGCACGTGATCGAGAACAGGTAAAAGATGAAGAAAGCGCCAGGTTCCCGTCGAAGATTGGTCATAAAATATAGTGTCAGATTAACGACTGGTATTAAAGTTAACAGATAGAATTCGATCAGGCCTGCAGACGCACCTGTTGCCGTGATCATTTTAGCTGGTATGTCACAAATCATCGAGGAAACTGCTTCCGCGAAACTGGCGAAAATAAGTGACTGCCAGTTAGCCTTTAAACCACATACGGATGATATAAAGCGTATGCATTATGTTTTTCGACTGAGGATATAGGTTAGTGGCACGCGCGCTCCACAGCGACAGTTTACCTATAGGTCGTTGCGCGTATAAAGTGAAAATCTGTGGAGTGGGTGAGACATGTTGATGCTTCATGTGAGACAGTGCTACCTCAAGAGCACTAGCAAAAGCATTGACGAGGACTGCATAGAAAAGAAGAGCGCCTCTTTCATTGGTTTAGGTACCTTGACAACAGAAGAGTGCAGGCAAATACCTGCTGTAGAAGCTGCTCGTCGTGTTGGAGAGGTTGTAGAACACACTAGAGATGAGGAGAGCCATCAAGAAATTGCCGAAGACCTAGATGACAGGTCAATCAACGGTTTCCCTGCCTGCAACAAGAAGACCGACTGTTGTGTTGAATGTGGTGAGATCACCGTGTAGTCGTTGCCATCCACGTTCCATGCACAGCGCAATTTGACGGCGAACGGAGATGGTATACGGGGAGGACGCGCGACTGACAGACATCAACCATTAACATAAAATGGAGGTAAAACTAACAACGATAACTCACATCGAACGTGACTGTTGCTTTCTCCGGGACTGCCTGAACTTCTGGAGCGAATCGCCATTGAGTGGATACTCATTGTTGTAGGCTTCGATATCTTTGAGGAGTGTCTGATATTCGGCACTGTCCCTCCAAACCTTGGCGAACTCGTCTGCAGTGCGAGGGACACGATTCTCCCAACCAGGAGCAATGAGGCGCTCGGCGGGATTGGTCAGTGAGGTTAGGAAATCGCCCGTTGTTTGCCGAGGTGCACAAACGAAGCCTCTTGATTCCCAGAATTGACGGGCGTTATCCGTTGGACCGAAGTAGATTTGTCGACCTTCGTATAAAACAATAGCCTTGTCGAAAAGCTGGAATATCTTGTCAGCGGAAAGAAACGAACGAGATGACAAATTTATTCACATCATAAGCATTTTGTGATGCTTGATATATAGCGACCATCGCCGTTGAGCCCGCGAACTGTGTGGAGAGGCGGAGTGTTCGAATGAAGTCTAATGCAGTAGCGCTATCAAGACCGCGCGTACTGTTGTCCCAACATTGCAGCGGGGATCCTATCGCCAGGGTCAATTCAGTGATCACCACGAACATAATAGGTTCTTACCACTAAGCGTAGTTTCGGAGATGCTGACGCGCTTTCTTTCGCCTCCACTCACACCTCGGACGAAGTCATTGCCGACTTTGGTATCCATGGTGTGAGTGAGCCCAAATGTGGCCATCACAAGGTCACGAAGGTGTTGCGCATAGGCGTCACGCGATACACCTCCAATACGAGTCCGAGGGACTCGAGCCTTGGCAGCGAAGAGGAGCGTCTGGCCAACAGTTAAATGAGGGAAGTGAACGTCGGTTTCTGCATTATAGATGACTTCACCACGAAAGTCATTGTGCATGACCTCCTTGGGAATTCCCTGGTACTGGATATCGGAGTCGGGGTCGACCGTAAAACCGTGTGTCTGGCCGGCGATAGTCTTAAGGAATGTCGAGCAACCACTTCGCATGGAATTAGATAACGAAGGAAACATGAGCACAGGAAACAGACCTTCCCGGTCGTCCTAAGACAACAAGGAGTTCGCCGGACTTAACCAAGCCATCGAAGTCGCGCAAGATTTCTTTCGGAACCCACCATTAGCTTCCGGGGAGTATAGAGAGATCGAGTGTAGACTGACGAATATCGCGCTTGCCCGTGCCCATGCCTATCCATCCTCTGACTGCACTGAACATGCCCAACCAGATATTCCCTACAGTTTTCTGGTAGTCTGTGGGCGAGCCAACACCATGAACGTTGAGATTGTGGAAGGACACGCCAGCTGTTCGTGTCTACTCCTATGAGGTGCATATTATGACCGCAACAAGAGTACCCACCGGATAGTTCTCTGGGTCGCGTGAAACGATATGCATGACGGATTTGAGCCATTTCTCGATGTCAAACTTCTCGGAACGCGGGTCAAGCGTTTCGTCCCCGTGGGTTGCGTCAAAAGGGTTGGCCAACTTTTCTGGGTCGATATGTGAGTGTTGTGAGGCAGTTGCGGTTGTTTCCGTCCTCGTTGTTGCAGGAAGTCGTTCAACGGATTCCGAGCCCGACATCGTCCTAGCAAGCGCATGTATCCGCTCCTCCTGGTCATGGCTCAGTCGTATGGACTTGGGCGAACCGGGGTCCATGGTGGGGGGAAGGAAACAAATGGGACGAGCATCAGAGAATCTTACTGACTAAATAAATACAGTAGCCGGCGGCGCCCTTTCAGGGCATTGATGGCTGTTTACTTAGTTTTCGCTGCCAAGACTCTGCCTCTTTCCTCAAAACTGCTCCTCTAACGGGACTTGGACGAAGAAGAACAACGCGGGCCTAAAACCTGTGTAATTCTGGCGAATATCTGGCCCACAGTCTGCTGTGAACAAGCTGCAAACCAATTCACAGGGCCGGCTGACACATGAGAAATGACACCGAGGCACTCTCTGGGCGGATAACTGACAGTGAAGTATGCGATAAAACAGGACCGTCAACTAAGCACATATTACCGAGCGGTTGTTACACGGTAAGATTGCTTCCCAATTGCATCCCAGCGACAGACTACTAAACTATTAGCGTGAATGGATTCATTCAGAACGAAGACACTTTGAGTGCAAAGACTAGGTTCGGTAGCGCTCCGATGGAGGCATGTACCATTATACAAACAAACAAACAAGACGAACTTGCAAGGGCTATTCATTAGCTAGGAAAGGAATCGATCATGTTAATTGAAACTCGTTCCGTCAACAAATGCTGATCTCAAAATCAGATTAGATCTATAATCACTATCCTTCGCTAAACCTAAACGCAGGATTATCCGCGTTTAAGAAAGCCCACACAGTCATTTCCTTCCATCCCTTCGTCTTCCAATCATCGAGTGTGACCGGCATCTGGCGGAAAAGTGGCAGGACGGACGAATCATGCGCGAGAATAACAAGCACATCAGGGTTTGCGTCAAAGGCCGTTAGACTGTGGGCCGAGCGGTGGGCCACCGTTGCATCAGCGTGATAAGGCGAATTGTTGATCCGAAGGAGCGGGTCGGTCTGTGCCTTGAGGTCAAATGCATTTTCTGTTCCCGATTCGCCGAAATGGACGTTGGATACTGTAGCCTTCGTGTTATCAGTCAGTGCGGCAGGACATGGATAATTCCGATGAAGCAGGGCAGTTGGACGAAGGGCGCCGATATGGTGACAAGAATCAGCTCCCATAAGGACAAAACTCGTAGGTGTGGTTCGCGCCAAACCACAGAGGTGTCCGACTTGATGCTGTGAGAAGATGCTATTAGATGTATGTGCGTTGAAGCACGTGTTGCTTACACCAGGAACCGCCAGAAGATACAAGCTACCGTCTCCAAAGTAATCATGGGCATTGAAATCACCGATCTTAAGGTCGAAACTAACTCTTTTGATCGTCCGTCCCCTGCATATGAGGTCACAACAACAACAGCTATCAACATCTGGATTGCTTACTCGACATCGCTTGGGAGTAGTGTGCTGCTAGGATCAGTTTCGTACGTCTCCAATGCCAGCTCTTCACTGATTACAAGGCTCGTCGACGAGGGAAACCTGGAGATATCACCTGAGGTATCAGGTTAAACATCCTCTTCTCGTCATCTCCCTGAGAAACTCGCCTGTGTGGTCAACATGAGAGTGGCTGTATCAGAATTAGCATACGACCAAGAAATGCTTGCATTAGTTATACTCACCTCCATATTACGGCGTTGATGCTCTCTCTTCCGATTCCATCCGCCTCGATGAGATCGACAATGTCTGTTTTGACAGGAAAAGCCTTCTGAAGAAGAGTAGACACCTGTGGGGCACAATTCTCCAGATCCTTCCGCATGCCTAAGTCGAACAGAACATGTTGCTGAGTTGGAGCATGCTCAATGTAAAATGTGAATATAGGACATTTGAGATATTCGTGGCCAGACAAAACGGGCTCAAAGGCACCTGTGGCGGGCGCTTTGACATTGTCGTGGTCTCCAGCTTGAATGATGTCGAATATCTTCACAGTAACTGTAGCCAGCGAAGGAGGGACACCAAGGTCGTGATACGATGCCATGAAGCGGTTGGGTTTAAGTCGAAGGGTGCCATGCCGGTTAATAAGGACTCAAAGACGAGTCAAGCCTATATTGGGATCCGGTGCCGCTGAGCACGTCCGTTGTTGATCTCCGCCATGGAGAATATGCTTACACAGAGTTGTAAACATGGACTGTGCTGAGTTTTCCTTGGAACTCACAGTACATGAGGTGGTCTTGGAGTTAGTCGTACGCATATTCCGCTATCTTCAGTGTCCGTTGTGAACTTGAGTTTGTTACATGGTTTGAGGTCGAGCCTGAGTACAAGTCGGAATGAGTAAGTTCAAGATTTCCGTGATGAGTCGGAGATGATCAAGCTGGATTGGGCAGCCGCACGTTTGGCGGGCAACGACAGTACTAGTTCGTGACAAGTTCGTGAATACTCCAACGTCACGGTAACGAGCGCACGTGTTGTGTCACAGCCCTCTTGAACAACTCCTCCGAGTCCTCAATGTTTTAGTTCTTGGACGCTCCCGAGACAACCATGATCACTCTGTCCAAGAGCTAAAACATAGACTCTTTGCGGATAGCGGAAGCGCGGGTGTCATAGCAGAATGCACAGAATCCTCAAATACTGGAACTTGCGATGCTTTCTTTACCCTTTCGAACTTCTTCTCTCTCAAACCGCGTTGATCGTGGTACTCTAATATTCTTAAGACTTGACGACATTTCACGATTTTAATGCCTGCCTCTCGAAAACTTCCTAATCTCACTGGCCTTATCGTTGATTGTGGGCGTCTTCGTATAGACGAACAAATAGGCGCCGGCTCGTTCGGCACTGTTTACAGGGCCTCCCAAATCAGAGAGCCCTTCGACCCTCGGCTCCCCAAAACGGTCGCTGTAAAATGTCTGGGAGAGCGCTCGTTCTACACGGACAAGGAACACAGCATGCACTACGTCTGCTCATCCCACCCGTCAGTTCTGACCTTTTATGGCCAGTTCTCCGTGATGGAGGGTAATGTAGAGATTGTGTGCTTCATTTTAGAGCTATGCAAGCATAATCTCTGGACGCCCATCACATGGGGCACCTTCGACTACGACAACGACGCTGTCAAACGCGCCTTCAGTCAGATCCTAGATGGCGTCCAAAGCTGTCATGAGCGCGGTATCTACCACCGCGACCTCAAGCCGGAAAATGTTCTATGTCACAGCTCGGACCCCCAGGTTATGTTGGCGGACTTCGGCATGGCCATTCGGAACCCCAACTCTAATACCGCCTCCGGCACTCTCCCTTATCTTTCTCCCGGTTTGCTCCCCCTCCCCTGTTGTCTTGTTTGTATGTTAACCAAATTTCCCAGAGGCCCTTAGTGTCGCACTCAGGGATGGGAGTGCAACATACTCGGCTGCCCAAAACGATATCTGGGCTTGCGCAGTGATACTCGTCAACATGGTCACCGCCCGTTATCCGTGGCGTCAGGCCACTTCCTCCGACCCGGCTTGGTCCGCCTTTCTACTCGATCAAAAACACTTTTTATCGCGCAAATTCCCCATAATCTCGTCAGAGTTTAACCGGCTACTCGTGCGCTGCTTCAACCCAGAACCCGCAGAAAGGCCGTCACTCGCCGAAATGCAGGCCTCGATCTTGGGCATGCACGATTTCTTCCGGGATCCCCCCTCTCTATCAGTCCCCGTTGCATCTGCCTCCTCAGCCCCGACAACTCCTGGCGCCTCGTTCAGTTTCGAAGACTCGCGGTCACAGTCTACAAAACCATCGGCTCTTGATTCTGCTGACTACTCTCTGTTGCGCGAGCTGGCGGGTGACGATAAGCCGCTTTCAGTCGCTTCCCGCCAACAAGAGTCGAAACACTCCTATATTCTTCCGGCGGACCATCCAACCGTCCTGGCACTCCCGTCGGCCGACCAACGCCTTCTAGCTCGCCTACGCGCTAGACCACGACCGCGGATCGTGCGTTTCTGGAGCACCCGACACGTGACCCCGATTGCGCCTCGACCACCACCCAAGGTACTAAACCCCGCACAACGGCTGTGTCGTTGGGTTTGCAAGCAGATCAAGGCGCCGTTAGTGGGTCGCTCACTAGCGTGAGTTCGTTTGATTTATTCATGGCTATTTGGCTGATCATTTTTCTTACAGGTCTTCCCGTTCTGCAGGATCACCGGGGTGTTAGAACACTGAGCTCGGTCACGAAAGTGAGTGAATTCTCCGATACTTGTCCTTGCACTAAGTTATGGTCGTGACAGACGACGGAGCGGGCGGTAGTTGGTAGTAAGTATATACAGAGTCCGAATGTAGCTGGAGGCAAGCTGACTGTTGTGAGGGTGGCAGTGCTACCGCCTGATTCCCTCATAACAGCGAGCGTCTTCCTTCAGGCATTCCAGAAAGGGCCCTGTCGGCGTGCAGGTCGACAGGCTTCTTTGTGGAATGCGTGAGGGAAGAGCCGACAAGTGCGTCTCCATAATCCAATGTACACAATCGATGTCCAATCAATCTCGTGACTTGTGTCGACACGCTGACAACAAGAGTAAACAAACAGTTGATCTTTTCCTCCCACCATGTATAACGCGCCGAGACCCCCAATCGCGTCGCCCGCCTCGAGATACACGTCCCCCGCGTACTCTTCGCGCCACTCCTCTCCATTGGTCTCCAGATACACTACCCCCAATACTCCCTCCACACCGTCGTCGTATGCGCCAGCGACACCGGAAAACTACCGTTTGAAGCGTCTGAGCTTCTCCCCAGAAGTTGCCAAAGCACAAAACTGGCGTTCACGCGCCTCCCAGCATGGAATTCGTGTCCAAGATGGTGATGACGATGACGATGACCTTTTGGACGCGTCTTTTGAAGCTCCCCTGTTGCCCCCATTTCTCACCGCCCCCCGTCGTCGAGCCCTTTCATACGCCTCAGAGAACATCCCCCACACCCCTCCCCGCAACCAACTCGTCGCAACCAAACTTCGTCTTCAGGGCAGCGTGACTGCTCCAGCCCACGAGCGGCGTGCATTTGGCCTCAAATCCAACTTGCCCGATGTTGATGAGCACGTGGACCTCTGTTGTGAAGAGGCGCCTGTTGCTCAGCCATCCCCTTCTCATTGCTCCTCATGTGCTGTCGCGTCGAAACAACTCGCGATGCTCAAACCTTGCACTCATGTCCTCTGTCCTGCTTGCCTCACATCCGCACTCAACATTGTCGATCAACTTTCCATGCACTGTGTCGTTTGTCGTGCCACAGTCGATACGTTTGGCCTTGTCCAATCTCCTGCTTCTCCTGTTATCGAACACAGTCTTCTCCCAACATCTCCCTCTGCGAGCGAAGACCCCGTTGTCCTCCGCATCGACAACGTCCCCTGGGATATTACTCCACCTGCGATTCTCACCTTCCTTGGTGTATCTCGTGAATTTGGCGCTCGTGCATATGTCCTGCTCGATCGACTGGGCAAGACACAGTCCCATGCGTTTGTGGAGCTTCCCAACGAGGCCATGGCACGCTCTGTCCTCCGTGGCGAACACCGTGCAGCACCTGTCCTTGGAACTGGGCGTCGAGCACGTGCTGTGACACTCACGCGTTCTTCCCAGTCTGCGTTGATGTCCGCTGTCTTTCCATCTTGGGCCGGCGCATTTGATGGTTCTGTTCCATCTCTTGCTGGGGTCTCTGCTCCATCGCTGCCTGGTGCATTGGAAGGAGGGCTAATGCGCGAATCAGAGTTAACTGATCTCCTCTATTTGATGCGTACACAAGATGCCCGTTTCGTCAAAGTTCCTGTCCTCCCGTTTTTCGCCCTCGTCAACATTCTCGCAAAATTCCCCACTGACAGAGACAGTCGGGTATTCTGGAGCGCAGCCCTCCGCGATCTACTTTATGATGTGTCTTATGCTGCTATTCAAGTCCTTCGTGCCCGCAATCCTGAACAAATCGACGAAGACCTCGTCAAAGACCTCGTCAGAACCGCGATAGGATGTCATGGTGAGTATTTTCTCCATTTCGCCTCGCTGTACAATTGTGTTGATTGCGTTTCCCTGCAGCGTTCACCGAGCAGCAATTGCGTGGCCTTTCAGAGTTCGACACACCTTCGTCCCTTGCTTCCTCTTCGGAGCAAGACTACGACGAAGATGCCTTCCATGCCCGTTTCAGCACGACTCAAGCCTCAACTGCGCAGGGACAATGCCAAACCTTTGCTCCCCCTTCATCACCATACACATCATTCGAGCATTTGCTGCCTGTCTCTTCCCTCCCGCCATCTCCACCTCGTGCTGCCTCTCCCATTCCTGAGACGGACGAGCCCATCGACACAGTGCGTATGACCCAGCTGGCGGCAGAATTCGGAGTTGAGCGAGAGCTTATTGAGGCCTTGGCACTGAGATTCGGCATCACTGCTTGAGGTCGCGTCGGTCCTACATTTTTTGATGATCATGTTGCCTGCTTGTTCCCTCCCATGCTTGCCCTGTATACGCATCGCCTCCACTGCCTTTACCGTCCCTATGCACTCGGAATCGCTCTTCTCCTCTTCCATCATTCTCGCATCGCTATCGCTTTCCTCGTTCTTCATCACGTTATATCACGGTTTCCCTCACTCACTCACGAAAGTATCCTAACTTAACTCAGCGGAGTTCTCTCTTTCTCTCCTTGACTCGACGTCGCACTCGTATTGAAGGTTAGAAATCCTATTAGATAGTGCACTAAGGCTGTACTATTCAGTGTAGATTATCAAGAAATTTTGTCGAGCTGAAGAGACCAATAGTTCAACGTCCAATTTCGATTTTGGAGGCCCAAATAAACACGTGTTGTGACGTCACAACACACATTTTCTTTTGCTCAAGGAAACAGGTACGCCCCTGCCGTTGCAAGAAGCCATTTAATCTTTCCCTGTCTCTCTTTGGTGCATTCGAAGACATCACCTGGAACTAAATGCCTGCAATTTTTCCTTGCGCTTCACGGTCACCTGTCTTTACTATGAACTTGAGCGCGCGGAGTGGCATCAGTGCTTGAGTGCTGCGCGATTTTGGCCGCTATTCCAGTCGGTGGCGGGCCTGAGCGATTTTAGCTATTGCAACATCATATCGCACCAACGACTTGTTTGATCTGTATTTCACTTGTATTTCCTCCTTCAAAAGGCGATAGCATTTTTATGTGAGCCCCTCCTCTCTCTCTCCATCCTGCCATGCCTGCTCATGCTGATGAAGAGAAACCACTTGCGCATAGCGAGTCTGTCCCTGCTCGCTCCCGTGAGCTGCCTGGCGTCAATCCTCGGAATGTTGCAATCGAGTTCGGATTCTCTCTCTTACCATTTGGCTTCCTGCTCAATTCCCCCTCTAGATACCGCACTATTTCCATCCATGTCGACACTCTTCACGAAACCAAGGAGAAAAACAAGGAAAAGCAAGCTGCGCCTGTCAGCCCTGCCACTGCGATATCCGGTATTGACGTCCACCTGCTCGGTGTCGATGAGGTCTACCAGCGTTTTTCTTCCTCGCCGATACAAGGTCTTGAAGCCGCTGCTGTTACGCGCCGGGCCAAAGATGGGAAGAACATCATTTCACCTCCCAAGACCCAGTATTGGAAAAAGCTTCTCAACTACATTTTCGGAGGCTTCAATGCATTGATTTGGGTGGCTTTCATTGTCACGGTAGTATGTGCATCCACATTTGTGACTGCGACAGTTGCTGCATCCCTCGTAGCTGTCCTATGAACCCCTCGGAGAACCAGACCCTGCCGTCTTCAATCTTGGTGTAAGCTCTCTGGCTCTGCACACTCGTTAGCTGATATTTTTCATTTGTCTAGGTAGCAGTGCTGCTGGTAAGCGCGTGCTGGTTAGGTTGTTGGCAGTCATTTGACTGTTATCAAGCTCCTCGTCATCATATCCTCCAGTCTCTTCTATGCCTTGGTCGACTTCCACGCTTCTAACATAATGAAATCCATCAAGACCCTCATCGCTGAAGATGCAACCGTTATTCGTGACGGTAAACCGCAGACAATTTCCGCCCGCGACGTTGTTGTCGGTGATTTGGTCCAGATTTCCATGGGGGATCGGGTACCGGCTGACGTCCGCATTGTTTCTGCCACTTCTGACCTCAAATTTGACCGTTCCCTCCTCACCGGTGAAAGGTCAGTACTTTTCAAACTCTTGCTTTTATATCCCACAATTCTTTTAGTGAAATGATTCCTGGGACAGTCGAAGCAACATCGGACAATGCCCTTGAAACCCGCAATCTGGCCCTTACATCGACGTTTGTTGTTCAAGGGTCATTCACCGGTGTCGTTTTTGCCATCGGGGACAACTCAATCATGGGTCGCATCGTTTCAATGTCGGGGACGGAGAAGTTCAAACTCACGTCGGTTCAAAAGGAAGTCTGGTTCTTCACTAAGGTCGTGTCGGGCATTGCGCTTGCTTTCTTCATTCTTTCTATTGTCGTCTGGGGTGCATGGATTCGGCGCTCGTTCCCGGGATTCGAGACGGCTTCCTTGGCCATCATCAACTCTCTTGGTTGCCTGACGGCATTTATTCCACAAGTAAGATCCAAGACTTTTCAAGAGGATGAACTGACCAATCGGATCAGGGTCTGCCTATTTGTGTTGCGCTTTCGCTCACAATTGTCGCTCGTCGCATGGCCAAACACTCGGTTCTCGTCAAAAATCTCGCCACTATAGAGACTTTAGGGTGCATGTCGGTCCTATGCTCTGACAAGACAGGTACCCTGACCACGGGTAAGATGGTATCGTGTAAATATTGCTGCTTCAGATCCTTCTCTTACTTGTCCACCTAGACTGTCCAGAGTGTAGCGTTTCTTGGGGAAGAGTTGACAGTTCCTGCTCTCTTTGAAGCCCAAGCGGATGGATCTCTTCGTCTTCCGGTTGCTCTTCGTGCTTTATACATGATAGCTCGTCTCTGCAATGGTGCCCAATTTGACGGCGGGGCGGATAGTCATGTACCAGTTGAAGAGCGAGCCATCAAGGGCGATCCTACGGACACTGCCATCCTTCGTTTCGCTGAAACCCTCTCTCTCACTGTCACAGACAATGCCATCAATTCCATCACATCCGGGCACAAGGTCATTTTCGAAATTCGGTTCAATTCTCGCAACAAATGGATGCTTTCGCTTGTTCAAGAGAACGACACGAAGAAGACGTACCTTTGCGTCAAGGGTGCGCCAGATGTGCTGTTTGGTCACTGCACTTCTGTCACCCGAGCCGACGGCACTATTGTTCCGCTCGATGATGACATCATGGCGGAGATACATGCCACTCAACAGGGCTGGTCTGGCAATGGTCAACGGGTTCTTGCGTTGTGTCGCCGTGAACTCGACATTATCAAACTGGAAGGACTGAATCCAGAGGTCCTGGAGGAAATGATGTATGAGGAGTTGCAGGACCTCACTCTCGTCGGCTTGATTGGCATTCGTGATCCTCCTCGGGTCGATGTTCCTCCTGCCATCGCAGGCATGTAGTCGTCTTGTTATTTATTTTCTCGATGTTCTAACAGCGCACTAGTCATCCGTCGGGCCGGTATCCGTGTGTTTATGGTGACTGGAGACTTCAAGCTCACTGCGGTCGCAATAGCAAAACAGGTTTGTATACCTGTGTTTCAAAAGCATTTGTCTTAATCTCATTCAGATTGGCCTCGTCACCGTGGAAAGACTTGACACCATTGACGACATGCGCTCGTCCGAGTTGGCTAAACGTTATATCAATTGCCCCCCTCCGCTTATCGCGCCTAACGATGACGACGGCGATCGGGCTCTGGTTGTGACTGGCGCCGAAATTGCTACTCTAGAACCAGCAGACTGGGACATGATTGCAGGTTGCTACACTGAGATCGTCAGCACTCCCAGTCCTTCCAATTCTAGTGCTAATATGCTCTAGGTTTTTGCGCGGACCACGCCTGAACAGAAACTCCGAATTGTCGAAGAACTGAAAGCTCGCGGTGATAACACCGTCGCTGTAACGGGGGATGGTGTCAACGATGCACCTGCCCTCAAAGGTGCCGACATTGGGATAGCGATGGGCAGCGGTAGCGATGTCGCCAAAGAAGCTGCTGCAGTCATCCTGCTCAACAACAGTTTTGTCGCTATTCCCATCGGCATCGAAATGGGCCGTCTGGTATTTGACAACCTCAAGAAGGTTATGCTCTATGTTATGCCGGTACATACCACCCAGTGTTTTATCTCCAACTGATGTCTTCCAGGCTGGAACTTACACGGAATTCATGGCTGTCTTGGGTAGTGTATTTTGCGGGATGCAAAGCTCACTCAGTTCCTATCTACAAGTTTGCTTCAGGTGCTATCGACTCTCCTTTCCACCTGTTCATTTTACACTAACTCTCTGTCCGCTAGTATGACCAACGATGTTGTCATGTCGATTCCGTTGATGTACGAAAAACCCGAGTCCGATCTTATGCTGCGTAAACCGCGCAATGCTCGCACTGAACGTCTCACTGATTGGCGCTTCTTCTTCCAAATATATTTGGTGTGGCCCTCCTTAGACTTGGAATGACCATGGTCTAATTTTTTCTTCCCCGCTAGTTCATCGGACTGATGATGTGGCCCTGCGCAATGGCGATGTGGTTCTACTGGATGTCTCTCCAGGGTCTTGGCTTCCATGACGTCATCGGAGTCTATAACAAGTGGACTGACGGCTACAAGGGCTACACTCTCGATCAACTGACACACTTCGTTAGTGTCGGCCAATGCATCTAGTAAGTGAACGCCTTGCCAATGGAAGGAATGCTGATGAATGCACAGCTATGGTAAATCCACAGGGTTACAACGGAATTTCTATTGATATTTTGGTAGTGACGATGGTCTTCATGCAATACGGTGGTCTTCTCGCTGTCCGAAATCGGCGCGTATCGATCATCAATTCCAATCCGCTTTGGGGACCACGTCGCAACCTCGTCGTTCCTGTGTCGATGGTGTTCACCATGCTCATAGCCATCGTCAACCTTTACGGGCCCGGCTTCCAGAATGTCTTCAAGACCGCTCCTATTCCAGCCAAGTTTTGGGGCATTCCCTTTGGATTCGCCGCTGGCATCCTGCTTATAGATGAAATTCGCAAACTCATTGTGCGAACGTACCCCCAGGTCTGTAGTTGTTTGGTCTTGTGCCTCAATAATTGAATTTTCAAACTAGTCTTTGGTCGCCAAAATGGCCTGGTAGTTCTTAGCGACATTCTCGATTAGATACAAATTATTTAACCATACATTTTTTCCTCCCGTGACTCACTGACATGTGATACGTGACAAGCGCGATTCGGACCGGGTTCCGGGCCGCTTATCTCATTGAATCGGTATATCAGGTTGAGGACCATCTCACGAAACTACTACATCATGGCCCAGACATTCACGCCCTACGCACTGGGAACCCTTCCGTCCAAGGATGCTCTTGTTAAGCAATATGTTGGCGAGCCTTTGGAGAAGTTGAGAACACCAGCATTTGTCATTGACCGCGCAGTCTTCAGAAAGAACTGCACGCGAATGCTGGCGAATGCAAAGATCTGGGGGGCTTCTCTGAGGACACACCTGAAAACACACAAGGTTGGAATTTAAGCGCTCGGGTCACTATCGATTCAAGCTGGAAACCTTCAGACAGTGGAAGGAGCGCGACTCCAACTTGACGAGGGCGAACTGAAGACACACGCCGTTGTTGTTTCGACGCTGATGGAGGCCTGGCAGGTGGTGCAAGGCGGTTTAGTCAAGGACGGAACGGTTAACGATGTGCGCAACTTCGCTCACTGGCCATCACACTTTATGCTGAAATTGTCTTGTCAAGATTCTCTATGGCCTCCCGGTTGGCGTGAACAAAATTGCAGATCTCTCAGACCTCTGGGACGAAGTTGCTAAGGATGGCGCTGTCGTGCGTCTGATGGTAGATCACCGGGACCAAATCAAGTGTCTTGAGGAGTTCGAGAAAGTGCGTGCAACACCCCGACGATGGTCGGTCTTTGTCAAGATTGATGGTGGTCAGCGGTATGTGGTCATGGTCGTTGACGTCACTCTGACATTTTTTAGCCGCGCTGGAGTATCCACAGCAAGTGACAGTTTCGTCCCCTTCCTCAAAACTCTATTCGACTCACCAGCCATCTCCGTCTATGGGTTCTATATACACGCAGGCAATGCGTACGCATCTACCACTATCACCGAAGCTTCGTCTTTCCTTTCCAGCGAAGTCAACGCGGTGAATGATGCGGCCGGTATTGCTCTCCCCATCTTGGCCTCCTCTGTTAATGCCCATCTTTACACATCGCCGTTCGTGCTTTCCGTTGGTTCCACCCCAACAGCCCATGCTGCTACCCCCGACTCGACTGTCCGCGCAGCCGTCTCAACACTGAATGGCTCTCTTGAGCTCCACGCCGGCAACTATCCCATGAACGACCTCCAGCAAAAGCACACAACACTAATCTCAGACGAACATATCGCTCAACGAGTTCTCGCTACCGTTGTTTCGCATTACCCGGGACGCGGCAGTTCTGGCTCTGATGAGGCGCTCTGCGACGCTGGCTGCATCGCTATGAGCAAAGACACCGGGCCAAGCGGGGGTTTCGGAGACATTGTTGGCAGGCCATGGAGGCTGGGAAGAATGTCTCAGGAGCACGGTATTTTGACGCCAACTGAGGCTGGCGCAGTGGCGCCGAAGGTGGGAGAGATGGTGGAGATTGTTGGTCAGCACGCCTGCTTGATCGCTGCGGCATACCCTTGGTATTATGTGGTCGAAAACGGTGGTCGCACAGTGGTTGATGTCTGGGTCCCTTGGAAGGGATGGTAAAATAACTCTATACCAACTCTGCTTTATCCTCGACTGTAGGAGGTGCCAGCGTGTCAACCGAATATTCCGATACTCTCGTCTCCACTGCTCTCGTTGACGCACTTGTGGCACGGCTCGCTCGTTGTCCCGTTGACACAGTGAGAGGAAGGGTGGTGCGGTTATCCAAACCATGGACAATCTCCGCCCGAGAGTTCAGGATCTTCAAGGCAAGTCAGACCTCCGTCTTTATGAGCAAGATTTTACACGAACCACCATGATGCTGTTCGTGTATACTTTGGTAAGCCAAAGACAGACACTCAGGTGGTATTGATTTCCGTCGAATGACACAAATAGAGCAAGGACGATTGCGGCCGCGATAGCACAGAGCAGGCCCGTTTCAACGCTTGTCTAGATAGATTATATAAGATGCATTAGGAAAGAACACCGACTTCCCAACCTTGATTACACGCGAAATGCTTGCATCAAGCCTGCGGTTGAAGCCCGGTTCAGGCTTCATTTTGCGGAGATAGTATGTCGTCCCAACGACAATTGTGAGATCAGAGAGGGCTGTCGCACTGAGCCAAACCTAAGGCTACGGGTGAGCATCGTATGTTGTGCTGCCCAGAAGATATCACGTACAACAGGTGGTTGCAAGTAGTTAAAAACAAGACGCGAAAAACGACCAGCCCGGGCGATTTGGACACCAGACCAAATTCCAAAAGCTAACTGAACCGCAGTGACCTGCCGCGTGGTTAGAGAGTGAATATCTCCCGAGAATTCAATGTACAAGGCAAATTATGACAGGGACAAGGAGCCGGCGAGAAAGAACGCGAATGCGACGGGCAAAGAAGAGCTGACAAACACTCGCAACTGAACAAAAAGGTGAGCTTTTTGTGGTAAAACTGGAAGAAACTGACTCAGAGAGCCCAATACGGGGACACTGAACCAAGCCATTCGGACTTCATCCAGAATGTATGGCTGGCCCCAGTGGATAGCAAGAGAGACCATCGAGTCGCTTGTGTCTCCGAACGTTTGGAGGAGATCCAGAAGAAACACGAAGGCGACAATAAGCTTGGTGGATCGCGCGTCTTTTGGGAAAGCATGGTAATAAATGACTGCTGTGGCTTTAGACGATAGCATTTCATGATGGGGAGGACTTGCAAACTTGAACAACGAGCGTCCCGAGCAATGCCCAGTTCAAAACCGTGCCAATAAACTGCCGATATAACGTCGAATTAGAGGAGAAAACATCACTTTTGAGTATTGGAACCTACCAAAGGAGTGGTTCTAAAAGATAGACGTTAGTTTCACGCGGTGCGGAATATATGAACCCCATACAACTTGCTGATATTTGGGACGCTCATAGAACCAGCAACTTTGAACTCGAAATGTAGCCACTACTGGGAAGAGATTGTTGCCTTTATACTCCATGAAAGTCCCAAGGCCCACCGTGACTGAGGCCAAGCAAGATACCAATGGTCGTCGGAGCGGCTTGCCGTACTCAGGCTTTGCCCTGTTCCGATCTCGAAAACAAGGGGAGGAAGGTTGTCTCAGCCACCGCATCGCTGCCTAGCGGGAAAAGGTTGTCAAGGCATGAGATCGGGTTGCATCCAACGCGCTAGTTAGTTTGAAGGGAAAAAGTTTGCACGAGCACGTGACACGTCCACGAGAAAACTCACAACCCGAATGGGGCTCTGTCTTCCTGGACTTTCGAGGGTTACATCTTGTCAGTCCATATGTAGTCTCAACACCGTTCAAAAACTTTATACAACTCCGGCAAACTTGCAATCTGGACAACATCCCGATCCAGCAAACTCTTCGGTGCAGCAAAATATCGTCTGAGTGCAGGAAAGAGTATGTGCTGAATCTGCCAGCGCTCTGCCTTGTCCTGTGCTTGCCCCGCTTCGTCTATCATTGAGCTATCATCTCGGCAGAGTGGTCCAGGCACGTAGAAATATGCCAACTCGCGGAGAAAAGTCTCGAAACAGTCCTTTTCAGTGGACCAGTTGACCTGCGGACCCAGCCGCATAAGCAGGGCGGGCAGCTTATCAAGATTGGGCGTGTACTCCCGAAGGATGAGTGGGAGGCTTTCGAGTTGCCCCGAGGAGGTTATCTGCATGGAGAAATACTCGGAAAGCATTTCTCTGCGGGAAATAAGTGTCTCGGTGATTCGCTGCGAACGAGTCATCAATAGGAATAATGTTTCCTCCGTCTCGTACCTCTACGATTTCGGGCTTGGACAGTCCGCTCTCCTCTGTCGTCTCTTCCAGCTCGACAGCGATTTCAATTAACTTGTGGATGGAGGGCGGGGGTTGGAGTTTCAGACGACTGAAGTTACCGAATTGTCGGAGTCCCAGTTGATAAAATAACTCTTCGCTGAATGCATGTGAGGCGATCGGTCAACAAACGAGAACAACCTACGCAAGAGACCCATGATTGACAAGGTACAACTTGGTCGCATATTGAATCAACGACAGACACCTGTAGGAATCGACGATGCCCACAAAAGTGTGCTTTTCCAGAATTTCTGAAAGCTCTACCGAGGGTTTTAGGGAAAATTAACAAGGCCTGAGCGAGACCGACGTTTATGTTTACCCTTGACTACCGATTGCCGCAAGGTTTTCACGGAAGTCAAGATGCAGTCTGACTCCTGGACCTCCCGCGGTTGCTTCACTCTGGCAGTGGATGTGGAGGATTCGCCATTTTGCATTTGAGTTGGGTTCAGGACGGGAAACATCGATTCAAGCGTGCGATCTTGTAGGGATGTCCTGACTTTGTATTGAGAAGCTGTCTTCTTCAATGCTAAACTATGGTCAGTCAAGGCAAACAGTTTTGAGGCATACACAAACGCACGGGACGGTCTTGTCTTTTCCTCGTTCTCATCCTCAACATCCTCGTCATCATCCCGAGCTCGTTCCTTCCCCTTACGTTTCTTAGTTTCTGGTTCTGCAATTCCGCCTGTCAGTAGTGTCTGCAAGCCATCAGCGCAGGCTAATCGGAAGCTACTGACAGACCTGATACTCAAATACTCTTGATTGACTCTGAGCCGCCAACGCCCTTTGCATCTGACTTGCGATCTGGTCCGTAATTTCCTCTTCGTTCAAGAAATGGACTTCTTTCTTGGTCGGATGAACATTGACATCGACATCCCGCGGGTTTATCTGCAGACTGACATCAGTGTCAGCTGGTTCCACCTCCATGCAAGTGGTGATACCTGAGGTATATGAAGGGAGACGAGCCTTTCGGAAGAATGCCGCTGTAGACATTTTCTAATGCTCGCTTCATTCGGAGGGATTCAACGAGTCGATCTGGCGGCTATGAGCTGCAAGATTGAAAGAAACCGAGACACCCACGATTGATAAAGAGGAGGAAGACCATTTTCTTCGAATGGTAATTGGGATTCGTGAAGTGAGTTTCAGCTAACCATGATTCTGGCCTGCTATAATCAGCATCCATGTCGACATCGTCAGTGTCTTCGTCGAGGTTTTTAGGGCCAAACTTGGCGTGCAGCAAGTCTTTTGCTATTGAGTGTCCATATACGTGGCGGATAGTCTGAGCTGTCTCTGAAGATGTCGGTATTGAAAGATCAGGTCCCGCCGAACCAGCCTAAACACTTGAGGATTACAACGCGAATGGAAAAAAAAGAGGCACCTTCTTGCACACAAAAGACACTGTGGGATTATGGACCGCATACTTGGTTATCACGTCCAGAATGCGTGCGTGCTCCTCTGACGCGCTGCGGAGCGCTGCCAAACGCGTAGGCGTGTTGTAAAAGAGGTCCTCGATCTATTGATACATCAGTCAGAGTATAGCCAGCATATGCAGTTCACTAGCTATAATGGTGGTCCCGTCATTACCAGCGCACGGCTTTGGTTCTGCTGTCTGCCCTGTTTTCCCTTCAACAAGAACGCCATCAAGGTAGTGTGCCCTGTGCTTGGTTCATTGCCAACACATAGCAAGTGTAAGCAACTCTCACTTCCATGCACACGTCTCGCTTTTCGTCTTGGTGATCACCGACAATCGCGCAACATGGGACATGGACGCAAGCGCTTCTCCGCCTGACCCAGACTAGTCAGCTAAAGAAACCATAAAGCGACCAGGCCTACGGAATCCATACGTTGCTATCTTGGACAAATCTGAGAACGTCGAAATCTTCGAGGTCGTGAATCGTTCCGCCAGGATAGGCAGGTCAGCTTTCTGTACGCACAACCCAGTCAAACGTGTCAGAGTGCCAGGGAAAGCGACGTACACGAATGCCACAGCCATTGTCTTGAATTTGAAGAAGTTTCAAACCACCCTCTTTCACGGTGACGCGAATAGTGGACGCGCCAGCATCCAGACAGTTTTCCACAAGCTCTTTCAATGCTGAGGCCGGCCTGTGTATAATCTGAGAGTCCTTTAGTAGGTGTGCATTAGAAGCCTGCGTGGCACCAACTTCACCAGCGGCAATACGATTGATGAGTGACTCTTGCAGTCGGCGAATGGGGAGAGGATCCGTTGAAGTCATGCTCTGTGACAGCGGTCACATATGGTCTCAACTCTTCAACTTAAAAGAGACTAGTACTAGACGGAAACTTTGCTGTGGACTGGATATCTTATTGCGTGGTAGGTCTAATTATACATGCATGCGGTTTACACTTCCACTACAGTCTGTTCGATGTTCAGTTAGGCTTAATACAAATCTTCAGCGCTCCACGGCTGTTCATCTTGTCGAGGGCACCCTGGTAATCTTCGAGCTTGAAGGTGTCTGTGACCATTCCCTTCACTTTCACCTTTCCGCTGTCCAAGTACGCTACGGCACGTGGGAAGCAGAATGTTTGGGAGAATGAGCCGATAATCTAAAAAATGGTGATGAACAGTGCTCGGGTTAGTCAAGTAGAGTGCGTACCCGAATCTCGTCTCCAAAGATTTTTGACGGGGGCCAATGAACCAAAGCCTTATTTTCGTAGACACCGTAAACCATCAACGTTCCTCCTCGACGGACATAGTTGATGCTCTCATTCGCAAGCTTTTCGACCCCAGTTGCCTCAACAACAACGTCAAAACCGTATGGGTTGTCCTTCTTCAGTTGCTCCCATTGCGGCCCTGGATTAGTGCGGTCAAGCTCGATGTATTCGTCTGCACAGTCAAGTTGTTTGGCGATGTCCATCTTGATTCCCTTGTTGGCAGCAATAACGATACGCGACGCGCCATTCAGCTTGAGAAGCTGAGCCAAAATAAGCCCAGTCGGACCAGCTCCAAGAAGCAGGACTTCAACGCCAACTGGCGCGGCGAGTTTGTCGAGCCCATGGATTGCACAAGCGGCAGGCTCGAGCAAAGTAGCTTCCTCATCAGAGAGGTTCTTGACTTTGTAGAGCTTGTGTTGCTTGTAGACGACGTATTCTGCAAAGCCGCCATCTTGGGTGACGCCTCGCGAGTTGAAGTTTTCACAGAGCAGAGATTGGCCCCGGCGACAGTAGAAGCAATTGTCGCACTGATCGGCGACTTAGTCTTAAGCGATGTCGTAAATTGAAGAACGGGGCTTACGGTGATACCGACGTCCGCCACACATCTCTCCCCAATCTCGAAGCCAGTCACATCCTTGCCTATCTCGACGATACTGCCAATTGCTTCGTGGCCAGGTATAAGCGGGAACTTTGATATGAACTCTCCTGTGGACGAAGCTTGAATGAGCGGAATGACTGCGAAAGAAGGAATGACTCGCCTTCGTGGATGTGGCCGTCTGCAGGTAACAATTGCTGGATCAGCGAACCCGTCAAACGGTGGGCATGACCTGCATACCAGTACCACAGACACCGCAAGCGTGTACTAGAAAAGGGAAGTAAGCAAAGGGCAGGGACGAGGCAACTTGAAGTCGACTAGCCTTTGAGAAGAACTTCGTCGTCACCGCACTTAGGGATGGGGACTTCCCTCACATCGAACTGTTTGGGCTAAAGACACGGGTCAAGGGCGGTAAACTCGCGTTGAAAATCTTACAGCGCTGTACCAAAGAGCTTTCATGGTTCCTTGCGGCATTCTTGTGGTTGTCTGGGGTTGGTGGGGTGATGGGTGGACGAAAGAAGGGTTTGCTTTAGCTAGCGATCACAGCTCAATTTATATGATTTTATCTCGTCCATCCACGTGGAAGCCGATTCAGCGTTCGAAGAGGGCTCGGCAAAACTTTGTTCTCTTCCAAAACGCGTTCCTTTTCTAACCTGCATAAAAATACTTGGAGTGACACGCTCAGGTGATTTACGCGCCCTTAAACTCCTCTCGCTGGTCGCGCTCCTTGTTTCTCCCCTCCAGCCAAACTCCTGAGTAATTTATTATCGATGCGCAATCGGGTCGGTGACGTCAAACTCCACAATGACGTCGAACTAACTCCATCGAGCCGGATGTGAGTGTTTCTTCGCACGGATTATTGAACAAGTGGTTACGGCCCGTCCTGAGCCGGTGACTTGACGTCACAGCCCATCAATGGCGTGGTCGGGCCGACTGCGCGAACACCTGAGGATGAAATACATGCACAGTAAGTACTTGACTGTAAAGTTGAAAATCTATAACCTTTGAGGGAGCTCAGGAGCGGTGTGATGTCACACATATGTTCTGCTCCTTTCTCCACTTACCGCACAACAGACGTCTCGAACGAGTCCATTTGACGGGTCAGAACGGTGTTTGCTAACCCACAGTCAATTGCTTGAGTCACCGCGTCAATAATCAAATGGGCAACATTGAACTGTTTCATCTCATGAAGAGCTCCGGAAGGAGAGGTCAAGGTTCGCTCAGACTCCAGAGCTATACAATGATATCAACCTGATTAGAATGGAACCACAGAGTTGGCCGAAAGCAACCCATTATTGTCCACATCAGTCTAATTGACGCGATAATAAACGACTGCCCTTATTTAGTCGGTTTTCGGATGCATCCGCGGGTGCGTTTTCCTCTTTTTTTTTCTCCCGTCCGATCTAAGGTTGTTTCTTTCTCCGTCCTCTTTCAGGAAACCAGAACGAGGGACAATAGTGCACGTGGATGAACACGTTCGCGACCTTCGAAGAAGTAGCACCACCTTTTCTTTCATCAGTCATCAAACAAACTAGTGGTCCGTTCCTTTGCCCTCGATGGCCCACGAAGAGCTACCAGCCTCTGCAGCTATGGCCTCTGGGTCATCGCGGGCAATGTCGGCCGCTGTCCTCTCCTCCCACCAACAACGCCCTCCCCGCCAAACAGAATCACACGAGGCCAAACAACGTTCCGCACCGCCACGACCGGATGTCTTCTCTCACCCCGCAGTCACCGCCTATGTCGCCAACCATCCCAACCGACCCATCCCTAAGTTTGGCGCGTATTATATGCTGCAGACTCTCGGCGAAGGGGAATTTGGCAAAGTCAAACTTGGAATCCATGTCAAGTATGGAGAAGAGGTCGCGGTGAAGCTCCTGCGCCGAGAAGCTGTTGAGAAGGAGTCGAGAATGGCGAAGATAGGAAGGGAGATCGAAATATTGGATGTCCGTTCCCTTTCTTTCTTCTTTTTTTTTTCCTTTTCGCAAGTTTGTTGACGCGTACTTTAGCTACTCAAACATCCCAACATCGTTCGTCTTTATGATGTCTGTGAAACGGACAAGTTCTTTGGCATCATCCTCGAATTTGCGAGTGTGCGTCGCTCTTTCTTTCCTAAGCTTCGACTGCAACAAACTTCCAGGGAGGGGAACTCTTTGACCATATCCTTGCCCATCGATATCTGCGAGAACGAGATGCCGCCAAGCTGTTTGCTCAGCTTATCTCTGGAGTGTGGTACATGCACCAGAAGGTGTGTATCTCTCCTCGACGGTTCAAATAACTGAGGGTCTTTATCAGAACATTGTGCACAGAGACCTCAAGCTGGAAAACCTTTTGCTTGACCGGAATCGCAACCTTATCATCACTGACTTTGGCTTCGCTAATCACTTCAACCGCGATAAAAACGAGTTCATGGAAACCATGTGCGGCTCACCGTGCTATGCTGCTCCCGAGCTTGTCAACGCAGAAGGAAACTACGTTGGCACCATGGCGGACGTATGGAGCTGCGGCGTTATTCTCTATGCTATGCTATCCGGATACCTCCCCTTTGACGACGACCCCACGAACCCAGAAGGCGAGGACATCAACAAACTCTACAAGTATATTGCCACAACGCCACTCACCTACCCCGAGCATATTTCAGACGACGCCTGCAGCCTACTAAGTATCATGCTGGTGCCAAATCCCTCTGGTCGCGCAGACCTTGCCACCATCATGCGACACCGTTGGTTTGCTAGCAACCTGCGGGAGGCAACTACGTTCGGGCTAACGGTAAAGGAGCTGGAGAAGCTTGCCGATGAAGGCTCTTCGCTTGGCGGACGAGCATATCGAAAAAGGAAAGATAAACCAGAAGAGAAGAAGGACAAAGATGATGAACGCCGTAGTCGCAGCAAACGGAATGACGCTCGTGAGGGTGTTGCGGCCTCGCCTTCTCGTTCACGCACCGGTGAAACAAATACATCTGGTCGTTCAGCGACAGCAAGTCCGTTACGGGAAGTTGTTGGCAGTCCTCGGCGACGGCGAGAGCCTACCGATAACGGAGACGCCCGTGAACGGACAAGACACACTATCGAAGTCGGATATCGGCAAGGAAGAGAACAGAATAGTTCTTCTCGTGGTAATACTCAAACCGGCCGCAGCACACCCACTTCTGGGGCATCGTTGCCGGCAGTTCCTGATGATGCAGAGCCCGTAGGCTCAATGTCGAATCCCGGAAGTCCGTCAAAAGACCGCCACAAACGAGGGACTCGAGCATCTGGTCATACCGCGGCCCCCAATGTCAGGACTGTCTTTCTGTCGCCCGTTGTCCCGTCTTCTTCGTTGGAGAGTACATCCGAGACTATGGAGTCTCTAGGCTCTGTGTATGTTCCTCACAATAGGGCAACCACTGAACTGCCAAACGGCGCTGCTGTAGATTTGTCAGCAAGCATTCGATCTCGTCCACTCCGGACACAGTCCGATGCAGCTCGAGATTCAGTGTCGAAAGCACAAGCTCGAGCCGGTCTTCCACCTCTTATCATCGACTCTTCCTCCTCCTCCGGTCTTGAATCTAAACCTCCTTCCACCCCATTGAATAACAGTGTTACTGGGCTGCCGATTCCTATTTCTGCGAGCCCCAGCAAACCAAACAAGGTTATGCAATGGTTCCGTCGCGGGCGACGGACAACAGTCAGTGCTGGCTTGTCGCCAGCTACACGTGACTCAGCGGCAGCATCTTCTGTTGAAGTCGCAAGTGTTCCCCACGCTCACAAGTCTCCTCCGCTGCCCCCAACGCCAACACATACCAACGCGCAGGCATCACCATTCTTGGTCATGCCGGGAACCGGCGAACATCGGCAACGGACTTCGTCTGCCGTGTCCATCACATCACTGTTCCGGCGCTCGGCCGGAGTAGCAGGCAGTAGCAAGACCTCAATGCGGGTACATCATGGTGCGGTTGACCATGAGATGATTACTGCCGGGCGACCAGCAGAAGTGATGAAGCATCTGTGGGAGGTGTTAGCCGGTATGGGCGTTGAAATTTACGTGGAGGGCGATTTCAAGTATCGGTGTACGCGGCCGGCAAAGCGCACCGGAAGAGAGCGTGATCGGCGAGAGGCCAGTGGAGGAGACACATCAGGTGTCTTCAAGGGTCTCTTGTCGCGTCGTCAGCCTTCACCAGCGCGGTCCATAGCGGAACAACAGAGCATCGTCGCTCGCTCGACGACTCCACAGCCTCCCCGACCTGATGCAGTCTACGGCTACCATTACGAAGACTCTGGCGACGAAGTCCGCTTCTCCGTAGAACTAACCAAGCTGGATCGTCTCAAGGATATGTACAGCGTGGATATTCGGAGGATGAAGGGGAATCTGAAGAGTTACAAGTTCCTTTACGATACGCTACGAGGGTCAGTTTTTTGCCACTCGTTTTTAGGTGCCTTTACTGACGTTGCTTGTAGACGAGTGGATTTGCAGACTTGACAATCTATCTATCAGCAACGCATATTTAACGCATCTAATTTACGACCCCGCATCTTTTGTGTTTATGTTTATAACTTGAACATCCAGCCACGTTGACTTTTGATTCTCTTCCGTTGTCTAGTTTTAAAATTTCGGGTGAATTCGAGGCTTGAGCTTGGCGCTTATCTGATAGGAGGATTCATTCCTCAGGCGCATCGGATGTTCATGCCGTTTGACTTGTCAACGTCAGGGTTCTGAACGGCAATATTTGGCCGAGTTCCACTGTCTGCCCCACAGAATCGTGACTCTCAAAACCAACGGATCGAAAAATCGGGTATCTGGCTCGTGTCGCATCATCCTTGCATTACGGGAAACTAGAGCGCTATCGGAGTAGGATATAAAGGTATGGAACCAACATATGCAAGGGCATAGAGTATCATCATTCACTGTCCGTGTACTAAATAGGAGAAAAAAGGCAACTCATTACGACAAGAAGACCGCAGCGAAGAAGGTTCCAACTATCGTCGCTCCTATGCTGACGACGTGAGTATTGGCTGCGTTGGTGCCAGAGGCGCTGGGGCGTGGGGCACCGCTTCCACTGGATCGGGCCGCGGGGGCCGAAGAGCCGCTTGGTGACCTGGCGCTTCCGCTTGGCGCAGCAGTGGGTGCTGATGAAGCAGCACCGCCAGCGGGGGGCGGACTGCAGGGCATTGTAGAGTGATGCGCTGGTGAAGGGCGTGCAGTTGCTGCTGGCGGGTACCTTGGGCTCGTAAGGCATGGTCTGGATGGCACCTAACTTCTCATCAGGCTAGAAAGTTTTAGTGTCAGCTGAGGCCATATCGTCGAGCAATCCACCAATACCTGAGTGTAAGTCAGCACCTGGCCATTGGAGGTGTAGATGCCCGGGAAGTCCTGATTGTCACCGGCGCAAGACTCGAAGGTGCCAGTTTTAGCGGCGTTGGGTGCGTTGTATGCGCAGCCAATACGATCAAAGATATGTTCACAGAATTTGGCGGCGTTGGGTTTGGAAGGGTCGCATGCCTTCGGATCAAGCATTAATTGTGAAATTCGGGTATTTGTCTAGGTCACTGACCTTGAGACAGAACGCATTGCCTCCCATGAAGCTAAACAAGGTCTGTTGGTAGGGTCCTATGGCGACATAATCACAACTCACTTGTGCCATTCGATCACCTGAGTGAATGCGTTTTTGTCGCTGCCCCAGGCGTTGGAATAGAGCAAACCGCCCAACGGGTTACCCCGAAGATCTGCATTATGTTGGCGGAACGAAATGTAGGGGGAACGGCAACAGACCTGCACCATGAGGGTCTGAAAAGAAGAAGAAAAATGCGTTAGTAGTGATCTGAAGACGTATCTTCAATTGGACTCACCCATCTCTCCTCCTGAGTCGGTGGTCTCGATGTTGATCAGTTTCTGATCAATGAATCCCACGACCTGAACGTAGTCTGATAGCTTTTCAGAAGACCATTGTTTTTTTTTAATTCATGAACTTACCAGGGGTTCTCATGAACTGAACGCCCTGGAGAGCGCCAGCCGGAATGAGACGTGTCCCACGGCCGGGTTTGGTGCACCAAGCGACAGCCTCGCCCTCGGTGTTGCCAATAGTACTGTCCTTCTCGGGGGGTGCCCAGAGGCAGAAGTCTGACCAATCAGTCAAGTAAAAAAGGAGGTGGTGAACACACACCGTCAATAGAGTTGATGAAGCTGGTTTGGCACTTGGATTCCGGGCCCTCAGTCGTCGAGTTGCATTGGTTGACGCCAAATTGGGCACCGCGAATGAGGTCTTTATCGGTATCTACTTGATATGGCTAGAATTCGGACCCCCATGAGCTCAGGAAAAATGTGAACAAAGCTACAGACGATCTGGGTGAATGGGATGCGCTTGTTGGCGAGCGGTGTGTCAGGGAAGGTTTTCTGCTGGCCATTGGCTTGGAGGACTAGTGTAGTTGACAAAACGAGCGCGACGCGGACGAAAGAAGAAGAAAACGAGAGAAGAGCCATTGCTGGGTCGGTGGTGGTGGTCCGGGTCAAAGAAAAGTGAGAGGAGGCGATGGCAATCCGAATTTATGGGCTAAGCACTTTGTTTTCGATCCGGTTGTTCTTGGGTCTTGTCTTTCTTGGCACGCAGCAGATTCCAAGACATATAACTTGGTGGTTTCGACGTGGTTGGAAATGACGAGGTCCCAATGGAATGTCCATTTGTTCAGACCTGGCCTTATGGATTGATTGTCGCGAGAGCTTTGGTAGGGACTTTTCCGTTAGTTTAGAAACCCCAAAATGGTCAAGAATGCTTTGTCAGCAAAAGGGCTGCACATGCCCGTCAAACAAACCAAGGTGGTCTTGGTATCTTGGCTAGTGCTGCGCGTTGAAACCCGTTCAAGTTACCAGGGAACCAGGGAGCATGCTTGCAGTCTGCTCAGAAAAGATGTGAAAGGCACAAGGGTGTTGCTCAACTTTGTGGGGACGCGCAGCTGACAAACTGTCACATGGTCACGAGCCATCAGCGCTGCATCAACCCTGAAATCATCATGGAGGACGTCTCGAAAGCGCTTGTGGCGCTCGCTTCCGTGGTTTCGACACATAAGAAAGAGTCTGTTCGTGCTGCTCAAGACAAGGCAAACAACGTTGTTTACCTTCTGGCACGTCGCTTTTGCTTTCGACAAATCTATCCTCATGCATCACAAAGGGCCTGTCCTCTTCCCAGAAAGTTGTCTCCCAGATATCAGCCATCTTTGAACATGGTCTCAAGATTCTGTATCAATCATTTCCCCGCCAAACATTGGACTTCTCCGCCGCCGTTCTACGCGCCATCGTCCAAGAAAAAGTCCTACCGGCTGTGGATGATAAGACACGCTATATATGGGAAAACGTGCAGAAGAGCATCGTGTCCAGTGTCATCGTACGCGGTTTTCCTGCGTCTTTTTCCAATCTGATGTCGCTTAGGACGCGTTGGAGGCTCATCCGACTGGTAAAATGCCTTTCACTGCTCATTTCCTGTTGACGGAGGAATTTGTGCAGATGCAATGAAATCTTCGACTGCTTGCGCCCTCTATGGGACCATTCGTGACCTTTATTATGCCGACGGCCGTGCTCTTGACGTGCTCAACCATAACCTCATCTTCAACGTGAGCGGCTTGTTCGCTTAGGAATTCTGCTAAACCTCACAACTCAAGGTCAACCTATTGCTCTCCGAAAGCTCTAACAAGCATCCCGAAAACCAGAGCCAGCTACGAAGTGACAGAGTTCTGGGAGCGTCAGTGTTCAGTCTACTTTCGAAACCAATCCATTCACGGTTCACGCAGTAATATCATTGCCTCAACAATATTGCACACTCGCGGTATATTACTCCCCACTACTCGCAACTTAAACGTCCTCACGTTCCACAGATTATTTCGTGCTCGACTCTATCTTGGGGCTCCTTGGCGCTATTCTTCCTGACCGCACCCTTGCTGCGGCCAAACGAACCGCATTTATTGACTCGGTTTTTTCTCCAGCAAAATTCTTGTGCAGTGGGCAGATCAAGGGCCATATGAACGCACCTGGCGGAATCTGGGACGATGTCGTTGCCAAGGTAATTAATGAGTGTCTGGCGAATGTGGACATATCATAGTGTGTGCCGCTTTCGAATCATGAACAAAACTGACTTCCAGCAGTCCCCAACCTTTTCGCATTGTTGGTCTTCAAACAAGCTCCAAGCTCCCAAAATTTCTGGATCCATTATACGTCGATAAAGAGGCATTATTTGTCAACGTTGATTTGGTTTGTGCATCACGCTGACCCAGTTCAATCATTTTTAACTGTCATCAGGATGAGACTATCGACTCGTATATCGTCCCCTTCTCGAACGTCAATCGTGCCAGTCTAAGTGGGGGAGTTGCTGATCTTGTTCTGGTCACGATGGACTTGAAAGCTCCGCCTATGCTGGGGCCACACAATCCGTTTGCTTCGCACAAAGGGGGGCCGACGGTACCAGAAACTTTCTCGTTCAGAATCAAGTCCGCCGATCGTGGCCGGTTCGTCAAGACCCTGCGTGCAAGAGGTATAGCAGACCGACTAAGTGACCAGGTGGAGCGCAAGGTCTCGAAACTCCAAGAAGGGTTAAGTTTGGAGCATGCTACTCTCATTGGGCGGCCTGTCACACAGGTAAGCGCCTACCTAGCGATACACGTCGAGGACTAACTTGTCATCATCCAGCAAGAACGTGTTGCAAAGGTCCAACAACGTTCGTGCATTTTGTTCTCTCGGCATCATGTGCTTGACCCTCGTGTAGTTTGGAAGTCGAATGGAGATGACCTCGACGCTGACGACGACATCTCTGGCCCTACATCGCCACTCCTTGTTCCACAAGCCACTGTATCGTTGCATTCTCCTGCTCGGAGCTCTCCCATTCCCGTTGATCGAATACCGTCAACCCTGAAGCAAGCAGCGTTTAGAGGTTCATTGGACATCGAAAATGACAACGTCAAATCCAGTAAGAAAAAAACAATAGACAACGACAAGAAGACGCAAATTGGCAGTGCATCGCCAATCCAGAAGGATAAACGCAAAATCCAAAGCTCCGCCCGCATGCGCATAGTCGATTCAGACTCTGAAATGGAAGACATGGCCAAACCCGACCATGACAAAGGCACAGATCGTCCAACTTCACGATCCAGGCTTCGTACAGCCAAAGCGATAGAGGAAAGTTCACGGGATGACACTACGCCTGTATCTTCGCCAGTGGAGGATGTAGACGACAGTGATTTTGAGCCAACACAACAACCCACGGAGCCCACTAGTCGTGCAACTCGTGCAACTCGCGCAACGACGAAGAAAGGTGTTGCCAAAGAAGCGCTAAAGAAAGATCAGACACGCTCTCGTGCTCGCGGCAAAGAAACTGGACCCGATGAACAGGGTGAACCGAAAAGAAAACCGGAGAAAGGCATGCTGATAACCTGGGTGTGTCATATACCTCATCTTTGCTCTAGATACGAAAACAACGGCGAAGAAAAAGACGACGGACCACCATACCAGCGGCAAGCGAAGTCGACCCAGTGACGAAGATGAAAATGTCGCAGATAACATGCCTCCAGTGAAGCGCCAACGACCCATGAAAGCTAAAGATAGCATCTCAAAACCAGACGCTCATCGACGCGACTCGGTCGCAATTTTCGGTCCGACCACTGTCCCGCCCGCGAAGAAGCGCTATGGCAAGAAGGCTGGTCGAACATCTTCACCTGAACGTGCCAAAGAGGATGATGTCGACGTTGATTTTGACGAGCTGCCCAATACCGTCTCCGCGAAATCCACTGCGAAAGCGGAAGGTCATCCGGAACCCGCGACTCGCAAGGGTCGTGCCGCTGCCATGAAAGCGAGGGGCGGCCGGAAGCCAACTCAAACCAACACATCTTCTGCAAAGTCCAAGGTGGAAATCTTGGCAGAAAATGTACCCGAGCAGAAATCAGTGCCCCACGTTAGTGTTGGATACCTCTCTTTAATATCTGTCTCAGACTATCTCCAGGATGTTCTGGTGGACCCCGTCAAAACAACACGTACTAACGATGATCATGCCCGAGCGCCAACGCCAGCTTCCATGGAAGTTCAAGTTAGTTTCTGCTTCAAAACCTACCATATCGATAACGTGATTGTCTCAGCCGACCATCAACGAAAAGCAGCCAAAACTAAAGTCAAAATCCAAACCCTTGAAGCCCAAGAAAGCGCCTTGGGAGGACATGCATCTCCACAATGAGCAACGCGACCTCGTTGCAGCCACTAGTGATGATCATGCTCTTAAGAGTAATGCTGCGATGGAGGATGATGTTGAGTACACCGACCATCCCGAACCCCTCGTGCGTTATCTCTGTTTTTCTTACTATATACGTATAACGCGCTGGTCAATAGCCATTTGTTACTTCAAGCGACCCCGCCCCTCTGCCTCAAGATTCTATTGGCATGACATTAGATGAAGACATTCCATTGTCGAAGAAGCCAGTACAAATCAACAACTTGACCTCGCAACAGGCATATGTACAGCCTGCTCCAAGCTCCCCCATTCTGGCTCTACCCATTCTCAACTCAAATCCAGCTATTTCCGAGCCCCTTGTTCTTCCTAACACTGATAATGCTGCTCCAATCCCTTCTGTCATCGCTATCCCTGCCCTGGTCTCAACTCTCGCTACTCAAGCTGTTACCGAACCCAAAACCGTTCAGACACCTGTCACCACCCCACCTATGAATTCTCCTAAGCCCTTTCTTGCGCCTCGACTGTCACATTTCGTTCCGACCCCACCAGCACAATGTGACACCCCTGTTGTTACTATAACTAAACTACCCAGTCTCTTCAAGCAGCCAATTCCACAAGCCCCAACAGAACATTTGTCGTCCCCGCCATGTCAAGCACGTCCTGCATCTCCAATTCAACGCAAAATACAACTCCACAAGTACACAGAATCTCCGTTCCTTGAACGTGTTCTACCGCGCGAATCTGTTACCTTTGCACGATCTCCGTCTCCAGTCTACGGTTAGTCCCGGCATGGTTCGCCTGTTTTTTTGGTGATAACAAGTAGAACTTGTTCAACGCGGACGCGTATCGCACCACAAGCATCCCCAACAAGGCAGGCTTCGCTCCCGAAGACAAAGTCACAGTCCTATGCAAATCATTATTGAGGTATAGATCAATCTTTCTTTTCGAAATCTTCGTTGAACTATTGACAGACACTGAATGAAATCAACGAGGTCGTCGTCGAAAAAATCGCAAACCGTTTTCAAGGCGTACGACATGATGTGCGTGTTGGGAGAGACAACCTTCTTCAACAGTCCAACGCAGAACAAAGTCAACACTGCGGAAAGTAGTGGGTTGCTTATCCAGTTGTGTTGATGCTGAGCTGAACCGTTTTCGAAGTGAAAGTACTTTCAACGTCCTAGTCGATCTCGAAGAACAATACTCGGCATATCATCGTCAAGTTATCGCAAGACTCGAAGACGTGGAGCAAGCATCAGATGTGTTGGGGAAAGGCTTCGTCCAGATTATGCAACAGCACGATCGACACACACTCGCAAAAAAGGTCCCAACGACAAGCATGTTGACAGTCCCGTCGGTGCTTCGTCGACCAGTTTTGGCTTTCTAGATTATTTGCGAATGTGTACCTATAGTTTTCGATACCAACTTCGAACTTAAGGAATATTATTGTTTAGGCTGAAACAGCCGTAACTTCACTGCAACGCGAACACATGACCTCCGATTTGACTCTAGTAAATGTCCAGCAACGTGGACACTTTTCGAGCTCGGCAGGCTTTACACGGATAGCGAGCTCCTCTTCTTCCATTCCTATAACAGATCAGTCCCGCGATGAGCACTAGAAGAGTAGCGAACCTGGAATAGATGTGGTTGAGACATACAACCAAGCTGGGGACGAGGCACCGAGTGAGCCCTCGTCGATGAGAGTGGCATTGGAGGTAATGAAAAGTGTTTTAAGGAAGTTCTCTGTAGAACTTCAGCACCGACAGGTTAAACTCAGCGTACTTGGGGGAACGAACCTTCACGTCGAAGTAATTGAAGAAACGGAGATTCTTCCTCCAGCTCTGGAAGGAGAAGTTCGATATCGGCCTCGAGAGAGCCTTTGATTTTTCTGCGTATAGGTCAGATACCACTGCTCATGATAAGGGAAAGATACATACTTGTCTTCGCGTGCTTGCTCAAGAGCTGAAAAGGTTGCTGACCTAAGCTTCAGCAGTAAACCCATTTCCTCGGTCGCTTTCGCATCATGCCAGCTGGGATTCTTCAGGAATCAGCGGGGAAAAATTTAGAAATCACACGAGCTGACCAATGATTCCCACCCGTTTCTGAAAAGAGAAGTCTCCGCTTTGTAATACTCTTCGTGGATTTCCTCTGCCAGGTGGGGCACGATCGGGGCCATGACATGGGTCATCGTGGTCAGAATCTAGCGTGATTGAGAACGACCATGGTCTAGCGACGCGTAAACACACATACATGTTCAAGGACAGTAGAAATCGCGCGGCGCTCGTGACTATCGAGCCCATTTGCGTATAGCACATCCTTCGAAATATCGAAATATAACGAAGAGAGGGTATTCGTAGCGAAGTTGTTCAGCGCAGTGGTGACTGTCAAAAATGAGCAAGAGGTCACACGACATGTCAAGTACCTTTAGCAAAATTGTACTGAGAGTAGGCATCGAGAGCGGTTTTCTCCAGGACATACAACTCGCTCATGACGTATCTTTCGACCTACTTGATATTCAGAATTGGTTGAATGGGTGGAGGTAACATACCAGTCCCATCTCCGCTTGGGGTACTCGGTCGAACGTTTGGCGACGATCGGAATCCACCATGTTACCAAGAATGAAACGGGCAGAGTTTCGCAGTCTGCGGACCCCTTCTGCGGCTTGTTTGATCACAACCGGACCCAGGAATGTGTCATTCCAATAATCGACAGAACCAATCCAGTAGCGCAGTACATCAGCACCGTAGGCAGGCTCGGTCTTCTTGTTCTAAGACATTATAAGGATCAGAATTGAAACCGCGGAACGAGAAGCTAACCAGTCCACCGTCGATAATCGACATTGGGCTAATGACGTTTCCCAAAGACTTGCTCATTTTCTTGCCTGTCTGATCGAGCACCATTCCGTGAGTAATCAAAGTCGCATATGGGGTTTGTTGACGCTGCTGAGGCGGGGCAGATGCGACGGCAGTGAGAAGTTGACTCTGAAACCATCCACGGTGCTGATCAGAGCCTTCCAGACAAAGATCTGCATGAGGCTTGTCGTCTCTAGTTGAAAGCATCGACCAGGCAGTCCCACTGTCGAACCAAACGTCCATCGTGTCGTTCCCCTTGCGCCATACTTTTTCCGCGGGAGCATCGTCTCGATAAGATTCGAGCAGAGAGGCGGGAATAAAGTCCGTGACTGGACCTTCCCACCAATGCTCGATTCCTTTGGTGTCGAGGACATTCAAAATATGCTCCAATGTATCGGCAGTGAGAATAGCGGTGTCGGTGGGGATGTGGTGCAAAGCTGGAATGGGGACACCCCAGGCACGTTGACGAGAAATGCACCATTCGGACCGAAGATCGATGAAAGAGGTAAGCCTCGCGCGGGCTAGGCTCATTAGTGAATACCAACCAAGATATGTCTGAACCCTCACAGGTGGACGGATAAAAGGAAACACGCTCAAGGGCAGTGAGCGCATCTTTCTTGATCTCGTCGAGATTCGTAAACCACTGCGAAGTTGCGCTGACCAAAAAATAAGTTGTCCGTCAATCTGGGGGTTAATACGAACGTCATGATGATTGGTTGGTTGGTTCTCCAGTCATATGGGTAGCGATGTTTGATGCGCTGTATCTTTACGAGGGCACCCACTTCTTTCAATAACTCCACAATTTTCCGAGAGCCATTGTCCAGCACACTCTCTCCAATCAATGTCTTTCCCACATCGCCAACAGTTTGTACCACGTCCTTGGTGAATTCACCGGCGGCACCCACGTGACAAATCATTTCTTGCCTTGAAAGAAGCCCTTGAAGTGATAGGTAATCCTCTGCGCCGTGCGCAGGGGCGCAGTGGACAAGACCTGTTCCGGAGGAGTCTGTCACGTGATCACCAGAGACCACTTGGAGGAAATCAAGCGGCATTTCCGGAGAAAGTTTGGAGAAAATAGGCGCGTATGAGGTACCGAGGAGATCTGTTCCAGCAAGTTCAAGAACCACCGTAACTTCCCCAATGACATTTGTCAAGGTGGGGAGGAGGTCTTTGGCGACCACCAGAAAAGAACTTGGAGAATCGGACTGCGAGGTAGGGCGGGCTACGACGTATACCATAGCTGGGTTTACTGCAATGGCCTATGAGGAAGGTTAGACACGGATTAGAGACGATATAGTGGTTGACCATGTTGGCGCTTAAAGTCCAGGGAGTGGTCGTCCAGACGAGTAATCGAAGTCCCTCTGCCACGAAAGCCTTGAGAAGGTCATGTTGCGTGTGTCGCACGACAAACGAGACATAAACGGAGTGCGATACATGATCGTCCTTATAGATTAGTTCTGCTTCGGCTAGAGCTGAATGGGAGGAAGGCGAGTAGTGTACGGGACGATAGCGCCGGAAGATGAGATCTGGGCAAATATAATTCTAGTCCAGGATATGAGGTAGAAATGTTTACTATTGTTGACCATTTGTCGGAAAATATGCAGTTGGCGCATTTGGTACGAATGGTCTGATTTACGTCAAGTCGAATAAGTACTCAGGGTATGGCACTACATTACCAATAGTGCGATATGTGGTTTCAGCGCTCCAATCAGCCATGATACCCAGCCGTTGAAACTGCGCCTTCTGGGCTTTCCACTTCGCGCAGAGCAGTTTTGTGGGCTGCCTGGCGAATCAGGATAGGCGAGAGGGACTTAGAATCTGCCTAAAAGGAAAGAAATGAGATTAAGCAGCAGAAAACCGAACTGCGTACACCGAGCTCTTGGAGAGCCTTATTTTCGATGGGTAGACCATGACAATCCCAACCAGGGACATACTGAACGGGACTACCACGAGAAACATGGAAGCGAGTGATAATGTCCTTCAGGATTTTGTTCATAGCATGGCCTAAGTTTGTTAAATAAGTTTTCAATATGCTCTTGAACTCAGTATTACCCATGTGAAGGTCTCCATTGGCATATGGGGGACCATCGTGGAGTATAAACTCAGGTCCACGTAAATTACCCCTCTGAACAACAATTATCGCGGTTCAATGTCGAAAAGTAAAGGATTAACCTGCCATTGATATAGTTCAGAGGTTGTTCGAGTCTGTAGACGAGCAGTGTTCTCTTTCGTTGGCCGTAGAGTAAATGGGGTTTCAGGGAGAAGCAAAGTTTCGGCGAAGGCGTGGTTATCTGGCCCAGTAGCCATGTGTCTGAGCAAGAGTCGGCGAGGCCATTGACTCAGACGCATTCACAGTTTTGAGGCCCAAGTAATGTGACTATATGTGACTAGGAATCGAGGAAATTGTTCTATGCCCACAAGCTGGCCAAAAATGGAGATAATTACACGAAATATCAGGTCATGTTCGATCACGCGCCTGTTGACGGAACGTCTAGTCACGCTTGGGTCACCTGTCACGCCCATTTCGCTCGCCACCTTCATCCTTCATCCACCCCATACCCTTCCTTGCACCGTTGTCCACAGCTTGAAATACCATGTCAACGACGAACGTCCCGGTGCGCCGCTGTATTATCTCCTCCTTGAATGCATCTAACGCCACGACTAGCAACGTCGAGCGGTGCGGTCTACTCGCCTTGCAGGACAGAGAGACGCAGAAAATGCAAATGCCCGCCCTTCACGAAACACCCAACGCGCGAAACCACTCTCTAATAATGCTCAAGCTGCTTCAAGTAACCTCGCTGGCGGGCCATCCAGAGTAACAGCAGCCACTGCAGCCTCGAGAGCTAAACTCGGCGTGACTTCCACAACTCACCCAGACCAACCCATAGGCAAGCGCAAGCGTGAGGTCCTGGGCGAGAATGCGACTGTCAACAGAGCGAAGGCGCAGCAAAAAGGCAAAGAGAAGGAAATCGATACCAATGCCACCGACAAAGCTCCAACTCTTCGTGCGACTCGCCAGCCTCTCCGTACTGTCGCAGGCACCCGCCACAATGCTGTTACCGCCATCGAGGGCGAAGCGATGTCCGAAGTTAAAGAAGAGCCTCACGCTGAGGACGGCAATGCCATGCTCATCGATCATCTCCCACCCCAACCTGCTCTCCCAACTGTTCCTGCCCGAAAATCACTTGTTCCGCGAGAAAACACGGTTGCCACTCGTCCGTCAGACGGAGCACCTCGTCGTCAAACTCGCTCGTCACTTGCTCGCCAACAGCAGCAGATCCAAGAGGAACAAGATGATGAAGACGAGGCGCCTGCTCACAAGAGGCGAAAAACCTCTTCTGACTCGCCAGAAGAACCTGAAATGGATGAAGAAGAGCGTGAAGCAGCGCGCTTACAAGCTGAGGAGGACGCCGTCGCTACGCGCATTGCCCAAGAAATTGCAGTTTATGCTAATGGCGAGCCAGAGGCTGACCCCGAGTCCTCGCCATGGGACGATCTAGATGCCGATGATGCTGACGACCCTGCCATGGTCAGCGAATACGTTGTGGAAATCTTCAAGTATCTTAAACAAGTCGAGGTACGCCTCTCTTCTGCTTGCAGCCTTATCTAACCATTCTTGCAGTTGTCGACAATGCCTAATCCAAACTACATGACCAGTCAAACCGAACTCGCCTGGAAGATGCGCGGTATCCTGAACGACTGGCTCATCCAAGTCCACGTTCGTTTCCGCCTGCTTTCCGAGACTCTCTTTCTCTGCGTCAACATTATCGATCGCTTTCTCTCCGCGCGTGTGGTGTCGCTTGCCAAACTCCAATTGGTTGGCGTGACTTGCATGTTCATCGCCGCTAAGTTCGAAGAAATAACTGCTCCATCCGTTACTCAGTTCCTTGAATGTGCCGACTCAACCTACACTGAATCGGAAATTCTTCAGGCCGAGCGTTACGTTCTGAAGACGCTCGATTGGAATCTGAGCTTCCCCAACCCCGTACACTTCCTGCGGAGAGTCAGCAAGGCCGATAACTATGATATCAAGGCCAGGACACTGGGGAAATATCTACTCGAGATCGCCTGCCTAGAATGGCGTCTCATCGCTGCACCACCATCCCTACTTGCTGCTGCTGCAATGTGGCTGGCAAGAATAGCTGTAGGAGAGGAAAATTGGGTATGTCGCTTTCATCCGATTCGAATTGTACTGATTATCCAATAGACTCCCAATCTTGCGCACTACTCCTCGTATCCTGAAAGCTCCCTCCTTCCTACAGCAAACCTCATGCTCAACTACATCTTGAAGCCACCTCGGCACGAAGCATTTTACAACAAGTATGCTGGCAAAAAATTTTCAAAGGTGATGCCCCATTTCTTATGTTCCAGGACGTTGCTAACCTGTCGTAGGCCAGTATTTTTATGCGACAATGGGCTCTAGAACGATGGGATGAGAACACAACTGTTGATCTCGCTGTCGACCTCGATCAACTGAAGAACGAAATTCGGGCTGAGCGGGTTCACGAGGAAGTTAGACTTGAGCAAGAACAGCGACAGCAGCAAAAAGAGGCTGCAGAGAGGGCAGAACGGCGGCAAAAAATAAGGGACTCTGTGGCTCTTGCCAACGCCGAAATCGGTCGACATACCTCGTCTAAAGGCGCTCTGCGGACCACTCGATAAACCGGACCCCGTCATCATCGCATCACAACCTATCCACTTTGCCTTCCTCTCATTCATCCATTTGATCAACTGTACTCCTTCGCCACCCACGAGTCGACGCGATATCGAAGCAACACAACCTAACTCTGCGAACCTCATCCACCTTCGTCCCTTTCTCTACCATATTGCTCTCACGTCGGTCTGGTCGATTTGTTTGTTGGCTCTTCATGTACTTTTTCCTGCACCTATCACGAATTCTTTAAACAGCACTTGTTGCCATGACAAAGTTCTCCTCTAACTTATGCATTTTAAGCACCATGTATTACCGATGTACCCTCATTCGGTCAGAAGAAAGAGGCAGCTGTCCGGGTCATATCGGCCCGACCAGGTTACTGTGAACGATGACTACCATGAACACCGAGAAAGTCTGATACGGTCTGCGGCGAAGTCATTGTTATATATTGGGCTCATTTCCACGACCAGTATTCGGAGCACGCCCCAGACGTGTCTAAACACTCCAGGTCCTGAACTTCCCCTTCCATGACGAGCGGTTTGTATGAGTACAGTGGGGGGCGCGAGGTCGTTTTCGTTGGTCTCTAGCTTGCCGCTCGCAATGACTTGTGCTAAGGATAGTTATAGTGGGCCTCGGGATGGTTGGTATCGGTGAGTGAGGTCCGCTGCCACAAGGCGACGGCAATTGAACAGGTCTTCGTTAGCATTCATCGAAAAGCTCTTGAACCTCGATCTTGAGCAAAAGAAATATTTCGTGCTTACCTGCGGCGAGGAAAATTACTTTGCCTATAACCGCGTTGGGTATGTGGGTCAATGCGTTGTCATTCGTTCCTCATTTGACGTCGCAGGCTGACTGAATATTTCGAGCATCGGAACGTGAGCGTGGACGACTTGGAGATGTGCTTGCCTCATTTGCAACCGAATACAGGTCGAAAATCTATACCTCAACCCTCCGTCGTGGTATGCTGAACAGCAACCGGAATCGTTTCGCTACTTTCTTGGGGAGACTGTGACCTCGATTTCGCCCTCGGAGCATCTGGTCCATACCTCCCAGGGACATTCGTTCAAATACGACACATGTGTACTAGCTACGGGCTCCAGCGCAAGCCTGCCGTCGTACGTTACGTCAGAAGTTGCAGATAAGACACAGGGAGTATTTGTGTATCGCAACATTGCGGACTTGGAGGCCATCATCTCGTATGCTGACAAAGGCACGGTGAAGAGGGCCGTTGTTGTTGGTGGCGGTTTGTTAGGTCTCGAGGCTGCTAAGGCAGTTTACGACATGCCTGGGTGTGTGTCGGTCGCTGTTCTGGTGCTGCTCAATGCTCACTCTGCTAGAATTCCTCAAGTGACGATCGTCCATCGTAACAGCCATCTACTATCCCGCCAACTTGGTCCCGAGGCAGGTGAAGTTGTTCTTCGCAAAATACAAGCAATGGGAGTGGAGGTGTTGGTCAACCACTCGCCTGTTGAACAAATTACTCGTCCTTCGTCGACTTCTGACCAGCCCGTGTTTTCTGCGCTACGGTTCTCTGACGGAACGACTCTGGAAGCTGACCTTGTTATCTATGCCATCGGAATCAAGCCACGTGACGAAATCGCAAAACAGGCGGGTATAGAGTGCTATAGCTATGGTGGGGTAGTCGTTGCAAACGACTTGCAAACTTCTGCTGTTGATGTCTTTGCCATCGGGGAGTGTGCCGGCTGGAACGGAAACACATATGGCTTGATTGGACCTGGCAGTATGCGTTAGCATTCGCTGGCATTATCGTGGCTCACCTCTCAACAGTTGAAATGGCCGACATCTTGTCGTTTAACTTGACCCAGACTGAATCACATGCGCCACGGATCATGAATGCGCCTGACCTAAGCACCAAACTCAAGTACGCCTCCCATTTTGTTCAAGAATTGCTCTCAAATGCCTAGACTAATGGGTATTGATGTCGCCTCTTTCGGCGATTATTTCGCTGACACCAAATCGATTGACGCCCAGCTACAAGCTGTCTCCAAAGTAGACAAAGCCCAACCGAAAATCGAGATTTCTATTGCTGAATCCAAAGCCCCTTCAAAAACAACCCGGTCTAAGAACAAAGCAGACGGCCCAATCCAATGCTTGGTTTACAACGACCCGTTCAGCGCGACGTACAAGAAGTATATATTCACAGCTGACGGCAAATATCTTCTTGGTGGCCAGATGATTGGTGATACAACAGATTATGTCAAACTCCTCGCAATCGTGAAGAAAAAGGTACCATTCTATTCGCATTTCAGGTTGCCATTAACGTTCCATATAGAAAGCGTTAGAAATCCTTCCTTCTGAGCTCATCACCGGTGCCAAAAAACAAGGCGAAGTCGATGGCGATGACCTTGAGGACGATATGCAGGTTTGCAGCTGTCACGTGAGTATCTAAATAGGTCCAATCTCCGTTATCTAATCTTTGGCAGAATGTCGATAAAGGTCGGATCGTGAAATGTGTTCGTGACGATGGCTGTGTGTCTCTCGCGGACATCAAGGCCAAAACCAAAGCGGGTACAGGATGCGGCGGGTGTATGCCTCTGGTGAAGCTTTCTCTTGCTTTATTCTTCCAGACCATTCAATTCTACTCTCCAGGTTACCAGCATTTTTAATTCAGCAATGAAGAAAGCCGGACACAAACTCGATACCAGTCTATGTCCACACTTCTCACTCAGTCGTGCAGATCTCTTTTCGATCGTCCGCGTCAAGAATTTGCGCGATTTTGCTAGTATCATGCGGGAAGTAGGCAAGAAGCCAGAGTCCCTTGGATGCGAGGTTTGTAAGCCAGCCATTGGGAGCATCCTCTCTAGTCTGTGCGTCATGTGTTCGCATCTATGCTCAGCATTTAACGACACCGCAGATATAATGAACCCATCATGACTCCGGCCCACCATCAGAACCAAGACACCAACGATCGATTCCTCGCAAACATCCAGCGTGACGGGACTTTTTCAGTCATACCGCGTATTGCGGCTGGGGAGATCACACCTGATGGCCTCATTGCCATCGGTCAAGTTGCTAAGAAGTACAAGTTATACACTAAGGTGAGGTTCTCTTCTCTTCATCTCTCCTTACTCACACCCAGTTAGATCACTGGTGGCCAACGCATTGACATGTTTGGCGCGCGGAAAGACGATCTTCCTGATATCTGGGAGGAACTCAATAATGCAGGCTTCGAGAGTGGCCATGCGTACGGAAAGGCTCTGAGAACGGTGAAATCTTGTGTCGGGACTACTTGTAAGTCTGCCTTCCGATTATTATCTGGAATTGAACAGTCCTCTATGATCAGGGTGTCGCTTTGGAGTTGGTGATTCTGTGGGGCTTGCAGTGCAACTTGAGAACCGATACCGAGGTATTCGAAGCCCCCACAAACTAAAAGGAGGCGTTTCTGGCTGTGTACGAGAATGTGCTGAGGCACAAGGGAAGGATTTTGGCGTTATCGCGACTGACAAAGGGTGGAATGGTACACTTTTTGTTGTTGGTCGGCGATCCACGACATTTGTGATGACTGTTTTCTAGTTTTTGTTGGTGGCAATGGCGGTGCGAATCCTGCAAGTATATTTGGTCGTGTCACATTCTTATATAACCGATCCTTCCAGAGGCACGCAGCACTGTTCGCTCGGGATGTGCCGCCAACACAAGTTGTGCGTGTCATCGACAGGTTTCTTGCATACTATATCATGACTGCGGACAAACTTCAACGAACTGCACGCTGGATAGAGAACATGGATGGTGGAATCGAGGTTAGTCATGACCGAAAAGAATTTAAAGCTGACATCTATGCTCAGAAACTTCGGCGTGTCATCCTCCAAGACGAGTTAGGCATCTGCAAAGACCTCGATGCATTGATGGACAATCTTGTGGACACATACCACGATGAATGGGCTTTAGTCGTCAAAGGTTAGCGCTGTTTTACTCGTTATGACGAGAGGGTTTTATCTGTGAACAGACCCTGAGAAACGCAGGCAATTCAAGCAATTTGCCAACACCAGCGAACGGCGTGTTAATACAGAAAAGGTCACGGAACGTGGACAGCAGCATCCTGCGGACTGGGCAAAGTCGTATAGCGCCATCCGACTTCACACCGATTTATTAAGCACACCCAAGTCGGACTGGATTTGGACCGATTTATTGAGCAAAAGTGACATGATGCCTTCACAAGACGGAACCACAAGTGTCGCGGTCAAATACGGAGACACGCAAATAGCTCTCTTCCATGTGCCTAATAAAGGCTACTTTGCGACGCAACAAATGTCCGTGTTTTTGTTCATGGCGCCCTTTCTCATCAGACCCAGGTGCCCACATCGTCGTGCTTTCGTTCTTGATCATGGAATCATTGGAGAATCAGCCGACGGGTCACCAGTGCGTAGATTGCGAGCTGCTTTTCCTGCCATTTGACTATCCATCAGTATGTCTCATGCCCACTCCACAAACGCAACTACACCCTGTCCTCTGGAAATTGTCTCAATGATGACGACTACCAAATCATGTCCTTCGAAGCTAGAGAGAATCCCGACGATCCGAGTCGCCTCCAAATCCTTCTTCCTCCTATGCAAGAACTGGATGCAATTTTAGGAACGGAAAAGTGGCTTATCAAACAGGCAGAATCAGAGGCTTTAGGTTTAAACTCCGCGACGCAGGTGCAGATTGTGGGAAATCAAGGTGTCAATGGCTGTGTAGGCGGTGCTTTGGAGTGGTGATTCAACCGTGATTTGTATCGCGTTGAGTTGAGAATTATTAACACCGCTTACTTCCACGTGACCGAGCAAGTCCAAACAGAAAGTGCCCTTTCCTTGACACATTATTCTAACTCTGGCACAACAAATTCGACTGCACGTCTGACCATTTCGTCTGGTATCTCATGTCCGACTCCCGGTAACACGACAACTTGCTTCTGACCTGGCACCGACTTGAGCTGACCTACGAAGCTCTCACTCGCACCCCACGGCACAAGCCGATCAATTTCGCCGGACAGCACTAGCACTCTCTTGCCTTCGAATTGGGCCACCTTTGGTGAGTTGTCTCGAACAACTTTGACAAACGTGGCTGGGAAGTGAGGCGGCGCAGCCGCAATGCCCTTGGATGCTGCCCGGGGGTGGATGAGGGCGAAGTAGTCGGGACAGCCAATCATTGGGATGACGATTTGGATCTTTGTCGACCTTAGTCTTCCGCATTTTCGAATGAAATTTTCTCAACACATACTCGTGGGTCGAATGCGCCAGATAGCCAAGCAGAATGGCCTCCGAGACTGATGCCGGCCACACCCCATTTATCGACGGTACGCTCTCCGTGGGGAAAGATGTACGCGGGGAGGAAATCGATGAGAAACGATACGTCTTTTGCCGTCCCAACTATCTCTGTTCCGCAAGAATGACTTGAACACTATCAGCCGTCGACTCACGTTGGATAGCAAACATGTCAATGCTGGGCAGAGTCATCCAGCAACCTTCCCCTTGCGGTACCAGCAACTTACGCATGATTTGGGTTGGTTTCAAAGTCCAAGTTGTAAACTTTGTCGACGAGCCGTGTTCCGTGGTTGCGTTGGTCCTATACTCGGAGATGTAGCCCTAGAAACAGGGTTGGGGGTTTCGATCGGGCTCACGAAGGTAATGACCAGGATGTCCTTGTTGTGAGTGCTCCTTGAGGCGGCGAGCAGGCCAGAGGCCAAAGCTTGGATGTGGCCGTCTTGCGACGATCCCATGCGGCCATGAAGCAGAAATAGTGCCACCACGGGTTTAGCAGAGGAGCCAAAATCATCCGTAGTGTAGGTTTGGATGTGCAGGCCAGCAACGACGATGGTAGTTTGCTTCATAATCTACTTTCTCATACCCACATCACGCAAACTAAAAAAAACTACTAAAATCCAAAACGCGTATTCGACGCAATACAGAAGGACTAATACAGGGCAGGTACACTAAGCAACACCAGGGACTAAAACGAATGGACAAGTGATCCCCAAGGGACGACAAGAAGGGGGTGGCGAGGTGGCTCAGCGGGAAGGGACGATTACTAGGGTATGCGTATGCTTGTGGGGTGGTATATGGGCGAAACTAGACAAGCTCAAACAGCCATTGTGGGCCCGCCACCACCTCCAACAGACGCTACGCCTCGCAACACATCGACAAGCGCTCCAAACGCTTTCCGTCCGGTACCCTTTCCAACAGAAGACACAGAGGTCGAGCGGATGCGAGCTAGAGAGTTGCTTCTCCGAACAATTGGAGACGGAGGCTGGGTCGATGAAGATTTGTCAAGAGTAAGACTGGTTGATGCCGATTTGCCGCGTCCTGTGCGAGTTATTGGAGGAGCTGGTTTGGGCTTGGAGAGGGTTGTGCTAAGACTACTGTTATTACTGGTGAGAAGAGCTTTTGGAGAGGTCACTGGAGGCTCCGCAATTGGTGATGTGTTCGATGATGAAGATGGGGCCGCGGCTGGAGCAGAGGCAACGCGCAAGTGTAAACTTGCTCTTTTACTATTGTGGATGCTCTCCGGTGACCCAACGCGGAGCCCCGCTGCACGGCCAACCGTCTGCTCCTCCTCCTGCTCACGTGCTTCCATGGTGGCGCCTTCTCCAGATTCAGACTCCGACTCGGAGAGCATCGCCAACGAGGCATATACAGGCAACCTCGGTGCCAGAGTAGGTGAATATGGTCCAGCAGCAAGAACAGATGTCGCCAAAGGTGGAAGATTAGGAAGCGCCTTTTCGTCCACGCCAGAGTCGTTATCACTGCACCGACTGTCTCGACTGCTACTTCGACTGGTATTGCTCGACAGTGAGGCAGCATCTCCGCGACCTCGAGGTTCTGCCGTGTGAGTAGGATCACGCTCGTCTCCTGGAGGGAGAAGCAGCCCACGTTCACACTTGGCCGTTTTATGAGACCCAAGCTGGCCGCTTGCTGTGGAGCTGATGCTAGAAATGGAAGCGTTTGAGCCCTCACGGTCATGAAGGGAGTTGGGCTGATAAGAGTGTCAGTATCTCTCCAAGAAAGCTACGGATAAAAACGCACGGCGGTCTCCCGCTCCTTCTCTTTCTTTTCCCTTTCTCGTTTCCCAGCTCCTCCCAGCGCTACACAAACAGCTTCAGAGCGACTGCGCTCTCTGCCTTCAAGAATGCTAGCAGAAACTCTTCGCTCATATTTTGCATTATTGTTTGCCAAAGCGTCCCTCAGCAATGGACTCGCTCTTCCCGCTACACTTTCACTCGTCGAGGTTGTCATGCGGGCCAAATTTAGGCTCGAATCACTTCCGGCTGGACTTGGATGTGGGCTATGTCGAGGTGTTGAGAGGGGTGTCGTTGGTTTGGACGAGGACGATGGTAGAGGGAAAAGATCTGCTTCATCGTCTTCAGCATATCCCTGAGGATGTAATGGCGGAGGTCGTTTGGAGTTTAACCTGGGACTTGTAGCTGGACTGCTTTGTTTCGAGGTCGATGGGCTAGCTTTGCGAATAGTAACATCTCTAGGCCAATCCACCTCTTCGTCTTCCTCGCCTAGAATGATAATATCACCTGAGTGGTGATGTCGGATTGTCGCAACCAGATCTATGCTTCGTCGACGTCGCTCCTTGTCAACCTCGTCAACTGCAATACCAAGAGGGAGCAAAGGACTTCCCCGTCCTTGTGTATCTGAATGTGAAGCTAGGTTGTCACTAGAGGATGAAGCGGCTTGAACAAGCTCTTGCGCAGACAAGTAAGCACCATACGGTGCACGGCTTTCCACAACTCGGACTAGGGCGGGGCCTAATAATGATGGGGATATTCGTCCAGGAGAAACCGCTACAGTTGGGGTGATGGGCGGCGTCCCAGCAGGACTGGGTGTCCCACTTCGACTCCTTCTTTTCCGTTCCTCCAGTTCTGCTACAAGGCGGTTGACATTCGCAACCCCAATCCCAGAAACTAAATGATCCAAAGCTTCGGTGCCGTCTGCTGGAGGTGTAAAAAGCAAGTTATCAGGCCCGGTTGGTGAAAAAGAGCCAACTCCAAAGCCGACCCCGCGTCTTCTAACACGCATTGCACCACGAGAAAACTCCTCGGTTGGCGCGTCAGTGTGCAGCAGACATTCCGGACAGCAACCTCGAATTGGAATGGTGATTGGCGGAACGGCCCCAGTTGAAAGAACTTGCACTTGTGCTGAGGGGTAAACAGCGGCCAAAGCAGTTAAAGGTCTGTGCTCTTGTACAGGTAATGGGGGGAGTGGATGTTCGAAGGTGGGTACGCGCAAGCAGGAAGGAATATGATGCGGGGCGGATGGTGGTGACCGCGAGGAGTTACGTTGGTCGCGTTCGCGAGAGTGGGACGAAGATTTTTTGGATTTAAAGCTAGAATATGAGATCAGAAGGGAAATACGTAAATGACACAAGTCAGGGACACAATCAACCCTCAGCGATACGTCCACATCGTCCAGGGATAGACACCAAGTTCAGGATGAACCAGACGATGCGACGCAGAACGAGCGGCGGCAGTCAACCGACCAACCACTGCCATCACTACCCCGCAAAGGATTGATTCCATTTATGGAGTAGCAATAAGAGAAGAGGGTTGTTGTGAAGAGTAGAAAGGGTATATACTCACCTAGGAAGGTTGACCTTGAGCATTACATGACTTTCTTCCTCTTCCCGGTGGTCGCGACCTTTCCGCCACAAGGGTAACGAGTAGCTCTTGGTGCTGAGCTTTGGTCGCTTTGATGAAGGATGGGATGTGTCTGGAATTAGAACACATTCGGCATCGAATCGCACGCGGGTATGAGTATCTGTGCTCCTCGTCGTAGTTGTATTCGTCCCATTGGTCATATCATTATTGGCGGTGACTGACGGAGAATCTAGGCGTCGCACGGGGTTAGAGGTTGAGGTAAACGTCGTCGTCGTAGTAGACATTATTTACTGCGACGACGCGTTGGAGAAGGTGGTGGGGAGAGAGAAAGAAGGAAGTGGTGCTAAAGTGAGGCCAATTCGGGAATGGCACGATTATGTCACGCGCTGTCAAGCTCCGATTTCTTTCAAGTTCGTGAGGTCGTACGACTCCCACTTTCAACTTGAAGGTGACCACGGGCATCATCCTAGCCAATGTGTTTAAGCAAATGACCCCCCCCATGCTCCTGCCACTATGAAGCTGATGCCTTGGATAGTCCTACATAGGCCTTTTAGGCGTTCCAATGCTTCGAATCAGCTTCTATTCTATCCGATGTCGGGCAACTGAAGCCTTGAGTTTCTGGACAGCCGATAGGACGTGAAGCAAACCGTATCCGCTGTCAGGGACTCAGTCAAGCTTTCAACCAAGGCTAAACTCGAATGTGCATAATCTCAAGTTACGTGGGCGATAGTATACCCAGATTGAGACATCCTTTTGGTGGGCGTGGGTCAATCGACCGACCAGCGTTCAGTTCAGTCTTGTCATGATGACCAACTTCTCATTCCGACTTGCACCGTTGTCGAACCCAGTATCCGCATTCACATTAGCGTTTACCATGGGTAGAGCCAAGGACAGGAGCATAATACCGAAATGAACCGTCGATTGTTCCTGTTCAGAACTGTAAATTCCTGCCCTCCATATTAACTTTGTTTGTTCAGCATTCTGGCGGACACATGGGAGACGAAAAGCTTGGTTTGTATTTTGTTAGACGTGCACACTAGCCAGCGTCAATTGTCGACTATGCCACCAACAGAGACTCAAGGAGAGACTTCGGTTTCTAATAAAATGAGCCAGAAATTTATCATGATTGAGAAATGCGAGAAGCGCCAAGGATGGTGAAACGTAGTGTGTCTAGCCATAGCCAAACAAAGCAGCCCATAGACTCGTTATCAAGAAGACGATAGGGTAGAATTTATCGCAGTGGTCCTAAGTCCTCATTAGTTACCACCAAGAATGAGGAATAGTAAATGGAAGGAGGAGAGAGCCTCGAGTCACGCGTGATCCTTACGCTTGTTCGCTGCAACACCGTTTGGAGCACTGGTGGAGCATTTTTCTCCCTGAAAATTTCAGCCTTCTCATAACGATTCTACTGCACCTCTAGGATTTTAATTATAACGAAGAAACATCTTGGAACAGTTGAAACAGTCGGACACCGAAATGCAGCAAAGTTTTCCAAGAAATGTCAATTCCTCCACCTCTCGACCGCTCTTATGCACGTATCAACCAGGTTTTGGGTCCGTTCGATCCATACTGTCATGATCCATTACTAGCGGACCGGATACCTGTGCTCAGTGGAAAGAGGCGGAACTCACACCCGACTTCATGACGTGACCGCCTTGATTCGGGGATTTTTGGACAAAACCCTAATAAGCCATGGCAAAACCTTGTGGGAAGGTCGTCTCAGCGTCTCAACAAATAAAACGTACCCGGCTTGGGTCATACCATTCCTCCATACCCTCCCATGGCATCGTCTCCCAAGTCTATTCCGCTCACTCCCGAGCAGGAGCGGCAGGTTCAGGCGCTTGCGAGGTCAATGTCGACCTCAGAATCTTCGCTTCACTTCGCATCGCTGGCTCCCGTAGAGAGTCTCGACACTGTTGTTCAACCCGAAAAGTACATCAACCCCTTCAAGGGTTCAGACGGCGACGAACTGCTCGATCCCCACTCCGAGAAATTCGACATCAATGCATGGGTTAGGTCTTACATGCAGATTCTCTCGCGCGACCCAGAAAATTTTCCAGTAGGTCACAGCCTTCTCTTTACCATTCCCCGATTTCAACGTTGTTCATAGTTTCGTACTGCTGGTGTCTCCTTCCGCAACTTGAACGCTCGTGGCACCGGTCTGCCCACCGATTTCCAGAAGACCGTAAGCAACATTTGGGTTGGAGCATATGCCACGGCCAAAAGATGGGTTGGTCTGGGAACAGGAGCGCGCGATATTCGTCTGTCATCGCAGTAATCACTCAAGCATTTTGTGCTCATTCCCTGTCAGATATTCTGAGGGATTTCGATGGATTGGTCAGATCAGGAGAACTGCTTGTGGTTTTGGGAAGACCCGGAAGGTGAGTTGCTTTTGATTTTTGGTCCACGTTGGTTATTGGTGTAATAGTGGTTGCTCAACGTTCCTTAAAACCATCGCCGGCCAAACTCACGGTGAGTGATGGGAGCTTAGCAATAGTACCCCCCAACTGAGTCAAGGCAGGCTTCACCGTCGACGTTCATTCAGACATCCAGTACCAAGGCATCTCTAGGGAGGTTATGCACAAAGATTTTCGAGGCGAAGTGATATATAACGCGGAAACCGATGTTCACTTCCCGCATTTGACGGTCGGACAAACCCTTCTCTTTGCTGCCAAGGCCCGAGTCCCTCGAACGAGGGTTGACGATGTTTCACGCGATGCCTATGCGACCCATATCCGTGATTTGGTCATGGCCGTGTTTGGTCTCAACCATACGATGCATACAAAGGTGGGCAATGACTTTGTTCGTGGCGTCAGTGGAGGGGAGCGGAAGCGCGTCAGCATCTCAGAGACGACATTAAGCGGTGAGTCTATTGATATTTTCTTAGTTAACACTTTAAACTCTTTGCAGCTGCGCCACTTCAATGTTGGGACAACAGCACACGCGGCCTCGATAGCGCGACTGCGCTTGACTTTATTCGGACTCTCCGCCTTTCGACTCAGTTCACTGGCTCTGCAGCTCTTGTAGCCATCTATCAAGCTTCCCAAAACGCTTTCGATGTGCGCTCCTAGCTTTCTTTAGTTAACCCTTCCTCATTTGTGACAACAGCTCTTTGACAAGGCCACCGTGCTATATGAAGGCCGACAGATCTACTTTGGTCCCACTGAGACCGCCCGCGAGTTTTGGACCTCACGAGGTTTTGTGTGTGCATCACGACAGACCACGGGCGACTTCCTTACATCGTTAACCAACCCTGCTGAACGAATTGTTGCTCCGGGATGGGAGAATCGTGTTCCTCGTACTGCAGACGAATTTGCCAGGGTATGGAGAAGCAGTGCCGAGTACCGGGCCTTGGTTGCCGATATCGAAGCCTACAATAACGAATACCCGCTCGATGGGGATGCTTTGAAGAGCTTCAGAGCTTCAAGAAGACGGCAACAGTCCAAATCAATGTCCAGTTGTTTCGCTTTCCGGTGCATCTGTTCTGACAAAGTCGCAGTCCCGCATCGTCGCCATATACGATCTCCGTCCGCCGCCAAATTTCTCTTTGCATGGAACGTGGTTGGCAGAGATTGAGGGGTGATTTGAGCACATTTTTTACAACAGTGCGTTGTTTTATTTCTGACCTGACTTTTTTGCTGATGGCTTGGTGAGGTTTTCGGGACTTTTATCCTATCGCTTGTCATCTCCAGCGTGTTTTACAACATGCCTGACACAACAGGCAGCTTTTACAGCAGGTCTTGATTCACGGCTGCGACAGTTTCTTCACCTTTGACTTTTTTTTTCAGAGGGGCTTTGCTATTCTTTGCCATTCTTCTCAACGCCTTTTCAAGCGTGCTCGAAGTGTGTCCCAATCGTTCGATTTTCTCAATTCTTGTTGACACGAGACACAGATTTTCACCCTATACGCTCAGCGTCCGATTGGTCCGCAGCGCTGTTTTTTGGAGTCTTGCTAACTCTGCTGACATCCATTTCTAGTTGAGAAACACAACTCATATGCACTTTATCATCCGTACGTGACTTGATCTCATCTTATCTCCCATCGTCATCTTTGACAGTTTTGCCGAAGCCATTTCATCAATGATTTGCGACCTTCCTTCAAAACTTTTGACTGCAACGCGTTCGTCCTTTCTTTTTCTTTGAAATGTCACTAATTGCGCCGCAGTCGTTAACCTCGCGCTCTATTTCATGAGCAATCTACGCAGGGAACCGGGCGCTTTCTTTATCTTCTACCTGTTCTCCATCACAACCCAGCTTGTCATGTCAATGGTCTTCCGAACTATTGCTTCCATTTCCAGGACGCTCATCCAGGCACTTACTCCAGCATCGGTCCTCGTTTTGGGTCTTGTGATGTACACAGGCTTCACCGTACCTGTAAGGGATATGGTCCCGTGGTTCCGATGGGTAAACTATCTTAACCCTGTTGGCTATGGATTCGAGTCCAGTTTGTGCTCTGCCTCTACCCAACTCCCATCCGACTGATACATTCTTAGTCATGCTCAATGAATTCGTCGGTCGCAGTTATTCGTGCACTATGTTCATTCCCGCCGGACCTGCATACGCCAATGCCACTGCTACGAACCAAATTTGCGGCACCGCCGGCGCCAAGCCGGGAAACAACTTTGTTCTCGGTGAAGACTACCTCCAAACGTCCTTCAGTTACGTTCATAGCCATCTGTGGCGCAATTTCGGCATTCTACTTGCATATATGGTGGGTCCAAAACTCTGAATCGCATCTTGACTGACTGACAAACCTGATAGATCGTGTTCTGTGCCATACATCTCATTGCAACGGAATATATTTCGGCAGCCAAATCGAAAGGCGAAGTCCTCGTATTCGCTCGCAGTCATGTGTCAGACAAGCAGCAGCCCTCCGATTTGGAAAGTGCGCCGCCGATGGAAAAGACTGGGCCCATTGGTGATAATGCTACTGCGCCAAAGATACCGAAGCAAACTAAGGTATGCACGATCGATATTTGGCTGAACCAAACTGACCAATTGCCAAGGTATTCATGTGGAAGGACGTTTGCTATGATATCAAGCTCAAGGACAAGTCCGATCGGCGACTACTAGACCATGTCGATGGCTGGGTGAAGCCTGGGACTCTGACTGCACTTATGGTAGGTTGGTCATCAAAGTTGTTTTCTGTTCTGAACTTGCCCGAGGGCGTTTCGGGCGCTGGAAAAACCACGCTCCTGGATGTACTGGCGACTCGAACGACAATGGGTGTTGTCACGGGGGAAATGTTAGTTAATGGACGCCCTCGTGACCAGTCGTTCCAGCGCAAGACAGGTTATGTCCAACAACAGGATCTCCACCTTGCCACTTCAACCGTACGAGAGTCACTTGAATTCAGCGCCCTCCTTCGCCAGCACAAGTCGATTCCGAAGGCGGAGAAACTTGCTTATGTCGATGAGGTTTTGGCGCTCCTTGACATGGAATCGTATGCGGAGGCAATCGTCGGTGTACCTGGAGAGGGTCTCAATGTCGAGCAACGCAAGCGGCTGACGATCGCGGTTGAACTGGTCGCCAAACCTGAGCTCCTGGTTTTCTTTGATGAGCCCACCAGCGGACTGGACTCGCAAACGGCCTGGTCTATCTGTCAGCTGATGCGCAAATTGGCCAACCACGGGCAGGCCATTCTCTCGACTATCCATCAACGTGCGTCGTTACCCTTCGAGCGTTGAAAAAATCTGATTTTAACTCAGCTAGCGCTATCTTGATGCAAGAGTTTGACCGCTTGCTATTCTTGTGTGTTCCTTTCGTCTCTTTTGTGTACCTGCCAATTCTGTTCCAGGGCCCCCGGCGGCAAGACTGTGTACTTCGGCGAGATTGGCGAAAACTCGAAAACTCTCACCAGCTACTTTGAGAAATATGGTGCTTCGCCGTGTCCCCCACAGGCCAATCCTGCGGAATGGATTCTTCAAGGTAAATTCATCTAACTTTTGGTGTCTGGTTTCTGACATTTGGATGTAGTTATCGGTGCTGCTCGTGGTCATAAATCTATCCAGGACTGGCCCGAGGTCTGGAAGGCTAGCGAGGAACGTGTGGCCATCCGCACCGAATTCAATTCCATGGTTGCGGAGTTATCGCGTAGTCCTGATTCAAACGAATCCTCCACTGGCTTTGAAGCGTTTGCAGTACCATTATCCACACAAATCTGGTACTGCTTCGAGCGTGTGTGGGTGCAGTATTGGCGGACACCATCGTACATCTATTCCAAGCTCGCGCTTGTCGGCTCTTGCTCTCTGTTCATCGGATTCACGTTCTACAAGGCGCACACCAACCTGCAAGGACTTCAAAACCAACTCGTCAGTCAGTCCCTTCATATTTTCTCCCTTATTGACACAGCAACAGTTTTCTATCTTCATGCTGCTGATTTTGTTTGCGAACCTGGCCCAGCAAATAATGCCATTGTTCGTCGCTCAACGAGAACTCTATGAAGCCCGCGAACGGGCTGCGAAGGCCTATTCTTGGAAGGCATTCCTTGTATCCCAGATTCTTGTCGAGATCCCCTGGCAGGTTGTCGCTGCCGTCATAATTTTTGTCTCATTCTACTACCCCATCGGGCTGTACCGCAACGCTCAAGCAGCGCACCAAATGGTGGAGCGTGGCGGACTGATGTTCATCTACATACTGCAATTCATGCTCTTCACGTCAACTGTATGTTTTCTCCATTCTGCGATGTCTTGGGCGGCTGACAGTTTTCCGCAGTTCAGTCAAATGGTCATAGCCGGGATCGAAAACTCTGAAATGGCTGCGAATGTCGCGACGCTGCTATTTGCGTTGACGCTCCTGTTTTCTGGGATTCTAGCCCCGCCGAGCACGCTAGGGTGGTGGGTAAGTGTAGAACCGGTTGCCGTTAGCTCTGCGTCTAACTCGCATGATTAGAAATGGATGTACCGCGTTTCACCGTTCACCTATCTCGTTGGCGGTATGCTGTCCACGGGTGTGGCCAACACACAAGTCACGTGCTCGGATATTGAGCTGCTTGTGGTTGACCCGTTCGCGGGTCAAACTTGCGCTGAATATTTCCGGCCCTACATGCAGCTCGCTGGTGGTAGTCTGTGGAACCCCACTGCCTTGGCCGGATGCCAGTTCTGCGCGATTTCGGATACGAACGTGTTCCTTGCAGCCACCGAGATCAGTGTAAGACCTGTCCGTTGTTGTTCTGATGCTAGATGCTGAACGACTTGCTTGTGCAGTACTCCCAAAGGTGGCGCAACATGGGCCTTTTCTGGGTTTATATCGCGTTTAATGCGGTGATGGCCGTTTTCCTCTATTGGCTTCTTCGCGTGCCAAAGGAGCGGCGTAGGAAGGAGAGTCAGCTACAAATCAAAGGCAAGGAGAAAGACAGAAGACCATGAATAACATCAAAAATAATAGTTGCCATCATTATTACTAACATTACTGTACCATTTACATTTGCTTATTTTTGGGTTGGGACACGGCCAAGTGCACACGGGGACACGGTCCATTGCGTCCTATAAAATGGGCCACTGGGAGAGCAGCGCAGACATCAAACAATGCTCAACATTCTGGTCATCCATGGCTACGTCCAGTCCGCCTCGACGGTTGCGCATAATACGCGCAAACTTCGTGAAGCTTTGGGTGGAATTGCTCATCTCCACTATGTGGACGGGCCGCCACTGCCCATCGAAGCTGCTGGGCGGTTCCAATCTGACAGTCGGCCATGGTGGTATCTCACCCAGAACCTCGAATTTGACGCAGACCATGACCATTCCCGCTGGGAAACTGTGGTGAAGTGGTGGTCAAGGGAGCTCTCGACCAACCAATATGATGGGGTTATTGGCTTGTCCCAAGGCAGCGCAATGGCGGGTTTGCTGTTGTCGATGGTACAGTGCGATCCGCTTTCTCCGTGTTTGAGCTGAGGAAACATAGCTGAACCATCCTGAACGCGTGCAGCATTTCGAGCCGGCCCTCAAGCAGGACTTCAAATTCGGTATATTCTGCTCAGGCAAGTTCTGCATCCTCCGTTCCTTCTGTTGGCTTAACCTCGATAAACAGGGCTCGTCTCTCATTTAGCACCGCATGCGGAAATATATGGCATTCCCGACATCCCTACGATGCACAGTGCGTGGACTGTGTTTTTCTCCCAAGTCGACTTAATGATTCCGCAGCCGTGGACAACAACGATCTGGTCGTGGCGGCATCGAGGACCGTAGAGCTCCAAAAATTATGCAAAAATTCGGTTCTTTTGCACCATCATGAAGGTCAGTTTATTAGTCGATGTACAACAACTCCCATTGAATCGACTCACAGGGCATTCGATTCCTGTTGGAGGCGATTTCCCCCGTATTATGAAGGATTTCATAGTAGCGACTCTGTAAAGTAGTGACATGTGATCGTTTCGCTCTCTTTCTCATCCATCATGGGCAAGCTGAACATCGCGCACCACAAGTCTTATCATCCCTACAGACGGGACAACATCGAGCGGGTGCGACGCGATGAAGAGGAGGCCCGGCTAAAAGAGGAGAAAGAAGAAGGGCGGCTGATGCTGGCTGACTCGGAGGCCCGCATTGACTTGTTGCGGGAGCGCGCTGGGGTGAAGGCCGCGCCAAAGCGCAAAAAGCGGGACGATGACGACCTCGAGAAAGCCATGGCTATCCGGACGCAAAATGTAGAGACCGGCGCTGTGCTGCCCACGACAAACGGGCACATCAACTTTTTCGAAGACTTGGAGCAGAGCTCTATCGCTGCTTCTATACGGACAGCGACAAAGAAGAAAGGAGAAGCAACAGAGACAGACCGGGGAGTGCCTCTTGCGCCGTCTGCCAAAGACCTGAACCCATGGTACATCGAGCCCGCAAAGAAAGGCGAAGATGATGATGATGAGGTGGTCGACGAAAAACGGATGCGAGATGCCCTTCGAAAATCAGCCCATGACCCACTCACTTCAATAACCCATCAGCTTGCCTCCCGCCACGGCTCTACTTCCACATCCTCACGCTCTTCTTACAAGCCCCGACCACAGCCCAAGTCAGGTCCGCCTGAAGTGCAAGAACGACTATCGCGGGAATCGTCCGAGCGAGAGCGGGCTCTAGCCCTCATTCGCAGAAAACAACGCGAGATGCGGGGAAGCGAGACACCTAGTACAGTCCATGGCGGATATAACGACATGTTCAATCGGCAAGAGGTCGAAGAAGCGCATCGCGGCCGCTTTCCTGACTATCGACGGACACGCTGGTAGCTTCAGTAGTTTGCCAACATTGAAGCCCTATTGACCCAATCAAAAATCCGATTGGCCATGCTCGACCGACTCAACGAAGGCTACTGTGCTCGGATATTCTAGCCCAATCAATCCTGCCGCGACTCTCATTAGACTCGGAAAACTGTACATCCAATCCCCTCTGGTGCGCTTGCGACTGCCTTTCCAATGCCAACCATCAATGGAGCCATGCTGCCATATATCTTCCATTTGAGGGGAGACGTCTTTTGTGGGTCGGGCGAGAAGGACGGCACAATCCACGACTCACCGTCGTCTTCCAATGCGCTCAATGATGGAGAAGTTGAGCACTGTTTCAACACCCTGCATTGCGTTCGCCCTCGTGTCGAGTTTGTTTCGCGAACTGGGCCCAAGGTAGCGGTCGGCAAACGGGAGCTTTTGTGTAGGTAGTAGAAATGACAAGCTCAATGTGAATTTTCTGTTATGAACAAGAGAGTGCTGTCAATGATACCCTGAGCATTCAAAGGTTGGCAATTAAAGAGTATATTATAAGGTGCCAACACTACAAGGACGATAACAACAATAAAAAAGAAGAGAAAACAGTTCGAAAGCGTGTGCGTTGCTCGAGAATAAGTCTGGACCTAGGGTTACAGGACAAGTACAATGCGTGCGATGATGAGGAAAAGGGGTTGTTGTGCTCTACGTATAAAGTCTCGTGTCGGGGGGGAGTCTATGATGATGATGAAGGACAAGGAAAATCAGTCCAGCAATACATTGGGGTATAGCAGTGCGAAGGGGTACTTGTGTGGTTGTATCGCGGAGAAAACGGCAGACTGATTATGTGAGATGGTTCATGAGGATGCTCGTGCAAGAAAATGCCCGCGTCTATATGCGTGAAGGGGTCGTCGTAGTGTAGTCGGGTGGGGGGATTAGGCGTCGTCTAGTATATAGAAAAAGGGCAAGCCGTGCTGTGAGCATCTAAAGGGAGTTCATCAGAAACAAAAGACGAGACAATGTTTGTTGAGGGTGAGCAGCAGCGCAACAGTACGCATCGTTGAAAATCGTGTGGTCATGGGTCGCGTCCTCGATAACGCATGAGAAGAAGTCGTTTTTTTGGATTTGTTTTTTTGGCGAGGTTCGTCCAGTAGTGAGGCATGAGGAAGGGATTGATTGGGGCATAGGGAATTGTTGGGGAGGAGGAGAATTACCACCATCCTCCACCACCACCTTGTCCCCCGCCTCCTCCGTAAGCAGGTCCACCGCCATAGCGACTACCACCACCATAACCACCGCCACCAGCACCGCCACCACCATAACCTCCGCTACTGTAGCCTCCACCGCCGCTAGACGAGGTTCGGTAGTCACGGCCCCCACGACTAGATCCACGTCCGCCTCCCCCGCCACGGCCACGGCCACCTCGATAGGAGCCTCCGAATGATGACTCATGGGCGACAGTATCAAGCCAGGGAGGTATGTCTTGGTTGGCCTCACGAAGAAGCTCAACCAATTCACGCACGATATTCTTGTTGCCACGGTTGAAGAATGCAGTGCTCACACCAGTATTGCCCGCACGTCCAGTACGACCAATACGATGAACGTAGTCGTCAATGTCGCTGGGGAGATCATAGTTGATCACGTGCATGACATTCGGAATATCAAGTCCACGAGCAGCAACAGCAGTCGCAACGAGAATGGGAGTGCGACCAGTTCGGAACGTCTGTAGCGCCATTTCACGCTCACGTTGGGTGCGATCACCATGGATGGAAGTGGCTGGGAGGTTGTTGTTCATTAGGAAGTCGCTCAACATGTCGGCCATGCGTTTCGTCTCAACAAAGACGAGGGTAAGATCGAGGGGCCCCTCTTTGCCGCCCGAAGCGAGTATGTCCAGCAGGACACTGCGCTTGTCGTGGTCTTCGACATACTCAATCTTTTGAGTAATATTTTCCGAGGTGCTTCCAACACGACCGACGCTGAGGAAGACGTAGTCCTTCAGGAAGTCTTTGGCAAGCATTTGGATGTCGCGGGGGAATGTCGCACTGAACATGAGTGTTTGGCGATCCTTGACACCTGGCATGTCTTCGCCTTGGACAATGCGGCGAATTTGCGGCTCGAAACCCATGTCAAGCATGCGGTCGGCTTCGTCAAGCACAAGGTACTTGATGTTGGCAAGACTGATACGACCACGTTCAATAAGATCGACAAGACGACCAGGAGTGGCACTAAGGAGATCGCATCCACGCTCAATTTGGCGAAGTTGCGTATTAATGTCTGCACCGCCATAGACGACGGCGGGACGGACCCAAGACCGGTAGGCGAATTTGCGGGCTTCATCGTGAATTTGTGACACAAGCTCACGAGTCGGAGCAAGAATCAAGGCGGTTGGGAAGGCTTTGCGGCCACGGTAGCCTGGATTAGTTTGCTCTGGTGGAGGACGTGGGCCTTGAGAGAAGGACGCCGACAGGATGGGGAAAAGGAAACCACCAGTTTTGCCGGAACCAGTCTAAGATCGGTCAGCAATCGTATTAGTGATTGTGTGAAGGAGAGGCTGACCTGTGCACACGCCATCAAATCTCTGCCCGCCGCAACGATGGGAATAGAGTACTTTTGAACTGGAGTTGGGTTGGTGTAACGAGCGTAGCCAATATTTTCGAGAAGAACGGGGTCGAGAGGAGGAGAAGTAAATATGGTGACAGGCTCAGGCACCTGAGCTCCAGTGGCTTCGACGGGAATATCGTCATATTTTTCAAAGTTGATGCCAGTGTGTTGTTTGGAGGGGTCGGAAGGGTCGCCAAAAAGCTCTTTTTCCAAGCGCGTGTTGCGCTGACCGACAACGTGCTTGCCGTCTTTCCAATGGCCCGCACCAAAGTTATCGCGTGGCTGTGACGGGGCAGAGGACCAGTTAGGAGCTGGGCTCGACCCACCCCAATTGTTGCTGGTAGTTCTAGGAGGAGTGCTAAATCCACTGTTGCGGTTGCTTCTATCCGAATACCCGCCACCATATCCGCCACGGGCAGGAGGCGTCGAGGAACGGGAATCAGTCCAGCCGTTTCTAGGGTCAACGTCAATGATCAAGTTGTGCAAAACGACTGGCAATTAACACACCCGTTGGAAAGGGAAGGGGAAGAAGCAGCCCGCTGCGAGTTCCGCATGTGAGGAGGAACATAAGCGGTCTTATTCAGGCCAAGGTCGGCTGCAAAAACGACGAATCAGCTAGGGACAAGTGGAAAACGTCCAATACGACGAACCGAAGCGGGACTCGAGTCCCGTTGAGCCGTTAACTACGCCATTTGTCATTTGTGAGGAGTGTAGGTGGTGGTTAGAAACCAAGATGGTTAAAAAAATCTCATCACTGTGACTCTGTCACGACTAACTGCCCCATACCGATGCCGTTTCAGCACGAGCGCCGCCGACTCAGGACAAAAAATCGCAAAGAAACAATGCAAAAAAGCCTTATGAATGACCGTAGAGTTCAAGTGTATCGATAGGGTCGAAAAAAGATGTGGCTGTGACGACTTACTCTTTGTTGACTCTTTGTCCTTCTCTCACTTTCACTCTGACTCCTACTCTAATAATAATATGCGACCTGACCCTCAAGTCCACGACGAAATACTCGGAGTTCCTGTTGGAACACTCTTTGCTGATCGGGGAGATGCATACAAATCCGGCGTTCATGGAGTTACTGAAGTCAGTCAGTCAATTCAAGCTGACTCCGAGTGCTGATCGTTGTGTCTACTTATAGGCCGGCATCTTTGGCACCAAAGATTTGGGCGGCGCATTTTCCATCGTTATCAACGGCACGTATGTCGACGACGTAGACGAGGGTGACAAAATGTCCGTCGCGTTCAATTGCGTTTTCAAAGCCACTGACACAGTTAATCATAGCATTTTCACTGGTGAAGGTTCATGCTCACTTCTTGGCTTCGATGCTTGCTCTAATATCGATATAGGTCGAGGAAAAGCTCCTGTTGTCCCAGGCGAAGAGGTATCGACCGGCATCCTCGTCGGGTTCGCTCATCCATTTGTTCTCCAGCCGAAGAAATCCAAGTCCAATGTTCAAGTAGGCGATCAAGACCCAAACTCTCGTGGAAACAAAGCTTTACGGGTATGCGTCTTATCTGACCCTCGTCGCCACTACATTGCCAACTAGGAAAACATACGAACTCGTAACCCCGTTCGTGTTATTCGGGGTCCTGAAGGCAATCCCAAGTACTGCCCAGTTCAAGGGTGCGTCATTACCTCTCACAACGCGCACCTTGACTCAAACTGCTTCTAGATATCGGTACGATGGACTCTACGAGGTTACTCATGTACGTCTTTTCTTTGACCCCGTGATTGCGCTGACTTGATGATGACTCAGTTCGAAATGAAGGAGGGGAGGGAAGGATTCAAGATGTGCATGTTCACCGTTGAGCGCTGTACCTCTTTTACGCAGCTAGATCTTCCTCTCCACATCACTGGGCTAGGTGGACATGACATTTTCTGGTCTCCAGACCGCGACTGCGCTGGCGAGACACTCAACAGGCGTATTCCGGCCAAGGGAACGCGGGGCATCACGAAGGCTTCTACCAAAACCAAGATCGGCCCAATACGCGCAAGCATCGGAAGGCGAATCCGTGACCTGAAAATGTCTAGGCGCTCCTCTCTCTAGATATCGATGTGATGCCCACCTTTTCTTGATCTTTCACTCTCATTACGACTCCTTACGACCACTAACACAACTACTTGTCCCTTGCTGCGCATGGCGACCTCCATCTAATCTGTACATACTGCCTAACATGCTTGAACTACACACAATGCCAATGCTTTTCTATTCCCAAGCAAGGGATTCATGCACAACAAATCTCGGATTGCTGTTAAACTACGTAGTTGTCCGTGATTGGTCCACATCCGTTTCCACCGGCTGCGGTTCTGGGTCTGGATGGGCTGCATTCCATGTTTTTAGTCCCATCTCATACGCCTCCCATACTCGGCGTCCCAGAACTTCGCCCCCAAGTTCCCCATCCTCGACCATCTTGAGCTCTTCCTTGCCTTCCACAGGTTTTTCCATGGATGCTGCCTCAGTGGCCGTTTCGACCTCAACACGCATCGGCACCTTGGCAACTGAGCATTCGGCGTATAAGGCCCCCGGTTTGAGTACTTCACGCTCCTGGCTCTGGTGTCGTGGAAGTTCTTCAGCCGACATAACCTAACCAACCATGAATATCAACCGAAAAGAAGAGAAGTCAAATATCACTTTGAACGGCGTTGGGAGAAACAGCGAGTGCAGGACGGTTTCGATACTAGCCGCAGCAGATTTGGCGAAAACGAGCAGGAAGGGGTACATAATGGCATAGCTGGAACAAGAACGTTAGATCGTAGCTTGACGAAATCAGTGTACTCACAATAGCATTCCCAATACGTTTCCACCAAGCAGGGGTGCGATCGTTTCTGCCCTACTAAGACCAGGTGACACGCTGAGAGCGACAATATTGCTTCGTTGCGAGCCTGTACCAGGGCGGACGACCGGCACGGGAGCAGCGTTTTGTTCCGATGGCTTTGGGAGTGGTGCCGAGTTGGGCAATGCATCGAGTATGCGCTGGAGGTGTCGGGCAAGAATGACAGTGCGGAGAGAACGAATGCCTTCCGCAAGAAAGGTGGATTTAGGTTTGACCCCCTGGTTGAAAGCAAAGGAATGGGGTGCTTCAGAGCTACCATTGGAAGCAAAGGATGGAATGGCAGCAGGATAGAATCTGTTGACGATGTTGATGATACGAATATCCCGTTCTGCTGGCGCAGTCAGTAACACCGGCAAAAGCAGAGTGGTCAGCAAGAATGTCGCTAGAGAGGCAGTCTCCCGTCTCATCTCGTCTTGCTCCCAGTTCCTCCTCTTGCCCAAGGCCCCTACATGGCGATATTCGTGGGCAAATATAACTGCGTCGATTCGTTGCTCTTGATTCTTTGCAAAACGCGCTCCAAACGCGTGGATGGATGGTGGGGAGTCAAGGTCACAGGTCTCTGCAAAGATTTGCTCATTGGATGTGGCCGAGCGAAGAAGGTCGATGTACGTGGTGACGACCTCCGACTCGACAGGGTATGGAGTGAGTGCTATAACGTGTGCACCCCGCTGGGCTAGTGCCTCTAATAGGGTTAGCCCAAACGGTGTGAAGCCTCCCTGGGTAAATTAGTTGCGAAGAAAACCGCGACGAGAACGCCATACAGTCAAGAGGATAACCCGCGCATGGAGATCACGGTCCCGACTTGTTCTGCGACCTTGAGAAATGACACGTGCGAGGATAACGACGACGATGGCAGTGACAACGTGAAGGGTGTAGTCGGTGGGGAAGTAGGCTGCAGCAGCAGCAGCGATTTTGAGAACCATTTCAGTTAGGCAGACATTGAAGAGAACGAAAAGCGAAGCTGGATGACATCATCCAGATTTGTGAAAGGTAACTGGGTCGAATTACTACGAATACAATATGCGGTCTAAATGGTTTACAATTGCCCCGAAAATAGTATCAAAGCCCAAAGCCATGTCTTGTCACAAATGACTGGAGATCCTGTGGTGTGGCTAATGCAACAACAAATTTCCGACTAGGGTCAGTCACTGGAAAAGTCCAAGTTGATGCTAGCTTGGATGAACCACCAAGACTCACCGATAGCGAATATGTTGTGTTTCAAAAATGTTTCGAGCTCGTTGAGTGGCGTCAGTGGTGTGATGACCGTGTAGGGTTGCTCAGAAGTGCGGGTAAAGCGCGTCATGTACTTGTTAACTTTGTCCCCCTGCGTGTTAGATGAGATTATTCAGTGGAGGAAAAAAACGAAGGACCGACAGCGTCAGCTTTGCCTGCTTCCCATTGCGTTTTCAGCGTAGCAACATCGATATAGCCTAGTGGTTTGCGGTGCCGATCCAGTACACTTTGTCTTGCTTAGGGCTGGGAAAGCAAGGCGGGACGAGCAACACACGGGATATGCGAGAAATCGCGCTCATAAGCAGATTCGATAGCTCGGAAAATGGTATCGCTTGAGTGCACAGTGAATGCCGGGGAAAGCTGCAGATCCTAAAAAGGAATTGAATACCAGTCGCTTGAGGCCCGAACTTCCGTACCTCGACAACGGCACCTCGGTATTTGTCGGTTGGCAGACTAAAGTGGTGGCTGTCGGCTGCGGGTTGAGACAGCGTCGCTGTGGCCATAGTTCGTTGGTATAATTATTCCTTTAGAACGCAAGCTAGCTGAGATCGCAATCTTTGCGAAGGAACAAACAAGGAGGGAGATCGTGTCACAAACGTGACAGTCAAGGAGCAGCACGTGCTTTTCGACTCTGTATCTCTCAGAAAACTCCTGTGGAGGCTGTCCGCCCAATCAACCTATCGTGCATACGAATAGTAATACGATATTATTCTCCTCCGCTCTGGGACTTGCATTACTTGCCTTGCAATTTTTATCGGATTTCTTGCTCGTGTGATCCGTGCCCCGGGACATGCCGTTCGCAAGGATGACAAGGCAACCGCTTGCGGGTAAACAAATATATATAAAATTTCATCACTCTGACTCCTCATTCAGGCAAGAACTGGAGAAGAAGAGAGCCACATACGCAACTGGCTACACGCACGCACGCACCAGCAATCCTTCCCTGAAGCTTGCCTGAAGCAGCTCCGAGAAAGTCTGATTTGTGAGTCACTTTCCGGTGTTCAAAAAAAACACGTTTTGATATGAATAAGTGATCGCATGGACCTGTCGAAACCATATTTATGATGTGCGAGCCGCGCTGCTTTCTTTCATCCCACTTGCACGTCCCCGGCGCTCGCTGCCTGGCCTTGCTCGCCAGGAGCGTTTACCATGCTGCCGTATGCGCTCAAGTTGGTCTGGTTTGCTGCTTGTCTATCTGGTATTTCACTATCTGTGGACCCACAAAAGAAGCTCACTCTTCTTCTATCAGGAACTTTAGTTTCTTGGGTTGGAGTAACGGCAGTTGGCAAACAACTTGGTGTGCCATGGGCCTCCTACAGCATTTGCGTCTCGCTGTCTGTCATGGAGGGCATGTTCTGTTTGGGTTAGTGGACTGACCTCCTACCATCGAAGCCGACTGACCTTTCTAGGCATTTTCTGGCGTATGGACCCCTCCCAGATGCCTAAAGCCTTCTGCATTGCTCAAACCATCATAATGCACATTGCGGCCTACGTGCTTATTGGGCTCTACAGTTCGTTCTTTGTGGCCACGACATTACATGTCCTCAAGCCGAAAAAATGGGGCAACCTAGGAAAGTGAGTTCAAGTAGTCGATCTTCACTTGTTTCCGAACTCACTTCATTTCAGCGCTTTCAAATGGCGACCCATGTATATCATTCCCGTCGTTATCTATCCAACGCTCATGTCTTGCATCCACTTGACATTGGTCTTCACGTACGACGCTATTCAGCCCGCGGGCATCGACGACATGTACTGTAACGCGACTAAGCCTATCTGGATTCGTCTCGTTGGACTGGCACTTCCTCTTACTGTCAGCATCCCTTTCTCTTACCTCGCTATCATCTCTTTGGCCCGAGTTCGGCGCATTTTAGCCCATATCGAGCGCGCAAACAGGGACAATAACGATCTACCACGGAAAATCCGTCGTGATAGATCGAGTTTCAAAGGCAGAAGGGAAGAGGGAGGTGAAGCGGAGCCGCGCAACTCAATGGCTTCGTCAAGCTTTCCGACATTTGCACCCATGCCGGACTTGACGGGCAAGCCTCCTCCGCATGTCAATCTGGACTTGGTGGGCGAGGGGTCAAGTGCACCAACGAGCGACATCGGGCATGGGGATTCAGAGTTGGATGTCACGATAGAAGCAATCAAAAGAGACGAAGAGGAGGACATCGACGATGGCGGGACCTTTCGCCTAAGTTATCGAGAAAACGCTCTACCGCCTGCCCCTTCTCGTATGTCTTGGTCAGTTGCACTGATGCTCTGAAACCTAACTTTTGACGGCCAGGAATTTCTCATATTGCTGTTGTGCCTTCACATGCCTCAACCATATACTTGCTCGTATTGTTTCAATTGTGCGCTTTCAACGCCTCGCATCAATCCCGACTGACCACTCGATAACAGCCTTTTCCCACTCTTTTTCCTTGTCGGGAGTCTCTCGACGATCCTCGATGTTGCCGCCAAGCGCGCAACACCAACACCATTTGGGACTCACCACGTTGCGCTGCTAGCAAGTGCATGGATTCCTGCGCTGCTGCCTTTCACCCAATCGAGCGTCCGAGAAACTGTTCAACGGACTTGGAGACTTGGGGGTCGCTGACCAATCATATACGCTACCACATATTCACATACGCATATTTTGGCACTAACTGTAATGTATCTGTATATACGCCACTACAACCCACCCTTGAATATTACCCCAGGAAACCAACCATATTGGGTGTGTTATGTCACACTTGAGAACGATGACATCGACAACCACAACTTGCTCCAAGTCCCTTCACCAACCATGGTCGATTGGATACGCCGCATCGTCTCGGGAAATAAGGCTCGGTACAAAGACCCCAACCTCAACCTCGAACTCGACCTAGTTTACCTCACACCACGCATAATCATTATGGGTTACCCCGCTGAAGGCTTTGAAAGCTTTTACCGCAACAATCGCGACGATGCGAGGCGCTTCCTGGAGCACCGGCATGGCAAGAACTTCTGGGTTTTCAACTTTTGTCCCATACGCGAGAATTCATACGAAAAGGAGTTCTTCGATGGTCGTGTTAGTCGCTATCCATTTCCAGACCATCAGTATGTTTCTCTGGCTCTGCTTTTTTCCCGATTCAATTAAGGGCATCATCAGCGCGCCTCCATTGGCCATCATGCCCCTTGTTGCCCGAGAAATTTCAGAGTGGCTGGATGGTGCTCCAGAGAGAGTTGTCGTCCTGCATTGTAAAGGTACGTCGTTCCGTTAGAGAATCGATACGTTGCTGAGAAGCGAGCAGCTGGAAAGGGGAGGTCCGGCACGATGGCCTGCACATATCTACTCTCGACCGAAAGACCCCCGAGTCCCAAGCACGAAACAGAAGCATCCGAATGGGCAAAAGTCCGTGCTAACGACGTCATGAAGAGTGTTGAGCATTTAGAAGATGCCTCACTTCCCCCGACCCCAGCCGCAGTCGAGAGTCAGGACCCTATATCCACGACGAATTTGACCGATGCATTGACTGCTGTGCTGGATCTTCATACCTCCCGACGCATGAAACCTGCCGGTGCCAATGAGAAGGCAAAACAAGGCGTCAGCATTCCCAGCCAACGACGCTGGTTACACTACTGGGCCCTCCTTCTTGCCCATGCCGCTCCATCCCACCTCTGGGCTAATCCTCCGATCCAAACACAACCCAAAGTACGTTTAACAAGAATTACGGTCAGAATGCGGGAAGCTGGCGCGCTGCGAATCAATCTCGTTCGCGCTGCATCAGCGCTCTTAGATCGCACTGGTCGAGGAAAGACCGGCTCGGCGCAAGCAGGCGGACGACTCATGTGGGTGTCACTCGCCCGATACGACGACTCTTTTGTAGAATTATTAGAACGATGGGAGCAACACACAAGGGAACCTGGCGGTCATATGGGAAGGCCCAATAAGCATTCGCAGGCCAAAGTAGACGGAGAGGCGTTGGCAGAGGTATTCGACGAGCGGGGGAGGTGGGATAAAGAGAAGATGGTGCGAAGTTTCGCTAGGATGGGAGTCCTTGAAGATGAAGACGTAGAGAAGATTGCGACTGAGGTTGGTAACAACGTCTTCACTCGACCGACTTGTTGACCCAACTTGATTTAGGAAGGCAAGATGTGGTCGTACACATTACTACCTTTGTCAGAAAGCGGTTGGGTCAACGTTCGGCAGGCAGTGCAGGAGAATACGCAGCCCAAAACTGGCGATCTTGAAGTTGATGTCCCTGCGTCGGAGGTCAACTCGATCCACGATGCTACTGAAAGCATCAGCGGTCCCGGCATCGTTCTTGATGCAGGAAGGGAGGTTCGAATCAAAATCTACATGGGTCAAGTGAGTTTCATGATCTGAATTGCCTTCTACCTTTATAAATCTTCTGGTAGATCTTCATCGGTTGGGCGTGGTTTGTACCAACCTTCCACATGAATCAACCCCATCCTTCATCATCAACCGACATAAACGCACCGTCCCCAACCAAGTTCACACTCAAGCGCAAGCAAATGGACTTCCCGATTGGTCTGGGAAGCTCATTGGTTGACGTTGAGATTGAAATGGAGTGGGTCCAGGCCGCAGACAGTGCAAGCGTACAGCCACCGCAAACATTGGCTTCACCAGAACCCGAGGGTATCGGCCTCGGCATGAAACTTGAGGCAGTAGCGAGAGGCGGTATGGGTGACGCAGCAGAGGCAAAACAGGCTGCTCAAGATTAAATATTCTTCCAATACCAGGGGAACGAGGTGGAGATGCACAATGGACTCGGTGTGTAGACAGTATTTAATAGCCATTCACTTCACTGCACACTCATCCTTTGACATTGAACCTGAACGCCGGATTTTTCTCGTCCAGGAACTTCCACAATGATTGACGTTTTAGATCGCGAGCCTGCCAGTCATTAAGCAGCGTTGGGAGTGGCCCAACCACCGACAGGAGGGATTCGTCGTGTGCCAGAACAACAAACACATCTGGATTGGCATCAAAACTTTCTGAAAGCTTTTTGACAGAGTCTTCTGCTTCCGGCACATCCTCGAAGTAGCCATCGGTGGCTACTGTAAGGAGAGGCTCATTGCGCGCCGCTAAATTGAATTCGGTACTTGAGCCACTTGTGGGGAAGTGGGTGTGCGACACTGAGGAACGCGTGGCACTCAAAATAGCCCCAGGGCAAGGAAAATGCTTGTGTAGAGCTTCAGTTGGCCGGAGAACACCAGCATGGTGGCAAGCGTCAGCGCCGAGCAGAATGAACGAAGTCGGCGTCGTTCTAGCCAGACCGCAAATATGTCCCGCTTGGTGCTAGAGATAATGTTTGGTCAGCTCGGGAGAGTCAGAGTAATTATAAACGTCGCACTCCAGGAACATCTAGCAGGTAAAAGCTGCCATCGTCAAAATAGTCAAATGCTCTGAAACCACCAATTCGCAGATCCGTTTTCTTGAAGTCTATGAGCACGAGTGGGTGTCCTCTGGATTACATTAGAGAGCAAATTGCGCTTTAGCAGTAGCACGCACATGAGATCACTGGGCAGCAAATGACTGTACTGACGGGTCTTGTAGGTCTCCAACGACATCTCGGAGCTGATGACCAGGTTAACGCTAGGTGGGAAGAGGGTCATGTCGCCCGTATGGTCGGCATGAGCGTGGCTGGAAAAAGGTCAATGGCATTCCACCGAGATCCAGACTGCAACTGACCTCCAAATGATAGCACTGATGCTCTCGAGCGGCACCCCGTCCTCGACAAGCTGCTTTGTGATGTCTTTGTCGACCGGCAGCGCGGCGTGGCCGGCTTGGATAGCAGCAGCAAACGACGGAACCGCGTTTTCGAGGTCTTTTCTCGGGCCCAGATCGAACATGACGCGTCTCTTGGTCGTCTCATTCTCGACAAGGAAGGCAAAGACGGGGCACGTGAGCGTCTCGTGGCCGGGGAGGACGGGCTTGAAGAACGACGCAGCAGAAGCGATGACCTTGTTGTGGTCGGAGATGACGTCGTATATCTTAACCGACACGGTCGAGGTGCAGAAGGGAATGTTGGCCATTGCTGATGACAGTGCGAGATGAGCGCTAGCGGCTTAAAATAGTCTGGAGATGACGATGCACTGGCCTTAAAAATAGGTCTTATATGCCAGACTCCAATATGATGACCAAGCGCTTAGAGACTGTTTGAAAGCGTTACCCATAAAGCCCTGATGATGGTAAGTAGAGGATTAGCAAGCGAATCAGAGTTGATTTGTTGCGTGCTTTTCATATGCTAAGTCCATGATGTACATCGTCTTTCTGTGAGTATTAGTCGAGTCGTGGTATAAATAGCGAAGATTGTCCAGAGTCTAGATGAATAGATAGATGCTAATCGAAGCTAACATCGCAACCCATGATGCCGCACCCACACTCGTCCTCCAGGCGCCACTTTGTCCCTTTGACCCACCAACCGAGCCAGATTTGGTTGAGTTGACCGTTGCAGCCGCGGGTAGTGAAGCAGACAGAAGCCCGGCTTGGCGATATGTGTCGACAAACTTGGTACCGTTCGCTGCGAGACTGATGAGATCAAACTGCATTGTCGCGCCAAACTCGTCCGTGGTCGTGGTCGAATACATATCATAACCGAATTTTGAGGGGATGCTGTTGTTCCGCGCGAGGTCGTAGGTGGCATTGACGGCAATGTAGTTGGCTGTAGCACGCCCGAAACAATCAATGTAGACACGTTGAGGGTTGCTACCGCTTTTGACCTGGGAAAAACGGGTTAGTGCTACACAACAGGTGGGAATGGAACATGCAAACTAACAGCAGCAACGAGATACCATCCATCCTGGCCTGCAAGAACACCCTTGGTTCTGCTCATCGAAGGTACCCACAAAACTTGGTCCTGATCAACTGGATAGTAAGCACCATTGTTGTCCGCAATACTAGTTGTGCCGTTGCCATGATTGATGTTGAACCAAAACTTCGAGATGCCTTGGTTCTGAGCGATCGGCACAACAAACTGGAATTTTTTGAGAGTGACACCCATAGCAGAGCTGACGGTCGAGGCAGGATTATACGAGCTACCCGAGGCAGCGTAACGCTTCAGGTCGCCCTTGCAGTCTGCGTTTTCGCCATAACGGTCGCACCAGTACATACTAACGGTTGTGGTGTTGGACGCAAGTTGTAACCGGACAGCAACCTGGAATTCGAGGCTGGATTCACCAATAGTCAATTGGGGGTTCGATATTTTGACAGGTTGCAGGTCGATATAATCCGTCAAGGTCACTGAGGACGGGACGGTGTTGAGCATCTTATCGAAGATGGAAGTGCAAGTCTTGGAGAAAGTGTCGGCGGTCGACATGCTAAAAGCGGGTGGGTATGTAGAGATGATTAGAAAGAAGGTAGGACCAACCTCCTCATGGTAGCATTCCCGTCGGCGGCAAAAACGCGTAGGTCGGATGCCATAGTTTGATTGAGGACAATCAACGGATCCCGCGTAGTCCCATCGAGATATTCCGTTACACTAAAAAAAAGAGAACGTTATTCCCCTCACATAATCAGGCAAGACACCCACATGTTGTGATCGAATTCCTGAGTTTGGTCGAAGAGAGCAACGACGGTATCCGCAGTGTTAGCGCCGGCGGCGACAACGTCAGGAAAGTCAGGGTAGCGAACACCGCCAAGTGTGTGTCCACAAGCAGTGAGCTGTATCATCTCAGACACATTGAACCCCTGCTTGGCGAAGGTACTAGTCAGTAGCTCCACAGAATCAGTAGCATTGGGCACTCCAAATGGTCCGGCAATGTTGGCATCGATACGCCCACCGCGAATGGGCATCGGAGGGCCACCACAGGCAGCAACAGCGAATACTGTTCCCAACGCAATGATATCCGCACCTGCTACCATGAATAACAATAAAAGGAAGAGACTGGCCCAACGCACGACTGATGTATTTGCTGGGGAAGGAAGAAAAGTCGCTGACTGTGTTCTTCATGCCAGACCCGACGTTCTAACATATCGGTAAAACGGGTAAGAGCGACATAATAACAGAAAGACCAACCTCTTCCCTGCTGATCTCGAAGAATATGGACCCGTCGAGGCCGCCTGAGCCGTCAGCAATGTTGTGTGTGGCCGTGTCGTGGTAGACAAAGCGGACCCATTCAGCTGCGATGGTGGTATTGGTCCCTCCTCGTAACTTGCAAGAACGGACAAGATCTGACATGCTTGAGCCGTCTGGCCGAGTGCCTTCGTAGAGAAACTCCTCTAAAGCATCGTAAAGCGGTGAGGGCCACTGGTAGTTCGCGGCGTAAGAAAGTGGTACGGAGACAAGCAGTCCAAGCAATAGGTGAGGAAGTGTCATCGTCGTCGTGAATTCAAGAAAAGTCGAATGAATGTGGTCGGTTGTGGTTATTAGTGGTTGCAGCGGGTGGATGAACGCTGTTGAGTTCACGACTAAAGGTTACAAGATGAAGGGAGGAGGGAGGAAGGTTGGAGTGGTAGGTGTCAAGAAAAAGCTTCCTTTGCACTGCCACGATATCACTTGGTTCCAGCCAACGACGCGGCTACACCAGACCGTTCGCTCTACCCACTTCTCGTTGACTTGAAACCTAGATTGTGGAATGGGTTTGACTAGCGGTGGATGGTGGTTTCTGATTCAGGTTACTCTCATGGGCTAAAGATATTCTGGTGAGTACCTCTGCATAATGCTCACGATCATCGTATTACTAGTACTCAACCGCTCGAAGTACTAGTCTCTTGGCGAAGACATTAGGGAGGACAATGGTTGACGCGCCTCACGTCAACAAAGCGTAGAGGGATCAACAACAATGCGCACAGTCCAAGCGTAGCGCTGCAGGCCTATAAAAGCCTGTGAACCGTCCAACGAGTAACTCGAACAACAATCAGCAAGACACTTATGCTCGTCAACAACGTCCTCCACCTCCTTTCCGCCCCGCTTGGCCAACCCAAGCCTGACCGCAAGAACCGCAGTTCCTTCAGCAAGCCCTACAAGCCCAAACCTCTGATCTCCGCCTTGCAACGATTTGTGAGGACAGAGAGGAGCTCTTCTCCTTCTCCCTCTCCGGTTTCAGATGGAGAAGACTCGTCGTCGTCGTCTTCTGACGTATCCCAGACCGAAGCTAATGGCGAAGGATCAGGTGCCCCTGTGCCACCAACCATCACGGCCCAGGGAGCGAGTTGGGAGGGGACGAGAGATGTGCCGAATATCAAAGACTCAGCCTTCATGTTCCATGAATTGAGCGACATTCGACTCTCTTATCGGCGCCCAATAATGGCTGATGTGATGCATCACCCAGATGTTCATCGTAGACTCCAGTTTCGACGCCTTCGTGACGCCAGGGCTGTTGGAACCGCGGCTTCTGCCGTGCCATTCACTGTTCAGCCTACCCGCTCGCTTCTCAAACCAATTTCTCACATTACCCGGACCTGGTTGCGACTTCAACGCATTGCAGAAGACATCTTGGAAGATGCTGAAATGTATCATCACCTCGTTTACGCCCAGACCCCAGTCGGAAAATACGAAGAGTATCGTCACCGTTGGGACCTTTTTGTCGAGCGTCGTCCGCCTGCCCCTCTCCTTCGGTTCGCGGATGTTCCGTGGCCCGTAGATTGCGGGAGAGTCTTCACTCGCGAGCAAATTACTGCCGGTCAAATTCATCGCTTCTTGGTTAGGCCGAATACTTGCGAGGAGCTTGAATGGGCGGCTGTGCATCGTCTTGAGCTCGAGATAGACAGATGGAGTGCTGTTAACGTGGCACAGTATCTCCTCCCCCGCGTTGCGAAGCCTGACCATGACTGTGTCAGTGACGCGGCCAAACTCGCTGTCGTTCATATGGCGAATATCAGGGAGGAGTTACTGCATCACTTCACCTCATCTGGGCTATCGCGTGCCCATTTGAAGCTTCAGAGGTGGCAACGAAAACAAGAGGAAATGGAGGCAGCTAAACAAGGATAAGCACAGTTATTTTCTGTACCTTCATTTTGTGTACATTTAATGTTGATTGGGGTCGAGATCATCGACGCCACTTCCGCTCGTTTCACACTCTGTTGCTTCCTCTCCACAACGGAATCCATTTTGTGTTCATTTTCCTTGATTCCCTCAATAAGATCATAGATAATGCCGCATTTTTGTGCGGGTCGCTCCCCAGTTTCCCGTCCTGTCGACGATAATCTTCCGGCTCAACATCCTCCGTTAGATCAGCATCTCTAGAGTCCAAATAAGTATACCAGTATACTTGCTTTCTCAGTCGATTCCCATCGCTCTAAGCATATAATTTAATTATCTTTCGTCATCACGGATGACTTGGTGAAAGCTACGAAACAAGGAACGATCACGTGACCGTAGATCTAACTATACAACACGCATGCCAGTGCTTTATCTTCTCCTCCCACAAGCACAGGGCAAGTTGTACGGACAGCTGCATCTACAACTTCCTATAAGCAGAATACTTTTATGAACAGCAACAGACGCACGGATACATGAACTGTTGCGGATAGTCCGAATATGCCGAAGGTTGACCTACAGGTGGTTGTTGGTAGTTGTAGGGTGCGGGATTATAGGGCTGTTGCATTGGCACACTTCCTTGATATGCGTGACTGGCGGGGAAGTTACCAGAAGGGCCAGGGCCGTGACCGGCGTACGGGTCGACGAGTTGCACTTGTTGGTCTGCGACATAGCCCGAGGGGCCCTCTGCGGCACCAGGGTGACGGGGATGGCGTGGTTGATTCAAGGGTCGACTACTATCCGATGCATGGGTGACGCTCTCGGGAGTGGAAGCCATGGGCAGATACTCGCATTTCCAGTTGTTGCTCACACAACGAGAGCACGGCGCATCTTGAGACAAAGTCATGCACTGACGATATGATAAGATGACACTGCAGTAAGCCCAGTCGACTTCACCTTGACTTTGCTGCGACGGCAATTACTGCATGCAACCAGGACACGACTGGGTCTAGGAGTGTTGGGTCTATGAGGATTAGACATGTTTTCGTTGTTCTGGTCTGCTCACTGGAGGGGGGTATTTGAGGTCTGCTCGCAAGCGCCGATATGCGATCACCAAACATGACGGTCAAGGACAGTCGACACATAGCTTTCGCTCCGTTTAGCGCGGTCTGGTCGAGTCGATAGAATTCTCAGCGTGGAATCTATGCAAGATGATAGCGCACACACAAAGTGTGAGGGTCACGTACCGCCTGTTTTGCTCCCGCAATAAACCTGGTGATGGCCCGGTCGTTTCGGTGACATCCCGATCCAACTGTTGTGCTCCCTGAGAAAGTGTGTCCTCGTCCATGACTAGTAACACCGCATCGGCGTTTTAAAATGGTTATCCGCTCGAATCTGAGTTGTCTACATGGGGGTGAGAACTTGCTATGCCTGTCAAGTTGAATGTGATGTTATTCAGGCCTTGCGATGCAACGCATGATCCGCAGTTGGAGCGAGAGTGAGGCTCAGCGCAAAAAGCCTTCAAGCCGGGATTCGTCTGGGTAACATTAAAAACAGTGTCGTCATGCACTGCTGAAGTTGGTTATCAAGCATAGCTTGTAAAGGCAGGTCGGAATCCTTGCCAAGTTGCTCCTAGGGGATGGAAGATCGTTCTGTTCTCTCCATCCATGAAGTTTGTTCGGGCCACATTCCACGTATGATTCAGACAGTAGCGCGGATGGCCAATGAAACGATGACCACCTGTACTTGGATGCGCACTCGAGAGTACGCCACTGTTGCGAGAGTATGATCGCAACAGGAAGCGCGTCGGGAAGCTGCGACTCAAGAAAGTCCAAGTTGCCTGTCGAGCATCGTTTAGCAGCCGTGATAGTGATACAAAGGCATGCAGTCAACCAGGTATGCACTCCCGACAAGCTCGCAACATACTATTGTCGCAGTATGCAAGGACACGAATCAGTCAGTCATCCAAAGTGTGTCGAAATTTGAGTCCATTTCAGGACATACTTGTCAGGTTGTCCAGAACCTGGGAGTCATTCATTCTTGAACGCATTGTACCTTCTAACGAGTGGGAAACAGGGTGAGACGATAGAGATGAGACTGCTCTAAGAAGCAGTGGCACAGGCATGGGACTCTAACACAAGCATTCTCATGGTCGCCTCTAACGGTAAGTTCTGGAGTTTATGTTGAACATTGGGAATCGTTGGGCTGCGTGTTGAGCTTGTTTGGGTTGACTGCATGCAGACGTGAATGTGACTGTCACATTACTGTGACCCTTCCCTTTTGGACGTGAGGACGCGCGTCGCGATCCTTCGACAACTTTGCAATGCCCAGCAATCCTACCGAATTCGCTATTCCTGTGACATCCGAGGATCCTAAGAAGAAGGACAAGGAGGAGGGCTCTTCTAAGCTTAACAAAGACAAGAAGAAAGATGGGGAGACCGAAGGGGAAGAATTAGTGCGTGTCCTGATTATTGCAGACACGCGAAACTAACTCCTACTCAGTCTGAAGAAGACCAGCAGCTCAAGGGTGAGCTTGAAATGCTAGCAGAGCGGCTGAAGGTGCGTCTTTCCATCCAATCTACCGCTGGCTAACGTCGTCAGGAATCCAATGCTGACCTCTATAAACCGGCGCTGGAAACTCTTCGGACTCTCATTCGCACATCCACTTCTTCGATGACATCCGTTCCGAAACCACTCAAATTTCTGCATCCATTGTACCCCGGCCTTCAAACGCTCTACGAAACATGGGAGCCATCCGAAAACAAGGTAGATTTCGCGCTTTCTTCCATGTTCTGAATCTGAAACGTTACCTAGTCTTTATTCGCAGACATCTTATCAGTCTTAGCTATGACTTATTCGGACACGCAACCGCGAGGCACTCTTCGTTATCGTTTACTGGCAGCAGAAATGCGGCCAGCAGGCTCACCGCTTTCCGACCCTGGATCATGGGGGCACGAATACGTTCGACATCTTGCCGCTGAACTGGGTGACGAATACAACATTCGTGAACAAGAAGATGACGAGGTTGAACCAGTCAAGGGTTCATCACCTGTGCTCAAAGTTCCTGGCACAATTGACGACCTCCGTGCCTTGGCGAAAGAATGTGCTGTATTCCTCCTCGACCATAACGCCGAACCGGACGCTATCGATCTTCTTCAAGAGTTGGAGATGGTGGAGGAATCAATCGCTCTTGTCGACAAGAATACATATACGCGCGTTTGCCAATACCTCATTGGGTTTGTTGTCTATCTATTTGGCTCACTTATAGCGCTGACCTCGATCTAGTTGTGTCAATTTACTTCCACCTCCGGATGATATTGCTTTCCTTCGAACCGCTCACGCGATCTATGCGCGACAAAACAAATTCCCGGAAGCTCTAGCTCTCGCAATACGGCTGGGAGATCAAGAACTCATCCGAGAGGACTTCAATACTCCCTCCAACCCGTGCGTCTGCTCCATCGTTTAATTTGCGATGCTGATACGTAGTTACAGACAGATGAAGAGACAACTTGCTTTCATTCTTGCAAGAGCGCAGATACCTATCGAGTGGTTGCGCGCTAACCCGGACGACGACATCGACATAGAGGACGAGTTTCCCGAAGACATCCGAGAATGTCTTAGCAACACGCGCCTTTCTACTCATCTGCGTGAATTCGGCAAAGAACTCGGTGTTACAGACGCGAAGAGCCTCGAAGAAGTTTACAAGACGCATCTTGAAAACACAAGTATGCATCACTCGCGTCACTGGAATTTTTTGCTGATGTGAACTCAGGGCCAAACGCGCTTGCCAACGTCGATTCAGCGCGTGGTAATTTGGCTGGCTCGTTCGTCAACGCATTCGTCAACGCCGGGTATGGGAATGATAAGCTGATGGTTGAGGCGGAAGAAGGCAATTCATGGGTGTACAAGAACAAAGAGCACGGTGCGTTATGCAATCTCCAAGCCTCGCTCTCTCAACTAGTTCCAGGTATGTTAAGTGCTGCCGCATCTCTTGGCGTCAGCCTCTTGTGGGACACTGAAGTCGGTCTCTCACATATCGACAAATACACCTACTCCTCCGAGGAGTACATCAAAGCCGGTGCACTTTTGGCTACCGGGATCCTCAGCAGCGGTGTTCGAACTGAAGCTGATGTCGCGAAGGGTTTGATCGGGGAGTATGTCGACAACAAGTCCGTTCCTCTCAAAACTAGCGCCATTGTTGGTCTTGGTCTTGCATATGCAGGGGCTCATCGTCAAGACCTGTTGGAACTATTGCTTCCGCAGGTATCAGACGATGTTAGCATGGAGATTGCTGGTCTCGCCGCGCTCGCCCTCGGATTTATCTTTGTCTCCAGCGAAAACGGCGAAATTACTGGAACGATTCTTCAAGTGTTAATGGAGAAGGCAGAGCAGAACGACGCGTCTCTGGATGAGAAGTGGGCGAAGTTCATGACATTGGGTCTGGGCCTCTTATATCTTGGTTCGTCTTCATCTCTGGCCACAACAGCTCATTAATCTCAATCAAATAGGCCTCCAAGATGCGTCGGACACGACCATCGAAACGTTGAAGGCGATAGAACACCCAATCGCCAAGACTGCGCAGGTTATTGTGGAAGGGTGCGCCTTCGCTGGCACGGGAAATGTGCTGAAGATCCAAGCCATGCTGCACCACTGCGACGAGCATATTGTGGAGAAGAAAGAGGAGAAGAAGGACGACAAGAAAGAGGACGCTGCTGCCACGACAGCGCCGACTGCCGGAACAGCGGCAACATCGGAGGCGACGCCGAAAGAAGAGGACAAAGAGGATACGAAGCCTGGAAAGCAAGATGATACCTTCCAGAGCTTCGCCGTCCTCGCCGTTTCGCTGATCTCGATGGGTGAGGAGATTGGTGCGGAGATGGCGTTAAGACAGTTCCACCACTTGGTATGTTTGAAATATTCTCGTTCGCTCTTCTTCATTGCCTTGTAGATGCACTATGGCGAGCCTGTTATCCGAAAAGTAGTCCCTCTAGCAATTGGACTGAACAGTGTTTCAAATCCTCAGCTGCCCATTCTGGACACGCTCTCGAAGTACAGCCACGACAACGATCTCGCCGTTGCACTGAACGCCATTTTCGCTATGGGGCTCGTCGGCGCAGGGACAAACAACGCGCGTTTGGCGCAAATGCTTCGTCAATTAGCGGGCTACTACTACAAAGAGCCAGATTGTCTCTTCATGGTCCGTGTCGCTCAGGGCTTGGTGCATATGGGCAAGGGGACCATTGGTCTTAACCCGTTCTACTCTGACCGGAGTATCATGAGCCGTCCTGCCGTTGCTGGCTTGTTGGCGGTTCTAACGGCCTTCACGGATGCGAAACACTGTAAGATCACTGATTGGGAATGATTCAAGGCTGAACTCATTCGCAGTCATCCTCGATAAATACCACTGGATGCTTTACTTCCTTGTGCCCGCGATGTATCCGAGGTTCCTGATTACTGTCGACGAAGAGCTCAACCCCAAGCCGGTAACGGTTCGGGTTGGACAGGTTGGTGGCTCTTTTTTGGTGTCTGGAACGGACATTGATCTCTTGTTTCACAGGCTCTAGATGTCGTTGGCCAAGCAGGCAAACCCCGAACAATATCTGGTTTCCAAACACACCAGACACCAGTGAGGTTGGCTACCAAAGATCGTGCGGAGTTGGCAACAGAGGAGTACATTCCATTTGCGCCGGTGCTCGAAGGTATTGTGATCCTCCAAAAAAATCCAGGGTGGGAAAAAGAGGACAAGATGGAGTTGTAGTCATACTTGAGTCATACTTAGAATTAACATTTAATTTGCTCTCCTTACTGATGCGTAGTCCCGACATCGCGGGACCGACGCTACGCATCAGACCCGCACCTGTCAAAATCCATGCGACGCACAGCCTCAAAATCATATGACTCAGACGCGGGTATAAAAGGGCCCAGCGGAAGCTTTTTGTTACGACCTTCTTTTCCCTCGCCGCCTAGATAACAAGTAATGCAAACCCGACTACAAGCAAGACAAGCAAGAGCAGCAGCAGCAGCTGCTGCCCAACCCACTCTCACACCTACGACCTCTTTCACGCGTGGCCCGTCGCCATTTAGCTCCACCTTGTCTACTCTAACTCCTTCATCGTCCTCATTTGTTGTTGAGGTTGAATCAGGCCCCTCTAACCAATCTATGGATAAGGGTGGCGATAAAATGCCAACTGATCGACCTTTGGCAGCACGGATGTTTGGTCTCCCCTACTTCCCAGCCGCAGATGATTCCCGGGCTTTTTTGACGCCGTCTAACACGGTCTATTATCCACCGGAAGTATTTGAAACACCAAGAAGGGCTGCGGGGCCAACAGACAAGGAGCTCAGGACGGCGGAATGGGCTCGGGATATGGAGTTGGCGCGCGATGAGAGAATGCGGTTGACAAGAACGGGAACTTTGTTAGTCCCCGATGGAGATTCTGAACCGTTAGAACCGGGGAAGGGGCTGGGTATTGGACTGGGCTCTGCATTCGTGAGCCCAGAGTCGCAGATTCGGTCGACATCGTCTCCAAATCGCGCGTTGAGAAGAGTGCAAATACCAAAGATAGTCATGCGTGATCTAGAATCGTCTTGAAGGAACGGCTTCTTATTTGTTTCCAATGTACCGTATTTGTTTATGCCAACTTGAATTGACGACATTTCATTTCTCCATTGTCTCTAAAATTTTAGCCAGTCTTTCCTTGCGCATGGGGATCCAAAGGATTTCAGTGGCACCAACCTGGGCACTGATGACGAGACTGTGGTCGCGAAACTCCTCAAGCTGGGCTCGAAGCTGTGTGTCGTTTGTGGCGATGAACTTGCTCCGACTGAGTGGAAAGAGAGCGTCATATGCAATTCCATGAGCCTGCAATGCATCCACCGTGGGATCACCGCCCTCTGTCTCGATGCTCTCCAGCTGGTGTTTGCTCATAAGGACGAAGAGTTGTTTAGCGCGGTCCGTCACGGCAGCCAACACATGTTGGACGGCAGTGTTTGAAAGAGGGACACCCGCACCAGATGCAGCGGCTTCTCCACCACGAGTCTTTCGCCCTCGAGCACCTGTTATCGATGTTTTATCGGCGAACGCCAGCTCGGTATCATAAGAGGCAAGTGTCGTTATGTCGTGCCACAACCAAGCAAATCCTCTTGGAGGATCGCCGCCACTCCCCCAAGCGCTGTCTTTTCGAGCAGAGCTCTCGGAGGTAGACCAGAGTAGCGGAGCGTTAATATGGTCGACAGACGCCACGAGATGGATGTTCGGATGCAGCGCAAGCAGGGAAAAACATGCTTTAGCTTTGGGTACCCGCATGAGAAACAAGTCGATGTTGTGCACGATGAGGAACATTTTTGGTGTTTTTCGAGCGGGCTGTGAGAAGTAGTCGTATATTCTGCGCGCCTGGTTGTCGGGAGTGTTGGCTGCGAGAGGAAGATCGATTATACCAGCGATGTTGGCTTCGATGGACTGGAGCATCTCCTTGAGCGTGATTTCTGGGTGGTAACCGTTGACGATGATGACATGTCCAAGCTTGCAGCATCGAGTCATGGCCAAATCCTCCAAAAACGCGCGTTTTGAGCCATATCCATAGCACAGCAGGTTGAAGCCTTCTCTCAACTCGAGCATCATTCGGGCAAACATTTCCGAACGCTCCGGCTCGCGTAGAATGACAGACTCGAGTCGGACATCGTTGGCAGCCTCGATTCCCTCGGTATACTCGTCGGCGGTGAGTGGCTGTACGAGAGAGGAGAAGAGATTGGCTGAAGTTGCGATTTTGGCGGCTGATCGCGAAAAATACGCGTCAAAATTGGTCTGCACGATCGTGTGGCTTTCTGAATCAGCGATGGCCTTGCCTTTGCCTTTGTCGACCTCAGACTCGAGCTCTATGAGTGATGAGTCGGACTGTGAGCCGTCGCTTGCCATGAGCCGTTAGGTCACGCTCTACACGTAACCATCATCATTTTGCAACTTGGACAATCTCCACCACAAGTCCACAGCGGCCGCAAAACAAGATAGCAAACGAACGCTGATTTGAGTTATAAATCTACATCGTCTTTCGGGAAGTGCAAGAGTTCAAGTTTTTTTCCGAGGTCAACAGAAGCGTACTTCAGGTGGAAAATGAAGTACAAGCATTTCTCTTCTTTTCGATGGCTTCAAGCTCAACTGTTTGGATTCTTACCCTCGGTCTCTGCATCGCACTCTATGTCTCCCAACGCAAATCCAGACGACGTAGCATTATGCCTCTTCCACCAGGCCCTAAGAAGCTGCCATTCATAGGCAGTGTTCTCAGTGTCCCGACAAAGCACCCTTGGGAAACGTATATGGCGTGGAGCAAAGAATACGACTCAGATATCTTGCACCTTGATCTCGCAGGCCAATCTCTCATTATTTTATGCTCCACCGAAGCTACGAAAGATTTATTAGAGAAGCGGTCAGCGCTATATTCAGACCGGTACATCAACTTGCTGTTTACATCCATTCAAAAACTCATGTCGTCCTATAGTCCGCGGCTTACGATGATTGTTGAGCTTATGGGGTATGACTTTCTCGTCGGTGCGACCATATTCTCCTCGTCCCAGTGGTAACAACCCAGTCTACTCAATAGTCATGAAGCAATATGGGGATGAATGGTACCGAATCGCCTCCACTTGATATCCACGCGGCTGACTCATACTTGAGGCGCGCCAACCGCCGATTAATGAACCAAGATTTTGGGAATCAGGCAAAATTGAGCGCGTTTCGTCCGATGCAACTGGACGCCGCACACAAAGTCCTTGTCAGACTCCTTGATCTCCAGGAAACGGCTGATGGTTGCGGGGGTTAGTCAGTTCGAAGATTGGATGATGTGTTTTCGTCGGTATGTCGCAACCTACAAACCCCATTTTGCTGCTGATTCTCTTTTGTAGGTGGGCCACAGAGACTATATTGAAGATTACGTATGGAATCGAACTGAAAGACAAAGACGATCCATATGTGCAGCTTGCGCGGTCACCTTGGGCGATGCTGGCGTACCTGGAAAATATCTTGTGGAGTGCATCACATCACGTGCCGAGCGCTGATTGTCAATTAGAATGCCCTTCCACTTCTCAAATATGTTCCTTCTTGGATGCCTGGGTTCAAGCGAGATGCAGCCCGTTGGCGTCGTATAGCGAGATGGTCTAGCATATTATTCCCCGGCTCTGATCATGATTCTAACTCAGTCTTCATACAGGAAGCTGGGATTGCCTCCCCTTCATTTGTCGCAAACAAGCTGAAATCAATCTCAGCTCAACAGCACTCATTTTACACCGAAGATACTATTTGCTCTATGGCAGGAACACTCTACCTTGGTGGGGCGGACACATCCGTGTCTACGCTCTCCTCGTTCTTCCTTGCGATACTGGCCAACCCACAGGCAATGTGGAATGCACAACAGGAAATTTATTTCGTCACAGAAGGGACGCGCTTACCGTCACTTGAAGACTATGATCTCGGCCGGATGCCGTATGTTGGTGCATTGGTGAAAGAGGTTCTAAGGTGGCGGAATGTTGGTCCCTTGGGTAAGCATTCCCGCTGGTCGTTTTACCAAAAGATTGGACCAGGCGTTCCGCACTACATTACTTTGGAAGACGAATATCGAGGATACCGGATTCCGGCCAACTCAATTGTGATAGGAAATGCATGGTATGCATTCGCATCCTCTTTCGTACCGTCTCCGATTAAGTCTCTACAGGGCCATTCTTCATGACGAGGTCAATCAGACTACAACTAGGTTTAGTAACTGAGTTACCACAGAATACCTACCCAGACCCATTAACATTCAAACCCGAACGCTTCCTGCTGCCTCGTGCCGATGACAAATCAACTGGGAAGTGGACCCCACTGTGCCCGAGCCAGAGGCAGCATTTGGATATGGTCGGCGGTGCGCTGCAGCTTCGTTGTGAGGCGTATATGTTGACATTAACCTAGCCTTTGCCCTGGTCGACATATGGCGCGTGCTTCGCTGACCATCACCATCGCCTCCATTCTCGCTGTCTTTGATATCAGCAAACCAATTGACCGAGAGGGGACAGAGATCGAACCTACCGACGAATATGATCATTCGTAGTCTGATAATTCGCAACACTAAAGCTCGCAAAGCTTCCCCCTTCCTTTTAATTGTAGGGTACGCGCGAGGTCAAAGGAGGCAGAAGAACTTATCCATGCAAACACCTGATGCCATTGTCTATTTGAGATGACGGTCGTAATGCATTGCAGTGTCACTACACACATTTTATATACGACTTAATCTTCATCCTCCCAATCTTCTGGGACAGCGGTCGGGGTTTGGGGTGGGGGAGCAACAACATGAGCCTGGACCGAAATTCCTGGGGGCCGACTGGACGGAGCTATAGGCGGTACTGGTGTTGGAGTGGTTGGAGTCACAGGGACCCCCCATCCTCGTTGGGTCGTAGTTGCCGGTTTAATTTCAGGTTTGGGAATAGCTGCTGGTGGCGTTCGCCAGGACCCGCCAGCCCCTCTCAAATCCGCCAGTTTTCCCAACCCACCAGCTCCAGCGTGGGCAGCAGTCGCGGTACCAACGATCGACGACAATAACGGCGTGGGCAGCTTGGTATCGTAGCGCCTGATGAGCTGGACACTTCGATGTGGTTCTTGATCAACCATTTGCGTGTCCATTCGATAAACAGACGCGACATCGTGCACGAATTTGCGTCTCTCGGGAGGCATGTGAGGGAGTACTTGGGTCTTTTTCTCACTTGCGACAAAACTATGGTCTAAGTTAGTATTTTTGAAAGGGTAGGAATCATCACGTACTCCGCAAATGCTTTCTCCATAAGACCCACAAACCTCTGGTTGGCCCGTCCGAATGCTCGGGTCTCGTCATTCCATACAACCTCGCCAAGTTTCTCCCGACTCTCGGCAGTGATACCTAATGCTTCAGCCAGTCTAGCGTTCCGTTTCGCCACGAAACACTCGTTCGTGCACTTGATTTGCTGCTCCCGCCGTCCTACAGGATTTGACAACGACTTGCCACACTGGATTTGCTGTCGGATACGCAGGCATGAGCACGTGACGGTGATGACAGCAGTGCATGCGACAGTTTCGTCGCAAGCAGAGGGAGCATGGCAAGGAGCGGTGCAAGGATGTTGGGCTGGATGACACAACCGCCTAGGTTTCCCACATGGTGCTGAACATGGTCCGCAACCTTCTCCTTCTCCCTCTGGTGCATGACAAACTTTGTCACAGGTATGAGCACCACAGGCGAGCATCTTTCCACAAACAGCACCACAGCCAACTCGCTCTTGTGAGCAACGGACATTGCCAACCGTCTTTTTGCCACACATACAGCTTTTGGTTGTGAGGAACGGGCAAGGAGGACAAGCAGCAGAGTCAGGATGACAGCTGTGAGGCGTTCTTGGATGACCACATGCAGGGGGAGGTCGAGAACATGGATGAGAGCATTGGATAACCGTCCCACAGGGAATGGGTGGTTCAAGCACAGTGAGACCGCATGAACAGACGAGCTAGTAGATGCAACTCAGTAAGATAGAAATTCATTCGAAAGGTGGGCCACATACCTCTTCGAAACTGCTCATCAAACAGACGCCGCAAGGCCCTTTATGATCACGTTGTTCGCAACGATGGAGACCACATCCAAGCATTTTCCCGCAGACAAGATCACATTCGTGTAAACCTCCCGGTTCTTCACCAACAGGGGATTCTGTCTCGTGAGCAGTGGCGCGTTTCTTGCCCTTGGCTTTCTGTTGTAATGCTGCTACACTGGCAAGAGGACAACAGACACGAAGGCAACGATGACGACCGCAGGCACGAAGGGCTGCACAGGGTTTGTCACAGAGGATCTCTGTTTGGGCCAGTGATGACGCATTAACTGTCGAACATAAAAGCGTCTTGGAAGAAGCACCACAGCGACAGGGATGGACAATCTTTTCGGTGCATGGAGGACAATCGCCTTCGTGACAGCGGGAAGCACACGCGTGGCCGCAAGGAAGAATCTTGTGGCAGGTCGAAGTACAGGTTGGGATCGGGTCGGCGCAGCTGCGTCGGGCAGGGAAAGCAGAGTCCTTGGCTCCGCCGATGGGAACGCGACCACACGGACAGGTTGTGACTGATATTGGATCACGAGGACAAGGCGAGGGAGGGCCGTCTTCAGGATGACAAAGCTTATCGCAATGATGGACTCCACACGCAAACGGACGATTGCAAGTGGATGGGCAAGCGAAAGTACCTGTCCAAGGATCACTCCCAGAGAGCGAGCAATTGAAAGGCTTTCCAGCTCCACAAATGTCTTCCTTATCTTCTTTGCCGCAATAGCAGCGTGCGGTGGCACGTTCGGGACAAGGAGCGCAAGGGTCGGCATGGCAGTCACGTGCACACTTGTGAATGCCGCAATTGAGAGTTCGACCGCAAACAGAGCCACAGGAAATATCAGTTTGGCCACAACGAAGGGCGAGAACTTGGCCACGCGGACAGCCACATTGGAGCTCGGTCGTAACACGGCAAGGTGGACAAGGACCAGGATGGCAAAGAAGTGGGCAAGGGTGGTCGCAATTTGTGCGCTTCCGAGAACAAGGGGAAGCACACGAATGAGGAGTCGAGATTCTGGCTGGCGCGGGTGAAGCCTGAGCGTCACAGAAACAACGATAACCACCCGGCACGGTTGTTCGACGAGCTTGACATCCGGGACAACGCCATTCACCATCTCTTCCGCTCTCCCCACGAGCTGCCCAAGCATCTGACACAGCTTTAACACTCTTCTGTGCCCATGCTTTGACGCATTTCAGATGGAATGTCGTCCAGCAATATTGGGGAGCGTCGAGAACGCCAATGGAAGGGGAACATGACCAGCTTGGCTGAGCTGGATGAACGGCATTGAAACAGATAGGACAGTCAGGGTAAGGATAAGTCGCAAGAGCGGCAGTCAGACGGGATGTAAGGTCGTCCGCAACAGGCTCATGTCTGGCACGGAAATCATTGCGACTATGGGTCGGCCCAATGGAGTCAGCTGGAGTCAATCCAGTATTGAACTTGGCTCCGCGTCGACGAGGGTTCTCCGTTGAGGGTTGTGGCTGATCATTCTTCATCGACTGCCCATCAGATCGAGGAGGGCGTCTACCACCTCCGCGACTTCTCTGTCCCATCCCATCTTGTGGAGTCCGTGGCTGCTGGTCACGGGGTCGCTGTGAGCCTGGGCCAGCGTTGTTGTTGGCGTCGCGAGGACGCTGCCTGTTACGGCGGTTGTTATTGGTACTCCGACCAGAACTGTGCTCTGGTGGGTGGGCCGGATTGTCGGGGCCGTCCATGCAAGGGCTACTGCCGCTCGTGCTTTCGGAGATTCTGACCGCTGTTAACTGCATGAAATAGGGCATCAGTCGTTGTAAAGAGTGTTGCTTATTCCTGTTTACTCACGGGAGGAGGGCCTAGAGAGATACGATTACGCAGTCGGGGGTGTAGGTGAGAAGAGAACGAAAAGAGCTAAGGGTGAAGTCTGCCTCCGCGGAGGCGGTAAGTCGACCTGGTGGTCGAAGGGAAGTGCTTGATAAATACGTGACCCATGTTGTGACACTTCTTGACTCGACAGAGGCTCCGTCTGGCTCCGTGCTGGCTCCATGAAGCGCTACGCCGATTCCGAGTCAAACTGGGAAAATCAGGATGCTGTTCAAGCATTGAGAGTCAAGGGCACATCTGACCAAACAATTCGGCGATCAAAGCAGTACACTATCTGATAATTATTTCTGTGCAAATGTGTCCCCAACCTGGAAGCAAATGGTAGACCTCGAGGATATCATTTTGTTTACTCGACGATGTCCCCACCCTGACTTTCAGCTTGGATGTGACTGTCGGTCCGTATCGTCAATGAACACCTGCCATGCATTCGTCGCCGTTCAAATGACATTATGCATTCCCTCTGTTCTTGCTGGTTGCTGCAGCGTCAACGGCTGTGTTAGGTTGTCCGAAGGGTCTATCGCATTCATTCGAGTCGGAAGTGCATCGACTGGGTCTGACCAATACCACCACCAAGCGGAACAGGTAGCCGCCGTCATCCCTAACAAAGTGAGTACGTGGTTTGTCGTGAAGATCGAGACGTGCATGGAGGTACTCGAGGAAGGGTCAGATTACTTGAAGCTACGGTATCATCAATGATACCTACTTATGCAGAAATCCGCTGCAGAAACGTCGCAACAGCAGTCCAAACATGCGAGGTCCGGTTCGCAGCCTTCACACATGCACTGTCTATACTGGCCTTGAAGGAAACAGAGTGAACCTAGGGTTGAGGTTCTTATATATAAGCATACGGCAATCTGGCAAGTATTTGGTTACCGTCGTCGGTGACCTTCCCGCTCCATTCAAAAAAAAGGCGAGGCAGTGTGTGCCAGGATCTTCGACATGAGAAGTGAGACTCCGAGACGGGCAGGGGAAGCTGTAGAAAAGCTGATAGTTTGGAACATCCTCATATTAAGTGCAGGCTGTGAATCAAACAGGCTGAACATCTCTTCGTGGTCTACATCAAGTTTGGTTTCGCATGCAGCAATCGTGTCGCGTACGGGAGCCCTGTATCTTTTGCTTTCCTAGGTTTTCTTGCAGTGAGAACATCTCGAAACTCAGTTGGCACTATAGTCTTGCGACACTTGACGAACTGTTGGTTCTGCCAGTGGTGCAACTTGAAAGTGCAACCGGCTGACCTAATCAGCAATTCTTGACATTTTCGATGAGTCAACACTTTCCTCGAGCGCGTCAAGACCTGCTTTGCTGGCCGTTCCAAGCGCTTCTCCGACTAACAAAGCACTGCTGCCGACTTTCGCTTTGTTTTGCTGTCAAAGGGCGCGTCTGATGCCTTTTTCCTTTCTTGACCGACGAATGGGTTGCTTTGAACAATTTCGCGCGTACAGACAATGGTCGCGACGGCGGGATAATGGCAAAGGTGGGCTTTGACTTGAACACTTGAACAGTCCTCCAATGGTCTTGCAGTATAAGAATGCGCGCTGGGCACTGAGTTTGTCAGAATCCCACACCACCTCCAGCGCAAAACAGTCTCTATAACCAGCATGCAATACCAATATAGCCAACACCTATACGCCTCTGGAGGTAGCATGGTATGGTGGTCGCTATGTTGAAGTTTGGAAAACTGACACAAGGTAGCGTCATGCTCCATACCCCATTCCAAATATCGCCAAGTCGAATCAAAAGTTCTACCGTCCCCATCACCGACCCGCAAGAGCGCCAACGCAGGTTGACGATCGTCCAGCAGACCATTGGCACGATCCCAAAAACCTCCTCTCCATAAACTATGGCTCCAAGGAGCAGTTTCCGTACAGCATCTCTTTCCAGCCGCTCTGGGGACCATGCAAATATGGCGTTGCCTTGCTCAATCTAGAGAATGGGCAGGGAATGAAGCAGGGAGAGGCCAAGATAAGCGAAGAGCTGCCGCCTATATTCGCTCGGTATCCCACTGGCACGTTAATCATTGATGTGAGCCACTTCGTTTTCACGCTTGCACATATCACTGACATCGATGCCTTTAGTGGCCTGGTTATCGTCAAGACACCTATATTCTCACTTTGGTCGACCCAGCGACACGCCGCCACGTTACCCGTGCTCAACTGGGGGCTCAAGTAACACATTATTTCAAGGAATTTGCCAACGTGAGTCTGATGCTCGGCTCTATGGCTCTCTCTGATGATTTGTCCAGACGCGCCAACCATCTGACTACGACGAACGTAGTGAGGGCTTCTACCTGGGAGTCGACGGGGTCAGCTACGACCAGGTCCGTCTTTCCGAAGTTTACACCAAGGATGGTCATACCTTCCGCGTGCAATTCGGGCTGGTTCCACACTTCCTCAGTGTTCAGTAAAATCTCTGGGTCTTGGGTTAAAATATTGCCATATTTAGTTGTATCATTAGCGACACCTCCACTTGTAGCATACCGTTGTAGAGATAACCCGTTCACGATTATTACGCCATCAACGATCTAGGGTCACACTCTTCGATTGTCTTTCTTGCGTCCATGTTGTCAAACCCATTCCGCCGTGCTTTTCAGCTACGGCCTCGCTTTGAATCATCTTCACTCATATTCCGACATCGCAACCCTTCCCTAATACCCACAGCACGACCCTACTTTATCTATACGACCCCCCCAACGACGTGGAGTGCGCGATTATGGTACCGCAAAGATGGCTCACCGCGTTCCAAGATACGCGGCCTTGTCATAGGTACTTTTATCAAATAGGTCTTCAAAGCGGTAGCTAACTAGGAACTAGCCTCCATCTTAGGCGCTGGACTCTATGCCACCTACAGCACCCTCCTCGTTGTTGAAGCACTCGACTACGAACACTATCTCCTTTCCACGCTTGTCTACATCCAGCGCGTCGACTACGACTTCCACTCCATTCCAATTTCTCAGTTTGCGCCAACACTAGATTATTTCCAGGACCTCGTCGGCTATTTTATTCAAGGCGATGTGCCGCCAGAGATGCTTGTGGCATTCTTTCAAGATCTCGCTTTTCTCGCGCAGTCTTCAGAAACACAAGAGAAGATACACAATATAGTCCGGGAGGCTGCACAAGCAGTCCACAATTTGCTGGTGGACAGAAAGGGCGAGCATCCTGTGGAAACAGCGGCTTTAGCCATCGACATGCTAGACCACGCCATGCTTGCACTTATCGCCATCGTCGATGAGGCTGGTGGGGACGAGACTGAGAAGATGATACGGGTGAAGCGGCTGAAGGACCAAATGGCAGGAAAAGAATCCTCCAAAAGCTATGAGATACTGGGTTAGATTCAGAGTAGTGAGTGAATGGGTGACTATTACTTGGTCTAATTATAATCTAAAGATGTGTTCTAGTACAAAGCTACCCTATCCATGCAGACAGTCCGTCATAAACGACAAACACAATGCCACTGCTCGGAATTGCCCTTAACGCAGTCATCAAGCCACCAGCATATAAGCCAGGGACGCCATGGGCTTTGTACATTTTCATAAAGGTCCGATAGAAAGAAAGCCTTTCCACTGGTTTGGGATGTTGCCGAACTCGACTCCGATGTGAAAGCAACTCTTCTTCGGTTTGCATGGCGCTCTTGACAGTGTCGGCAGGATATATTGCCATAACACAAGCTGCACCAGACACCGCGCCTGCAACCGCTGACTCCCAGGGCAAAAGCGTGCTCGTCTTGTCTTGGTGGTAGTTGGGACCCAGTCTTCGTGTTAATAATGCAGATGCGACCCATTCCTTCACCGCGAACCAGGCAGATGTGCCTCCAGTTTCTCGGAGGATTGTTCCAGTGTGGCCCACCCAGAGACCTCTGACGCCATTGGTTGCTACAGTTGAACGTACAACTTCGACCAGACCAGGGAGTCGTGGTGGCTGTGGCACAGAAGGAGCCGAGTGGCTGCGATCGAAGAAATTGAAGGACTTGTGGTGGCCGAATCCAGGGGTTTCGCGGACCAGATCAATGATAGGCTTGGGGATGGAATGGATAGGTGGTACACGAGCAGCAGTTGTGTTATTCATCAATTGAACCTGCAGGACACACTAGATAAAATATATGATTAGCATATCACAGAATAGACAGAGGTATCCGAACCTTGCAAAGCTCTATGGGTGCTGTTCACGAAAACTGTGAGCGGAGACAGAGAGTTTCGAAGACAAACTCACTGCTGAATCGAAAGTCAGCGAAAAATGTCCCCTCGCTGCATGTAACATGACTCACAGGATGAAACTAGTAACAAATCCGGCGCCAGCAGCAGCTAAACCGAGTTGAGGAATAGTGAGTTGGTTGTTGGTCGAATATGTGCGGAGGACGTTTTGGAAGTAGGCATACGAGACAAACAACGCCCCAGTCTCAATCATCGAACCCGCAATGGGCACAGGAAGACCCCGATACAAGCCACGAAAGCCTTCATTGGCAAATGTTCGCGTGAGTACATCCACCGGACCCTTGAAAATTTGACTCTTGTCTACGGGGGGCGTGAGGAGTTGAGCTTGCAGTCGAACCTATGGTCAAGTTCAACATAAGCCAGCGATTAGAAATTCTGCAAGACCTTGGCTAAGTCGGTCGGATATTCAATGACTTCAGATACAATGCCAGCGAACTGAAAATGGTTCAGGACGCATCAGGAATCAAAAGGGCAACTGACACTACCAATCGCAATCTCCTTCACGCTTTCGCGCAAGGTCATAACAGGAGGGTCGTCGTCCATTGAGGCATGGGGTGGGAGCTCGTCGTGGGAAGAGTGATTACAGTTGGAAGGACCTCGTCCACATTCTTCGTTGCGTGTTGGGTCGGCACAAAAAAGTTCATTCGTCACACCGCGTGACGAAGTGAGCCGGCAACACGGGCCGAGTAATCCGTGAGCTTCAATTTCAACCATGACCACTGCTCACGAAGCTGTCCATGCTTTATGGACTGCATTGAATCTCCCGTCAGCCTCTCTCTCAATGCTGACACTTTCGCCGAGTACTGCTGCCAACAATGCCATCCAGTCGTCATTCAAGCTGGGTTCTGTGGCACAGGTAGCGAATCGATTATGTCTCCTGAACAAGGCTCAGTAATCAACTCAAGACTGCAATTGGCCTCGCCGGTCTGTCCGCCGCCCACCTACACTTTCTCCGCTCTGGTGTCCAGCAGAATGTCAGAGTGGATGTAAGACATGCGCTGTTGGAATTTCGTTCGCCATCTCTCTCAACATAGCATTCACTAAGATCTGAGCAGACAGTGAGGCATTCTATACTCTGAACCACCAACCGCCAAAAGAAGTCTGGGATAATGTTGCTGGGCTATATAAGACGAAAGACAACAGTTATGTTCGCATTCACACTAACTTTCCTCAGTAAGTGACACTTTTCTGACTGCAATTCCCTACCCAATTTTCCAAGTCATCGGGCCGGCATTCTCTCCCTACTAGGACTTCCTGACGAATCGGACGTCTCTCGTGCCGATGTCCAAGCCGCCCTTCTGACCCAGGATTCAATCTCTTTTGAGACAATGGCCGCTGCTGCGGGAATGTGTGCTACTGCTCTGCGCTCATATTCAACATGGTCGACCCATCCGCATGCAAAAGATCTAGAAGGTGTCTCACCCGTTCAAATCGTCAAGACTGGGGACGCTCCGAAACGGCCGATCACCCAAGGGTCTCGTCCACTCGAAGGAGTACGAGTTCTAGACTTAAGCAGAGTTTTAGCTGGCCCAATATGCGGAAGAACCCTGGCAGGTTCGCCCTCCTCATTAGTTTATTCTATTATTGACCCATTGACAGTCCACGGTGCCGACGTTCTTCTCGTGACTTCGCCTCATCTACCTGCTCTGCCAGCATTAGACGTGGATACATCGCGCGGGAAACGCACAACCCAACTCGACCTTACACATTCAGCCGATCGCATTAAACTACACAATCTTGCGTCAGATGCAGATGTGTTCCTCCAGGCATACCGACCTGGTGGACTGGAAGAGAAAGGTCTTGGTCTGTCTGACCTTACTCGTCTTCGCCCGGGAATCGTATGTGCGAACTTGACGGCATGGGGCTGGGAGGGTCCATGGAAAGATCGTCGCGGATTCGACTCACTCGTTCAAACCGCTACAGGATTCAACACCTCTGAAGCTGAAGCTTTTGCTCGATTCTCCGGAGTAACAACAGATGCCCAACAACCCAAACCCCTCCCGATTCAAGCCCTCGACCACGCGGCGGGCTATTTGCTCGCCTTCGGGATCAACACTGCTCTCAGTCGAACAATAACCGAAGGTGGCTCGTACGAAGTCAGGGTGTCTCTTGCTGCTGTAGGGCAATGGATTCGCTCCATGGGTCAACTGCCTCCTTTCGAGGCATTTGGGCCAGATTCGCGAGCCTTACCTGACATGGTCATTCCTGTCGACGAGGAGATAAGACGTTTGAGCACTACCTGGCGCACAATCGACGGAATGGAGATGACTGCATTGAGGCACGCTGCCGTGTTGGAGCGAACCCCGGTGAAGGAAGGCGAAGATAGTATTGCACCAGTGAGACTGGACGTAAATGACGCGGTCTGGTTGCCTCGTTTATGACAAGGATAGAAATAATTGCCTTTGTGCTCTGAGTATCTGCACAGTGCAAATAATATGGAATGACGACGCGATCACGTGGGTACTATGTTTGCACGCGACCCACCCCTCGCTTGGCTAAATCCCGACTCCAATCCCTTAGAATGTGCTTCATGACTTTTCCACTGGCCGTCTTGGGCAGCTCAGACTCTGGACCGTCCTCGCCAACAAAGAATACCCACGACGGGGCATTCTGTAGTCATTGAGTTTTAATAGTCTGTGTCAACATGGCTTACCTGTGGATTCATGACCTCCCACACCTTGCGACGTATGTCTTCCCTCGAAATCATGGGCCCAGACTTCCGACGGACGATCCAGACACCGACAAGCTCGCCGTATTGATTATCTGGGACGGCAACGACAGCGGCCTCTTCAACCGAGGGCGTGAGATTGGTCAGAATGGCCTAAAGGAAAAGTATTTGAGTCATCCCAAAGTATACGAAGAGGGTCGCGCACATCTTCAATCTGAATTGGGAACAAATTCTCGCTGGGATTGAGTCACATGCCCTATGACCGTTGAAGCACACTCACCTCCCCGCCTCTGATTATAATGTCCTAGATTTTTTTGAGCACAAGCAGATTGTTAACTGGAGAATCTACCTTGATTCTGCTGACGACTGAAAGGAACATCAATCACAGCTCCCATCAAACATGTATAATTCAGCTTACTTTTGAGGTAGCCGTCTGAATCCATGATACCTTCGTCACCTGTATGCATCCAGAGTGTACCCTGCTCATCGGTTTGCATCACTTGGTCTGTTTGTTGTTTGTCTTCCCAGTAGCTAGTGACGAGCGTAAAGAGTGCAAACAATCGAAGAAGCTGAGCACGAACCCCTTTTGCAACAAATAGCCCGCAACACAAATCTCCCCTGGTGTTCCTACAGGAACTATCTTTCCTTCTGAATCAATTAACTTGGCCTTGACATGTGGTTGAACTCGGCCGACAGTCTCCACGCGTTTGAGAACTGGATCAGTTGGTATAGTTTGAAAAGAAACAGGGCTATGGTGTCGTTTCAACAAGATTGTGACAGGTAGGAATATCGAGCAGACCTCGTCTCAGCTATCTATGGGTGAGCATCTATCTCGTTTTCGTCTGCAGGTTGAACTCACTCATTCCATAAGCGTTTGTTAGTTCGCTGAGATTAAGCTTGGAAATCAAGCTTTTCATCAGTTCAATGGGTATCGGCGAACCAGCAGCAATTCCAGTCCTTTGACCCTAACTAAGCAACAAGCATCGACAGCAATATGCGAGACTCGCCTGAGATTCCGAATGTCTACAGCTTCGCCACTGCTACGCCGTTTGTCCACTTCAGACAAGACACCATTGAAGTGTGTTGGTACACCATGGAGGGCAGTGCATTTCTCCTCGATGATTGCATCTACGATGGAGGGTGGGTGGAAGATCTCAGAAGGGTAGACTATGCAGGCCCCGTGCGACCAGGCGGCGAGGTTACCCAATACGAGGCGTTTGAGATGGTTAGATAAATGCCTCAAGAAGAAAACGTCTGAGACTTATCAAAACAATGGAACAGAGGGGGCACATTCGCTGGAAGTTTGATGTTTAGCACAAGCATAAGTAAGTTGGATCTGACAAACCGAGAACGTCTTGCTCTGTGAGATTCATGCATCGACCGATAGACAAACCATTATTGAGCAGATTATGGTGTGTCAGCTGGTATTCCTCAGCGTCAACACGCGGAGAAAGATATGGGATTCCGCACCGAGACTGCCTTGGGTGCTCCAGTGGTGCCACTGGTAGCCAATTAAATCATACTCGTCGTGGCTCAATATTTAGCATACCTCGTAAACTGAAGATTAATTACGTCGTCCTTGTTCAGACCGCGTTCGATGCGCTTTTGGACGCGACTTTCTGATGCAGACTCGTCCCAAATAAGAATCTCCCGCCAATCAATCCAGTTTTTAAACCGTAATTTCTCGGCCTCAGCGGAGAACTGACCAGTGTTGTCGACAACGATAATGTCGCGCAGAGCAGGAAGCTCTTCAAGCTGAATTGGATTTCCAGCGGGTGACCCGCGTAGTTCCGGGAATTTGGAGACCACCATGTCAAGGTAGGAGGACGAGCGAATGCGGGGAACAATGAAGAGTCGAGACACTCCCACTAGGTTCAATACTGATGCCTTAAGCAAATGAGATCATTTTGGAGTTTATACGTCTCATACCAGCTCATGAACCCTGTAGGCTGGGTTTATGGTGACTAGTATTGCTCCGATACTAGCACATGCCCATTGGAGCATCGCATACGCGCTGTTATTGCCCATTAAGACTCCCACTCGCTCCCCGGGTTGGACACCCATGGCCAACAGACCTCGGGCAAGAGCATTGATTTTACTATCGAATTCTTGAAATGACCACGCAAGACGATCAGCCCGGCCGAGATTGTGAGACAGAGGGCCGCCATGTTCGTGTGGTGACTCTTTGCGGCAAACAAGGGCCGGACGAGTACTATGTTCGGCGAGGATCTTGGAGGCAAAGTAGTCCGGTAGGGTTGTGTGAACTAAAGGTGGCTGAAGCGCGCCTTGGACGGAGGAGTGAGTGAGAAGACGACGGGTTCGCTGGTGAACCAGATGATTTGAGATTCGTCTTGACAACATTTCAAAGTGTGACCAACTTGACTTTCCAACAACCTTGTGCATCGACAGGTTCGGGGCCACATTGCGGCCCCGCCATCGTCTGCCGCCATCGCCCAACCTTCATAGTCATGCCCAAATTCAATTTTGATACCGATGAAGCTGCGCTTCTCAAAGCCTACAAGATATCTTCGCTCTACCCAACGTCTGTTTCAATTGATTACCTCGTCTCTGCGAATAAACTTGCTTTCAGTCAGTGGGAGGAAGTCGACCATGAGCTCGAGAACTCCTTTGCTGGCGCGCTGACGAGTACTGGCGATGACCCTAGCAGTGATCCATTAGGTATTGGAACAAGGGTCAAGTGAGTTTGATTTGCCCCTCCGTTTCACCCACTAACCGTGCACAGTGTGAAGGAAATGGACTTGGAATCAAGTGCGCCTTCACATTGCTCGTTCGAGTTGGCCAGGTCTGACCCCACCCCACAGAGGCAGCAGTCATGATCAGCTCAAAGTCGTTTGACCCTAAAGCATTTTTGTCACTCGTGCATCCAAACGCTCAATACCAAGACCTCACAAACGGCATAAAGCATTTGGAGCGGACATTGGAAGAACGCAAGAGTGATATCCGTGGTTTGGTGGAGAATAATTTTGACCGCTTCGTCGCGGTCAAGGCGTCGACAGATGGTACGTAGTCATTCCTTTCCATCATGGCTCCAACAAGGTACTAGCTCTGTACTTGGAAATGAAAGAAGGCCTCTTAGCGCCACCAACCCAATTTGGGTCCAAACCTCTTCGCGATCATCTGAAATGTTAGTTGTTCAAGATCTAGCTGCAATACCCCATTGAACACATAATCTAGCTGCTGCTGTCAAGGCCGACCAGGTTTTCCTTCCCGTCCTCGAGAATGCGTCCAAGGCGCATAAACTGCGAACGACGCTTGGTATCTTCGAGCGCTCCAAGTTCTTTTTCAACTTGCCTGGATTCATCATAGAATCCATCGAAGCGGGTCGGTATGAAGTTGCCATGCGTGATTATAAGAAGGGGAAGGTTCTTCTGGAGACACGACCCGGCCAGCTTCTGCCGATTGGAAACCCGAAGGATGGGCAGGCGTCGAGCGCTGACGAACAACAGCAAAAACGCATATTGGATAAAGTCTGGGGGAGTGTGGAGAAGGCAATGAGCGAAATGCGGAGCGCATTGCAGAAACAATTGCAAGATCCGTCGCGAAGCGTCGAGGAACAGGAAAAGACGCTGGAGTATGTTGCCCCCTCAGATTCAGTCATCCAGAAGTCTCATTCATCTGATAGGATTCTTATGGACCTGCAGACCAACGACGAGCCTATATGGACATACTTCGATAGCCAGCATGTTTACATCATGAAGCAGATGAACATCTCCTACAAAGCAGCCATGGTCACAACAAGGAGTTGGATTCGTTCTCACTTCTTCATTTGAACCCGTCTAACGCATATCTAGCTGCACTCGAAAAGTCGCAAACAGAGATAACGGGACCCGACTCTCTCACTCACGCATTAGCTGCTCAGTTACAGGTCGCAATATCGGCGCTCGATAAGAAACAGTCTGAAGCTGCTGCTGGTCCGTATTCTCTTTCACTAGTTGTGTAGCATCCCTTTATTCATTCCCAGCTAAATGTGTCGCCGAACCGGCCTGGCAAGCGATTCTTGACATGGTCAAGAACCTGTCAGAAATTGTCCTTTCGTCGCTGCCCAACTTTTGGCGAATATCCAAGAGTTTCATGGACGGCAAGTTTAAGAAGACCACCCAGTCAAACTCCCGGCGCAGTCCGTCTCAATGCAAGACTATGGCTCTGGACATCGTCAAGCTCTACATCTCCCTGATCTCGCAATTCTTCCAGTTGTCAGATATGGCCGTCATGAAGTCACCCAGCGAGATGACCCCTTCCACCACAATCCCCAACAACTCCAATTCGCTTTGTACTGCCTATTATCTGATGAAAATTCTGGGCGAAATACAAGAAACGGTGAACGAGCTAAATGGAATGGAGATTTCAAACGACGTGTCTTCAGGGCTCAAGGGTCTGCTCGAGTCTGCCAAATGGCGCTTCGAAGACCTACTCATCACAGACTGGCTACGCGACGCTAACATCCTGTACTACCTCGAAGAATGGATCGCAAGTCCAACAGAACCCTCTACAACCCACTATTTGGCGCAGATGGAACTGTTTCAGAGGCAAGTGACGACTGCAGCGTTTAAACTTGCGGGTGGTGTCGACCTCGCGGGGAGCAACTCATCACATCTGGCAAAACCCGTCCGACAGAATCCTGTGCCATCTGCTTTCATCAACAAGATCACGAAGGCATTCTTGGATGCACTTTACGCATTCTTAGACGGATTGGTTCATCTGGCCTCGGAGGAGTCGCCCATTGTCACAGGGAAGATGCCTCTGACAGAGGCCACTGGCGGCCCTGGAGGGCCAAATTCACTCGAATTGCTGGATATGATGGACTCTGACACCCGCTTGCTCTTGGTCCTCTCCAACTTTGGCCATTTGGCGAGTGCAATAGTGCCAAGCATGATTACGCAGCTCGAAACAGCCTTTGGAATAACGATCGCGGAGGACCGACAAACATTGATGACCGTCGTGCAGGAACTCGACAAGACACTGTTTGAGGGATACAGTAAACCCAAAGCAGATCACGTGAACGGCATCATCCGCGGCGGTATCCTTGAGAGCGGCATGGACTGGTTCGATACCCCACAGCCCACCGAAATCCGGCCGTACATGTACGAAGCGCTCATCTACCTCGTGACGGTGCATGCACAGGTGTCGGCCATCGCAGACAACCTGCTTTCGCGGACCTTGTCAGCTCTGGTCGAGTCTCTTGCCGCGGAGGCGTTGGCGTCGTTCAAAAAGGTTCCCAAATTTGGGATGGGTGGCATGCTCCGCGCGACCCTGGAGATCGAGTTTATGCATTCCGCGCTGGGGCAGTATGTCAGTGCAAACGCTGCGACTACGTTGGGAAATCTTTATACGAGCATCGCGAAAGCATATGTCAAGCGACCGGCAGACGAGGAGCTTGAAGGCAATCTAAACGGCGTCAAGAAGACGCTTTCCGAAACGAGGAAGGCCACGGGCATCGAGTTTTTGTGTTTCAAGGCATCCAAGTCCAGTTCTAGCAAAGATAAAGACCGAGCACCAGATAAAGAGAGGAGGAGAGAACGGAAGTAGAGTTATTCTAGTGTAACATGATGTAATTCACAAGATCAGGCATATATTGATGTTAAAATACAATTGAGTAGACTAGCTATTTCCTGAGAGCAAAGTACACGAATTCCGACCGAATCGAAAGGGGAAACAAAATCTACCAGAAAACAAGAACAATTAGTTGTTGGTATTACATAGGTGGGTTAGTGGGGGTAGTCAGCAGCAAGGAAATCACAGAGCCATGTCGGGAGAGCGAGAAGAGTTTGCCAGGCCCAGGCCCAGCACCCTCAGCCTCCAAGTCACGGCGCTCCTCAGCCTCTTCTTCTTCTTCTTGGTCTGGCGTGGGTGTGCGTGGCTCCAGGTCTTTGACCGAAATTTGGCGAGACCCGCGACGAGGAGGAGGCAAAAGCGAGACGAGCTGGGTTGGCTCGTCCTGCTCATTGATACTCATGTTTTCGAGGGCTGCTGGAGCTGGCATCGGCGAAATGACAGGCGTCGACGCGTTCGAGGCTGACATCTGCAAGAAACTGGCATCATTGAAGTGAATGATTTTTTCGCTGATGGGTGTTCCCAGTGGAGGTGTCCCGTACGACCCATTTGGCAAGAGAATCGGCGTAGAAGTGACTGGTGTCGACGGAGTAGACGCGGAGATGCTCAAAAAACTCGCGAGAGTGGCTTGAGGGGCAATTGGGACCGCGATAGTTTCAGCACTTGTCGGTCGGGCTCGAGACTGAGGAGGCTGTGGATGAGGCGCTGGTGGGGCACTGAGTATCCGAAGCCGCTGTTTGAGCTTGAGGGATGTGTGTCTAGCTGAAGCAGCAGGAACGGGGGGAAGTGGACCACGTGGTGGCGGTAAAGCGGGTGATCCCGGAATGGAATCTAATCCAAGCCCGATTCTCGCCTTGGCACCAAGAAAACTATTGCGTATGCTGCTACTTGGACTCGGTGTTGCATTAGCACTATTGCTTCGGCGATGCTGGAAGACAGATTTGATCGGTGGTTCTTGCGTTGGGGCTGCTGGTGTTGGCGCTGCTGCTGGAGGTTCATCTGGCCTGGGAGGTAGTACACCTGATGGAGGAGGTCGTGGGGCCATCAACGAGAGTCTCAAGGCGCGTTGTCCTAGTCCCATTGACTCCCTGAACGATGATTTACTCGAAGACGCGTTTTGAGTTTCAACAGGTTCTCGGAAAGACACTGATGATGCTCTTGACTCTCTGAAAGATGTTTGGGTATTAGGGCTCCCTGAAGGACTGGGCGCTGGAGGCAAAGCCGTAGTCGGTGCCGGTCTAGGAGGAGGAGGCATCGATGTGCGAACCCTACCACTTCCCGTCATTGCCAAACTCCCAACACTCGCATTTGCACTCGAGGTTTCACTGATGCTCGTCGCAACACTTTGAAAACTCATTCCTGATGCCCGCTTTCCGCGAGTCCATCCCGTTGCGTTGAGCTTTCCTGTGCCATTTGAACCGAACGAGTGTGCACTGGCCCGACTAGCAGAGCGTTCATTTGACGAAGGCGACGACGAAGCAGCGGCATATGGGTGGGGAATACTTCGCGATGGTGTCGCAGGCGGTATATTATCTGGTGGTGTCAATCTCCTAGGTAGAGTTGACCACCTCCGACCCCTCCCACTATTTTGCCGTGAGGTAGAAGCCCCATTCCCAACACTGGACGCCCTTGACCGTCCCGTTGAAACGCTGCGCTCACTAACTCGATCCGCGATATGTCCATTGAGATGACCTTCGTCATGATTAGATGCGGCACTAGGAGCTCGCACGCCAAAGCTTCCAGCTGTTCCCGTGCTTGCACTAGCATGGGGAAGTGCGTACATCCGGAGTGGAGGCCGCTCATCATCATCATCATCACTCGGGGGCTCATCCGTTCCCAACTCGGTCCAAGGTGTCATTCGAGCCCGCGGCGGGGGCTGCAAGCCATATGTAACCGTCCTCCGCCTTGTAGCTTCCAAGTCGCCATTTGAAATCACTACAGACGGGCTGGCATCTGATTCCGAAGCCACTCGTTCCCGTTTCCCCATGGCCAATGATACGTCGCTCAAGTACACTCATAGCGACATGACCGTTGGCTGAAAGAGTTGCGTGGTTAGAAGTGCTTGTTGATGCGACAGAACCTGTCGGATTGTGTGACATTGTGCGAGCAAGGATGCTGCCCATATGGCCAAAAGAGTCTCCAGGTGGCGGTGTGGCTGTCCGACCAGAGCCAACACCATCGAAGGATGAAGAAGCTGCGGAAATCACCGACGCTGATGATGCAGAGCGAGGGCGAGCATGAGAGGAAAAGAGTCCCTTTAATGCTGCAACTGCCGCTGTCCCAGCCCCCTTTGCACCAGAAGAAGAAGGGGGTCGTGTCCGCGTGCCTTGATTTGACCGTTGGCTAGCAGATGGGGCAGTTGCAACAGACCGGACTGAGCGCTCAGATTGAGAAGGAGCAAGTGATGCAGCATAAGTGCCAGATGGCGATGTTGGTGTAGGCGGTTGTTTGGGAGAGCTGGAGGGAGAAGAATTGGGAACAGCAGATGGAGGGGGACTAGCTGCGAGTCGCATAGACAGCATTACATCCATGTCACCATTCGGCTCAGGGCCTGAAGCGTTGGCCGGGGTTGGCGGGAGACCTGCCCGATGTGTACTGTTACAAAACTAGTTAGATGAGGCATGGTTAATTCGATACCAAAAATTACCGTTGTTCGAATATAGCTGCCTTTATTCGACTGATCCATTGCTGTGCGTCGGCGGAGGTGGGAAGGTGGAGAAGCCACACAGTTCGATTAACATCGTCTGTCGCGTTCCAATCGCGTCGATGAGCGCCCACATCTTGGCCAGCCACCTTGACAACATGAACGAGGTCAAACGTAGTGGTAGCCTCGGCAACATAAACAACACTGTCCGCGTTGATTTCAAGTCGCTCCAACTCACGGTCCTCGGCGTGGGTACTTTTGAAGAGGTGGAGATGGGAGACTCGACCGGCTGGGACGGAGAGAATGATCTGGCGGTGTTTCCACTGTTTTGAGAGAGCGAATATCCGAAGGGAGTTTGGTGGGTAGTATTTTGGTAGCGTTTCGGAAAGAGTGGCGAGTGGGGCAATGGCTGTATAGGAAGCCGGAAATGGGGGTAAGTCGACTATGACAGGCTGCGGTTGGACGACTGTCTCTGGGGCAACATCTTCAATGAGTGGTTTGAGTCCAATAGACTGGGCCGCTGCATCCCTGAGCCGTTGTCGCTCTTCCAATTCCTCGTCTGGTGGAGGGGCAGTTATGTCAATGACATGAGGTATAGCAAACACCGGCTCTGGCGGGGGTATTCGTACACTCGGTCGCCGCCTTCCGAATCGTCCAAAGCCAGCCAGAGCGTCAGAGGCCTGCCCAAGGAGGCTTGCTCGACGATGGTTGTGCATAAGAACTATTTTTTAATTTTCCTTGTCACATAAGCGATGTCGATCGCCGGGTCACGTGCACCGTCCCTCAACAAATTAATTTTAAAGTCAGGAATGGCCAAGCTGGCTTTGTATTAATGTTTACTGTTACATGCAGACTCTCTGGGTTCTATGGTTTGTCAATGTTCGTGTCATTGGTCTTCCTCCATTCGCGGTTCAATGTGATGTTCTATTCGTTGAGGAGGAGGACCAGATGTACCATGCTACAAGGCAACAATCGGTGACCAAAAAGGAGACGAAGTAGTAAGCACACACTTGTCGTAGTTTTGCCAAATGTATTTTGAGAGTTTCAGCATAGTTATCGAAGCCCAGGGTAGACATGGCGTAGAGAATGTCCTCCCCTCCGATCGTCTTACGTTTCTCTCCCAGACACCGCTCTGCAGCTTCAGAAGTTATGAACGAGATAAACTCGGACACGCATTCTTGTACACATTCCTTGGCGTCTTTGGCAATTTTGGCAGAGGGAGGCACAGCTTGTTTCATGAGACGCGCGACATTGGCAATCTATTTGGGCGGTGTAGAAGAAGCTAGAAATCAAACGAGTGGAAAAGAGGCTAACAGGCAAATAACGGTCTTGTTCACGGTACTCTCCAACTTCCGCTTCACTGATTGCCACTGCATCAGGTGGGGCCTCGATCGTACTTGGGTCTTGAGGATGAAGCGGAGCAATGGGCTGGAAGTGGGACATTGTTGTCGTCGTCGTGGTCGCGGTTCAAAGTCGACACGGTCCAGGCCTGAGTCGTTCTTGTCTAATCTAACCAGACGTAAGCATCACGTGAAAATCTTGCGACCCTCTTTTCTTCCGCCACCATGTCGAAACAGCGAGTCCGCATTTATACAGCAGAGGATGTCGCGGCTCATTGCTCCTCCAATAACTGCTGGCTCTCTCGCAATGGCAAGGTCTACGACATCTCCCGCTTCATTAACGACCACCCTGGCGGAGACGACATCATTTTGAAGTATGCAGGCAAAGCAGTCGATGCTGCTATGGCAGGCAAAGACGGAGAGGAACACCAGCACTCTGATGCTGCCTATGAGATGTTGGACGAATATCAAATCGGGAAACTGGGCACAGAGGAAAACATCGTCAGTGATGGTCAGTTTTTTTTATGCTGCCCAGTTCGTTGTATTCACGGCACACACGCACAGACTGGGTTGCAACAGACGACTTCCATCCTGAAAACACAGACTCTGTGGAAGATTTCAAAAAGAACCAATTTTTGGATCTGAGCAAGCCACTTTTGTGGCAAGTGTGGCAGAGCAACTTCAGGTGCGACGCTACTTCTCACTTTTGTTTTCTTGTGCTCATATATCACGCAGTAAATCTTACTACTTGCGGCAGATTCACCAGCCCCGGCACGTACCCGAATCAGCCCGGTTGTTCGCCTCGCCGATTCTGGAGGTGGGCCCATTCTGACATGTTGTCATATGGTCTGACAAAACACCAGGCCACAACTCGAACAGTCTGGTGGGTCGTGCCGCTCTTTTGGACACCCATCTTTACCTACCTGGGCCTTCGTTCGCTGGTGCAATTTAACCTGGGTCCTAATGCACTTCCCCTGTTTTCTCAACGGCCCGCGATCCCTCTTCCTCTCATCATCCACGCCCTTACCTCGACCAATCTTATGAAGCTCGGCACTTGTTTCCTTCTAGGGAATCTTATATGGACCATCCTCGAGTACACCCTTCATCGCTTCTTATTCCATATCGACGACTGGCTTCCGGACCATCCATTCGCCATCATTACCCATTTTTTGATGCACGGAGTCCACCATTACCTTCCGATGGACCGCCTCCGGCTGGTCATGCCACCAATTCTCTTCTACTCCCTCCAGGCTCCGTTCACGCATCTGGCACATAGGATTTTCCCGACTGCGGTCGCCAACGGGATCATTTCTGGTGCTTTTGCGTTCTGTTCGTCCTTGATTCGTCGTGCACACAATGAATACTTAACTCGTCCCAGATATTCTTTACGATTGCATGCACTACGCGCTACATCACACCAATTTACCCCCGTATATGCGTGAGCAAAAGCGTTATCACCTCGCCCATCATTACAAGAACTTTGAACTCGGGTTTGGAGTCACGAGTGCGTGTCTTGCCTCCTTTCATCACTGGGTTGGCTCATTTCGCTTAGGCAAATTCTGGGATATCATTTTCAACACTGCTCTGACTCTTTAAAAAAAACAAATGCTTGGAAACTCAATTGGAACCTTCATGTCTACTACGATAATTTCTGCATAGTAACATACCTACAGCTGGTTAATGCTGTTTTCCTTGGTTGTCGGAAGCGTGTTTGTGAGATCGTCGCCGAGTCGCATTGTTTGGCAATTCCGGACCTCGTTCCGAAAAGGTGGCCTAAATTTGGATGTCAGTGCAAAACAACCTATAACAGTGATAGCCTATCTTGCTCGACAGGCTACCAGTTACTACTTCTGCTTCGATTCTTCGACTGGACCCACACAACACAAAATATCTTGCATGATCAGCTTTGTCAGCAGTTCACGGGTTGGGCCGAAACCATGTGGGTTTTAGGTGTTGCTATGGTGTCAGGCCGGATGAATCTATTGCCCCACACTTACCTTCGCAGCTCACGGCCAAGTTGACCGTTTATTGGATTCTTTTTCCGAATGGCTGACAACTTTCTTTTGCCCCTAGTCGGCCCCTCCATGAAATAACTCGTGTTTGGGCTATCGAGGCTAGGTTGCTAGACCATAGACTGCCGATTAATGGTCCTACATCTATTCCGGATGGACCCTGGCTCGTGGTGTGTCAGTGGCGTTGGTGGCCATCATCATCGCACTAGTCTGCCATCATTTCCGATCGACCGCATAAATATGTTTCTCTCCCTCGGCGCGCCGTTCCCCCCACCTAATCTATGCACCAGTCTCGCCGAAATGTCTGGCCCCCACCCCCGCCTCCACCAGAGTCAGAGCAGGAGAGACTAGCTCGCATTGATGCAGAACGAGAGGCAAAACGCGTCCGTCTTTGTTGTGCAAAAGCCAGCTTCTCTTTTTTTTTCACACTTTTTTTTCCAGATCAGCAATGCAATCGACGAGCAAATTGCGGTGGAGCGTGAGCAGCGGAGGCGACCCTCCAATGCCAAAGTTCTTCTACTCGGTGTGTTGAACCGCAGCATTCGTCTGGCCATAGTCCGATGATTATAACTTTCTAGGCCAGGCAGAAGCGGGCAAGTCGTCGGTTCTGAAGAATCTACAGCTCTACTTCGCTCCAAAGGCTTTCCAGGCAGAGGTACGTATTGTTCGTTGTGTACTACGCTATAAACAAAACACATCTATCACCAGGCGGAAGCATGGCGGCCAGTGATACACCTCAACCTCGTTCGCTCGGTCAACTTTGTTCTGGGGCTATTAGAGCTGCGACACAATGATGGGGGGACTTCTCCCGTACTGAGTGGTTCACTCCGTCGACTGTCATTCAGCCTTGCGCCGTTACGGCAAGTGGAGGAGAGTCTCTCCAGTCGCATCGCAGGAGCACGATCGATTGAGGAACAATCGGAGGCAGAACGCTACAACCCGGCAAAAGCATCTGAAATCTCCGTTCGCTCTGGTGTTGGCTGGACCGCATTTCTACGCTTCCGACGTGGCTCAGTTGACAGCGGCAGGGCCGCTAGCGAGAAATCAGAAGAGATGCAAATACGGAGAATATTAAGCGCGTGTGCAACAGACATTGCCGCTCTTTGGGCCTCAGAAGACGTTCAGCAGGGTTTGAGGGACCGCGACATAATTCTGCAGGAGCAATCAGGCTTGTGCGTTATGATTTATTCCCTTTCCTTGCGTTGTGACCTAACAACAACTGCCACCAGCTTTCTCGATGAGGTACAGCGAATCTGTCAGGAATCCTACACACCCACACCGAGTATGCCGCCCGCCCACCGCTCTTCCACGCATCGATATTTACCACCCACTTCTAGACGACATTCTACGCGCGCGGGTACACACTGTTGGACCTGAAGAGCATGTTATTCATATGGAGTCTGGTATTTTCATTTTTCTCCCCGAGAATTTCAGTTTCGATCGTACCTATTGCCAAAGGGACTGAAACTATGCGGACCTGGACCGTCTACGATGTCGGTGGCTCGACAAGCCAACGAGGTTGGTTATTACTCCTTGTCTTGGACTTGCTCCTCAATGTTTTACAGCCGCGTGGGCACAGTTTTTCGATGATGGTAGGTCTCTCCACTTGATTTCTTGGATGTGTGCTAAGGATGGCTTAGTACACGTGATAATCTTCCTCGCACCGATCTCTGGTATGTTGGCCGCGGCCAATCTCGAACAGTTTGGATTTACTTGACTGCCTTGACAGCGTTCAACGAGACCCTGGCTGAAAACCACACCGTAAATCGACTGGTGCGTTTTTCGGAATAACGATCATCCAAAACCCACCTCCACCAACAGGCCGATTCACTCAAGTTGTGGCGGACAATATGCAGCAACAAATTGCTCGTCAACGTTGAATTCATTCTTGTTCGTGATGGTTTACTTTCTTCTTGACCGTCTGAAAAACTAACCCTTTGCGATCAAGTTCCTCAACAAAGTCGACATCCTGACGCGCAAAATTCAGTCAGGGATTCGTTTCGCAGAACACGTCACTTCATTCCGGGACAAACCCAACGAACCCAAAGAGGTTATTAAGTGTTCGTTCTCGCTCTCTATACGAAAACCTCCACTGAACCGCCCGTAGACCTATCAGACGCGTTTGCCACAATAAATCAAACCTACTCCCCACGCAAGCGCAAGATGCACCGACACGTCACTTGTGCAATTGTTCGTTGCTGCCCTTCTACATCTTACTCCCCCCGCTCACCCTGCGCCACCATCTTTCTTCTTGCTGATGCTTTTATAGGATACTAAAGCAACATCTATCGTCATTAACGACAGTGCGTGCCTTTCTTAGTCCAGTCGTCAGCACTGACTGACCGCCTAGTCCGCGAAGTAATCCTCCTTAGAGCACTCGCTGCCACGAGCATCTTATAGCCTCATCAATCCGTTGTACAACCCCCAACAGGCAATCTACCAGCATATGTTTAATCTCTCTCTCTCTCTCACTCTGACACCGTCTATCCTGTTGTACCACTGCTCTTCGTACATTACGTACTTGTCTTCCTTTGCACCTGTTTTCCTTATCGCTCCCCTTTCCACATCCACAATAATGAACAAACACTTAAGTACAGTTAGTCGTCCTACATGACATTACTTGTATCAATATAGCCTCCAACCAATCCTTGCAGCATCCTTCACCGTTAAAATAGATCCATTAAATCACAGCCTGGTATTGGGCTGCATTTTGTTCAGAAAGGCCGATGCGACGACGCGTCCCGAAGTTTTGTCTGTGATCTAAAACGACGGTTCAAGATGAAATTCTCGAGCAATGCAGTAAGAGAAGCGGCAGTTGAAAGCAAACACCGCAGATGATTCATTACCCTCACGATCGTATTCAAATCTCGGGAGATGAGAGATCGAGCGAGCTTTGCCGCACCAAATTCACCCAATTATCGTTGGTGAAACCAGCCGGTTGAGAAAAATGGCATGCCAGAAAAAGAACTTGCCTCACAACGGGCTGCCATGACCCGGCCACCCATCGAAATGGACGAACTTGATATTCGTAGAGTCGTGCCACTGAAAACGGTTTCGTAGGCCACTCCTGGGAGGGAGAACGACTCACATTGGCGCAGGTGCGTGAAAGAGCACATTCATGCCTTGCGTCACACCAACCCCGTTGGTACCTGACATTAGGCCCAGCGCAACGAGCGGCGTTGAGGCGCAACTATTAAGAAGGATCCGTTAGGCTTTAGTTAAACGCTAGCCAGCTCAACTTAACTTGTCGATGAGGTAGGTGACACACCCTCCATGGAGCATACCAGCACCGTTCAGCATAGCTGTTTGGATGCACATTAGACACAACACCAACGCAGCCAAGGAGAACGACTTGCATTTAGTTATCGTGACCTCTGCTACAGTTACCGCCTCCATCCGTCCACCGCGTTCCACCGATGGATCAACGCTAATTTGGACGAATCGTGTTGCTCGCCCTAGACCGTAGCCAAAGACATCTGGCTCCCCCACCCCGTACGAGTAGAAGGTATTGCAGACCTAAGTAGAACGAGGTTTGCCTGCGGGTCTCCGTGGAGCGGGAGGCAAACCAGTTGTTTGACGTGATCTGGGGCGCTTCCCCGAATCAAGCCGACATCTACATCCACATCGTCTGGGAGAGCAGAAGGATCAACCCAGGCTTTAGGCTGGGCTGGCACAGAGATTTGTCGCTTAGAACTTGACGCGAAGGGCATGGGTTTGAGAAAGAGGATGTTTGTCGACGGCGTGGGTACAAGACCACTTTACCCCTTCAAGCTTTTCTATTCTTTAGATGATCTTCATTCATTTCGCAGGCTCGGAGTAAGGCTATTAGGTTGTCGAGTGGGAATATGAAGGATACGAGATCGGTGAAAGAGCGAAGCCAAGGTCACCAATCACTCGAACGCTAACGCAACTTGGACGGTTTCTGTCTAGTAGCCTTGGGCCATCACGAAATTTTTCGTTTCGGCAATGTCGGAATACAGGTAAGAACAATTCCCTAACTAAGCCGAAAAACAAGCCGAGAATCGCCATTAGGTCAGGGCTGCAAGACATTTAAGCCACTAATATAGAACACGGTTGACCACATACTGTACTTGGGACCACCTCCACCCTCGGGTACAGTCCATGTGATGTCCTGGGTAGGTACCTTGATATCACACAACTTGCAATGGATGCAGTTCTGGGAGTTACAAGTCGCAAGAGATCAATACTTTAACCAACGGATGCCCACTTAGCTGCTTACCTGGGAATTGATGACAAGCTTCTTGCCATCCCATCCTTCCTCCTCAGCTGTGGTCTGAACCCTCACTTTGAGACGAAACTTGATGCCAAAGTGGGAAAGTACCAACCTCCAAGTTCCCTGGGACGACCTTTCCTCCATCATCTGATACATATTCATAGACACCTGCAGGACAGGCCTTCTGTAAAAGACCAGCATATGATCCAGCATTGGCTTCAACATGAGCTCGTCTTCGCAAAGGTGTCTCGGCTACGTCAACCCCCGCAGGTTGCATCCCGACGCCTGCTCAAAGCACGTCAACGACTTGAGAGCCATAGCAGCTGACTGACCTGTGTTTGCAGGACCATCTACCCCTTTCATGACTCTCAAATGCACAGGTTGACCCTCGGCATGGTTCGTGCCTGTAAGAGATACGCTACTCATCAAGTCCGTGCTTAGCGGAGGCTCAAACGGTGGATATTCGATTGGTTTGCACTCTGCAGCAGGAAGCGTCGCTAATGCGTCTGGAGATGTTGTTGACGGGTTGCTCTATCCATTTATTTCAGCAGGGGACACAGTGATGCAGTATAGGGCTCACTCCATTGTCGCCGTGATGTTTTAATGTCCAAGGAACACGACCACCCAGAATAGTGTCGAGACCAGCATATAGAACACCGCCAAGGGTACCGAACCGTCCGCCAAATGCTGGTCGCACATTACGAACAGTCCAGAGATCCTTGTAGACGGGCGAGCCAACAAAGGCCTTGTTATATGGTGCAAGCGAGACTATTTCGGAGTCTGGAGTCGATTCGGACTAGTAGGGTTAATCTTGATAGCTGAGCGAAAAGTAGAAACTTACTGATCCCGATGGTTTGAAGGTCTCCGGCGAAGCGATTGGGACAAATGTAGCACCAGGATGCAACTCCGCGAAGGCCGTTTCAGCTGCTAGCATTCCGGTCTAGGATATGTCATTAGTCGTACACTAGTGTTGGCCCGAGGCCAAGCAGCGAAACCAACCCGCATTGCGTTGTGCGTGCCTTTAATTTTGGCGGTGTTAACGACGCCGGCCGAACATCTAGCATGATTCAGCATATGAGTGGGAATCATGAAATAGATAGTCACCCAAGAAGAGCTCCTCCGGGAAAATCGAGACGGGGAAGACATTGAATTCCCCCTTCTGTCAATGACCTTGCCCCGTAGGCAAGACGTTCTCCTGAAGCGAGCAGATTTCGGTAATATGGGTGGTGTTTCATACGCTGAAATTCGCGATATGGCTCCAGATAAGGATTCTTGTAATCGAGACCAACGACAAGCCCGATGCTGACAAGACCGTCTGCCATATGATACTCCCACCCACCGCCGTATGTGCTCCAGTCCATTGGCCAGCCAATAGTGTGTACAACCTTCCCTATGGTGAGTCAGAGTATTACTAAGCGAATAGGCACTCTACGGCTTACCAGGTACATGTTTTGAAGGGTCGATTCTCCAGACCTCTTTCAGACCGATTCCATATGTTTGTGGTTGGGCGTTGTGACGAAGGTTATACGTTGATATTGCCGTTTTTGACAGTGACCCATGGGCACCCTCTGCCAACAATGTGGCACGAGCGCGAAACGCGATACCAGGCTCGAAACGGGGAGATTTAGTTCGCTGACGGGTAAGCCCGGCGTCATGAGTGACGACCCCCCTGACAGATTTTACTTGTCCCCCAACAGCGTCGGTTGCATCGAGCTCGTCAGATAACAGGAATCTTGCGCCAGCAAAGCCCGGATAGATCTCTACTCCTAGTTCTTCCGCGACTCCGCCCAACCAGGACGCGAAACGGCTCAGACTCGTCACATAATTGCCCTTGTTATTCATTTGTGGTGGATGAGGTATGGGGAAAGTGCTTTTTGACGTGAAGAGACGCATAGAAGAAGAAGTAACGGGTTGCGAAAGCGGATGGTCCGTCAACCGCCAGTCAGGGAGTAACACATCGAGTGCCGAAGGCTCGACAACTGCACCAGAAAGGATATGAGCGCCGACTTCAGAGCCCTTTTCGAGAACCACTACGCGAATCTCCTTTCCTGTCTCCACCTCAAGTTGCTTCAACCGGATTGCTGCACTAAGGCCAGCCGGTCCTGCACCAACGATACAGACATCAACTTGTTCTTCTTCACGTGCTTCAGCGTCGGGATTGTAGGGCGTATATGTAGCCTGGCGTCTTGAGTGAATCCAAAAGGCAGAAGGATGTGAACGACGTCCAGCCAGACGCGCCAGCATCGTTCTTGAGATGATGGAGACTTTCACGTGCCGGTGTTAACCGTCTCAGCCAATCACAAGACACATCAATCAAATGGCTACAGTGTGACTGTGACATGAACATTATTTTTTCCCCATCCTGAGTCCTCTACATAGGATTATCTTCAACTTGCTCTGAATGCAACACAACGTTCAATCAAATCTTCATGGGGAACACGATAAAAGGATGCTTTTGAAGCTGACCGCCATTACCAACCCAAGTCTGTTCTCCAACACAAGTTCAAGTTCACGATTACCTCCACCTGTGGATATAAATAACACTCATTGGAATACTGAGTTAGCCTACATTCAAGCTGAATAATTGTCAGATGCCCAAAACTTCCTTCAACACAGATGCCAACTTCCGAAGCCACTCAACTTCTCGGCCCACAGTACCATCAATGCACTGCACGCTCGTAACCCCCACCTTCTCCCGTGCGTTGCTCAAATCGGCGGATGAATTATTCCCGACGAGAGCCTTCCCTTTTGAACTAGGCTAACAACCGCAGACCAAGATAACGTGTTCCAATGATTCTGGCTTAGACAGTGAGAAGCTCAATTAGGACAGGGTCCAATACCACTCGGGGTGTTGCCCACCACGAAGTCGATCCACCATGTCGTTGGACATCAGAGTCAAAAATCTTATAGTCGGAGTTGAATGCATCCAGACAGCCGCGGAGTCGTTTCACGATGACCTTCTTCCCACCTTCTCTCTATCCAAGCATATGCTTCAGTCGTTGGCAGCATGGAGCCGTCGGAACACCTCATCTATGTTCCGGTGATTGCGCATCACCGCCGAGAACCACCGGCCGACCGATCAAAACGAGATCCTCCTGGAGGCACAATCACGATTGAACCACACAGTTCCGCACTGTGGCGCTCCAGGCCCGGTGTACGTGAAACTGGCAAGCAAGCAGCGTATGCACCGGCGCCACCAGGCCATCGAGATCTAAAGCATAAGCCTGAAGCGAATCATGTTTTGGTTGGGGTTGTGGTACAGAACAATACAGCGTGGGTCAAGTGGTCAACCACGCGAGCATAACTTAAAGTGCAAGGAGAGGTATTACAGTCAGTACATAGAAAATCCAAATGGGTGGTTGTTGCGAATAAGAACCCGGAAGGTCGGGGATAAATTATGGCGAAAGGTTAACGAGCGGAAGGTATGGCAAAGCATAGCAAAGCCAGAGGTTTGTCGCGGAGAGTCGTAAAAGAGACGTTATGGGGCGTCATTCCATCCCGACACCTTGTTGTCATCCATGGGACCACGCTATTGAAAAAATCAGACCACGCCAGCTGGGTCGAGATAAAAACAACACACCTCGAGACGGCTCAAGCTGATACCATCGGCGTCAGAGACCTTGTGCGTCGTGACAAGCACTCGGTTTGGGTTGGCTGCAAAAGTCATCGGCGCAATGGGTGCACGCGGATATGCATTGTTGCTGTTGCTATCCGTGAACGACGGGGTTCCCTGTGTCAAATTCGTTCTGGGGGCCGCTCCTGGGAAGGCACGGTTGTTAAAAGTAACAAGCAGCGTGTTGGCGTAACTGTCGCCATTCAGCGTGGGCGAAAAGAAATTAGTGACAGGGACATACATGCCAGGTAGAATCATAGTCGGTGGGATGAAGTAGCTGCAAAAATCAGGTGAGATGTCGAAATGAACGCCACAGTACCCAGCAAGCTCACGTTGTTCCCGGTATGCCAGCAAAGAGAACCAGTCCAAGGACTGCGACTCCCGCAGAGAGCGCGTTGGTTTCCAGGATCAGTCGAACAATTCGTTTGACGAGATAGTTAGAGGAGCTGTGGGCCTGCTTGCTCGCCTTGGTCAACTAGGGACAATAGGTCTAAGATTAAAGCTTGGTGGTAGCATATGAACGTACCAAGACACTCATAGCGATTGCGATTGCGACGTCGGCAACCGCATCACCAATGAGCCACATCTGCCGGGCAGTAAGGAAAGGAATTCATCGATCAAGAAAGAAAGCGGCATACATAGACGAGGATGGTGCGGACTTCGTCGTGAAGACTGTTGGCGGCAATATATGCCTTGAGACCAGCACCAATACCGCCGACTGCTTGCAGAACGGAGACCTGGGACCCAAAATGAGCGAGTTCATCGAAATAGGGCTTCGATGCGCACGATAGCAATGCAGATACTCAAGGGCAAGGCTGCACTCTTGATGATCCAGATACGGTAGCAGAAGAATAGCTGAATTGACAAAGCTATTATAGAGCCCAAAATCGGAGTGTAGAACTTGGGGTGAATTCGATCTCTTATCTGCAAAACAAAGAAAAGGGTTCACGCACGGGAGAAATATGCGCGCGGCTGAACTGGATAAGGTTTCCAAATCCATCCGCGTACCAGTAGTACGCATCAGCGGCGTTAAGACACGTGGATACCAACATGAGCAAGAAGACCGTGTAGACTTGAAGACATCAGCAAAAGGGTCGCCGCTTTGACAGACAGTCGACACACCCATAAGCTTGATAGACAGTTTGTCCTTGTCGAACGATATCTAAGGAGACTTGATTAGATAGCGTGAAGAGAATAGGCCCGGAGACGCACCCTGTAGACATATATTTGGACCGACAACACTCCAAAGAGGTAAAAGTTCAACAACGACCCGATGAGCTGCTCGAGGTGAGCCTACATCTCGAAGGCATGATAGCTTCCACTGACCTGGGGCCCTGCTCTATAGAACATGATCAGCAATAAAACCGACCAACGCAGACGGAACTTACATCTGCCCAATATTAGGTGGGATCGGCGGGAGCGCGGGGAGGCCGGGTGGGGGTGCAGAAGAGGCCATCGTGGACTAGCCCGAGGAGGGATTCAGAACGAAAGCAGCCAAAGGAGGGCTGGAGAGAACGAAAGCAGCAAATTACGCTACGCAGTGAGGACGGTATATATATTCCGGTGTAAAGCCGGAAGCCCATTGGATGCCCAGCAAATCCATGTGCAGCGTAAAAGTCAAACAGTTGTAGACGCATCGCGTTTTGATTGTTGCATTCTGCAGATGGGCTTAGTTATCTCCAGGTGAAGCTAAAAGTGACATGAATCTTGATCTGAGCTCTGGAGGAAGTCCCGGTGGTCATGGTCAGGCAACTCTTTGCGATTCCTTTGACAGACAGACATGTGCCTTGAGACATTTTCAAGACACCTTGATTCGAGATATGGTCGTTGGACGAGGCTAATAATACCTCTTCATAGCAACTATTGCAACCAGGATTTTCATGCGAGTTGGATGACGAAGCCTTTGGGCGGATCCAAAGCCGGATTGATGCCAATGATGATTGATCGCTGATGGACCTGGATCTGCGATGATCAGCCGGCTAAACTCAGCTGATAAGTAGGACATTGAGGATATGGAACGATAAAACAAAGGCGTCATCTACATCCACCCGGTCGATCCACACTCACGCTCCCAATCAACAGGCGTCAATTCTTTCACTCGTGCTCGGAAAGCGGTCAACGTGCAAAGTTCCGGCGACCCCGCTAAATGTTTGCCCTCCTCCGCGCATGCCGGCAAGGCCATATTCTTATTCTGATACCTCATTCGAACGACTATGACGTTCAGCAACATCCACCATAACGGGCGAGGGAACACACACAGTATTCTGGTAATGCTGAGGTGGTCTTGAACGGGGATAAAATGGTTTGCAAGTATGACGACTGATCATCTTCTGGTGGAGCTTTCTTGAAGAGCTCGAATGTAATCGACGCGGTGAATGCCGGCCACCTAAGGCTATGAACACAGAGAAAGGTCTCCAAAGGCTGCTTACTTGTCATCAAAGACGTCAAGAGTGTTACACATAGCAGCGAGGGCGGTATCGTGAGTACTATGTACAAGAAGCTTTGGCAGATCGTTTGGGCGGTCGACTTTCTGTTGCAACTTTTGAGAAAGGTCGGAAAGGAGGGGTCCCATTCCTAATCGTCGGACTTCTTGGGTTTTATCTAAGCGCATCAGATGAATCAGCGGAAACGCAAACCAGGCGAAAGAGATCAGACGAGAGAGAAAGTTCAATCTCACACCCTAAAAAGATCAGTCGGCGAAAGACTGCATAAAGGGAGGTCTGACCTGCGAACCACTCGTTGACGACGGCTTGCTCCTAGATGGATCAAATTCAAGATGAGAGCCATAATTGCTGGCGTCAACGCACGATAACATCGATGACCGACTTGTCCTCAAATTCAGAAGGGACCTTGACGCCATGGGCAATAGCAGCCCTAACAGTGTCGAGCACGCCAGATGCACGGGGCTTTCCGTCCACACGAATGGGACGGCCTTCTAGGTATTTCGATATTTTCTCGTCGAGAGGCTCCAAAGTCTGATTGTAGGCCGCAGCCGCCGCTAGGATACTTACTTCAGCACAATTGGTAGGATATATGTCACTTACCCTGAGCGAAACCGATTTGCAGATACTCTAGTCGTTTACAAGATAAAGTATTGCCTGTGATGATCAGAAGTCAAGAAAGAACGGTAGCACGACGGCGTACCTAAGAGGTTCTCATCTCGTCCATTACTACTCGGCAATGAGCATGGGAGACTGCCATCTGAGAGGAAGAGACAGACCGAACGAGAAGAGTAGGTAGGACATCGGGCGAGCACTTGTTCGTAGGGTATAAGCCATGAATTATTTGCTCCAATGACTCTATCGTTCGAGGCATGTTGGTGCTTCGGAAATAGGTTTCACTCGGCTTGCGTAGCGTATCGGGAAGAAATTGTAAACTATTCAACCATAAGAAAGGCGCGCATGTCAAGAGGAAACGGCGAACCGTTCAATGTAGAGTCTTCGAAGAGCCGCGCCAAAGTCGTAGGTTGACTGCAAAGCAAAGCTATCAGCTCTTTCAAATCCCCGAACGATTGGTGTGAGCTACCTGTCTTCCGATATCGGACAATTCCCCAAGAAGACTGAGTGATAAGAGATGAGATGTGTGTTAAACGGGAAGCGAAAGGCCATACCATAGACCCTCTGACGACGACCCGTCCTTCTTCTCTACAGCGCGCTTCGATGGAATGGCCTCGCTTACTGTGCTGTCTGACTCTCTAAACTGCCGTCGCGTTTTGCACATGACCCAGTGCTCAGGAATGAAGGGTGCTAATCGAACGCCAACGGGAGTCCTTTCACCTAAACACAGCATGAGACCTATTCTTTCGCTTTCTCATAAAGAAAGCACACGCACCGTGGCGCACGTAAACATGAACCTGCTCCAAAGAGAGACCATGTGGAAGAGGATACCCTTGAACATCCAGAGGTTGCTGCGGCGGTGCGCGAAAGGTGGATGATGTCGGTGATTCGGAGGTTACGGACGCGATGGAGGGTGAGCTGCGAAGTGGCATGATATCGTCCTCGACCTCTAATCCCGCCAAAACTGAAGGGGTTGGGAATATATTTAGCTGGGTGGACGAGTTGTGGCTGGCCGCTCCAATGACAAGATTGAATGGTAGGTAAGCGAGCAAGACGACGAGCAGAGAGACGTGAAGACGAAGGTTCATATATCGACAATGGACAACCTCGAGGATAAAAAACTCGTGGTACCAAGTCAAGTTGTTGTTGTCGCCGATCAATCTGATGGCGACCAATTGCTGTGCTAATGTAATTGCCGTGCTTATGTAGCTATATCAAGCGCTCTGTTTCTTCACTTGAAGATTTACTTCATCTCCTTCAGGAGCCACTTCGCGTCGCTTGAAAGTTGCGGACCTAGATTGAGAACGGAAATTTGTATGTGGAATCCTGGTACAAGTAACCGACCTTATAGGTTGTTGTGCCCGTGGGACCAGGAGAGCCTGAACTCCCTTCCATCTAATTGGACTCGTGAGCCACTTATGCTAGTATGTTTCACTTCCCAACCTGGAGATTGATGATGCTGCAAACAACTTGTGTCAAAAAGAAAGTGCTCCAAAAAATTAGAAACTTGCAGCCAAAGTGGTTTCCCGACGAACCCCGCCCCATACTGAGTCACTCGAAAGACATTGTCCAAGTAAAAGTCGATATTGACATCCACATTGTTGGGTTCGGCAGTGATAATGGCCTTGAGAGCGTGGAATGACAAATCGGTGGGCCATGGGACTAAGGTCGACTTGACTACTGAGGATCTATGATAGCCATGATTTGTGCGGAAGGACAATGCATGATCACATACGTGTTGAAAGTGTTGAACCAGTTGTTAGCGGTTCCTTTCCATTCACCGATATCAGTTTCTGGTGGCCATGAATTCACGGCCTTGATTTAATTGAAGCCAGTATGATGAGCAAATGCAAGTCCATACCGTAAGCCCTGATACATTGGTCAATCTCAGGCAATACCTTCTTCACATAGAGAGAGAGAGAACTGACAAAATGCAGGCCATGTTCCTAACGCCGTCGGAGAACTGAACTCTCCTTACAAGGTGTACGAGTTGGTATTTGTCACCGTAATTTGAGATTTTGCATGGATAGCTCCACTGGCATAGTGTATTGCTGGTTTCGGATTTGCAGTGCTGGTAGGAGGTACAGCGCCGGACGTTGGTGTTGCAATCAAACTGAGTGTGCTCGAAGCAACGTTGATGTGTCCATGGTTTGTCGAGTTGCCAATCATGCGAGCACTTCCATTGTGGTCACTTCCCTGGGGATGAGTCAGATTAGTGAGTGGGGTTTATGTAGCGGTCATGACTAGCCCAAGGGTAGAGGTAGGCCTGACTCGTGTTCAGATCTATCTTTGATATAGGAGGAGATACGAACCCAGTAGCTTTCGAAGGTGGTCAAGTTGTTAAAGCTATTGAGAGGAATTACGGTTGTGGTTGCCAGCGCTGGGCTCATGCGGATGACAACGCAAGTCAAGGTAAGAGCGGTTTGGTAGATGTTGGTAAGCAGCATAATGTGAACGTCATTCATTGATCCATATAAAGCTTATTGTCAAGGTCGGTCCTGGTCGGATGACACTTTTGCAGCACCGAAGTTGATCAGGTTGAATCTCATTCACATGAACGATTGGGTGGAGGCAAATACGGGGAAAACGGCGGGCCGGTACCTGGACCATCACGTGCGCAACGCAAGGGATTACAATGCTGTTTGGATGTAGATGAAATGCAAGGTTTACTTAATGTGTATGCCAAGATTAGGGAAGCAACAATTCCATGATCTACCACTCAAACTCTCTGCAGCGCTGTCAGTTCAAGGTATGATCACTATGTTCACCAACTCACCCAGTGCACCTGGCAAACAAAAAGTCTTTTCCACCAGTGTGAATCATGCCGTCTTTCAAGACACATTTCCACTTGTTTTTTACCCTTGCAACCTTGTCATAGGTACAAAACACCACATCCGTCACAACGGCGTTGGCGTCCTCCTTGTCCTCTTCGTTCTCCGTGTCTGAGTCATCCAGATCACTTGTGATGGCTTCTGGGTCGACCTCCTCGCTGATATTACTCTTTGACGGAGCCGGCACGGAAACAGAGGGATGTGCCGGTCTCGGAGGCCCTATTGGAACTTCTTCATCGTAGTCTTCTTCGTCAGAAGAGGCACTGGGACCGTCGACTTGATTGATGCGATACATTTGTTGACCTTGGACGGGATGACCGACGGGGTGTTGGAGATGTGGTATTGCTGAAGGAAATGCGAGATGAGAAGGAAGAGTCGGACCCGGGAGAGGCGGGAGCTGGTACTGAGGGGTACCGAACCGAGCGTCAAGAGGTTCTGGCTTGATTGGCTGGGTCTGAACACGTCCTTGAGACGCAGCATTGGGAGGAATGTAGGTCGGATAATGAGGGGCAGCAAGCACCGGAATTTGCGGTTGCTGTGGCTTTTGACTTGTAGCAGTGAGGCCTTCGGTCGCATTCGAGAAGTCGGCAACGCGGGATGCGATCATTTTGGACTCCCATTTCTACGGTGAAAGAAGATGGGTCTAGACAGAAAGAAACTTTCAAGATGCGAGCGTACGTGCTGGAGCAACTCGAGAATGCTATCGTCTACCCCATAATCCTCGAACTCAGGTTTGAGCGCGTTTATCACGTCGTCAATGACAGCGCGGTAGATGTTGGGCTTGAGAGTGACCGGGTGAGGAAGCGTGTAGTGTCGCCAGAAGCAACAAGGAACGAAGCTTACCACGACTTTATTCGACATGGTGGTCGGAAGAAAGGAGCGACGGGCTGACAAACACGCAGCTCTGTGACAAACTCCACCCAGAGAGCATTGTCTCTCTGAAAGGCCAACGCAGACAAAGGGATTAGTTAGTGTCGAGTAAATAATACACAGCGCACGAAAGCTAATTTTGGGTGGAAATATTGTCCTCTGCCTCATTCGGTGCATAGAAACGAAAGGAACAGAACCCTTGCAGGTCTACTGCGTCGACATGAAGTTCTCGTCCCGTATCTTCTGCTTATTTGCCTTTCTCCGTTCCGCTCGGTCTGCCCGACCACCAGGTCCGTCGTCTGGCCATATCCTTGGTGAAAGCACGTTCCATAACCACTCCGGGTACTCTTCGTCGGGCAGCGCAACCACGGGAGATTGCCCTTTGAGGTAATTGACGCCCTTGAGGACTGTCTCTGCTTCACATGAGGAGAGTACTGATATAACAGGGGAGAAAAAAATGGTTCAATGATGCCAACTTGATGACCGGGGGCAGCACACCTTTAGGAGTCCTGGTCGTAGGATTTGGACCCGTGCTGCTTGCAGAGTAAACGCGTAATCGGTGCCTTGGAATGCATCGTGAGACGCGCAAGATAGATGAGAAAGTCGAGGTGGACATCGAAGATTGCACGTGATCTTCTGACCTCAACTTTCAACCGTCACCGTGTCGTGTTCGCCGTGAAAAACCTCTAGTCCCTGACCAGGAGACCGCAAATTTGTTGTTGCCATTACGCGAACATTAGCCACTTTACAACTATTGACCCACTTCCTTGTCTTTGTTGTCGCAAGTTATCAACGGAGCCCTCCCACCCATGATAGCTTCCCAACGCTCCGAAGCCCCACTGGGACTCTTCTTCCCACTACTCGGCTGCTCTACTTATCTTTCGATTACTCGGCCGCTTCCAGTCGTATATAAGAACATCGCGTCCTGTTGCGTTTCACATCCCACATTATGGAAAGGCTTAAGAAGATCGCGAAAAAGAACTCAGGCGTTGCCCAAGGGTTTGTCTCTCAACATTTAAGACGGGTCAGTACATAAGGCTTTGCACAGTCAAACCGACGTTGGAGCCACGCAATGGTATAACAAGGACTTGATTCCTGCAGCACAGGAGTTGGTATCTCGCTTTTGGTGATCTCGATGGGTGTCAATTTTGACTCGAAAACCAGCGCACATGGAAGCTTCACACCTACGTTTTCTTCTGTAGGTCCTCTTTTTTTTGCCAGCAGTATGAACTCATAGCGATACAGGGTGGGCGTCTTCCTTCAACCAGGCAGAATGGTTGGCCCTCAACTTTATGGCTGCTTGGTTTCAATTTACCTTCCGTTCTAGGTCCATAGGCTCTTCACTCATCGCTATCGGCCTTACATTCCGCCAATCCATGATCTCGGTCTGCATTGGTGCTATTCTCTGCTCCATATCTATGGTTATCACCGCTCGGCCAGGCGCTAAGCTACATATTGGCTACCCACCTCTGCTACGCTCTTCTTTCGGAATGTGGGGCTCCAAGATCTTCGTCATGCTTCGTGGAGCAGTCGCGATCATCTGGTTTGGCATACAGACCTATTTTGCAAGCACCTTGCTGGCTGTCACATTTCGCTGCATGTGCGTTGTTTGTTTCTCTGAGTCTTGAAAAAAACTTTCATCATTCCTCAGTTTTGGTCATCAATGGACACAAATACCAAATGACCTTCCCGAAAGCGCCGGCATCACAACTCAAGGCATGGTGGCCTTCTTTGTCTGCTGGTTACTTCAAGGCCCTCTCATTCTTATACACCCATCACGCATTCATTGGTTGTGGCCGCTAAAAGGCATCATCATCCCTCCTGCAGTCATCGGATTCTTTATCTGGTCTGTCACTCGTGCTGGTAACTTTGCGTGATGAGACGTTGGCCCCGTCTTAATGGTATCTTCCAGGCGCTGATTGGGGAATGTTCAACACCAATCTCACAGTAGAAGCAGCTCATGGCTCTACTCTCGGTTGGGGTAAAGCTGCATTACTTTGTTTTGACTGTCGCTTACCAACATATCAGCGGTTATGAGCGGTATCAACAGCGTCATGGGCACACTTTCACCCATGATCCTCAATCAGGTTTGCGGTCCTCTGCCTTCATCTTTCCACTCTTACCATATGGGTTAGCCTGACATCGCCGTATGTCCAGATTTAGTCTGCTTGCGTCCATAAAAACTAGAGCAAACCAGAGGTATGCGCGAAAACCTTATGATGCCGGCTGGCCGCAAGGGGTCTCTATGCTCGTAATCAAGGTATCTTTCGTCTATCTCTGTTTAGTATCAACAAAACATTTGTTTAGACCATGATATTTTTCATGTCGATATCCACGGCTTGCTCGCTCCAGGTTCTCTATGGCAAAGCTTACTGGAATATGTGGTATGTGTCCTGATTGATTTGATGTCATTTTCCTAGTGGGTTAATAGACTCACAGGGATCAGCTCAATGCGGTCCTCGATGCCAACTGGAACACAACTGCCCGTGTGGGTTGCTTCTTTGTTTCGCTTTCCATGTGTCTAGGAACCATTGGGACGAATCTCTCAGCCAACTCAGTCAGTCTATTTCTACATTTCACGGGAAACATTGATTTCCTCCCGTCCAGATACCATTCGGTGCTGACATGACGGGTATACTCCCAAACTACATTACCATTGTCCGTGGTCAGGTCGTTGTGTGGATTCTTGGATTTGCAATCGTTCCATGGAAGTTTTTAACGAGCGCTGCCAAGTTTATCACTTTCCTTGGCTCGTACACAGTCCTCATGGGCTCGGTATTGGGTCCATTGTGGGCTGACTATTACATCTTGAGACGAGGGAACATCCATGTGTGAGCTCACCCTCTTGGCAATCATTTCGCTCACGAAACCAGTCCATCATTATTTCATCCCACAGTAGGCTCAACCTACTGGTTCCTCGGTGGCTTCAATTGCCGTGCTATCTTGGTACGCAATAAAGTTACAAACACAGCCAAGTTACTGATCACCCACAGGCATGGTGTGTCGGAACTGGATTGACAGTGTCCGGAATTGTCAATGGCTACGGTCCTGGCGTTGTTGGTCCTGCAGCAGTCAATCTCTATAGGTAGGTTATTTCGTCCTCAGAGAGTGTTTTCCTGAGCCCCGCTTTCGTCAGTTTGGGATGGCTGCTTTCCGTCCTCTCGTCGGGCATCACATATCTCGTCTTGAGCTATTTGTTCCCAGTACCCATCACACCAAGTCCAACAGCTCGACTACCTTTTGAATATCTCGCCAATAAGGAAGGATTTTTTGATGAAGACTTGCCATGGGACGTCACAGCCAGCCCATCGTTGACGAGCGAGGGTAGCAGTGAGCGGATCTCAGACAAGGAAGACTACGATTACTAGTAGTTTCACAAGTACATTATTAACAAAAGATATGGGTCGGTTCAAGCTGAATACTGTCACGTCTGCAATGGTAAGATTTTCTTGGTGAAGGCCAGGAGAATCAAAAAATCCAGATCATTTCAAGTTGGACTGAACGCTGAAGAGCGTGCCCTTGCATCGCATCAGAGAGTGGAAGATGACGGCAACTTGCAACAGTCAAAAATTTTGTAACCGAAAATATAACCAGCGTTGGGGAGTAGAGTGTCGATGACATGAGAGTATGAAAACGAGCAGTCTACAGTCTAGCGAGATCGACGTCGCGAGCGGACATGGAACCATAGAGAGGCTAAATAATTCCGAGTTCATCGCCACTGATCACCGAAGTCTAAGCATATCGCTCATAGTCCGCTCCGAATTCCTCTCTGTCTTCCTGTTGACGTTTAGCATGCAACATAGCAATGTGCGGGAGTCGCGCTGGAGGTCCACGAAGTGTGCGTCCACTAGGAAGCTTCGGTGGTTGCAACCCAGTCTGAAAAAGGGTTATCAGCGCCAGCGTTCTACTCATCGATTGAATTACCTCAGCCTGGCATCGCCGAAAAGCCTCTGCGAGTGTCCCTCCTCGATTGATCTCGAATTCGCCGTCTTGTTTTCCTTCCGCTTTTCGTTGAACAATCATTTTCTCGCGTCTACTGTTCGTTGCATTCACGTCCAATTCAAGTGAATCGGTCAAAAACACCCCATATCGCTTGGCCCCCTGGCGAGAAATCATGCCCTCGCGGACCTCCCTCGCAACCATCTCCGCTGGTCGTTCATATGATAGGCCATAGCCCCCACCACTGGCGAAAATATTTGAGAATATCGCAGAAAACATAAAGGCCATACCCCCAGGTGCACCTAGACAGCGATGAGATCGAAAATCAGTAAAGAGAGTCTCTTCGTACCATATAAGCACATCGCCTTCGCGGACGGCAACAAAGTCGACTTTTGAAGGCAACACAACTCTTGTTTGATCTATGGCCCTGACGAGTGTCTTGGACGACCGAGCGCCAGGCTCTCCGCCTTTTAACTCTGAAGTGGGTGACAAGAATGCTTCCAAGGTGAGGCTTTACCATTCACGCCCCATGGCTTCGTTAACCACCGATCATCATGCAAAGAAATTTCTCCAGCACGGAGGAAACAATATTCTAACGTTCGGTGAGGATTGACGCGGGATCAAGTTGAAAGCTTACCGATTTGGACACCATTCCCTCCTCTGTAGAAGCCTGCGCCTCCAGAATCACAGATTGTTTCGTACCGTTCGATGCGGAGAGGGAAATATAGCTCAAGAAACTGTTCCCGCATTCAGCTCAAAAAACATAGAAAAAATGGGGGGGGGGTTATACCTCATTTGGGACCGCCTTCATGGAAGGAAAAAGTGAATGACCGTCCTAACAAGCGTCGACAGCGTATCATGGATGTGTTTTTGCATAAATACCATTCCATCACCAATTGGCCGTGCGGGAACTCCGCCAAATCCGATCTGGTACAGTTGGAACCACGTTCCGTCGGCTCTCCAACCGCTGTAAAAGAAGTGGGGAGAGTCTGAATAGCCAGCAGCCGTCATGAACTGAGGCTGACGCTGTCCAAGAGTACCAATCATCAAGTCCAGTGTCCGGCCTAGCAAGTGCGTACGGCAAGCCAACGCAGCAGGACGGACGGGATTGAGGAGAGTGCCCAGAGGGATCCGGACATCCATGAGATCATAAGCACCTTAAAATACGGTCACCTGACTGGAACCGAGAAGATTGCCTGACTGACCATCATTGAGGGTGATGCTAGGATCGAGTGCTTTGATGAGGTATGCGCTTGAACGCCTAGCGAGCCGCGATGAGCCAGGAATTCATATATAAGGAGGGGACGGGTATAAATCACATCTTCCAAGTTGTCTGAAATGGCAGTTGGAATGAGAAAAGGAATCATTGTTCTGAACATACCGGACTGAGCAGCCAATTGACACCGGACTCCGCTTGCGGATCTAATAGCAGCCTGAGTATACGAAGGATGCAAAAAGAAAAAAAAATATCTGACCCGTGCCGTCAAAATCATAAACCAGTCGATCGCCGGTCCCATCCTCCAGCGGCTCTTTGAACATTGTACAAGAAACCTTCCAAGGACCCTTGGGTTAGGTTGCGATGAGAGTCAGCCAAATCGCGTCAGGTTAAACTGACTATTCCAGTTCCATCATCATCCATCCAATCACTAACAATATAGTAAAGCTTCAGAAACACTAAGATAACGACACAAACCTGAATGTCATTCTACCAGCAGGTATTTTGGTTCGCAGAAGCTCTGCAAAGGCCACCTTGTTTCGCTCCAGGAGTACATCCAGGGCAGATTCGAATGCCACAGTCCCAAAACGATGACAGACTTCAGAAATTCTAGTTTGCGGTCAGCACACAATCATCCTTAAGCTATGATATGTACCGCTGACTAGCAATTCGACACGCGGCTACAAGGGCGTAGAGGTCCGCTCGTGCAAAATCTGGGGTTCTGGAATTTCGACATATGATCTACGATTAGATGAGAGATTAGATTGGCAAGTCACACACACAGTCACGCACATTTTGCAATGCGGTATTTAGCTTGCCCCGCTCGTAAAGTTTGGATATAGGTATCTGGATACCATCTTGGAAGATAGTGTGCGAGTTGATTGGCAGGGAGCCCGGAGTTTGCCCGCCAACACTATGAAGTATGAGTTGGTAAATCATCTGGACCTAGAGCGTGTTTAGTTTACTCGGTAAAATGGCCTGCGGACAACTTAAAATTAGTCAATGAGAAATTGGGTGGGCGCTAACCCTGGTTTGCAGCCCAAGCGACACGTTTTCCGTTGTGATACACCGGGAGCATCACAAGCATGTCGTTGAGATGTGATATTCCACCCTGGACTTCGTAGGGGTCATTCGTGATGAACACATCGCCTTCCTCGATACTCCCTTTCCAAATTTTAAGGAAGTGCTAGAAACTGGAAGTGAGTAGAACTATTGTCATATAAAAGTGCCACCTGCCTGAATATACGAGCCAAATTGCCCGACTACCATTTTACCGTCATCTAAGAGAATGGGTAAACCACCAGTCATGAGTGACTACGGGCGTACTCGGTCCACTGCCAGCTGAGATCATCGGAAACTAGGCGTTGTGAGGATAAGAGCTGGTCTTGACTTGAAACACGAACATAATCTAACTGCTCGCGCCTGTCCAAAATGAGTCAAATTATTAGGTTGCGGCAAACCAACCCACATGGCAGGAGATAGTGCAGACCGTAAAATAAGACCATCCATTTCAAGTCTCGCATTGGCAAGCGCGGCTTCAACAAGCTGAGTGGTAATACTCCCTGTGTGGTCGACTACAATAGCTTCTTCTGATGCAAGAGGCCACATTAGGATATTGCCAAAACAGTCGATTTCGGCACGATGATCTGGCATCACAATGCTGCTCGAGTCCATCTGAAGTAAAAGATGGATTAGTCAGCTCAGGGCATCGATAAATTTACAAACCTCTGTTATGATTGCAGGGCCAGATATTTTATTCCCGTCTTTGAGCTTAGACCGCTCGAGGATAGGCGCATCCACGTAAAATTTCCCGTTCCAATATATGTTGGTTGTGCCCACAAACGCCTTCGAATCGGGCTGTCCGTCGGAAGAGCCTCTTTCTAGCTGGGGCAGAATGATCTCCTCGGTAACCTCTTCTGCACGACCGCGTAGGTTGATGACCTCGACGCCAAGGTCTAATGTGTACGTGAAGAGCGAATTGTGAAGAGAGGTGAACCTAAAGAAAAGTATCGTAAGCATTGCGGTAAGAAAAAGACGATGTACTACATATGCCTTACTCTCTCTTCAAGACCAACAATCCGTCCGTTTCCAGCTCGCTCAGGCCAAACCCCACTGACAAATTCAATGCTTGCCCTGAATAACGCATGTCGGCCTCGAAAGAGTATTTCTGGCGCTCCTTAGGGACGCCCTGCGACTCAAGAACTTGTGCAGCCTGTCCAGCAAGGTTCTTGCACACCTCAATAATCTCAAATGCCACAACTTCTCCCAAATTGCGAATATAGGTTCGTCCAACTTCGTGTCGGAGTGAGGTTATAGCGTCACCCAAGGCACAGAGAACTAAGCCTTAGTGAGAAGCTTGATCGTTGGGACTGGACTGACACACCTCCCGGCGCAGTAGGTATAATGACCGGATATGACTGACACAGTCCAGCTGTGACATATGTTAGAAAAATCTGCCAAATGTATCAATGGAAAAAAACCGAACCAAGCGAACAAGCGTGCAGTGGCCCAGCTCCGCCAAATGCAACTAAACTGTACTCTCTCAGATCGTGTCCCTAAAAACCTAATGAGAGTCGGGTCAAGAGACTGAGAGAGCCTTACCCGTTCTATGGAGACACTTTTGATAGCACCATACATTTTTTCATTCGCAAGTTTCAGTATACCCTCTGCTGCCTCATAGACCGTTAACCCGAGAGCATCTGCTATTGCTTGGACCGCCTTGTGTGACGCGCTGACATCCAGTTTCATCGAATCACCGATAAGAGCAGGTGGAAGGTATCCGAGAACGACGTTGGCACTAGAAAATGTAAGATGTAAAATCGAAGGGAACAACATATACTAACTCAGTGACAGTTGCATTTTTCCCTCCTTTGCCGTAGGCAGCCGGACCAGGAACAGCACCTGCACTTTCGGGCCCAACTCGCAAAGCTTTTGTCACCTCAGGTACATGCGCGATGCTACCGCCTCCCGCGCCAACAGTACGAACGTCTACGGATGGGCTTCTGATCGTTAGATCCCCGACTGTTGTTTCCCGTCGAAGACTGGCCACACCATTTTGAATGAGACACACATCGGTTGATGTGCCTCCCTCGAGGAAAATGAGCAAGCGGTCAATTAATCAGATGCAACTCACCATGTCGAAGCTTAACAAATCCTTATACCTCGTCTTCCGTGCTATGGTTTGGGCCACTCCAGCGACTCCACCAGCCGGGCCCGAGTATATAAGATTGCAGCTAAACTCCTTGGCGAGAGCAGGACTCGCAAGCCCACCATCGGATCGCAAGACGCGGATTTCCATGTTGCCCAGCTCCGTTTGCAGGGAATCAAGATATTTCTGCACTTTAGGGCGGACCATTGCTGATACTACGGCGGTCTAGCCAATTATACATTGTTAACTTGGGGTTTGTGGCACAGGGAAGACATACAAGGGTCCGCTCATACTCCATGAGTTCAGGGAGAATCACGCTGGAGAGGGTAACGGGAACACCTGGAAATTCTTCTTTGAGAACAGAAGCCGCGTCAATCTGGGTGGATTGTAAATGAGCCATGCGATAGAGAGAACAGTATGCACTTCGTGCGAATTATTGGCGAAACTGTTGATAAAAGACACTGTAACTGCTTCTGGTCGCTGACGTTTCAGCGACGCGAGCCTTTGTCGAAACACTTCTTTTTCAAATGGCCGCACTTCTGACCCATCGATGGCAATCCGCCCTGGGGCACTGACGGTCTCGAGGAGAATAAACAGAAAGATATGACGGAATAGGCTACCTACAAGTTCCAATGACACGATAGGTTGTTGCTTGGGGTGAACAACCCAAGCTCCAAGGCCGCCTGGGACTTGTGAGCGCTTGATCACCAGCGTGTCACGAAATCCTTGATATGTTAGTGGAGGACGCAATGGTCGGTGGGTTAGGCACCCTCAGTTACTATAAGGGCGACTTTGGCGCCAGTTCCCTCAAGAAGGGCTGGAAATAATGCTTCAATATGACGACTCATATAACGGATGGTCTGTACCGTTGGTTGCCACTGTCGTCCCATGGTGAAACGAAGAGAGGACCGGAGAGTCGCCAGATAGCGCTCTGCCGTTGAATTCTTAACAAACAGTTCGATGCATGCCAATGACGCCAAACCTGAGTTGCTTGACTATTGTGAGGACACCATTGGCTTGATTCTCGGGCGTCGACGGGACTTTGGCTCGGTATGATACTCCAGTTTGAGCATTGTACATAATCCCATCTACGCGTTTCAATGACTTGGATGAGCCATCTGAGCTCTATTTCGTGGTGATATTACCCGTGAAAGTTCCTGGAATGCGCAAGTTAGGACCATTATGGCTGATTGCTGGACGCGCAAACCTCCAACGTCTATGCCGAGTCTCCAAGCTTGAGGCATAGATAAACCAAGTTCGAGCCGCTCCAGCAATTCTCATGGATCATATCGGCAGCCTATGGATTTTTGAGCAAGTTCTCATCACCGTTCGACCGTGAGTGAGTGGGCAACACGTGATGCTGATGCCCTTCTCCCTAGACGATGCCCATCCCAATGAGACAAACCCCATTCCACTTTCTCTCTCTTGATAGTTGAATTTTATGAACAGCGTTATATCAGTGGAGTGATCACGATCCCTAGAAACCAGTTGTTCCGACGTGGTCACAGTGTAATCGAACTAGGTGCTGGCCAAGTGGCCAGCCTAAACACCTTGCTTTAGAAACTATTTAGCTAAATCTCAATCATTTCTCCCTATTTTTTGCATAAATGTACACTATTACAATAAAACATTATTTTTTTCAAGTTACAAAAGTCAAATAACTACTGCACTAGCATCTACTTAGTACAATTCCTTTCTTATAGAATGCTAAGTTTGTGCAGTATATACTGTACTAGAGTCTAGAGTGTATATACTTATCACTACAACATAACATACACTGGGCTGATCTAGAACCCCCCCCCCTTGGGAAAGTTATAGAAGAAAGGCAAGAGATAAATTCCAGATTTATCTCTCTATTCTTTGTATAATAAGACTGCTCCAGAGGTTAGCAGGATCTCTATCAAGCAGCCATGAGTAGTTATATGACTTTGGCATGTCTCCATTTGGACACAATGGTCAAGATGATTGCTCAAGGGCATTGAGGAAACTCTGGATAGTCTAACAGTGTCAGACTGCGGGTTGGGCTGTGCAAGGTCCTCTCCTAAGAACATGCGCCTGGAACAGAACAGATGAATCGTTGGGCCTGCGAGTAAGGCAAGTGGGGTAGATCGAAACCGAAAGGGCCCGTTAACTTGGTCCCTTGTCGCTGTTGGTGGTCGGAGGTTCAAATCGGGTCATCTCAGGCCCACTGTGTCAGTGATTCCTCCTTGCACGGAGAGAAGCGGTATTATAGACGATCTAAGCAATGGAGTATATGGTACGCTATTGCGCATTATATACGTGGGCCCGCAAAGGGGTGATCGGACACCCTGGCCTCTCCTGCTCCTCCTCGCCCCTGTTCCTGGCTGCAGAGGGGACGATTGTACATCCCTTGTGGGCCAGGCGCTACTCCTAACCTCCTAGCACTCCTCCCCAGTCCCCTGGTGTCAAGTTGGGCTCGGCAACGACTCGACACGTGTGTGTTCCTTCTACTGGCGCACATGTTCCCCATCATCACATGCTGCGTGTTATGGGCCCACAATGGCCTGACACCAGCGCCAGAGCAGACGGGCCGGGTCTTATCCATGATGGAAATCCTGCTAACCTCTTGAGACTGCTATATAAATAGTAGCTTTGACACAAAGGAGATCTATGGACAAAGCTATCCTTTTTCCAGTAGAGAAACTTGAAGTAAAGTTGTCTAATAACCATATTTATTTACTTATTCAATCTGTGATCTTTATAAAGAAAAAAAAAAGCTTGAGATAAATCTTAGATATATTTGAGTATTGATCTGTAGGAAAACCCTGTAGTTTCTTTGATACAAATAAACTTGTCTTTGTAGTACATGTTTCTGTGGCTTTATCTAGCAGAATAACCCCAGGTCTTTTTTTCCAGATTGTGCTGAGAAAAAATCAGCTTTATCCAATTTTCCTTGTGTGAAAAACTATTATTTATATAGTGGTGTATTATACCAAAAACCTATAGATAAATTTGGAATTCATTCTTCTGTCTATCCTCTAACTTTCTTACTATACATACAGTTCCTTTGATTAATAAACTTTCATATTGTCACATTTGTGATCTGATACTTCTCAGATTCACATATCTGGGTTTTGAACTATTGATACAAGTCTAATCCTATGACTATTCTTTCCTTATACTAGCTATAATTGGCCATACTACAACAGTTTGTCTGCATGATTTTTCAGTGAGTCAATCCTGTGATCCTGTGAAGCATCTGCCTAAATAGGCAATTGTTATGCATGTCATGGTCAGTTGGTCCAGCTGTGTGCCCTTAATTTTTCTGTATATATACTCTTTAGTTGTCACAAACAAAGCCGGATCAGATGATGGGCCAACTTAATGGATGATCAAATGATCTAACTTCGTAGTGGTTGATGATGAGATCAAGTTGTATTGATAGGTATGATACAACCAGATGACTATTTCCCAGAAGGTAGGAGGGAAAAGAGAATAAAAGCGCTGGGGGCAGAAGGCCACCAGTGTCCTACTTATATACTAATTCCAGGCTGACTAATACTGACTCACTCTGACTCATACCGACTCACCCTGACTCACGTCATGACTCACTCTGACTCGGATTGATATGACTCAGTCTGAGTCATTGATGGATTGATGGATGATATCATCTAACCAAATATGGTAAGGCTGTGCTAGCCTTCGTTTGGGGTTGGTTGGTGTGATGTGGTAGAGGTTGATGATATCATCAGAAATTGATGATGGGATCAAATGTGCCACTGTCATCAGTGATCAGCCTAGAAAGTGTAACATTAGTTTTTCTACTTCCTCTCTCCTTGACATAACACATAACAGGTGGTCCATTGAATTGTAAGTGTAGCAGATGATACAAGGCTTGTTGTTAAAGGCCAGGTGCATCATGGTTATACTTGCCAGATCTGGTCTATTTTTGGAAAGTTCTTCAGATAATTGATATTTTTGCACTCAAATTGACTTTTTCTTCTAGAGATATTATGGTGGTCAAGCTTCTAACTATTATTAAATCTGGTCAACAAGGTATACTTTAGCCTTTATTGTTGTGTTGTCACTATGTAATATATAATGCTCAGGGCATTATTGTTATACAGGTGTGTTATAATTATGTGACAGTTGTAGTAATACACTTTAGTATACTCTTCATAGAAGTTTTACTGTTAATTGCTTATATTGTCTACACTGTTGGCGTTTGGCGGCTTGGCGTGCGACGAGGCACGTGGCTGATGCCGATGCGACAGATTGGCGCCGGGAAGCCCGACCGGTCGCCAGGGTAGATGATGGGGGGTAACGGGTGACGACTCTTTACGGTTTGCCTCTGTACTTCGTCTATAGTGCAAGGAGGACAAACTACGACTATCTACGGGTCGGCTCTCGCGTAAGCCAGCAAGGAAGTGGGGTATCTTTAACATACACATCTGCTGAAATGTTATTATAGCCCTTTACATTACTTACTAAAATCTAAGATCTTATATAGATCACTGTACTGGTTAGATCAAGTGTCTGTGTTACATGTTATAATGACCAAAAAAACTCCTTGTTAAAAATCACCTTAAATCAAAAGAAATTTTTTTAGGTTCAAAAATTCAAAAAGTCACAGACACTTGATTGAAATACTCTAGTATTTGCAATATTGTAAGATTGGCACTGCCTCTTTAGTCACTGTCTCTCATTGTTATTCCAGAATATCTGTGTCTTCCTTGGTGTTTCTAAGCTAGACTACCCAGTTTCTACAATTACTTGATCCTCACATAAATTTCATGTCATTATAGATTAGGTATTTAAATTGTTTCCATTAAACAGAGGGTTCTATAATGTGGAATAATAGTATGCAAGTATTCTTAAAATTTTCCATATTTCTTTAACCATTATTGAGGACAGAACACAAGCTAAATGCAGCTGTGACGCGTTGTGACATCATTACAAATTGATTAAATCAGATAATAGCCTCCATTTTGAGCTGTATCACCATCATATCAACTTAGGCGCAATCTGACTAGATAAATATATGAGCATGCACACTGCTACATACCCTTGCCACCTCAGCAGAACAGAGGGTTCCATTGGGGTTCTGTTTGAGTTTTTGAGGGTCTGTCAAATGACGACAGGTGACAACATGTGACTTTATGTAATATGCATTACGTAGAGACTTTCACCGAGGTTTTTCATCGAAGGTTTGGGGTTTTTGGCCACGGTCGTTCGGGTTGGTTTGTACATGTTTGGCTGGGTCACCATCAATAGATCATGATCGTGCCAGGTTGTGACCCTGGGGGGACCTTACTAAAGCAAGGTGACCTACTTACTTCCCAACCGTCAACAGGCACCTCTTCATTTCCGTCCGACGACCGAGTTGACCTTGGCTTTAATGACTGCTTTACCGGCCAGCCCGCAGCCCCATCTTTCTTCAGTCGAGCGGGCTTTGTCCTCTCGTATTTCCAGTAGCCCCCCTCTCATCACCACGGCCTGCGAATGGATTCATACCGCCTCCATCTCCCCGATTCTTCAGTGGTCCCAACGGAAAACCAGAGGGTGAGGGCCTCGATCAATGGTTCGAGGATCTTTCTAAGTACGAGGCTACACTGGTTGGTAGTCAACTTCTGGTCAATTGTCGCACTCACAAAATCTAGGAAGCGATGGCTAAGGCTAGTCAAGATCCTAAATTCAGCGAAGAACTCGGCACCATTGAGCAATGGTTCAAAGTGCTTAATGAGGCTGAGAGAACGGCAGCACTCTACACTTTACTCCAGCACTCGAATCAAATGCAAATTCGTTTTCTGATCGCCGTTTTACAGCAAATGCTGGGCCCAAACCCTCCTGCAACTGGTATGTGATGCAGCAACTTTGACATTATGCTCACTTCCGATAAAGCAGCCCTCGAGGGCTCGTTCAAACCCCAAACCCAAACATCACGCTCTCTACGCCCTCCCGATCTAAACCTTGCATTGACCAGTGCTCCGGTTACCCCGACTCCCCTCTCTGCGCTGAAATCGGCATTTTCGTCGACCCCGGATCACTCAGATGGCAGCTGGGCGAATATGGTCAATACTCCCCTCGTCCCCATGTTCCAAAAGCCCAGGACCAAACCTGAAAGCCCTCTGCCACCACCCATGATGAGCCCATTTCCTGGCATGGTCAATCCCCTTGCTCTCGGACCAATGGGTCTGGCAAACGAAACCCAATTGAGCCAGTTGCTCGCCATGCAGATGATGATGAGTGGCATGGTCCAGCCTGGTATTCCACTTCCTCAGCAACAGCCTATCGCAAGCCATAAGTCTACCGCTGCCAGCAAAGGATCCAACTGGCGTCCTAGCAGTGCCCGTCAGCCCAGTGCTGCCCCTCGTTCAGGGGCCACCAAGAGCAACAGTAACGTCAAGACCAACACTCCGGCCTCCACCACCACCTCCGACGACAAATTTAATCCCGAGCTTCTCCAGGACATACCCGGCTGGCTTCGCAGCTTACGCTTGCATAAGTATACCGACTGTTTCGCGGGGATGAGCTGGCAAGAAATGGTTGAGCTCGATGATCCCACGCTGGAGAAGAAGGGCGTTGCGGCTTTGGGTGCTCGGCGGCGACTGCTGAAAACATTCGAGAATGTCAAAGAAAAAATGGGACTGGCCGTGCCGACTGAAGGGACTGCTGAACCTGATACGGCAGTTTCATGAACAATTCGTTGGACGTTATTTATATATTATATCCCTAATGGCATGTATCTATCTATTTTTTTTTTTTCTCTGTATCTCAGAACGAAACGGTCCAAAAATATGTGCAGTTTGCATCCAAACCGACACGACTCGAGCGACAATTCACGCCATGAGATCCACGAGAATAGTAACAATGCCGAGAACTGTTTTTTATCAGTGCTGCTGTCTAAGAAGCGCGGACACATACGAATCTCGATGCCAATAAGTGCAATGACGATCTGCTCAAGGCGCTCTGCATGCTTGCTAGAAACAGACTCCTTGAGAAGCTGGAGTAGATCTTGCAAGACCTGGCACAGGTGGGGTCAGCTATCATGGACACGAAGAAACCCTACTTCGACACGGGTATTCAGGAGGTTGATTCGCTGGGGTATCTCCAAATAACTTCTCGCAGCGTCATACAGCGGCTGTAGATCAGGAAAGCTCTGCCAAACGGTGATGAGGAACAGACAAGAGATCGAGAAAGTCGCACCCAAAACACTTCCTATGTTGGCTTGGTCATTCAAATTCTAGGACGGACGGACGAGTGATGCTGACCGGAGAGTCCAGCACAGAACCGACGGTATTGATGTTGGTGCGTAACAGAAATAGCTGCCCAATTTTTTGCATAATTTCTACGACTGTTGAATTTCGCAGCCCGAGTAGATTGTTTCCCACCTTTATGAGGCATTCCGACTTTACCCGTTGTCGCGATGACTTCTGGGATGTCCTTGGTCTCTTCAATGGTCGAAGATATTAGTTCCTCGAACTAACAATGGGTTCAGGTGTCCTTTTTGCCGCGGCCAACTCTGACCTACCAGAGAGATCTTCACGGATTGGGAGATTGCGTGAGACAGCGATAATTTTGTCCTGAAAGGTGTCAACGCCACCCGTGTTTAGGACGGAAGCTCACATATAGCCTGAGCCTTTGCGCAGCGTTATTACGTCGTTGTAAATCCTGGGTTAGCAGATCGTTAGTGAGCTTGTGAAGCAGAACATCATGTTGTTCAAGCACCTGCTGTAGTTGGCATAGTAAAAGTTGAGATCCTCCATTTCAACTTCATCTGGCGCTGCACACACGTCTTGAGTTAAGAAGCCATAGACGTAGAGCACCTACCGAGCTTTTCGATTTCGAAACGCTTGCTGCCGTCCAACTACTTAAGCTCGGTGAAAAATATTGACAGGGCGCTCACATGGATGATAAGAACCGTCGCTCCTGTGGCTCAGTCATCCCCCAAATAACCACAGTACCGTACTCGAACAGGAATATTTCCGCTTCGTCAACGTTGGTAGCATCGAATTTGCTGCGCTTCTTGGCAGGTTCTTGGATGTTTTCATGGTCATGACGGAGTTCCGGGATACCAAGGAGATCGCCAGTAGTGTCTCTTGACCTTGAGGGTTTGTTGGGCGAGTTGGAGCTGGGTTTGAAAACGTAGGGGGTGTAGATGCACTCGTCGATTATTTTTGCATTGGTATGATATGCGGACTTGCGTGCGTGTAGAAACTAGGCTAGTTTTGAGTGCCAGGTTTGCCCCAATGGTAAGTGCACTATGTACCTCGAGGAGCGGTCTCATTCGATAAGAACTAAGTAGGACTCGTCAGGTTGCTTGAATATTCCGCTGATGTTGTTACCTTGCTGTTGCGTAGGCTGTAACTCGCGGAAGAGACTTTGCTTTCTTCTTAGTAAGTTTGAGCGCGTCTCGCTTTGCGGTTCCATCTGGTATGAGTGAAAGTTGATTGTACACCTCGTAAAGACTAAGTATGACGCTCATTGCGACCAGAGCTATAACACACCTCTGGCTCATCATCATCTTCCAAGTCAGCATCGTCGGAGTCGCCCGCCGTCCCAGTACTCTCTTCTGCGTCGGTTGAACGGGATGCCAGTGGAGGTTTAACAATAAGGATTCGTTTGGGAATATCTTCAAGGTCAGGGGGTTGCTCGGGAAGAACTTTGAGCTTCCCGGCCGCCTTCGAGGACCGGTTTGCTCCCCTGGCTTTGGTGGGTTCAGCCATTGCGCCGTCAATGTGTAATCGAAGTTACTTCGGGTCCACTTTTGGCGGCCATCAGAAACGTGCGACCGGGCTTCGGGCCGATGAAGGCCGATGATTGACAACGAGTCACCCGCGACCTTCACCTCAATCGACGATAGTCGACGATGCATTTTTTTGACGATATCGTTTCATTCCGACTCAATGCGTCAGCACGATTTGGGTCCATCAGTCGGAACTACAGCTCCGCTTTGAGCTGAGACCGCCTTCTTCCCGACAGCTGGTTCGAACTTCCGGAACAGGGCGGGTTGGCGGTCACCGTTGGTAGCTTTTGTACGCCAATCGGACATACTCAGACTATTTCAGCTTTGGGAATCCGAATGGGCAGGAGCGCGTTCATCCCCGTTTGCTGATCTCCGTCTAGTACATGATACTGTACGTTAAAACCTCTCAAACAAACCGACGCAATAGTTGCTCGTCAGTTGGGTGCCGTCGATTTCTTTGCGGCCTATTCTCCAGATATTCCAATGGGACCAACTGTCCCATCATCGTCAGCGGACTTGGTGTCGCCGGTTTAATGGGAATCGGCATCGCAATTAAACTGGAACTGGTTGGCGAAATTCGACTACGGTACCGTGTTTGAGTGGCTTGGAGCGGCTTAGATAACGAATGAGGTGAGTTCAGTTCCGTTGGCTCAGGTACATCGAGGGCCCGATTCTCTCGGCGAGTTGTTTTGGATGCTCGCGCACTCCGAAACCAGCCTTCTGGTATTGGAACGTCAAGAAGTTGCAAGTCGTCAATCGTATCAAGTTCGCTTAACGTTTCTTGGCTGAAGTATGCAGCTAGAGAGGTCAGTGCAACGACTAAGATCTTCTGATATAATCACTCAGATGCCATTTGCGGACTCCGGTTCCTGTCAATTTGTCCTGGGGGAGAGATACTAGCACACTGAAGGTCTGTTTGATGAGCCGCTGGCTTTCCGTGGATCTCTTAGAGCTTGACAGATTCCCAGTTAGGCGACTGGATCGTTTCCTGCTCGTTATGAGGTTTATTTCGTTTGCAGACCCTGAGAATGGAGCAACAAACCGTATCATCTGCGCCCAAGGCGTTACTGGATTGACCGTTTCTTCTCCCACTTCCGATTCTTTCTGGTGGTAGAACAGAAATTCCTGTGGCAAGCGATCAGTTCAAAATACTACGGAAAACAATTTGACTTGCATCTCGGACTCCTTCGAGCAATCATTAGCAGGGCAGACGTATCGAAGTAAACAGAACTCACGGCTCGGGCCCCAACCCATTCCGTCCGTCCTTGTGAAAGAATCAGCAACAACGAACACTTTAAAACGAGCACACCATCTCTCCTGAACAAGTTCAATCAGCTATCTAAATCTTCGAGCGTATCAAGTCAGTATCTTACTTACCATTCCAAGACCAGACGCCTCTGAGTTTGCATTTTCTTCCCAGACAAACACTGTACCCGCCGTGATACACAGGCGCTCTTCTGCATCGAGTCGGCGAGTTATGAGGGGAAGGGTGTCGCGCGCAACGCCATGGAATACGGCTATGGCGTCTCGAGTACTACGGATTCTGACGTTGCGAAGGGTTGGTTGCTGCATTTTGTGTCTCGCAGAGCGGTAAGAAACAAGAGAGCCCCCGAGTGATCGCGCGTCCTGCGAATGTGGGTCTAAATAGGTCGCAATAAATACCCGTATATGCAGCTGAACTTGGTTTCTAATGAACGATTTAAGTTTGAATTGAGTCACAGTATCCGCATGTGCTTTGGAAGTCGTCCGTAAAAAGCATAACAAACAGCAGCTTCCCTTACACGTCAAGCGTCTCACCATGAGAGTTGTCTTGAAGAGTTCACTATAGGCGCTGTCTCAGGCGTCGTAAGTGCGTTCTGATTTTAAGTTAGAGAGAGCAGGTCCAGCATGAAAACGATCGTCATCATCGTCAACCCCGCGCTAAAAGGTAGCCAATGAAGTAGAAAGCATATGAGAAGTGCGTTTGCCTCGGCCACAGTTGTGTTCCTGGTGGCCAGACATGAGAGGCCGAAGGTCAAGGTCTTGATGACTGATCCGGATTGTTCGAGGTTGAGTGGAAATTCCTCCAAGTCATTATATATCAACCAGAAAGTATAAGCAATGCATCGTGAAGACAAGAGACTATATCTATGGACATACGGCCCGGGGCAGCGGCCACGGTCGCAGGTAAGTTCACCCGAGTTTCAGCGAGTGTCGACAAGGTGGTCTGATGAGAGTATTGGTCCTCGGATATGGCTGAACAAGAAACTCACTTCCCTTGTAACGGCAAGACGAGCGAGATATACTCGGGTATCTCCACATAATGTGTTTTCCCACGAAATAGGTACAGTGCTCGTATCGATTTGACTGTGAATGGTGCAGGGTCAAGAAACCCTTGGATTCGACTCTGTTGAAATCAGACAGAGAGAATTACTGCTGCCGCTGCTGTAACTCACTTTCGGATGCCGCCCAGGTATGTAAACTTGCGAAGCTCGCACCAGAGTCTACAGCAAAGGGTCATTTCTGTGCTGCCATCCAATTAGACACATTCTTACCTGAAGGGGGATGGTGATGTCCCAGAATAGTCCCAGGTTTCGCTCAGCCGTGTCTATTGCGCCGTATGTCGCTTCCAATACCACAAGGCCTGGTATGAACGATATCAATATTCTCTTTCTTCCAAAAGAACAATTAACTGACCTCCTTTCGAGGCTTCAACCTTGCGACTATCTCTTGCTCTGTCTTTAAGAAACGAAATGACGGCTTCTGCATCTCTACGTTTGGGTGAGCCTGGTTCTAGAGTCTGCAATGCCGCAGTTATTTCCCTAGCTCCGTGTCAGAGGGTTCAAAGCTTGTCAAATATGTAAGCTGTGGCGTACCTCTGGCGCTGGCGTCGGAACCTTCGAATCGTTAACCGGTACACAGCCAAACAAGCGGCCGAGGGAAAGGCAGCAACCCAGAGAGCAAGTGTCAAGTCATAATGGTGAGACAGAAAGACGGGAAGGGAAAGCCCTTGTTGCATATATGATCCACTATGAGGGCAGATAAGTAAAAGGATGGTGCGTATTCGTGTTACGAACTCGATAACGATAGCGACCCCAAACTCGCTCAAGCGTAAATTCGCTCCCAAGGTGGCATACCGTGACGCCCATCCACCACCTAGTGACCAAGCAAAGCCACCGAGGCCAAACTCGAGACCCAATTTGCATTGCGAGGACAATTGCGCGAGTGTAACTCCGCACTCCGCAAAAAGTTTTGGGTAGTTGGAGTCGAGTACAATCCCAAACGAGGTAGCTTGGGATACGCGACTTAGCGGGAATAGAGAAGTATACGGGTCGTCCGGCCTGTTTACTTCCATTTCAAGTCGATCACGACTTGTTAGACTAATGGAGACTTGTGGGCTATGAGCAATATCAACTTTTAGATTTCCTTGCATAGCATCCGGTCGACGAGAAAGTTTCCGAGACAGAGAAATAAGCGTCGTCGGCGGGAACAATGAATGAGCGGGGAAAATGCTAGCCTCAACAGAGGCAGATCCATAGTCAGATTGGTACTTGGCACACAGGTTTATCTCGCGGGGGAACAAGAGAGTAGATGTGGCCTGATTTGAGAATTGAGTACACTCATACGTGGCAGAAATGAACAACATACTTTAAACGAGATCCTCGGCGAGTACTGATGTCGAAGGGTGCCAATAAAGTTACCGCGGCCTCCATTAGCCTGCCGAGATATACGGGCCGCCAGTCCAACGGTCCAGCGCTCAGCAATCCGTCGCTGGAGTTCTACGTCAGACGAGTGAGACGGAGTTGAAGAGGCACCATTACCCGCATATCGTGACGCAGAGTGAAACGTAGTAGTCGAACATCCTCTAGACGATTCCTGAGACGTGTCGGCCATGGGTCGTTTTCGAGACCGAGATAGTCGGAGAACAGAGATGTCGCGTCCACACTGCAGGTCGCTTGGCCCTTAGGAGCAACATTCAGGTCAACCTGATTTGTCATCCATTCTTGACGAAGTTGGTTGAAGATGGTCTGCAACTGCAGCCCGATGAGCATGCCCTTATCATTGTTGCAACAAAGAGGTCAACCTCCGCCGCAGATTTCGTTCGATCTTCTTCCATCCAGTTGATCAGGAGTCCCGGAGGACCTGCAACCGTTGGTGGAAAGGTTGTCAGATTGAACCAGGTCCATACCCAATAAATCATAGACTCGGCTTAGACTTGGCTAAGCATGGTTGTTCGGTTGACATTCTGACTATGTACATACCGAAGAAAAGGATCCGAGAGTACTGGGAAAGAAAGACTCAAGCGTCCACCAAGTGCTTTTTTCTGATACGGAATGGAATACCTTCGTAGGCTTTCTGCAGCTCCAGAAACTTCTCTGTCGCGAGACGTTTGTCCTCATCGTTTGGATGCTTGTCCGGATGAAACGTCAGCGACAATGCCCTGTGCCTCTCGTGGATCTCTTGGTCTGTTGCAGCGATGGGCAGGTTGAGGACAGCACTAGTAGCAGTGGCATCGTAAACACAGTTTGCAGATCTGACACAGCGCGTACTAGAGACTGTATCTGTCTCCGTTCATCTTGGAGTCAACGTTGGAGATAAATACGCGTGGTGGGATGACTTTAAGCGCGCAATACGTCGTGACATGGTTGAAAGTTGCGATGTCACAGAAGGGGATCAAGGAGTGTGTGATGATCATGATGCAAGGGTGATGACTAATTGTTTGTATCCTAAACATCTGTTCTCCATTTACTCTGGCATAGATTCCATATTTTGACAACACCGGTCCCAATACTGAGAGAAGGTAAGGAATGAAACGGATCATGATATGAGTAAGAGCACACTTTTTCGATGCGACCTCCTCGGACGGGACCCATAACGGGGGGCACTGAAGTTGAAGCACTGACAATGGGCTGGGGTGGATGGGGAGTTTCCTCGAGCACTGCCCAGTGAACGCGATATGTCTTCTTGATGTGCGAAAACACATGAACCACATCTCCAATACTCTCAACTGTCTTAATCTTGCTTGACTTCAACAAGTTGGGAAGAAGTTGATGGGTCATTTTAAGCAGCTTCGCAGCTGACAGGCTGACAGAGACATTTTCTAAGGTCGGAAACCCATCAAGTCCGGCCAGAAGACCTCGGAGAGCCAAGGTAAATGTAGCGCAAACACTGAAACAAGACATACTGACCTTCTTCGGGCCGACGGACGAGAAGAAACCGTCTATCGGATTCTTTTCGCCACTCGACAACGCAAACAACGTCTAGCTCTTCGCGAGCCTTCTTCTTTTCCACGCGCGAGGGATAGGACGTTACGTCGGCGTTTGCAGGCAGCGGCAAGCACACCTTACACAAATCTTCGATGTCAGGCTGTTCGATCGGTTGGTCGAATCAGGAAAACCACCAAGACTCACCAGTTGAGTTTCAATTGCGCCGGTTTTAGCTTTGCACCATGGTTGTACTGGACAGCCATCACAGTTGGGATCGCGAACTTTGCACACGGTACTTCCGAGTTCAATGAGCGCTTGGTTCACATCTCCAGGATGCTGGACATTTCCTGAGTTAAGTCAATATTGATGAGCTTTCAAGGTTGGATTTGTGCGAACCTGGGACGTCTTCCACCATGGTTGTGGCAGCATTCCAAAGAATATCAAGCACTAACTTGCCTTTCGGTGGAGCGTGTAGTGCCAAGAGGCGGCTAAGCAGTCGCGTGACGTTACCATCCAGCTAATACCACATTACTCTCAAAGACAGGACCGGTGATACGACTTACCACTGGAGCGTGTTCGCCATAGGCAATAGAACTGATAGCGCCAGCGCTGTAGCGACCAATACCAGGAATGTGTGTTTGTAGATCCTTGGCATTATCTGGCAGTTTGCCATTGAATTCGCTGACCGCCTTTTTAGCGCCAGCGAGTAATCGGCTGGCACGAGTATAGTAACCTGTGGAGACGGCTGGATGAACAGATGGCTGTGACGAGGGTAGAGTCATACCGAGACCTTTCCAGAGGGCGTTGACCTCGTCGATCGAAGCGTCAGCCTGAAATAAAACAGTTAAACAAGAAACACAGCCTGTAGCACTGCTTACGAGCTCGTGGATTGTGGGAAACCTCGAGAAATGATGAGCATAGACTTGAATACAAAAGACACTGTACTTGTCTATCCATCGATTGTAGTACGGGATGACAGTCGCGACTTGGGTCTGTTGAAGCATTACCTCAGACACCCATACCTAATGAACAAAAAGATTAACGCTCTGTTTCAGCCAGAGAAAAATCGTTTCAATGACCTCATATGCGCGTTGAGCGCGCTCTTCTGGCCCCAGGTGAGGATTATATGGCTTTCTCCATGGCATGTTCCGTGACTCGTGAACCGTGGCATACCATTGGACGAGGGCAGTACGAAGAGGGGCTATATCCGGCTCTTTGATGATATGTGTAGTCACCAAGTGAGTAACCACAGCAGACGGCAGTGTTGCAACTGATCTTCTTGTCTTTTTGCCACTGCGCTGGGAAGACGAGTATTCCGAGTCTGAGTTGTCCGAATACTCGAATTTGCGCTTGCCCATAATTCTGTCCTAATTTGACGCGCTAATATTGGCACAAATGAGGATTCAGAAGTGAGCAAGCGAGTGAATGAATACAAAGAGCAATTGATCACGCCTCAATCATCACGCCCTGAATTACTTGTTGGCTCTGACCACAACACAGCTTGGCTCATGGCAGCATGAACTCATTGCTCCCTTGTACTTATAAAACGACGCGTACCCGATGCCCTTATTCCCCCCTCAAACAATGGCCCGTCACAGGAGCTCCCTATTGCGCAAAAAGGCACGGGTCGACTCCTCTTCGTCCGCCTGCTCTATGGGTGGGACAGTCGCGACACGTCCTCTTCCACGAGAAATCACGTCTCGTCTGGCTCCCGAACTCTATGATCACTTCCTTAATGCCTTGAACGACTCCAAAACGACCTTATTCACCTGCAGCCTCGTCTGCAAGGCTTTCCTTCACCATTCTCGACGATACCTCTTTGCTTCTGTCAATCTTCGTCCCGACCTCGTCAAATTTCTTTCGGAACAGGCGATGGAAACCATTGTTCCCTTTATCCGGAGCGTTGGTTTGGGGGGTGGCTGGATGCGAGAGCAACAACACGAGTTTAATGGCATTATTTCCTTCATGACAAACCTAGACAATATTCGCAACATTCACATCGAGGCATGGAGCTGGGACTATCTAGCTCCACCCGCAGCCAATGCTCTGCTTAGTGGACAGGGCAAACTCTTTCAGACTGTGACAGTCCTCGACCTCAAGTTTATTCATTTTCCTTCCCTCGCGATTCTTTGCAACTTCGCCTCTCAGTTTTCGGCGCTGCGCGGACTGTTTCTCGACAACGTCACCTGGGACAAAAGTCAGAACGGCGAAAGCAAATTGGACCTGGCACCTCCGTCGTTTCTCTCGAGGCTCGAGAAACTGACTATTCGCGCCTGCGCGTGTAAAATGGTCTTATCGTGGCTTTTAACTGTCGTTACCCAGGACGAATCCCGCCTTTCTCTTCTATCCATTCGCTTTTTGAGCCTTCCGGAGGTTTTGGTGAACGAAGTTGCTCTGGTAAACCAGTTACTATCAACAATTGGACCAGCGTTGGAGCATTTGGAACTTGGCTTTCTCGCACACAGTCAGGAAGATGCTGCAGTCATCTCAGGTATATACGATCATAGCGATGGGTCCAATTTTTACTGACAAATTTGGTCATAGCCCAAGTCGCGAGCATCGACCTTTCAATCCACACCCACCTTCGCAACCTTTCTATTCACCAGCTCACTCTATATCAGTTCCCTCGCACCCCATCGTCACGAACTGCAGACCCGTCCCCTTGTGTATGGCTTGTGCCATTGCTGCAACGTATCAGCTCACCTGTTCTCTCTCATCTCAACTTCGGTATTTGGCTTGGAGAAGAAACACAACTCGATCTTATTGACTGGCATGCCCTTGTCCGAGTCCTGAAAAAGCCTATGCTCAACACGAGCTTAAGGGCGATGCAGTTCAACATTCGCGGTGTCGAAGAAGAAATGGATGATCAAGTGCAACGTTGGATTAAAAACCGACTTCGAGACTGGGGGCATGTCGACCAATTCCAAAGGTTGCATGTCAGTTTTGAATAACTTTTCTTTTCCCTTTATTTGGCCGCCATTGGGCGTTGCCTAGATTTCCTCACGCCCAACTTGTAGCAAAGTCTAACATCTGTATCGTCTCTGTCCACCATGTATCATAGTCGATTGTATTACCAGTTTTCCAAAGTCACGCGTGTCACAAAAAACCTTGCTCAATGGCAACTGCGACAACTGCGACGTGCGTTCCGTCCAGATTTCCCTGCGGAGCTTCTGAAGTTTCGTCCTAGCTCACCACCAAAAACATCTTGGGCCGATCAAGTTGAGGAAGGTGTGTTTGTCCGACCTATTCCAGCCGAAAACATTTCCCAATCTATTCAAGACGAAATCGACGAGAATGGCATCCGTACAACCATCGAGTACATAACCAACGAGGAGGAGGAAAGCGGGTCAAGATCACCCGACGCACAAGAAGAGTTCTTCAAAAGTCAGTCGTAGAGCACGCTGTTGCGGAACGGCTCAAGTGGGCAAAATTTGGGAAAGAGAAGGGCAACGCGAAAGGTCCTGACCGCGCAACGACGACGGTCGGGGAGAATGTTATGCTGAAGATAAGTGCCGGAAACAAGGTTCGTCGCTAATTTTACCAGCATACCCGTTGACTTAACTCCAAAAGCACGCAAACGACACGGAAAAAGTGGAAGAGGAGAGCGCCAAATCAAAACTGAACAAAGCTGGAGCAGGCAAGGTTGTCTGTCGGTTGTGCAAGGGCGATCATTTTACCGCCAAATGTCCCCATAAAGAGGCCTTGTCTGGCCTCGAGCTTGATCCAGCGGCTGACGACGATGCACCCGCTCCAATCGGAGGCGGTGACTCACTCCCCGCTCCAGTGACTGGTGGTGCCAGTTCTGGCGGCAAATATGTCCCTCCCTCTATGCGGGCTGGTGGAAGCCGTGCTGCTGGGCCGACCCCTGGCAGTCGAGAGGACTTGCCCACCTTACGAGTCACGAATATTTCCGAAGACACTCAAGAAAACGACTTGCGAGAACTATTTGGCATGTTTGGACGCGTTGCACGTGTCTATGTTGGTCGCGATCGGGAAACTGGCGCCGGAAAGGGCTTTGCGTTCGTATCCTTCGAAGATCGGGCGATTGCGCAAAAGGCGATGGAGAAGGTCAATGGAAAGGGCTACGACAATCTTATCCTCAGTGTTCAATGGAGTCGTGCGTGTCTTTTTTCCCCTTTTATTCGTTGCTCAAAGCTTTGTCAGAGCCTCGGCCAGAACAACGGTGAGGACCGAGCATGTAGATATCTCTTCTATGTACATATTTTTGAGTACCACAATGATTCGATGGCGCGATCGCATCACGTGCACTGCTCACCAATAAGCTCGGGTTGTGAAGATCGCGTCGCCTCTTGACCTCTGACCACCATGCCTGTCACCGAAATCAAAGACTTTAAACAGTTCCAGGAAGTGGTAAGTTGCTGCCTACCCATCGTCTTCAACAACTTGAATGCTGCTTTGCTCAGATCAACTCCAAAACCCCGGTAATAATCGACTTTTGGGCACCGTGGTGTGGCCCGTGCAAGATAATTTCCCCCATATTCGAGAAATTCTCCAACGAATCGAGCAATGCCGGCCTAGGATTCTACAAGCTCGACACCGATGAGAACGAAAACGCCATGGTTGAAGCAGGCGTCCGTGTTGTGCGTTCAGATCGCGGCTTTTTCTGGCTTCAATAACTGTGTGGTAGATGCCCTCGTTTATGGTCTTCCAGGACGGAAACAAGCTGGGTGAAGTCGGTGGTGCTCTTCCGACGCCTCTTGCGGTGAGGTGGACACTAATTGCTCGCAAAAAATCTCTAATGTCAAGTTGTTTAGGCACTGATCAAGAAACACACCGGAGAATCTACTGTCGAGGCAACTGGAGAGAAGCTATGAACCCATAGGGTCTGTTTCGATCGCTTAGATACCAAGTCACAAGTCTAATCGCGTTCACTCTCTCAATGAAATACAACTGCCTTTTTCATTTCTACTAGTCGTCGTTATCCCAGTTGTTGGCTTGTTGTGGTATTTTTGGCCCGCCTGCCGGTTTGCTCATGATAATACTGTCCACGTTCAAAACACCGCAGGCTGCCTCCGTCGCAAGTCGGATCGCCCACGATTTAGACGCCAGGGAGTCGTAAATTTTGTGGGCAGACGCGTCAAGGGTTCCGTCTGTCTCGTTCTGTACCTCATCAGGTCATTGAATGCGAATGGAAAGAAAACAACACATGCCTCAACATCAACACCCCAAGCAGCCCCACCATCGGCCTCATGCTTAGCCCACAACCTACTGAGAACTTCATTCCCTACTGCGCCTCCCAGGGCATTCTCGGCCAATATCCTCGGCACACATTCGAGTGCATTGGCAAATGTCTGAACGCCATGCTGACTCAGCCCCCGAATACCAGCGCCATAGGTGTCAACCCTCCGTGCGAGCTCAAGCTCCGTTGCCCCAGCACCAGCGACCATTCTGCCGTCCTTCAACAACGCCTTGAGCACGTTTACTCCGTCGTCGACCGCCCTTTCCAGATCGTCCAGTCTGTTGGCTGTTGCGCCACGAAGAACTATGGTTGCCGTCCTCGTTTTCTCTGTCCGCCCAGCGGTCGTTGGGTCGTAGCCAACATCCCCATCAACCAGCTGGCGTAGGACCGTCACTCGGTCACCGCCAATCTCAATGGTCTCGAAGACATCGACATAGCCCATTTCTTCTGGTGTCGGTGGGCCCATCCGCGCTAACGGTGTGGCGTTGACAACACGGCATAGCCGTCGCAGCTCAAACTTGGAGAGCACCTTCAGCACGGCGATGTTGTGTCGATTGAGGTAATGCAAAACGAGGTCGGACATTGAAGATCCGCCTACGATTACGGAGACACCAGAGGAGGCAATTTGTGAGATAATCTGACTTAGGTCAAGTACGATGCTTGACACGATGAAAAGTATAACTTGCCATCTCAAGATGTTTCTCTTCACCGGTGGTAAAGTTGAGCATCTCCTCCGCATTTTTTATGAGCACCGTTCCTTTGGTCTCTGTCTGAGCAATGTCAAGCGCCGAGGTAAACACGGCCACCTTGGCCTTCTTTGCATGCTTGACGGTGCCTATGGTTTTTGTAGTTTTCTGTTGCAAACAAAAGTGGTATCCATACCTTCGGGCTCCCGACCAAACACCATTCCCTGAACAACACGGCTCCCTGCCAAACTGCCGCCCATGATCTTGACCACTCGGACGTTGTCGACGTTGAAATTGCTTGGATTTGTGGGCATAACAGCCAACGCAGCTTCCGCGATGAGTGCTGACAGGGGGTCCTCAAATCCATATTGCTTTGACGCGATTGCGGGTTTGAGCGCTGCGGCAAGTGCTGTTTGGGTAATGGGTGATGGTACGCTAAAGGTCGAGATTTCTTGTGGCGGTCAGACTCAGTTAGAGTGAGACAAGCGGGAGAAAAAACACACTTTCCAGTTCCGCTAATGCCCGTTGTGCCGCAAGCTCGTATCCGGGAATGATGTCGGTTGGTTTGAGGCCCATGAGCAATAAGTTTTCTGCTTTCTTCAGAAGCTCCCCCGCCAGGATGATGACCAGATTCGTCGCGTCGCCCATCTCGATTTCTTGCGCTTGCGAGGCCATTACCAGAAGCTTGGCTGCTGGGTGCACGACCTCGATTTCACGGATGATCGTGGCAGCATCGGAGGTTACGAATAACTTGCCCAGGTGGTTGATTATGAGTTTGTTGCGGCCTGCCCAGGGTTAGCTAGTTATCGAGCAGGAATGAGTTCCAACTGACCATTGGGGCCAAAACTTGTCCTGACAAGGTCAGAAAGCTCTGTAACTGCTTGTATGTTTCGTAGGATGGCTTCATCAAGTCCTTGAAGGTGTTTGTACCCGTCCTTGAAGATCGGAAGGGAGTTGGCCTGAGGGACTTTGAGTGACATCGTTTCGTCCTGCGGCCGTGTGTCTACGACGTCGTGGTAAACAAGTGAGTAAGAGCGACACCAAAGTCAAGAGGAAAGACGCGTCGCGAAAAATATCAAGCACGTGAGTCTTTGCAAGATAATTCTCATCGTAAGGTGCTACGACTACCGCTAGAGTACAGTCGCCTGGTCAAGGCAAGATAAAACGTATATTTTGGCGGTAGATTCCTCCTCTGCGGCAATTGTGGATGAGAACAAAGTCGCCACTACAGCGTTTCCTTTGCTCAAGGTATCTCTGACGTCCAGCCCAGCCCACATCCCGGTCTTATATTTCGGCCCACATTCACATCGGTTTCGCAGGGAGCTGGGTCAACAAGACTCCATAGCGCTTCTTGATTAGCACACGATGCCGCGAAAACTTGTCGTCGGGAGAGAATCGTGCTGGAGCACAATTAGCTAGAGTTATCAAAGAAGAAGAAAAGCGCACCAGGATGGGCAGACTTGGTTATCTTTCCTCCCTCGGTTATTTTCTGCAAAACTGTGTCAGTATCGAGTTTTTTCCAAGAGAAGACTCACTTTCAGAGTGTAGATGCGGTTTCCCGCCTCGTCAAGCGTATACATGAGATGCATTTTGAACAAGTTAGCGGTCAAAGGAGACTTTTGGTGTGACCTGAGATATGTCACAGCTCAACTCTTCCTTACGTCGTTGTAGATTTCTTTTTGTTGAACTTTCTATTTTGCTGAACCTCAACTCGTACTTGCACCAACCTCAGCTCTTCAGCACGCGACTGGCACGAAAGCGCATCTTCCTATTCAGCTTCAGGCAGCTGATTGTGCCTCCACCAAGTCTACTATGGCTCTTCTTGGCTAGCTTCACGCTAAGGATAGCTCGTTGGCCGACAAAAATCCCCGAGAAAATATTTCAAATCGCACACCCTGTTCCTATCCATCAAAACTTGACTCGATAAGCAATTCAATCACAATATCTATGGGAGGACTTGGACGGATAAGCGGCCAAGAGACTGGACGGAAACCTAGGATTGGCCTCGCTCGCTGTCCAGATGGGGCGGATACTAGATCTGTGTAAATTGGCGGGAGGGCTATACTATGGGCCCCGCAGTGCTCCTACAAGAGGGAGGGCCTCGGTAGCCGACCATGTAGCTAAGACTAACTAATCCTAACTAACACAAGCACGCAAAAAGGGTAGTAAGCTGGGGATGGTGGGCGGGACAAAAGAAACTAGTAGGTGACGAAGGCGATGGCGCTGGGGCCAGGAATGGGAGAGCAGAGATGGGGGCGAAGGAAGAAAAATCTCTGAGTGTGACGGAGTGTGATGTCATGTGCTCACTGCCAATCCCGACGGTCTCACCAGACCACCCAGATCCCGTCCGAGCCATGGCCAGCTTACTTGCTGTGTGGCGCAAAAGCGTGATATTCTACCAGCAAGCAGCCTGTTGTTGTCTTGGACTCGTTCTCGAGAAGCCTCGTTGACATTGCTTTATTCGGCTTCTCGACTTGCTTCTTGGGCCACATGTCTGTTTTGTACGTATTCCTATGTTTTGTGGAGTTGGTGTTATCGTCTCGGAACATAGTGGATTCGCTTTACAAACGACTGTAGTTACGCTATATGCTACCTAATAATGAAAGGAATGGTAAGGTCCGCGCCTTGAGTTTTGCAGTGGCGTGACTTGGGAACGTTGATCGACAACCAACTCTTCTGCCCCGAATGGCTTTTTGGGTGTCGTGGACTACAGAGCTTTCACCTCGTGCTGCTGCTTCATGAAGACACCACGACAGACCCACCGTCAGTCCTCCAGTGCCCCCTCGTCGCCAGTGGTCAAGAGATCGCATATTTGCAGCATATGCGCTAAAGCGTTTCTTACCGGAAGCCATCTCACTCGCCACGAGCGCGTCCATAGTAGTGAAAGGAAACATCTCTGTCCTTTCCCTGGCTGCGATGTTCGGTGCGTGCTGCTCGCCTACAGTATAGCTTCAACTGACTCAACATGTCATAGCTGTTCACGGAAGGACAACCTCCAGCAACAGTGAGTGCAGGTTTACACGCAAGAAATTCCAGTTGCCCAACATGTCTTAAGCTACCGAATCCACCTTTCGCCTGGCTCCCGCCGCAGAACAGGACGCGTCATAATGCTGGAACCCCAACCTCGACAACGGAGTCCTTCACCAACACCACCGTCCCCTTCTCAAAGAGAAGACTCTCCACCACTTACACCACCCCCTCTAGCGGACTCTCGATTCTATTATTTGCGCATTGGCGTAATAACCCAGGAAGAATTCGAAGATGTTCCTGTTAATATTGACCTACCAGTGTCGCCCCAGCCCAAACAGGATCGATGGCACCCCAGTCTTCTACCTCCCATCGACACCTCGACCACAGCAAGTTCTCGTGACAGCTCATCTCCTGTGCCCTTGACATCGAGTGCTAGCGCGGGGGCCAGTCCATATTGGGGCAGAGCTTCAAGCACCCATTCATCACCTCTTGTCCGCTATCATCCATACTCCACCTATTCACACTCCTTTGATCAACCATACGCCGTGCATAATTCCCATTCATATTCTGAAGACCGACAATTGCAACCGCACCCCCAACCAGACGTCCTTCCACACGTTCCGGCCTTACAACGTGTTCTTGATACTGAAAACAGTCTTGGTCTTTCAGTAGACACGCTTTCGCCCCCAATCCAAGTCCATGCTCCAGCTCCGACTCGTCATTGTGTGCCGCTTTTTCTTGTGGCTGGTGATCTCGAACTTACTCCAGCACCATCACCAACCCCAGTCGACCCGACGACCAATCACATCGCTGTAACTGTCTCTCCGCCGACTAGCATCGTGGAAAGTCCTCAGATTCCGTACCAACAGAATACCCACTACTACTATAACCATATTCAGCCAGAAGAGGACCTCTCACGGCAACAGCGCTATTCGGATGTATCATCACCGCCCTACTCTCCGTCTATTATCGGTGTGGCAGAGACGGCCTACTATCGTCCAGTCTCGCCACCCACAGCCTGTAACACTGTGGCGTCGAGACGGCGCTCATATCCCGTTGCAACGCGGACGAGAGAGACTAGGAGCGGTCATAATCAAGAAGCACCACTCACACCTGTCTACCTGGCACCCCCATCGTTTTCCCTCTCCGCTGCCTATAATTGGCATGTCTCGTAGAACACAGGACATTCTTTGTAGCACTTCTACTACATTACTCGGAAAGCCATCAGTGTATTACTAATAGTTTTGGTTCTTTCTGTTTATATAATCCGCAATTTTGAATCTATACGTGTACTTGGCTCGTTTGACAAAGGTGGTACAAAGATTTGGATTGTAGATACTGATACTTTACAGGTCATGATCACCATCCACCGCCAGACCCGCCGTCACTGCGGAAGCCTCCACGACCTCCTCCACGACCTGTAAGCAGTGTTCAAGACCGATAAGTAACACAAAAAAGGTTATACCTCCACGGTATCCGCCTCCGCCTCCGCCTCCTGGGTTTTCGTTATCAGACAAATCAATACCTCAGATAACAAACACACCTCCACCACGTTCAGGTCGATCCTAGGCAGTTCAGATGTGAAACAACGAGAAGGGGGAGAAAAGTCATACGTTAGCAAGGCTGACGCGAATTCGACGACCGTCAATTTCTTGATCGTTCAGGCCAGCGATGGCGTTGTGGGCCTCATCAGCGGTGCTGAATGTAACGAAGCCAAAGCCACGGTAGCGGCCAGTCTCGCGGTCCTGTGAATAGGGCGTGGGTGGGCAGTGATATGGAGAGAATGTGGTCTACCTTCATGTGGATGGCCTGTTGTTGCGTTAGATCGCAGGCGAAGGAACTTGAACTTATCAAGACGTACATCGGTGACTTGACCATACTCTCCGAACGTCTGATGGGAATGCTCAGTGAATTGGGCAAGACGCTGCAGTGAACGCTTACGTTGTATAGCGCATCCTCGGTCGTGTTCCAGCTCAAATTCCTGACAAAAGAAACAACAAAACAAGTTAGACGTTGTGTCCCAGATCTGATCTTTTTTTTTTTTGCGCACCCGACGTATCTGGTGCAGAGCGATGAGCTAGATGGACTGCGATGGTTGTGGGGGGAGCACTTACAACTTGCTCATGCTTCAAAAAGGGACAGAAAAGAGCGACACTGCAAGTCTTCAACGAGATCCCAAAACCACAAGGTGTCGGACAGATGAGGAAGGTGTGACTCGTAAAGTGACATTTGTCACATCTTATACTGCTCGAATTTCGTGTCTGTGGGGTCGGAGAGTGGGAGAAGAAACTAAGAACTTACCCCGATGGTGGAATCACCCATAACAACTTTGTAACAAAACCTAATACTTACGTGTCTGGAACTTTGGCGGACTCGATGGGAGCTCAACGGAATCGCATTCCACAAATTGGCATTGAGCCTCGAATAGACATAAACAAGTGGGAGTAGCGAAAGCACATAGAGGAAAATTCTAATCGAGACTGTGAGTTGACGAAAGACGAAAGACGTTGGGAGTATGCAGTACTCGCCTCCATCGAGCTGCCGTTGACATACCTATTAGCTATTAAGCGGAACACACACTGTCGTCGGTAGACTGGTATTCTATGGCAAAGTCAGTGAGGCGTACTACTCACCTATGTCTATTCATTGGCCCAATCAAAGACGCTTAGATCTTATGATGAGTTCAAAGTTGACACCGAACTCGACGCAATCTTCGTTGACGTCGAGACCACATATCGGTAGACCAAAAAGAATGTTTCCAAGAAAATATGCAGCCCAGGCGTCGGAAACAAGTGAAAGGCACACGACAAGATTCGAAGAGCACGTGTGAAGCACGTGGCCAACGAAGGACTTTTTTTTATATTTGACAACAATTTGCGGCTGGAGAACATTTGGGATGATACAGAGAGACGAAGAGCTTTACACGACGGATTTACCATCCTGTAAATATGCGGTTGAGGGGATGGGCGTTCAAATGATCTAAACACAAAGCTCACCGCCGTTATCATAACCTCCACCAGAGCTACCGCCATAGCCTCCACCACCATAGCCACCTGGAAAATACTGAGCCAATGATCGTATAGGATGAATGAGCGAACCTCCACTGTTACCACGTTCGGGCTTTCCTTGAGCAACATTGACACGAATGCGACGACCGTCAACTTCCTGTTCGTTCAGACCAGCGATAGCATTCTGAGCCTCGTCGGCGGTGCTAAAGGTGACAAAGCCAAAGCCACGGAAACGACCGGTCTCGCGGTCCTTCATATGAATACTCTGGATACGGTGGTGAGCGTCAATCAAGTCTTGAAGGAAGAATACGGACGTCGGTGACAGTACCAAACTCTTCGAACGTCTAGCAACGAGTCAGTATCAATCGTCGCTACATTTAAAACCACACACTTGGCGAAGAACCTCGTCGGTCGTGTTCCAACTCAAGTTTCTGGTTGGACAAGGATTAGTGCGCGTTGGTTTGGACAGTGCCGTTCCATACCCAACGTACCTAGACATCGAGGGTCAGCGACGAGGAGACGAGAAAGGTGGAAGAGAGACTCACAACTTGTTGCCAGAGCTCATTGCGGCCGATAACTGAACGATACTAGAAGACTGCGACGAAAACCTGAACCTAAACCGGACCAAAGGCACGCAGGCAGATGAAGGACGAGGGCAGGACTGAAGAAACGGTCACTGAGTTGTGTCACATTTTATACCGACGACAAAACTGGCGCACTTACACGTAATAAAGAGGTACAATCGCCCTTCCCCCCGACACGCAGGCACTACAGCAAGTCCTCAGTTTCTCAGTCATCGGTCTGAATTTTGGGAACCCATGACGACGATTGGCTTGTGCTGGATTTTTTTTTCCTCTGTGGACAGACAAAGGCGGGGATCCCAACTTGGCAGACGGAATACTCGATCGGTCAAAACAGATAAATTGCAATCACGGAGCGGCACCAGAAGCGCAGAACCACCTTCTCTTCTCACACATTTGGGACTGACGATCAAAGGGAATTTCAAGGTCGAGAGCATCCTGGGGAAAAGAATTGAAAAATGCCGCCTAAAGTCGTGCAAAGAACAAACCTTATTCACCAGCCACTACCCCCACCATATCCCGATCCTCCTCCGCTGCCTCCTGCATAACTTTCGCCTGCATAGCCTCCACGGCCACCTAAAATGAGTCAGCAACTGGGTCTATTTTGTTCAAAAAAACTAAACCTCCTCCTCCGCCCGAAGGTTTTCCGTTGGCAAGACTGACACGGATAGAACGACCCATCAAGTCCTGGCCATCCATTTGAGTAAGAGCAGCATTGGCTTCGTCTTCCGTGCTATAAGTCACGAAGCCAAAGCCACGAGAGCGTTGAGTTTCGCGATCTTTCATCACGATATGCTGGATGAGTCAGGGTCGCGATTCGTCGCTCTGGGACAGCTTACATCGACAATTTGACCATGCGGATGGAATGCCTAAGCAAGTGATCAGCGAGCGGAACGAGACACGATGATCAAGTGGTAGGCACATTGTACAACGCGTCGTCATCGACCTTGAAGCTCAAATTTCTGCGTGTTCGTCACAGACCAGCAGCAAACAGAGAGAGTGCAACAGACCCGATGTACAACTTGGACATAGCGGACTACGAATGGAGTCGAGTTCAGCGGTAAGCACAAAACGTGGGGTATTTGCGATTGAGAGGGAGGCCTTATATCTTGACGCGGATGATGCTGCGGTTGGTTAACCTCTTGTCTTCCAACAGAATCTCGACGGTGAGGAAAGTTTCTTTCCATTTATTCGAGTGGACCCTGAAAGTTAGGAGCTTCTCAGATTGCCGGTAATAAAGTCTATTGTGAGTGTTCATTGCGAAGCGCCTGTGCAAATGTAGTAAGTAGTCGTGTTGTTGATTGTGGTTCAAATCAGAAAATGGCCCTCGTCACGTCTGTCACGCTGACATCATCTTGCTTTCGAAGTCGATGGTCTTTATCGCTGACGATGAACGCAAGGAGGGCCACACCCATGTGCTCATTATTACTACTGGTAGTGTTGCCTCCGTGAAGGCGCCTCTCATTGTTGAGGAACTGCTACGTGTTTGTCGCGTTTGCACTCATCAACTATCATGACCTCAAGACTTGAGCTGTAGTACAACAACGTCAAAGTCGAACTTGTCGCAACCAAACCGTCTCTTACCTTCTTTTCTGCCGACTCTATTCGAAGAACTGGAGTGCGAGTTTGGACTGATGAAGACGAATGGCCGGTGCGCACAATTCTGCCCTCGTTGAACACTCTACTGGACTTGCATTCAGTCGACATATAAGATCGGTGACCCCATTCTTCATATTGAGCTCAGACGCTGGGCAGACATTGTCCTCATCGCGCCGTGCTCTGCCAACACGCTCTCCAAGATTGCTCATGGTATATGCGACAACCTTGCGGCAAGCCCTAGCCATATTTGTTCGGGAAATCTAGCTTAAACACTTCAGACCTCTCTCCTGCGGGCTCTAGCACCGACAACACCAACTTACGTTTTCCCTGCAATGAACACTCTGATGTATGAACATCCGCTGACCGCAGAACACTTGCGAATTGTTCAAGAAGTTGTCAAATATAACGTTGTCGGCCCTATAGCAAAACTGCTAGCTTGTGGGGACCTAGGTGCGTTTACCATCGACTTGTTTGATCTTTCCGACGTTGGAAAGGTGTTGGTGCTATGACTGAATGGCGCGACGTGGTTCAGGTTGTCGTAGATCGATTTGAACTAGAGCGGACTTGTAGCCCAGCTTAGATGTACCACTATTACTACTAGATAAAAGCACTTTCGTGCGACTGAATCAAGTTGGAGCTTGTCTATGCCGTCACGGATCGCAACCGTTTTCTTACCTCTTTCCCTTCTCCAAGTTCTTGCTGGGCCATGCTGGCTCCGCACCTTTGTCTACATCAGCAGCTTTGTTCCGCCGTTTTTGAAATAACGCTGAACGCATGGACAAATCACAATCTGTTGATTAGCATGATGAACTCGGCCTACAAGTGAGCTTTTGCCCCTCCAAGACTTTAACCATGTCCGACCTCCTCAAAGCGCTCGCCGTCCTTGGTGTCACTGGCGCGGTCATCAAGACCCTCGTAAACAGGCGCAATGCCACCCGTGGCTTGCCCTATCCTCCCGGTCCGCCACCTAAATTCCTCATCGGCAACATGCTCGACATACCACAGTCACTTCCTTGGCTGACATACGCTAACTGGGCAAAACAGTATGGTGCGCTGCTGTTTAGCTGTTTTAGTTGAGCTAGGATTGACTGCTTTTCGCTTCGTAGGGGACATCATGCACGTTACTATCTTCGGCGCGCATATTATAATTATAAACTCGGTCGAAACCGCAACTGAAATCCTGGAAAAGCGGTCGGGCAACTACTCGTCAAGACCAGACATTCCTGTCATGCATATGTGAGCCAAATCTTGAGCCAACGATAGGTCTCTCATTGCTTCAGGAACGGTTGGATGATGAACATGGGGCTCAAGGGCTACAATGACGAGTGGAGAGCCGACCGACGCATCCTTCACCAACAGTTCCGCAACGAAAACGCCCGTGCTATACATCCTATTGAACTGGCAAAGACACAAGAGCTGTTGCTCAATCTTTTGGAGACGCCAGACGACTTCACAACTCACTTCAAGACGTGCGTTTTCTTTATTGGTAGGCAATTCAAGGCTCACAAAGTCACCAAAGCTTCCCGACTTCTATCATGATGTACCTTCTTTACGGGCACCAAATTTCTGCGCAGGACCCGTTGGTTGAGATAACATACGAGGCATTAGGCATGTTCTCTGGGTCTGTTGTGCCCGGGACACTCATTGTCAATGTCTTCCCCTTCCGTAAGTTTTCATCCACCTAATTGAAACATCATTGAGCTGTGTGCAGTTCGCCATTTCCCAGAGTGGACTCCTGGTTTGGGTGCGTTACATAAGCTGTGCGCCCGCTCGCGTCTTCTGCTTGGTAAAATGCAGGACGTCCCTTTCTACTCGGTGAAACAACACATGGCATGTCATGACAGCTTTGTTGAACCTTTGACTGACCTAACTATAGTCTAATGGCGACGCGGTTCCTTCCTGGGTTTCTGAGCTGCTTGAGCGGACCGGCGAGAGTAAGGTTCCCGAAAGCAACATCAAGGCTCTTGGAGCAATCACTCTTGCCGCGGCAATGGAAACGACACTTTCGGCCCTCCGCGCCTTTGTCCATATGATGGTTCTCCACCCCGACATTCAAGCCAAGGCACAGGCGGAATTAGACTCTGTCGTCGGTGACCGACGACTTCCCAACTTCGATGATCGAGAGTCTTTGCCATATATTGATGCGGTCTATCGTGAAGTTCTGCGACTGCATGGACCCGCGCCGCTAGGTGGGCTATATCGAGCGATTTGATTCGTCTGTTAACCTAATTATTACCCAGGTGTTCCACATTCTTCCTCTGAAGACGACGTGTTCAATGGCTTCTTCATTCCCAAGGGTAATTATTAGAATTGTCAGTTCCAAGATAGCCCCGTGTCTGACTTGACTTGTAGGCTCCACTATCATGTATAACCAATGGTACTTCCTTTCGACTTTATGGAGACCTTTTCCTGATGGATGTAGGGCAATGTGTCGTGACCCTCAAACTTACCCCGATCCTGAGACATTCAAGCCGGAGCGGTTTATTGCCTCAGACGGGTCTCTTATCCGCGAGAACTTCCCTCCGACATATGGCTACGGACGCCGCATATGTGCTGGTAAATCCATGGCAGATGCGTCTGTTTGGATCGCCATCGCGTCGATCTTATCGGTCTACAACATAGAGAAGGCAAAAGATAGTGCTGGGAAAGAAATTCCTGTTCCGGACGAGTACATTGACGGGCTTGTCACGTCAGTTTTTTCTGCCTGCCACTGTCTCTTGTCAATACTCATTGCGCCTCGTGCAGTGCCCCGGTCCCCTTCCAATGTGCAATCACCCCACGTTCGAGTGTTCATCGGAAGCTGATCACGGAGACGCCACCATTGAAACTGGAGACAAACCCGATGTGGTACGACGAGTCGAAGAATGGCCCCATCAACCCTCCGGCTGAAGGCGTCACTGCCGCGCCACACCATTGAAAGCTGCATGTGTAGACTTCATCCGTCGATCGTCCAATGGCGCCACTGGGTAGTCAAGAATAACTCTAATAAACTCTCGATGGCTACCTCGTCAAGTGAACGGTCCACCAGATGCCAGCGAAACTTGAAAGTTCGGAGGGATCATGTTATCTTATCTTATCTTGTGAACACCCGATAAGGAATCCTGATTCCTCGCCAAGTGAACAGAGTTGTTACTCTGCCAACGCGTGGATTTGCCTTCACAACAGATAAACATGACCCGGCATTTGCATTCAAACCTCATGACCAAGCTTCAACAACTTTACATCCGTACGCAAATCCGACCAATCTGCTCTGTTTGTCGTACCGCTCGATCGTTGCCACGTGAGCTTCTTCACTGAAATCGGGACCAGTTATGTTGCCAAGTGAGATACCCATCCTCTCAAGTTCTCTTCAAGCTTGTTGTTTAGGATCAGCTCGGACAAACCATTCCAATGGTGGCGAAATCATCATCATGATTGCTTATAAGCGAGGCTGGCTACAGTATGGCTGCGATATTTCGTATCCCTTGGTCGATCGGCTGGAGAAAGAAAAATGAGCTTGACATGAGATCATAGATAGGTTCCTGGACGGAGGCTTGCTTCTGAGAAAGGAAGCGAAGAAAACGGTAAATGGAGGCAGCTGAGGATCCGACATGTGGCGGGGTAGGACGAAGGGAAGATGAGCCCATGTGATGACCATATGCAAACGTTTGCCGTTGGTTTGCCGCTAAGTATGGTTTGCTTAGTGAACTGCAACGTCAAACGGAATCAGCGCAAATGAGTCATTCACTATTTCGAGTCGGAATGTATGAGAAATTGCCTTTTTGGACACTGGATTCAAGTGGATTGTTGTGAACAGCCGCTCTTCGACTCGGACAGCTAATAGCCCACGTTGATATGCAGGTTTGAAAATAACTTGCAATTTGACCCACCGAACCGCCGCCCGCACTCAATCTTTGTTGGGAAACGTCTAAATTAGGTCTCTCTCCATGATATGTGGCTCACTGCTGTTCCGAGTGCCTATCAGCTTCTATTGATCAAAACCTACGGCCGTTTCAGTTAGAGTTGAGGCCTGTTTCTGAACTGCCGGCCGGATGACTTGAGTAATGAGGTTGTTAGCTCCGGTCTTGACCTTCGGTGTAGGAATCAATGAGCAACGCTACTCAGAATCACCCAGGTTACAAACCTTGGCTGACCACCAAGATAGGCAATGCATGCACATGCTATGGATAGTGATGGCTGATGTGATGTGAGATCTCGCGTTTGTTGCATCTTGAACCCCATTTAACTCATGCGTCGCCTCCAAATTCCAGTATATAACAACGCTCTCGTGGTACTGCCCCTTTCCCTTGGTTTTCGATTACCCTCGGCTTGACATCTTGCTGTGTCTCTCGTTCACCAATGTCCACCGAGCCCTCGACGACTGGCCCACCAATGCCTCCTCCTGGTGGTCTCGTTCCGTTGCCTCCCAACATCGGCGACATGTACGCCCAATCTAGCCTACTCTCCCCACCTAATCTATTATTCTAGCACCGCCTCCGCACTCATGGGGTCGCTGCTAAACTACATGTTGTATGGCGTACTGGCAGTCCAGGTCTACGTCTATCGCCTCAATTTCCCCAACGACAAGAACACTATTAAAGCTCTGGTGTATGGCATCTTCATCGTGGAGACCGTCTTAACGGCCCTGAATGGCGTGGACGTCTACCATTGGTTTGCGGCTGGCTTCGGAGACATCATCGAGTTCAGCAAACCTCTCATTTCCCCCGCCTATACGCCAATCTTCGGGTCGATAATTGCCGTCATCGTACAGTGCTTCTTCTGCTATCGCATCTACATCATAAAGCGACAAGCATGGCCGCTTTGCATTTTCATCGGCCTAGTCAGTTTTATGCAGGCTGCTGGGGGTATGGGAGGGGGAATATCGGCTTACTTGAGCGCCAACCAAGTGCACGACCACAACCGCATCATCTTTGTCTACCTGTGGCTCGTTGGGGATGTGATTGCTGGTATGCCCAATGATTCTTTTGCTTATACTTGGATTGTAACATCATACCTCTAGACGTTCTGATTGCTGGTACCATGACATACCTGGTGCGTTCCGCTGTCCCCCAGCTCACACCTCCCAATACTCATGTCCTTCAAGCTTCTCAAAGCTGGTCAACAGCAACACAAGCAGACAAACGACATTGTGAAGCGGATTGTGCGGCTGACAATCGAGACCAACACCGCATCCACGGTTCTTGCCATTCTTTCCCTTGTATTATTCTATGGGAGGCCAAACACCACATATTTTATTGCTCCGACGGTCCGAACCCACCCTCATCTTTCTGCCAGCGTAGACTAACATCACTCACAGATGGTCCTTGCGAAACTCTACGCGAACACTCTGCTCGTGACATTCAACAACCGGGCGTTCATCCACAGCAGCAACAACACATCGCATGGTGCCTCCATGAGCGACACGTACCAATCACGATCTCGAAGCGGTGCTCGCAAGAGTCTACCCTTCTCTGCTGGTCTCGGGCTGCGGACTGATGAGACCGAGTCGACGTTTGCAGGGACCTATTCAACAGGAAAGGTCACGGTCACGACACATTCGATGGTCGATGGCGGTTATAACTCGTATAACAACGCCTACGACATGAACCGGATGGACGAGGAGGCCGCCAAGCGTGTACCACTATGAAAACTTGAAGGGACTTCGGTAATGCAAGGATGACGATGCACTCAGGCTAGCCTAGCGCACTCCACTCGTTTTTGTATTTATTCCGTGTTTATTGAGGTTCTTTTGCCTGACGCGCAAACTCATACCTGTATGTAGTATTATATACCTTTGTTTGTACCTTTAACCTTCAGCGAGACGTCAAGTCCATCATTGATGCGATCCTGATTAATCGGCTATGATTGTCGTCCAGTAATCAGTGCAGATCATTGCATTTCCCAGCTCGGGGGCGGGGTTCCGCTTTCTCAAACTAGTGCCACCAACTCGTCGAAACCTGCAAGAACACGTTGACTGAATGCAAGGGGCAGGTCCACAGAAGAAGTCCTCGCTTCGATGCCAACATATGTCATCAGTATGGTGCAAAGAGGCTGGAAATTTTATTGCAAGCGGGCTACACGCAAAGGAAGCTTTGCGCCGGACCCATCGACGGCCATGGGCACCAAGGTTATGGCAAATGTTGGCGTTACCTCCCCCTCGTCGGTAAGTGCAAAGGAAAACTTGCGGACGAGCTCGGAGATTATAATCTGCATCTCCGCCAGCCTGCCAGAAGAAGTTGTCATCCCAAGATGGGCGAAAGAAGTAAATCTTACGAAAAGCGCCACCTATGAGCGAATAAACGAGGTCAGCCAGGCCACAGTATGCATAAGTAACTGACCCGATACACGTCCGGCTCCCACCCAAGAAAGATAGTCTATTGATGAAAGGTTTGAGCAATTCAACGGAAAAGAATGGGCATACAAGTTCGCATAGGGCCCAATAGATGCTCCAGCCGCCGGTGGTTGCTCGCCGAGCCATCGTGAAGGCTTGAACTCCGCCGCATCATCCCCCCAAACCGAGTTGAGTCTATGGTATGATGATATGGCGAGAACTAGGTGCTGGCCTTTCTTGATGGGAATTTCCATGATAATTTCCCCAGATTTGGTTGTTATTGGCTCGGCCAGCGGAAGGACACTGTCTTTAACGCAAACTCGTTCCGTTTGCGGGACAGTGCTGTATAATCGCAACACTTCCTGACATACCCCTTCTAGTTAGTAGTGCTTCTGGGATACGAGCTGAAACAAACTTTGATCAACGCATTCAACATGGGTAAACGGTCGTAGTCGGTGTTCTCGCCTCCTCCCACTTGATCCACCTCCGTGCGCAGTTGTTGCTGATATTCGGGGTTCTTCGCAAGCTCGTACAGGCACCAAGCAACCGTATTAGCCTGACGGATCGCGTCAGAGCATGCTCTAGCGTGATTGTGTCTCACTGACCGTGGTATCCTCTCCAGCCACAGTGATGGTCGGGAATTGGTCTCGTATTTCATCGAATGTCATTTTACTCTCTGCCTGTGAATTAGAGCCAACTACGTGCCGTTTCAGTTCCGCAATTCACAACTATGAGCAACTCACCTAGCACACTAATCAAGTCTTTCTCTGGCTCTATCCCGAGTTCAAGCGCGTCGACCTTTTCCTTCACTAACGTGTTTGCTAAAACACCAATTGCACTCTTGAATTCCAGAAGCTTAACCAGTGCTGGCGGCGGAAAACGCATGAGAACATTGAGAACCGGTTTGGGAATGTATGGAAGGATTCCGTCAGTCAATATGGACGTTTTAGAGCGGTCCGCTGCAATTAATCTGTGGAGATTGGGAACCTTGGGCTGAGGTTGAACAAGCGGAAACCCACACAAGACTCTGGTAACGTTGCGCGAAGTCTTTGTCGGCTTGAAAATTGTACCCTACTACGCCTGCTCGGAAGTGAGTGTCGTCCATTGGGCACCTGTAATGTCTCACCTTCGCCTACCGCCTGTAGCGTTGTGTCATGCAGACTTTGGTAGATGTCGATAACACCGTTCGAATCTTGCGAATCCAGAAGTGTTTCCCATCTCTCTGAGACCTACAATTATTTAACATTGACTACGCTTATGGATAAAGACATATATGCGCACCTCACTGGCAGCTTTCCTCAAAGTGGGACTCAACTCGCGGATGCTAGCTGCCGAAAAGGCCGGATTCATCACGCCACGAATGCGACGATGCATTTCCCCTAGGAGTATGATTACAGCGTTCACAAATTCCAGCAGATTTTTTCGCCCACCTTCCACAAACAATAGACTGCCCGACCCCAGGCCAGTCTCATTGATGAGCTGTTGTTGCGGAGACTTCATGTATTTGCCAGGGTTCGAAAGGATGTGCTTCAGAGTAGTAGGGTCCGATATCATAAGTCTGTTTTCCTGTAAAGTTCATGATTTAGAGCGGGGTCGAAGGATAACACTCACCCCAAAGCATCCCTTCGTGCGATAAACAGGCCCGAATTGCTTCTGCCATTGGAACTCTAGAATACCATAGGGTACTTCGAGGATGATTTCTAGTAAGTTTCCTATGCGTGGCTTCAGTTTGGACGAAAGCTGAAGATTGGCCATACCAAAGAGCCAGGAGGGAGATGGTGGGCCAGGAATGTCCTTAATAAGGTCGCCTGCGCGGCGAATCTGGGTCGAGAGGACTACTGCGACGATAACAGCGCCAAGGGCAGCTGCAATGTTGTCGTTCATGGCAAAGGGCAGTAAAGCCATCTGAAATTCAAATGGACCAGATGGATTGATCAACTAACTGTGATCTGTCTATTCGCGTCGATGAGCGTCCCTTGAGCGTCCGTTTGATCATGTTGAGTGCAGGACCGTGACCTGAATGAACCGAACCTGGAAAGTTGAAAATTTCAGGGAAGAAACAAGACGCGCTCCCGTGATCGTGACGAGCGTTACACCTCATAGCCAATTTGTTGTGCCCTACACCATAATCACAGAAATCTCATTTCCAGCAACTAATTTAGTTGTTGAAAGTAGTCAATATCGACTCCTTGGTATTCTCATTGCTCTGCCGTCTCCTCTCCCTGCGCAGCCGCCGTGCCCGTCTCTTGCGCAGCCTTCTCGGTCACCGTGACGGTCTTAGTGACAGTTTTCGCATCTTTTGAAGCGTCTTTGTTCCCTGCATTGTTCTTGTTCTGAGTCTGTTTGTTGTTCTGAGCTTTTGTGGCTTTCTGGCCTTTGGTCTTATTCTGGTTTTGCTGGCCATTCTTTCCGTTAGCCGCGGCGGCAGCAGCCTTAGCTTGAGCTGAAAAGATATTTTCGTTGCCAAGAACGCTCTGCGATCTTTGAGTGAGCGAGACGCAGAGATGGAAGAATTCTCACTTGAGCGACGCGAGAAACACCGTTGATGATACGGTCGTAGTTGTTGGTCATCAATTGAATACCGGAGACAAAACCCTTGCCATCGAATTCACTGCAAGCAAGTTCACCTGAAGCCGTCAAGTAAAGTCGGGATATAACGTACCAGTGGCCTCCTTTGATAGATGCGTCCGCTGTGACGAGAGAAAGTTGACCTGATTTTCCCGGGATAAGCTTCTCGTATGCTTGGATTGCCTTGGGACTACATGACTTAGATGAGGATTTGGTTAAATTACTTCGAGGACATACATTGATTGTTTGAGGGACCCGAGCTCGTTTGTGGTGCTTTGGAAATGCAATCGAACTTTAGAGAGGTCACCTTGGACTTTGACTTGTCTGTATTGTATCCCAGTCAGTAGAAGTGGGTACCACGTAGAACATCACTGACGGCTCAAGTCCACCACAACCAAGAATTGCACCTTGAACACCGAGGGATGCGCCGAAGGTTGGAATCATGAAGCCTGAAAAACATGTGTTGAGAGTTGGTTGAAATGGCAGGTACTTGACACACACCACCCAACAACAGACTGCCTCCACTGATACCCTCGAGGAAAATCTTCGACTTGTCGAAATTGACGATCGTTGGCAGGGTCTTTGTCAGGAATTCGTTCACTGCGGCGCTATGGGCAGGACCATCCGGTCTATTGAAGTGAGTTGACTACAGCGGAGTAGAATAGCATCCAAGGAAGCTCGTACCTCGCTAAGCCTGACCTGTCCTTCGAGTCCTCTCCACCCCATCTGCGATTCGCATCCGGGGAAAGAAGTGCGACTCCCATTAAACCATCTTTGACACCTTGGTTCTGCCATGCACAGTCGGAGAAAAAAACTCAATGCACTTGTTAGACTTACAGGGAAATCGAAGAAGCTCTGACCACCATCCCCGTGGAACAGAACCTACACAAATGAGACTGAGAGACGAGAAAGTATACGCGACATACATTAATTCCGAGTTTTTCATTGCCGTTGGCGTTGCCATTTCCCCCATTGACCAGCTCCGATGCAGGGGCGGAGACTTTGAAGCGAAGATTCAAGCCACTAAAATAGCGTCAGCCAAAGGTACTGGAAGGGAATGAAACGGACTTGATCTGAATGGTGTCATCGATGATGGTGCTGCCATCCTTTGCCTTTGAGACCTTCGCCGCAAGTGCTGTGATTTTGCTCGCCGTGTTGGCGCCCTTGAATGGGTTCTTCAAACTCAAAGCGGGTTCGATCGGGGCAGCGGCAACCAAGTCATAGCAAACGGCCAGATACGCAAAGAAGAAAATGGACTTCATGATATACGAATAATGAGAGTGTTGAGAACAAGTCGAGAAGGTGATTTGACGTTCGGAGGGAGTGTTGAAGGCAGAACCAGCCGCCGATGGAACTAGGGAGAGGAGGTGAGCGAAAGAAGGGGAAGATCCAGTCTGGCCACATGAGGTAGCACAAGCGTTGAATATATAAACGGGCTGTTGGCAAGGCAGGAGATCTCCGCCAAGCCAAGAGCAAGGGCGTAACTGGGCGTTATAGCCAAGAGATGATGCTTTGACCCGACTTTCTGGTTCCGAAATACTTTGAATGAGTTGCAAGACTCAAAGAGCGTCAAGTCGTGCGGCGAAACAAAACCTATTAATAACGGGAAATGCATGAATCACGACATTAGATAGAAACCCATGAAGGCAAAGGCAAAGAATCTATAGCGGATTTGGTTTCTTTGACTGGAAGTCTGGAACCGACAACAAACGCAGCTTGTCGTCAATGACCGGGACAAGCGCAGTCACACTGGAATCAACATGATCACGCCCACGTTGCGCCTACGAGGAGTACTGCATTGAACATGGTCTCGCCACAGAAACAAACTCAGCATCGCAGACCTCCGACATCTCAGCAAGCTTTACCTCGAGGCTAGCTATTTCAAGACATTGTGATTCAGATAATGTCCTTTCTTTTTCTGGCCAACAGAACTTTCTCGAATTGGCTGCTGCGTCATATTGAGACTCTTGTTCTTCTGCGTCTTTTAATCATGTCCAAGTTGCACATTGGGTTCGTTGTGTTCAAGGTGTCGAGCTTTGAGAATTAAAAATCGTCAAGAAATCTGAGCTACGGAATCAACGATGAGATGCTCTATGAGGTGCGCTTGCCTCCGCCTCTTTTGTGATATCGCTTACCATCGCGCTAGGTGTTTATCCAGTATGGACCACTCACCGAGGTGAATACACCTCAGTCTGCATTCGATTCCTTGGCCGTTGGCCCACTTATCACAGTGGTTTGTCGTCAAACGGGACGGTCGCTCCTGTGGGTTTGGTTTTGTAACGTTCGATGCTGAAGAGGATGCTCGCTATGCAATCCGGAAGCTGGATGGGCAAGAGCTCAACGGACGTTCTCTTCGTGTGAGCATCGCAAATTCACAAACTAGCGTGCGGGGCGCAAGGGGTGAGTTGTTCTGCCTACTTTGTATATAGTCTAAGCATCCTCAAGGAGAAAAAAAAGTTCAAGCGAACGAGAATCCTTTTGACACCCGCAGAGGACACTACGTTTAAAGGATAAACAGACAGGTGCGAGACATATCCCCTCTCATGGCCCTTCTCAAAATTTGCAGCAACCGCACTCTTGTTTTGTTAGTTGAACATGATAAAGAAAACATTTGGTCATCCGTCCAATTTAAGTATGTCAACTTCCTTTTTGGGAATTGACAAGACAGCTTGTAAGACCACTGCACACCATGCTCGATAGTCAACCTACACTTCCAGTAAATTTGCAACCACGTCGCATAAGATCTACTCTATCCACCTATTGGTCGCAGGATGCTCCCAACGTTGACCGTTGTACGTCTTTATTACGTCCAAAAGTGCCATGTATAAATTGTGACAGATTTCGTGACGCATCCCTCAGCTCTTGCTTCCTCCTTCATTGTACCAGGTCCCGTAGCCATTATGAGCAAACTGTGGGTCCTCACTCACTCGTCCTACTTCTTTGATTGAACGTTCAAGATTCGTTGGGTTCGTTTTGGATTTTACCTGCTACGACGCGTCGTTCACCGTCTGGTCAGAAATTTGAGCTGGAACACCACTGATGACAGCCTTCGTCAAGTACGTCTCCAACACACTATTTTGCGAAGCAATGCTGATAGATCGACAGGTCTTTGGGGAATTTGGGCAAGTTACTGACGTATGGACTCAGTTATTGTCTCTGAGACGATTTCCTGACGAGCTTTCAGAGCATCCATATGAAGGCAAGTTGTGATGTATCAATGCTACATTGGTGCCCATTCTGTGCTCAAGGACCGCGAGACTGGGCGCTGCCGCGGTTTTGGCTTTGTCACCTTCAACACTCCTGAAGAAGCGCAGGCTGCCATCGATGGCTTGAACGAGCAAGAGGTTGATGGTCGTCGTATTCGCGTTAATATGGCCGATGCAAAGCCTCAACGTGGTCAGTCGATCTCTCCATTCGACACTGGTTATAGTCTTGATATCTATTCCTATAGGTGGTAGTGCTGCTGGCGGTGAGCTCTTCACGTTTGTTTTTGGACCTGCTAACTGTGGATTTCAGGATGGTAAAGTGGTCGCATTGAACCTGTTCTAAGTCTTGTTTGCGGCGTTTCCAATGTTTTTAGTTCCTTTGTACTGTTGCCGAGCGAGCATGTTGTCAAAAACGTTCTGGGGCTTGCTTCAAGGCTTGCTCTAGTGGAATTGAACTGGGGGTCCGCTGAGTGAACAATGGTGGTAGTGGGAGCAGATGAAAATATTTATAGTACCACTTCGTCGCCTATGATCTCTTTCACTTTGTCCACCACAGTCTTATCAACCTTATCTCTTGAATATCCATCTCTTGCTTCCAAAACGAGTCCAACGGTTTCTTGTAAAATATCAGGCAACTCTGTAACATCGCCAATCGGAATCTGTAGCGCGCGCTTGTTCTTGTTGAAACCCTGAACGCTAGTTTCCACTAGTTTCCCATCCACCGAGACGAGTAAACGATCGATAGGCTGACTTGTTGTCGGATGGTCAATGACCCAAGTATTCCTAAATCTTTCGGTAGGAGGTAGTTCTGTGGAGACACGCGTGGCAAGCTCAGTGATACCACTGAAATCTTCTCGAGGGACGGAGAGGATAGTCCCAAGAGCATCAACTGCGACTTGGCCTTCCGACGAGTCGAAGAAGGCAAGGGTAAAGCCCTCGGGTTCCACTGGACTGTTTCGGAGGACAAGCACAGCTAGGTCGGCTCGTGTAGGTTGGAACGAGCTTGAATTTGGGTACGGAGTGGCTCGAGTGTGCCATTCAGCGTATGACGACGATAGCATAGTCGAAGTGTGGAGTCAAGCTGAGTGATCTCAAATGGCTAGATCTGCCAAGGCGTTTCGGTCCCGTTCGCGCGCCTCCATTAAAGAGCATAAATAAACAGACATGGGTGAATAATTTTGTAGGTGTACGCAAAACTGCAGCCAAGTTATCAGTAGGTCTTCTTCTTCTCGTCCACCGAAAGACCCCCAGGGCCCATGTTGACAAGAAGAATAAGACCACCAACAATCGCTGGAAATAGGTTAGCCACGTTGAGAGGCGGCGACAGAGATAACTCACACAGTGTTTGGAAGAAGTCATATCTGGGAGACCAAAGATCAGCACGGTTGACATGAGTGAACCAGCCACTAACTTGAGGAAGTCACGCTGAGGGTGACTGGAGCCGACTGACCACCAATTGTTGGCAAACACATTGAAGATGCTGAGGGTGAGAACGAGGAACGCTGCAGACCACTTGGCCTTGAACCCGACAGCAACCATGATGCATGCTGCTAAACCGAAAATCGAAACGAAGACACGGGCGATGCTCCATTTTCCTTGCAAGATAAACCCGAGGAAAAGGAAAATGAGCAAGACGCGACCGGCGAGGAGGAAGCTAACCGAGTGAGCCGGTGAAGAAATCAATAATATATTCACGCACTATTTCTTGCGATCGGTTTCGCTGATGGAGGGAAGGCCAGCAAAGAGTTTTTTCCGAGTGACCATGGAGTCACTGAAGACCATGAAAAGCCCGCCAATGACGCTGAGGTTGCGCAAGAAGAAGTTGAGGTCGAAAATGAGACCGTAGCCAAAGCCCTGAATGATGACGACACTGAGCAGTCCTGCTACAGCGTATTCTGTATACCGCTTGGTGATGACCATTCCCGATGCGCCGAGCATAGTCTGATGGTGCCTAAGCTGCTGGAGGCCATATGTGAAGCAAAAAACATACGAAAACGTTGATGAGCAAAAACAGGTGCGAAAGGCCCCAAGGGAATTTTCTGTGTCTGAATAGAGCTAAATTAGTCGTTGCTTCTCCTATATCCTAAAAGACGCACTGCTGGAGGTACCAGAGCTGGTCACTCCACTGGGTGAGAATTCTCAGTGCATCCTCCAAAAACGTGACGACGATGAGGAAACGACCAATGGCAGGAAGATGGGGCTTCAATGGTTGAGAATAGATGTCAACGTAGTCCTCGACTTGTCGGCTGAACGCTTGAAGCTTTTCCATGGGGTCGTCAGGGTTGGCCGAGCGGTAGCCTGTAGAGGCTGAGGAGCGGGAATTGGAGAGGCCATGGGGGTCAGGGTCGTAGTTCCGAGATTGAGGACGGGCGATACTGATACGGGAGGACATGGCGGGGTAAAGAGAGACGCGGGACTAGCAGGCGTTTCTGTTGTACGTGGACGGACGTGGCGAAATTTATGTCACAGTCACATCTGTGACGGTTTTCATCATCATGATCGGCTCCTGAAAATTATTTCACTTGCTTCAATGCTTGGCCTCCTGAAATACTGAAGGTTCAGTGCACATTATAGGGCTGGCGCTGAATAATTACTAGGATCCGCTGCAATGCGGAGAATGCTCGCGCAGAAATCACCAGGTGATTGTTAGGGGCTGCTGACGTGTAGAGAATTACAGGGTCTGACATACTCCAAATGACTACTTTCAGCTACAATGGTCCAAAATCTTCAAGGGGAGCACGAAACGACAGATAGTGGTCAGGCCAATTCACATTTAAAAGTGTGGATTGAGGAGCAGGAAAATGATTGAATTTGAATGGATTTTCTCTCCAAGTTCTGAAAGCAGGGGTGAGTGTTACACTTTGTACTTGTTTGGCCTCAGATTTGATCCTCTTTCCTCGCACGTGTTAGTCTAGGATTGCTCGCTGCGCTCGCAATTAGTGAAATTCCACGTTGGTGCGAAATAATTGAGCAGTAACTGAGTAGGTTCCTTGTGACATCATAATCAATTCCTTGCTGCTGGGCATTTGAGCGCTTGAACGTCTAGCAAAACTCGGGTCTCAGGGTTCGTAACTTAGAGTGACCTACATATATTGGACACAGCTTTTGGTCTTTATCGGAGGGTCATCCAACCTTTTGCGCACCTTTGAATGTCTCTCTATTTTCACCTTGGAATTTCTTAGACTCAGATGCAAGATCAGAAGTGCACGTGACCTTACCCTTGTTTCCGTTGTCTGTGCCTCCGCGTGGTTGCTCGCTCGAGTTCTCCGCGCGCTCTAACCTCAATGCTCCATCCACCGAACCGGGGCATGCATTCGAATGATTTTGGCGGCCGACGTGGTGGGCGGAACAAACACTGGACTGCTGCTAATCACGAATCTACTTCGACCATTACTCACCACGAAACGGAGAGATGGGACCGCGGTCGGGGAAGGGGCAGGGGCAGGGCAAATGGTAGCTCGCGTGGCTCAACACGACCAGCTACACCCGCAATCACGTCGGAGACAATTCTGGTGCAAGATGATCCAGTTCTTGAAACTGTGGAAGAGCGCGACAAATTCTTTCAAGAGGTGTGTGATCTTAAACTTGCTCCTCCCTTTGTTTGTTCTGTGGCCCCAGGCTCGGTGGCGCGGCGCGACTAAATGGCGTATCCGACATTGATTCTCCTCGTTTAGTTGGTCAAGCAACGCGAAATCGAACGGAGGACGGCAATTGCTGAGGGTAAAATGGATGACCCTCTGGTTCCCAAACGACTAGAAGATGCCATTTCTATTGTTGGTACTTGCATGGACATGTGTCCCCGGTTTGAACGGTATCGACGCGAGAGAGAAAGCAATCTCTTTGAATGGGAGATGGTATGTACTCTACTTCCAAGAATGAGCTCACCCGACTGTTACAACAGATCCCTGGGACGAAAAGAGTCGATCATAACCGAGCAGTGAAGATGTATGAGCGGGCTGCCGGAGACAAAACCATACCTTCTGACCTGCGACCCCCGCCTGTTCTCAAGGTGCCACATTTACTTAGTAAACTGTGTACCTGCTCACATAAATATCCAGAAAACACTGGACTATCTTTTCCATGACTTGCTTCTGCGTGGAGGCTTCTCCCCGACCTTCAACTTCATTCGTGATCGTTCGCGGGCCGTGCGGAACGACTTCACGATGCAGCATCTCACCGACGCGCTCGCAATGGAGTGTCATGAGCGTTGTGCGCGGTTTCACATATTGGCACTTTATTTGGAACGTGACAGAGAAGGATTTTCAGTGGCGTTGGAGGAACAACAACTAATGAATAGTCCGTGCTCTACCTTCTTGACCTTATTTCTGCCAACCGTTTCCAGCACTACAATCGCTGAAGGAGTTCTATAACGACCAACGCGAAACATACGAGTCGCCGGCCGAACTCGAAATGCGCATCTATCATAGGCTTATCCACATCCGTGACCAAATTGAACGGCCAGAGCCCGCTCCTCTTTCTCAGCATGTCGCTGAACACCCTATCTACAAGCTCACCACTGCGTTCCGCTCTCATGTCCAGAAGAAGAGTCAACCAATCACCAAAGTCTCCCGTCTTGTGGTCGATGCAACAGCTATGGGCATCTTCGGTCAACTCGCCGCTGAGATGATGGCTCTCGGAGGAGGTGGCAAAGGCATGGTCTTCCTTGTAGCGTGCATTCTTGAACGGTTGTTCGGGAAAGGCACGGTAGAAGGAATAGATGATATTCGGGACGGGGCTCTATGGGGCGAAATAATTGACGGAACTGCTGGAGCTTCCGATCCCAGTCCAGAAAACCACATAGAAGAAGTGCAAGATGATGAGTTGGAATTAACGGATGCAGAGGACGCCATCGAAAACGACACCGGCGACGACAACAACCAACCCGTGCAGTCACCGGCAATCAGCGTTCCTCAATCCTCAGCATGGGCATCGTTGACACCATCGACCAATCTCACTCAGCCAGTCAACGCATTCTCCAACTTAGGTGCCGGTACCAGTGTATTTGCACCTTCTGTTTTTGCCCCATCAGCTTTCCCTCGACAGTCGGTCTTCACTAACACTGGTCCGAATCCCTTCACTACCATTCCCCCCGCCGCGCCGACATCATCCTCATCTACTTCTGGTTTTACTTTGGGCCTGCCTCCGCGTGTCCAAAACAATCCATTAATACCTTCCAACACTCCATCGCCATTGTCCCTCGCATCCACGTCTGCCTTACCATCAAGTACACTGGATCTTCCGCTATCAAACAACATTTTCGCGCCAATTCCAACTCCTGCTGTTGGCGCAACAACGTTGGATGATGTCTCGGGTAAAATGGAGCCAGTCAGTTCGTCGAATAATATCTCGGCGTCATTACCCTCGACGACGCTTAATCCTAACGCGTTGGAATTTACACCCTCCTCACGGCCATTCCCTTCAAGTACAACAACCACAAAACCCATCTTTGGTGTAACACCTATACCATTATTCGGTGCTTTTCCGACTTCCACATCTACCAGTTCATTTAAACAGTCGACCACACTCAGCACTCCTCCTGCTGCAACGACTTTCCCAAAAAGTACCCCACCACTTGCCAAGATTGACACTTCCCCACCAGTCCTCACACCCGCCGGTCCATCAGATCCGTCCACACCAATCATCCCGCCTGCGCTCGGCAAAGTCCAGCCGATATCATTGCCATCGACGCCGACTGTTCCGCCTCTGCAGGCATCTCTATCAAATCCCAAACCAACCAAAGCGGTCAATCCGCTTCTTGGCTTCCTCAAAGACACCTTACAGACCACGAATCTGGGCCCAGGTGGTGGGGAAATGCTGAGCCCGCTGGTGATATCTAGTCCATCAGTCACCCCGCTTAGAAACAATTACTCGCCGGCAAAAAGGCCACGAGTTGAAGAGTCCCCACTACGCATCAACGGCGATATCAAGGGCAAGGGTAAACAGCGAGGGGAGCAAATCGTAGAAGTTGATGATGGATTGGATGCTAAAGCATTGACATTCGAGCGGCGCGGCCTAACTATGAGGGAGAGTTTTGGGGTGTGGAAGAAGCGAACAACTGATCACGCGGAGTGGGCTGAAGCAGTCAAAAACAGCGACCGGTATTCTCGCAAGGTTAGGCGAGAGAGGGAGCAAGGGGTAAAACGGAGTAGTCCAAATGCAAGGTTTCCATTGGGGGCTAGTGGTGGAAAAAGGCCAAGAATGTCGGTGGATGAGGATGTGTTCTCTGCGTCGACTTCTTCACTGCTGTCAGCAAAGAGGAAGCGGCAGACTCCCCGGAAACACAAGTACGAAACTCCGCGTACAGATGAAGAGTTGGCAAAGCGTTTGGGAGAGGTGACCGTTTGCTTCAAGTGCGAAACCGATTGCTTACGTGGTCGATAGAACAAGGAGGAGCACAGCCGGCGCTGGGCTCAAGGTTCTTTCCTGTCAACCGTTCGGTCGCTCGTCAAATCGCGATGCCGGGCCGCTCAATCAGCGTCAGCGGTGTTTTGGCAAATGTGGCTGTCTCTTAATCCTGAGAGCGATGCGACTGCAATTTGGCTTGAAACAAAGTTTGATGTGCAAAATAGCGGTGGGAATTGGGAGACTGACATGGTTTTCTCTATACCTGCTGTTCTTAACGCGCCCGTCGACGAGCAGTACCCTGGTCTGATAATATTCGAATGCACGCCACTAGAGGGCATAGATGATGACCTTGAACGGTAATGTCGTCAACTCCACGTCTTTCTCTTATACTAACTTTCAACGATGAAGCAAATATCGCATCCTTGGTGACTGTTCAAGATTACGTGATATTATAGATGCCCTCCCTGGCAAGCGCCATTTCATCCCTTCTCTGTTGTTGTTTGTTTGGTCAGCGGATGGATCCCCGCCCTCTCTGCTTGCTAGCGACTTGCAAGATATGGTATGTCTCCAGACCTAGATATTAACGTGCTCAGATTCAACTTGTAGGTTGCCAAATATGTCTCAGCCTCCACAATTGCCAACTTCGCCATCTTCCATCTCAGCGCGACTTCAACAGACGTCGATGGGAAATTCCAGCAAAGCCTTTCAGAACTAGACATGGATATCGTCGGGCGGCTGGTGCAATCACTTAGTTTGAAAGGTTCGTGACGATGCAGTCTCACGACCAGCCATTTGATTTATCTCAGATGTTTTCAAATTATTTGAACCCGCTTTTCACTCCTTCGTTGCAGAGTGGCTGGAGAACTGTACCCGAGATGGACAATGTGAGCATCATGGTCCTTGGTCCGGCCGTGTGCTAAAGCGTGCTAGTCAATTGGTCGTTATATGCTCACCTCCTCGACGCCGTAGTGTCGGTAGTCAACAAGACCGCCTATCTTGTGCTCGATCTAATTGGCGCAACGCCGGAGAGGCAGCTATTACCCAACCTGCGAACAGACTGGGGTGGGATTCGTGACAGCCAGTATGTTTCTCATCGGACCTGATCTGGCATCGTATGACTTTCCTCCCAGAAGTGTCTTCGAGTATTGCCTGGGCTGGCTTGTCAACCCCCAACTCGATCGACTTGCAACGAAGATCATCGCCACAAATTTGCAGTCACACCGTGACATGGGACGAGGTCAGTTCGTCATCCGGCTCCGACGACGCTTAAATTCTGCTTTCAACAGAATTCCCCACATCGACGTTTGTAGATCACCTCTGGGCCTTGGCTTTGCATCATGCAGAGAGCCTGTCAACTCCAAAAGAACAGCATTTCTTCGTATTCCCAGCCGATATTCCTTCAGCGTTGAAACAACAAACGGAAGTAATCGACGCCCAGAGGACGAGCTTGGTCCAGACCCAGCGAATGAACTTGCGTCGCTCGCCAAGGCGAAGAAGTCGCAGCTTGTCGGAGGAGACAGATTTTACGAGGTCTTTATCTCACCCATTCTTCCTCGCGAACCTTGCTGACGCTTGTCACTGCAGCCCGTTGGCACTTAAACGACAGCGGCTCTCCTCAGGCGCACCCAGCACATCATCAACTCATATCACACCGTCTTCCAGTCCCCCGCAGGCCAACAGTCGAAATACCCCTTCACCGACTGCAAGCACTGTTTCGTTGTCATCTTCTGTGCCGATTGTTACGGCGTCAATGTTAAGAGCACTGACGAGGGATATGAAGAGTAAATATGTCAAGAAGAGCCGCTGAATTTGTGTGATTTCTGCTTTGTTTTAGTTTAGTTTTCCAAGTCAAGATGCTTTCCGAAGTTCAACTCACGATAGGGCTGATGTCTAACCCATCCAGTGAGGTGTCGACCTCTCATCGTGGCCACTGAATATCCGACATTTCCGCAAGACCTTGCTCAGTACACGTTATCGTCTCCATGCCCATGAGAAAATCCATCTCAGTCAAGCACTCACACCTTTAGCAAGCCATGAAGACGATAAATCTGGCCCGAAGTTGTTCCATTTTTGCACAAGTCCAATCTAAACCGCCGCGGCCTCAGACAGCTCTTACAGGCCCCGACGATAATTTCCGCATACCGCCGATCCCATTTGAGGCCCCGGACAATGGCAAACACGCAAATCTAGACGAGTCTGTTCCCAAATTGGCCTTGAGTTGAACATATTCATAGCAACAGTGCTTCTTTCGGTACCTTAATCAAGGATGGCCCACTGACTGGAATCGATTGTCCGCAGTAAACTCCTCGAGCACGGAATGCCCCTCCTTATTGTCGTCTGGAGCTCACGTTGTGGAGTTATTCCGAGACAACCATGGCTGCGCCAGTTGGGAAAGATAAGAGTTCAAATATGAACTGATGGTGACGCGGGGCCAATACGATCTTATTATCGCGAGCAAATAAAGTCAAAGAAGCAGTTGGATGAGCGACGGAACTCAGTGGAGTTATCCTAGGGCAATCTTTCTTCTTGTCCACGGTGGTTTTTATGCGACCCCGAACGTGTCTCCAACTCGCATCTGATAAAAAGTCCCGCCTAGAGCGAGCTCCGAGTCAGTTCTCCTCTTTTCATATCTTCCGCTACCCGAACTTCCCCGGCGGTCAAAGCCTTCTCAAAACCCCCACAGGACGGCCAGCCCGCCCGCCCCCGCAGTCCTCATGAGTGAAATCGAAGTCAAACCGAAGCAAGTCGTCGTCATCGGAGCAGGTAGGGTTCCAATGATCTGCGGCCAAGTCTAAACCAAAGAGGGAAATTGACGGTTCATTGTAGGCGTCGTTGGACTGACAACCGCTGTACGCATTCAAGAAAGGGGTGGTTATCAGGTCACTATTCTCGCGGAGATATTCCCAAGCGACCCCAAGAGTATCAAGTATACCAGCCATTGGGCGGTCAGTTGGGCTGTTCTTGTCTGTTCAATGGCCGTTAATCGGTTTGAAGGGTGCTCACCATGTCAGTCTTGCGGGACCAGATGTGCGCCAGCAGAGTGCGTTTCCTCTTTTTCGTGTTCCAAGTGGTTCAAGATCAAGGCCAGAACTGGACCAAGATACATTTAAAACGATGTGGGAACTTTCTGCGCCGGGAGGTCCAGCCGAGGGTTGTTTTTTGCGCATCCGCGAAAATGAATATTACGCCGAGTCAATTGCCCATCCAGAGGTGCTCTCGGTGATGCCAGAGGTAAAGTCGACTGCAAGTTCTCGATGGCATAAGCCTTCATCTGTTCCAGTTCTCCAAGATTCCCTCGAATGAACTTCCGCCAGACTGCGCAGAGGGCATCTCTTTCAACACCCTCACTATCGATAGCCCGATTTACCTCAACTATCTCATGTCGCGCTTTCTAGCTGCTGGTGGCTCTATTGTTCGCGCCACGGTTCAACATATTGCCCAGGTCGTCGAAGGTGGTGCAGGAGTTTTTAATAGCCGCCGCAAGTGCCTTGCTCCGCCTGCAGGAATAGTGGTCTGTGTTGGTCTCGAAGCACGAACTTTGGGGGGAGTCGAAGACAAGGATGTCTACCCAATCCGAGGACAGACGGTGTTACTGCGAGCACCATGGGTGAGATTCGGACGAGCTATAAGCAGCAAGAACGGCTTGTGGACTTACATTATCCCTCGTCGGAGCGGTGACGTACTAATCAACAGTTTCTCTCTTGCCAGTTTGTCGCTGAAATGAACTTCTCAGGTTATCGTCGGGGGTATTAAGGTCGCGGACGATTGGTAACGCACGCATTCTTCTCGACGGCTCTTCTCATATCATGTCGAGGTATCCTATACCCCGTCCCGAAACAACCCTCGATATTTTGAAGCGCGGGTTTGCACTTTGCCCAGAGCTTGTACCACCCGAAATTCGAGCTGAACGGGAACCCAAGTTGGAGGATCTTCAACCACTAATTATCGAAGAGGGTTGTGGTCTCCGTCCAGGTCGTAAAGGCGGAGTGAGGCTCGAAGTTGAGTGGATGCAGAATGTCCCTGTGATTCACAACTATGGGTGTGGGGGCTTTTTTTTTGACAACGGACAAGCATGATTCTGTTATTAGACACGGAGGTTACGGCTATCAGAGCTCTTGGGGCTCTGCAAATTCAGCGCTGGAGCTGCTTGAGAAGGCGTTGGCGGAGACGACATAATTCCTGCTAGACTTACCTTGTAAATTTACTATATTCCAAATTAGACAGTTGGCGAATGCACCCCAACCCACCATCGTCGCAGAGTGTAGTTTTCCGCAGAGTTTCGTCCGAAGTCCGCTCGGACTGCGAATGGCCTCTTTGACAGAAGGAGCGGAAGCCAGGTCCGGTCGGTTTCCCACATCTTCTCATATGGTATGCTCGCTTGGTTGAACCACTCTGGACACATTTCCTCAGATCTGTATGCGTTTCAGATAGAGTAAGCAGATGAAAACAGGCCATACTCCGTCACCGTCCCAGAATAGTTTTCGGCTCGAAATATATCGATGTGTGCCCATTTTTCGCCGGGAACCACAAACAGAAGGGTGCCTGCGAGCTCTAAAGGCGCAGTTATACCCGATTCTTCCTGAACAAAATCGATGAGTAGCTCGATAGCCTGTTGAAAAGAGGGAGTACTTTTAATTCCCGTAACGCTGCTTCCAATGTCGACTCCCGTGACTCCACCTTGCCTCCTACACAATGAGATCCATAGGTAGGATGCGCTAGCACTAACCGAATCCATTATACCTGTGAAAGTTAATTGCGTTCCAACAGACGAGGAGGAAGTTGACTTGTTGACACCCAAACCGCGTTTCTTCAAACCAAGCAGAATCTTATCGCCATGAAGGACGAATGCATTTGTATAGAGTTTGAGTGGAGCCTCGGGAAGCCATTCTCCAGATCCCCCTTCGTCAAACGCTGACAAGTTTTGAGGAAGTCCTGGTGGCACTGACATAAAGACTGTGGCACTGCCACATCAACGTTTGCGTAATCACAACTCTACTTTCATGCACGTCGGCGGGCGATAACTACGTCGGTCTTGTAAGGGTACTCGAATATGCCTTCGTCTTCGTTTACCCAAACTCTTCCCTTTCCTTTATCGATAACAGCACTAAGATCGGCGCGAGTTTGCGCCTTTTTTTCGTCACTGAGCAGCGTCATATAGCTTTTGCTGAATGCACGATCGAGAACTGTGTCCTTCGTGGCTTGAAGCGCGTAACTCCAAGTTTTCTCCTGTGGGGGTTCGAAGCTAGCCCGATACCCTTCCGTCTGGAAAACGCGGCGCCAGAGTCCATGGCGGTACTGCGGAGTTCCTTGTTCAAACTTCTCGATAGTATCGCGGACTTGCGCGACCCATTGAGCGGTTTCTCTAGAAAAGGCGATTACTAATATGACATCATCTTAATCAGCGAACAGACCTGTCCTCCAGATTCCATATGAGCGCAAGGACGCCGCCAGGCTTCAAGATACGACCAATCTCCTTTGCAGACTGATCGAAGTCTGGCGACCAATGAAATGCTTGTGCGATAACAACAAGGTCTGCCCAGCCATCCGCAATTCCGGTGTGGTCAAAAGTGCCTTCGTTGATAGACACACGCTCATCGGACAAGGTTTGCGTGAAGACAGTGCGCATTCCTGGGCTGGGTTCAATAGCTTTGAGTTCTTTGAAGGCGTCCTTCCATTCTGGGTAGGGTAAGCGACACAACACAATTCTATGAACTCCGATACCAGGATGTGCAATGAAAGCTTTAGTGAAGAGCCCACTACCCGCCCCGATCCTGCTTGCACTTTAATGCAAAAGCACAAAGTAAATGGCAAAACTCGCTCGACGACATTTATCTGTTGGGGAGACTCAACAGCACGACGGATATAAGATAGCGCGACAGGCTGGTATGATGGCCGTGAGCTCGACTTACAGTATCAGCCTCATGATGACATGATCAAGTCGATTTTACACACCGGTCATAATGCTCTGTAGCGGTGTTGAAGCCTAGCTGAGCCACAGAGTGAACGGTCATGGTGGTGACTCGGAAGAATCCTTTGAATTGATGATCTGAACGGAAGCGCCTCAGGCTCGCGGAGTCATCGTAGGTGAATATTGCGTGACCTTCAAGTTGTCACGAGTGGGAGACAGAAATACAACATCGTAGTGGGGTTCACACATCATACAGAGGTTAAGAGTACTTCATTCTCCAATATCCTGGAAGGACGTGCGCTGCAGATACCCAGACCTTTTATTGCATGAGATGTTGTGAAGCTAAGAGAGAAACACCAACATTGTACCAGAAGTAAGACCGACGGTCTTCTTCGACAGTGGTCATGCAGACAAATCGGCCACCGGCAAATGCCCCGAGAAGGATAAAGAACGAAGCCGTGTAGAGGTCAGCTTGCCAGATGCAGGAAAGCGACATTGACCATATAATGATACCAGTTAATAGCGCAGGTCGACTTGGTGCACCAAAACGGATAGGTATGGTGTCGCGACCGATAAGACCGTCGCCGATAACTGAGTTTGCTTTGAATGATGAAGAAGTGGAATATGGGTTGACTACCGTCTCTGAAATCTTGCGCATAGATGGTCGTCGCAAAAATGCACCCGCTAAGGAGTATTGCTAACCGGCCAGGGCCGTCTAGAGTGGTCTTGTCGTCGCCTATTGCGTTAATCAAGAACGATTCTCACGAAGGTCGGCCGAGACGCAAACGCACGGGCCACTAATGTCGTCCCAGCCTCGAAAGCAGCGAAGCCCAAGCCATTGAGCGCGTATCTCGACAGAGAGCGCGAATTTCCATGCAACTCGTTATACATCCACGTGAACACAGACAAAGCCATGCTGGCAAACATGGTCTCCTGGCTATACGCACGAGACAGCAGCCAACAAGCAGGTGTTAGTGTCCATCTCAGAACCTTCGCATGGCGGAGAGAGATTCGCCTTGCGGGAATGGGCCGGTCGGGCTTATTGGTGGCATCTTCAAGCGAGGAGGTTTGATTCGACGTGTTGAACGCAAGCAAATGGAACCAAAGCCAGAATATAAGGTGTGGGACGTTGTACGGCGACCGAAGAGGTGCTGCCACCATGGCGAAAAGAGACTGCGTAGCTTAATTTTAATCAACTGAGGGGAAAGACGTACAATCGGCACCATAGTCGTCATGAAGTCACTTTCCGTGAAGAGCCAGAGCGTATGTGCATGATAGATTGTGTTCCCAAACTGTGCAGAGAGCCAATCTGAGCAAATATGACGGCAAAATGGCTCAGGGTGCAACTGGAACTTGATCGTTGACATCCCCTCGTTCGTGAAGAGGGAAGAAAGAAATGGCAGATCCTCGAGTCCTCGGAAGCCATCTGTGGGTTTAAAGACTGTGTGCCGATAGGCGATAACATGACCACCATTCTGAGCGAGTGGCAGCAGTGGCAAAGTTCTGGAACCAAACAAGAAGGAGAGAACGAAACATTCAAACCAATGCCGTACACAAACATCAATCATTTTCGATGATCTGATTACTGACGCATAGATAAGTATAACCACCATCTCTTTTGCTCTAGTTACAGTCAGCCACAAACAGGCCAAGGCTATTAGGTTTAGACTCACATAGGCTACAATTTTCTCTCGTGGCTCTGTTGGGTTGACTGACGCATATGACCATCATTGACAATCGCCTGGGTCACCTTTGCCTTTTAGGACTCGGATACTAGTAGCCTGAGCCGACCTCATTGCTCGCTTCCAGTTCATCTATCATTGTCAAGCTTCTGTGGGGCCCATCAAAAGGATATAAACCACGCCGATTTGGGAATAGACAATACAGCAGCAGTAACGAATGGCCAAAGTAGTTGGGAATCATGACAAGTCCTCATAGTCAAAGGAAAGGAATTCTAGTAATAGTCACCATCGGAGGAAGGGCCAACGTGTAAAGAAACGCCGTTGAGATGGATGCCGTTTGTTTTCGAGACAGTGGGAGAATTTCTAAGGCGGCCCCAAGAAATCCACCACTCGTCCGCCGCGTCCGCGGGGTCGTAACCAAATCTGTTCAATGTGAGTGGTTGGAGGGAGAGACCATGGTAAAGCTTACACCATACGCATGTCGTCCCACATAGTTTGCAACGAGTCTTCGTCTCCAGAGTCCATGACATTTCTACCAGCGGCGTTATTAGCACGCATAGCAGCGTCACGTCCTTCCTGGTGCGGTCCATCAGGCAGCGCCATGACGTCGATATATGTTTTTTCAGATTGATAGATGTGTAAGCACCGTGGTTTCCTCAAGATCAGTTCAGTGTCATGATCTGCGTCCGGTGATAACGGCACTCACCGAACCTCCTCAAAGGCGTTGAGGAACTCGCTTATGCGGCTGGGATCGCGGGTATGAGAGAAAATTTTGCCTATGAAAGCGCCATCTTCGATGGCAATTGAATAGGTATGCAATGAAATGGTCTAAAGGAAGGTCCTTTGTGAGCACTGGCAAGCGGAATCCTACTCAAACTCACTGGAAACGGGTGAGCGGCTTCGCCGAGGACCAATAGGTTACCGGACACCCATGAGTCCAAGTCGTAACTGTTCTTGATCTGAACGCATGTTGCAGGGTTGGGAGCGAGCTGCGCTAGTCTCCCGATTCTAGTGAACATATCCCAAATCAATCAAAACGTCAAGTAAGAGAAGAAACCCACAATGGATCGCATTCACCCACTACATCGGTGATTCTGCGATCAGCTGGTTGGGTCCATGACCCATCCTGGTCACTATCGGGGGTGTAAACCCAAAATGTAAGGTCCTCAGCGGCGCCAGAAACAAGAACTTGGGCTCCTCGATTAGGGCCAATGCAGAATGTTACCATCTGGCTCTAAAGATTTGTTAGCTGTTCTAAGAGAAATAAACTACATCAGAAGCGCACCTGCGGGTAGTCATACAACTTTGCTGTCAACGGGTCAGTCATCGCCAGCGTCTTGGGTATAGTGGTCCTGAAGATAACGATTGGACCTCGCACATTGTCACTTGAGGATTAAAACCAACGCACGTATAGACGGCCAGGCCGCGAGGAACATCAGCGTCCGTATCCTCTTCCTCTTCTGCCAGCATGAGTTTACGGAAGTAGCCTCGCGCGCCATCAGCTCCGATGATAACGTCGGCTCGCAAGACTTCGCCTGAGCTCAGCGTTACGGTGGGGGAGTGGGGATTAGACGAAAGGTCCGAGTCAACAACTTCTGCATTAAAGCGAACAACGACGGGGGAGCTGTTCATCGTAGATTTGCGGGTATGTGCACAGAGAGCAGCATCATACAGGACCTTGAGCAGGTCTTTATGCTGAAAACGGGTCACTTGTGGACCAGCTCAAGGGCAAGAACGAACCCGTAGCTGCAGGAAGTCCCCCCTGGCGTCGGTCAGCAATTCAGCTGGCCACCGATGCGTGCCGAGAAAGTCGCGAGCTCCATTCAGTCCTTGGTCTATGACCATATGGGTTGGCCTCCAAAAAAACAAACAACGAGCGGAACTCACATTTCCACACTGTGAACCCCTCTCCGACTATGGAATAAGCTCGTATTGCGTCCTCAAGGCCCCAATCGAAGAGGATTTTGCAGCCGTTTGGTGGCAGCCTATTCAGGTTTAGGCGTGAGTATGGAAGGGAAGAGAGTATGCAGACCTGATAGCGGGGCTGGGAATCTGCTCACGACTTAGAGCGGTGATTCATGGACGATGAGAGGAAAAGCGAACCGTATCCGGCCCTCCCAGCCGACCTTCTTTCTCTAGAACAAGCACGTCATGACCCGCCACCTTAAGAGCGATCGCAGCAGTCAAGCCTATAAAAAGACGTCTAAGAGTTATGCTGGTATCGAGGTCCAGTTTTGTTACCTGCAGCAGAGGCGCCAGCGATGATCTACGGAGGTATTAGTCGGAGGTGGCCCGAAGCAACCTTGAGAGTAACGGACGAATCGCAGGTTTTTTTCTTGGGTCATTGGAAGGTGAGTTAGGCAGTATGAGTGGAGGAAGGTAGTAGAAAAGATTGTGGTCGCATGCACAAGACAAAAGGAAGGTACAGAGTCCCAAGAGAGACTAGATGATGCCTTTCGTAACTGTCTAGATTCTCTCTTTTTTTTCCCCGCGGAATCACAATGTGGCACGGCAAACGACACATTTGGTAATTTCTTTATTGAACCAGTCAAGCAAGCGGTAAATTAACTCTTGAAGTCGGCTCCCAAGTTTGTGCTCACTGTGCAAGTCGACGACCAGAGGTAAGTAAGGGTCGCCGACGGGTAAAACTCTTGATGCGTGTATCAGGTAATGTGAAATTTACGCTACCCTCTTCAGGCCTCAGCTTGCCAGTGACCCGCCGCTGCCGCGGAGGGAGACGGATTCGGGCCGTTGTCCAAGTCTAACCCGATTTTGTTGTTGTTGCAGCTTCTTCAGCGGCTTCTTCAACTAATTTACTTACCATTATTATTAGTGGTGTTCGTCTGTAGACGGTCTGCTTGAAAGGCAGCTTGGAAGTTTGGGTGAATGGAAGCGGAAGGTCGGCATGGACCAACGGCACACAACATCGAAACGTTGAAGGTTGTGGCGATGGAAACTGTTTTTTTTTCTCTGAAAAACTTCTGAAAACTGAACGTGGTGCAAATCAAAGTAGCCGTTTACTTACCATTGAACATAGCAGTGGCTCAGTGTTCGCTTACATAGGCGCCAAATTTGTTTAATCTGGCTCACACTTCACTTTCATTACTCAGTTGGATTATGTGCTACAATGTCTGTTGACTGTTGGTTGTGCCAGAATCCTCTGGCTGAAGCTCGCGTGAGGGCAAGACTTCGGAATCGAGAATCAAATCCCCGTTGGCTCCACCCAAACGGGCGCAGATCGCATTTGCGTCTCCATGAAAGCACGCAGGCAGACCACCTTCAGTAAGAAGTAGTCGTGGGAGCATGCGAGTGTGGAAAACGCGATGAGCAACGGATGCACCCTACAACGCCGTCATCAGCGCTGGTAAAACATCTAGTTGTCACGACCCACGAATTGTTGGAAAATTCCTCCAATAACAGCGGTAACAGCGTCCCCCTGGACCTTGAAAAGACCAACTTCCTTAAGCAGCTTTGATTTAGCTTGGAGCGTTTCTGGCGGTTGCAACGACGCAGGCAGTGTAGGAGTCCATCGCATCACTCGACCAAGTCCCCATTTTGACCCAATGTGCTCTCCCAGAAAATAGGTATTGAGAACACGCGACACAATTTCTTGCAAGTCGTGTGTTGGTTTGAGATGCGAAGATGATGTCAGTAGAAGGAGCAGGTAGGATTCAAGCACGCGTCGACCTGCTCAAGAATTAACAAGGGTAATCGAAGAGGAGGCAATAGTAACGAACCAATAAAGGAAAGCTGGGCATTATGCCCATGGAAAGCGGCGGGGTGACTAGCATGGGTCAAGATACGTGCCGACAGTTGAGGTGGAAATTTCAATGGCGAAAAGAGACCACTGAGGTGGTCTGAAAAAATTTGGTCCGGTTGAGAGGGCCCACCACGTTGAACGCGTTCCTCAAGAAAGCCCCTTTCAGCAACCGTCGTCACCACGCCGTCTTGGCTTGACCGCCGTCGACTTGACTTTCTCTCCCGTGGATGTCCAGTGAACGAATCACGTTGTATTCGGATATCAAGCTGGTGGGTAGCGGCAGGGCCTGGTGTTGGCGTATCCTTTTGTCTGGCATGGGTAGGTTGCGAACGTGTTTTGAGAGCAGCGTAAGAGTATTGACGACGGACTACTGAGTTAATTAGTGTTCATACGAGAAGATTGAAGGGGCGAATACCAGAAGATGAGTGGGAGACGTGATTTACAGGTGCTGGCGGATGAGAGGCCACGGCGCGACGCAAGCAACGGGTGGAGAGGGCACAAGACATCGTCCACGGCAGAAAAAAGTGGAATGTCACATGACAAGAGCAAATGTGTACATAATATTGATTCTCTCACAAGTTCCTTAGCTCCTCACCAACGCTGGGTAGTGCAATAGTCCTGGGCTTTGCTGGGCAGTGGATGGTGGATGTGTTAGAAATCTTCTGTACAGCTTGAACAAGCTGTGTTCCCACTTTCACGCTCTTATCCTTTCCTGCTTCCAAGTGAGTCGTTTGAGCTTTCTTTGCAAGATTACAGGCAGGTAGGCAGACAGTCCATTCTCATTTCCTCATATTGAAAATCTGTCTAGCTGTTCTAGTCCATGTTTTTCAGTGCTTGGAAGTTGGAGCTTGATCACGGAACCACCGCGCGCCGAACCGAACTTCGCGGCGTCTTGACACATCCGCGTCTATCTCTTTTTTCTCCACTTGACAGATATTTAAGCTGCCACTAGTGTTTTTCTGCTTACCATCATGTCGGACGCGTCTTCTTCCCCTCCTGCGAGCAGTGTAGACCACTCCCCAACACTCACCCTTCGCACGAAAGAGATTGTCGACAGTCCCCCAGCCGCTTCTACTGTCTTTCCCCACCGCCAAGAAACTATTCTCGTCGATCAGCGCGACATTCTTCCACCCCCAACAAGTGCCTATATACCCCCAAGCAGCGACAATCAGCACCGAAACCTTATTCTGTGCTTTGATGGGACCGGCGACCAGTTCGACGCAGACAACTCGAACATCGTACAGCTCATGTCCGTTCTTCAGAAAAACGATAAATCCAAGCAACTAGTGTACTATCAGGCAAGCTTTTCCTTGATATTGCTTGACGAGCCTGACATCTTTCAGAGCGGTATTGGGACCTACACGTCCAGTACATCGCCTTCGCCAGTTATGACTAAATTATCCTTAGTACGTCGCTCTGAGCCGCACCTATAGCAGGCTAAATATCCTCAGATGCTTGACGCTGCTATTGCCTGGAATCTTGATTCCCATGTTATGGGTATGTTTGCTGTGGCCGTCAAGTCTTGTGCTAATTTCGTCTTCCCAACAGCGGGGTACGAGTTTCTGATGCAAAACCGTCAGTTAGAGACCTATTTGCTCCCTTCTATCGTTTTCAACGACCGCTAGATGCTGCCAACGACAGAATCTCAATTTTCGGCTTCTCTCGAGGAGCCTACACGGCGCGCAGGTTTGGCTGCATGGCTCTATAGTTCTATTATTGGCTTGACGCTCTGATTCAGTCTTGCGGGAATGATCCACAAGGTTGGTCTCTTGCCTGCCGACAATCATCAACAAGGTGATTCAAAGCATTCTCCCTGTCTTGTTAGGTCTCGTGCTGACGAAATCTAGTGCCGTTCGCGTATAAGATGTACACCCGCGTTGACGAGATCGGATGGACTCAATCAAATGCATTCAAGAAAGCTTTCTGTAACGACGTCAACATCGATTTTTTGGGCGTCTGGGATACCGTCGATTCAGTGGGATTGATTCCTCGCAGACTGCCTTTTACTACATCCAACGTCGCTGTTCGAACTTTCCGCCATGCAGTTTCAATCGACGAACGGCGAGCTAAATTCAAAAGCAATCTATGGAATTGGCCGAGCGACACAGAAAAGAAACTTGGAACGCACAATTCGCCTCCACAGACGCCCAGACTTCGAATGAAAGATATGCAAGTCCGGGGCTATACCCTTCCTGTGCCTTCGTTACGCTTAAGAGATTCGGAGAAGGAGTTCGATGAAGATGTCGAGCAAGCTAAGTTTGAAAGCGCCTTCGCGAAGCATCACAGAAAGACGAAGAGGACAGATGTCTTGGAGGTTTGGTTTGCAGGTTGTCATTGTGGTGAGCACTTACGAGATTACCAACCTCCTGGACTCAATCTCGATAACTTAGATATTGGTGGCGGCTCCGTGCCAAACAATACTCGCAACAGTCTTGCTCGCATCCCTCTCCGTTGGATGATTCGTGAGTGCTTCAAGGCGGAAACTGGTATCATATTCAATGCCGAGCGTTTGGTGGAGCTTGGATTGGACCCCACCACTCTTTATCCCCATGTTCTTGACCGACCGCCTGCCAAAGAGATGCATCCTGACATGCGAATCGCTCGAAGAGCCCCAAGAAAACTGTGGTTCCAAAGGGTGTTCCGGCCGAAAGCGTCTCATTCCGGAGGCAACGAGTTCACATTTTCTCCTAACCCAGAAAACCAGCCACCAACACATGTCATGCCGGGAATGGAAGAAGAGGAGGACCTGAAGGATGCCCTTTCGCCTATATATGATCAGCTCAAGCTCAGTCCTGGCTGGTGGATATTGGAAGTCTTGCCGTTTTCCTTCCGAACGCAGAATCTCGACGATAGCTGGAAGACGCACTTTAGGTCTGTGCCTTATAACTCTGCTGTCGGCGTCACGATTATTTATCTCTTCCCTCTAGATCCAACTTTGGGCGAGCTAGGAAAATTCCGCATCAGGTTATCAGCCCAAGTGAACAGGATGCAGGCGAGGCACAAGAGAAAGTGAATCTCAAAGTTCATAGGACGGTAAAACAACGACTGCAGGTCAAGGACCATAAAGGACGGTATTATGTCAATCGAGCCCGGTTCCACGTAACACCGGAGTGGGTGGATTAAAACTCTAATTAGCACCAAAACCTACCTACTTGCAATGTACCACCACGATTACTTCTAGGCCTTTCTTTAATGGACCGCGACTTGTTCTCCGATTTGTCAGCCAGACGTGACCGTGACCAATGTCATTTTGCAGACGACGACTTTTTCACTCCTCTTCATTCATTCAACGATTCGGACTTGAGGACCGCACTACATTCGTCCGTGACGCTCTACCTCATGGTGAGGTCCTATCAAAGCGTAGAGAAATAAAACTCTCCTCTCGACGGCGGTCCCGAGTCCGGAGCGAACGGACTGGAAAATGGGCAATAGACAAAACCACTGCTCAGACCAACGTTGGCCGTCGCGAGCACCCACAAGTCGTCACATTCTACGATCCCCCACCTGAACTTGCCCATGCCGGTGTTCCAATTATTGCCAAGTCGGATCACACAACTGCAACGACCACAGACTCGTACAGCCCAGCAATTGGTGGTAAAAACCATCTGCCACGAAAGTTTACTTCTCCGCCACTCATTCCTGGCTTTCAACGCGCCTTGGTCGATCTCTTTGGACCAGAGGTAGTACCAACGCCAATTCAAGCCCTCGCCCTCAAATGGGTTGTTGACCCTTGGTCCCCTGAGCGTGCAGAACAATCAACTGCATTGACAACAACAGAAAGCAGTGGAGCGTACAAAGAAATACTACTAGCAGCTGAAACAGGCTCCGGCAAGTCCATCGCATATCTGCTTCCCATGTTACAAGCTCTCAAACTGAGCGAAAATACGACAACACCACACAATACTACCAAGCATGCTTATTCACCGCGCGCACTCGTTTTGACCCCCACGCACGAGCTGGCGCGGCAAATTGCTTCCTCTGCCAAAATGCTCCTCCATGCGCCAGACACCAAACTACGCGTTCTATGTGTCTCAAGAGCGAATACTGCTGCACGCGATTCGTCTTTGGCAGGGAAAACGAAGCAGAAAACGAATGCCAGTACGATGAAAGCCACGATGTTGTCATTCATGGAGGAGGGACCCGGAGAATTCGATGTTGGTGACGGAAGGGAAGAGCCCTATCGCTAATCCTGTTGACGTGCTTGTTGGAACGCCGATGAAAGTCATGGACATGGTGCGAGGCCGAGGATGGGACAGAGACGCAGAGCTTGGCAAAGAATTGTCGTCTCTTCACGGGGCCTCAGATAAGACACCGAAGCTACGACGCGGGAGAGACTCGATACCTGGTGTTGGAATATGGCGCCCGAACCGGGAGTTGGACCTCTCCTCAATCGAATGGGTCCTTGTGGACGAGGCAGATGTACTATATGGTATTATGTTCTCCTTGACTGACCCTTGTTCTAATACTCTCTTAGATGTTGACTTCCAGGAAACCACCCGTTTACTCCTAGCGGATATCAGTCGCGCTCGTGGACACCAAGTTTCTTTTGCCCCCCTTCCCGTCGGCCTGATTCCTCCTTCGACTCCGCCTGAGGCCGGTAAACTTGTTCTTGCCAAAAAGAGTCCGACATCGGTCATCACACCGCTCAACTACCCCTTCCACCTTGTCTTGGCATCTGCGACAATTCCTAACTCCCTTTCCACTTATCTCAACGCGTATCACCCACATCTCCTGCGTCTCGTTTCCCCCAATATTCACCATCTTCCTAAAGCAGTCCGCACAGAATACGTGAACTGGACAGGCGGAAACAAGAATGCTGACATTGAACGTCGTCTGAGACAGGTGTGGGCAGACGACGCGTCGCAGGGTCTTGGTCCTGACCCCCAAAGTCTTGGTCCAATGAGCAAAGTTTTAATCTTTTGCAATCGCAATGTCAAAGCCCAGAACCTCAGCGCCTATCTCGAAACGAAAGGCATCAAAACTATCCCAATGTCTTCTGACAGCGAGAATAGGAAACGTGGCAATAACAAACACCTAGCCGGTTTCCTCAGACCGAGCCTTTCATCCAAGACAACTGCCGTCGCCGGGGAACCAGTGGCCACAATCAACGACCCAATGCATGTGCCTCACGTCGTTGTGACTACATCGTTGCTTTCGCGCGGGTTAGATTTCTCCCCTCAGATTCGACACGTCTTCATTATCGAGGAGCCAAGAAACATGATCGATTTCCTACATCGTGCGGGAAGGACTGGGAGGGCTGGGGCAAAGGGCACTGTCGTTCTGTTCGGAAAAATGAAGGGGAGAGGAAGTGATAGGGCCAGAGAGGCTCGAAAGAGAGTCAAGGCGCTGAGAGCCTAGATCTAATTCATACAATATACTGAGCTACTTAATTGTAAGCATCATCCACTCTAATGGCCGCCTTCTCGATATCTGCCAACGAGATGTTGCTCTTATCGCAGAGCACCTTGAACAAGCTATTCTCACGACTGAACAGGCTCACAGGCGTATCAAATTCCTGGTGATGCATAAGACGAGCCCTAGTATGACAAGACAAAACCCACAGCAATGTGTCCGGAGTCGAGCACTAGGGCTGTTTTAGTCGTTAGGTATGGAATAGAACGGAAACTCACCCAGAATACGGTCATAAGAGATGATCGTGCGCAAACGATCTGAAGGAAGGAGTCAGTCTGTGAATCGTCGTGGCAACAACACACTTACGTGCGATGCATATAAGAGTTCGGTCGCTGAACTGAGTTTGGATTGTGCGCTGGATTTTGCTGTCTGTTTCCAAGTCAACGGACGCCCTGCAACAAGCTTAGCGCCCAGTGGCTAGCTCTGAAATAACACAGACGTGGCTTCATCCAAAATCACCACGCGCGAATCTTTGACCAATGCGCGAGCCAAACTCAACAGACTTCGCTCTCCAACACTCAAATTAGAGCCTTCAGTTTCGATGACAGTATCGAGAGTAATTTGGTGTCGTGCTTCAAAATCAGTCGGTGTCGAGGACCGTGATTCGACCAAGTAGGAGCATTTCAAGGCTTCCCACAATCGAGCATCATCGTATCTGGAGAATGGATCCAAGGCGGTTCGGACCGTTCCTGTAATATGTCTGAGAAATGGTATTGACGCCTCAATACTACGCTTACCGCTAAACAGAGTAGGCTAGGGCAAGGGTAAGGTGTTACACATTGTAGTACAATCACGTGACTCACTTCCTGAGGTATGATGGCCATATTGGCTCTCAAATCCGTTAGACCAATCTTTCCGATGTCGACGCTATGAAGTGCTTAGTTCAAAGAAACAAGGCCCCCAATTCACCCACTCGTCGACAAATATGTGCCCCGAATACTCAACGATCCGTAGAAGACAGAGAGTGAGTGAGCTCTTTCCGGCCCCCGTTCGCCCGACAACTCCGATCTTCTCGCCGGGTCGGATTGAAAGTGAGATCGAATGTAGAACCTTAGGAAGTCCAGGTCGATAGGCCATTGACACGTTTTTGAATTCAATAGCTCCCCTTGATGGCCATTTGGGAGGAGGTTGGAGATTTGGACTGCTTTCATGTGATGCTTCCTGAGGAACAACATCGCCACGGGCGTAATGCACGACTGAAATACCCATATAGATCAGCACCACGTCGAAACAAAGATGGCGAACCTCGTTCAACTGAGTTCATATAATTCTGGAATGTTTCAGTCTTTCGCCTATACAACTTGGAAGACAGCCAACCTCGACCTCTGCAGATAGTCTGGTACTGACTGCAAACATCTGCGTTAGACTTGCTGAAAGTATTCGAGTTAGATGAGCGCGGGATGACTGCCAGATCACGGACTGGTGTAGGTTAATAGTAGTCCAACTTCGGCAGCAGATACTCCATTCAATCCAATGGCGACTAGGATGCCGATCTAAACTCTTGTTTGAGCAAACTGAATGTTATAAGAGAATCCATACCAAGAAAACCAAGATTGAACCGAGAGCATCGAGTCGAACTGCGAGCCACCTGTGAGGGCATTTGCCTCTACCGTAGCCAAGAGCAGGATGACGAAGCTTACCTTTGATTGGTAACCGTAAGGAATAGCGCACGATTCTCCAGGTCGATATAATACTTGTTGTCTCGGATAAAGCGGTCGATCTCGCCGTAGCTGCGAATAGTAGGGAGGCCTGGAAAAGTTATCACAGTTTTGGGCGTGTGAATGCAGGGCTGACCAGTTAAGGATTCAGATAAATGAGCATAGAGTAGAGACCGCAGCATTGAATCGAGTCGCTTCATTTCGAGCGCACTAGATCGGTAATACTGTAAAAAGTAGAAAAATCCAAAACAGATGACAAATGCTGCGATGACTAAGGAAGATTAGATTAAATCCTATCCAAGTGCAAGCACACTGACGGAAGTAATGCTCAAAAATAGTGATGATGACGACGGATCCAAACACCATACATATCACGAGCAGGACTGGACAGATAAGAGGTTAGATCAAACAGGTATTAGAAAAGGAAGGCCTTACACATTCGGACGGACACTGAATGAAATGAGCACTCAGCACAACGCATGAGTTGCTACGAAAACGCACTTGGCAAAGAGTTATCAATGGCTGGAGAGGAGCTATAAAATGACAAAAATAAGCAAAGATGGGACATACTGTCGATGTCCTTCCCAAACTACCAAGAGGTCATAAGAGTCACAAAACGATGGATGCACTCACTATTCCCATGATTCGGCCCATAGGCTGCAGGGTTGAAGATGAATATTCCAATTTCTCGTGAGGGTGTCATACCGTGGTATCTAGCTAAGTGTTAGACAGATACAAAGGCAAAGTAGGAATATACCAAAGAAAGACATTGGAGCGTGCAGCACATTGACTATAGCTTCCCGATGAAGACTATTAGACACCTGCACTGAAAAAATATCCAGGAAGATGCCACTGGAAATGAGAATTAGCAAGTGGTAAAGCAAGGGTCGTAAACACAGACAACAGGTAGGTGAACAAGGTCTGCAGGATGCCCAGCAGCGCATACAAAACTTGATAGAATTTAAAAGGTTTTTGGAAGGTGCTGCATCGTGAAATCGTCAGTGACAGAGATGACTAATGGGATAGGTGCTTCACTTGTCTTGCCACCAAACTAGTGCATAGGAATTCATTACTTGAGCACCTTGCATCAGGCCAGCGAGAATAACTATGACCGCCACTGTAAGCCAACTGCCGGACTTGAGGTAGTACCCATAAACTGTGATCCATTATTGCACGCATTCTAGGTCGACGGAAAACACAACTAACTTCCCCATGAGACACCGCCCGTTGTCCGCTGTTCTTTGACCATCAAGCGGCCTTCAAGCTTACCGGTTCCAGCTCCACCGCGTGCTTTCTCCTTGGCCTCTTCCACTGTTGCTGTGACCGTCGTTTTTTGCTTCTCGTCTCCCTGCTCGGCAGTTGGTTCGCCCCCGAATTCTTGGTCAAGTTTTGCGAAGGCCCCGCCCCGCGCGACGAGTTGTTGATATGTCCCTGCTTCCGCAATACGACCATTGTCAAGAGTATAAATGTGGTCACACTGGGGAAGGAAATGCAATGCATGGGTGACAAGGATAACGGTTTTCCCTTGTGCAACGAGTCCTAGAATGGCGGTCTGGAAGAGACGTTTTCCGACGTTGGCATCGACTGCGTGTCACACATGAGTGGCATACTCCCAGATATGGTACTTCTATGCATTTACCAGCAGAAAGTGGATCGTCGAAGAGGATTATGTCAGCATTACAATATAATGCGCGAGCAATATTAACCTGAAATCTGTAGGCACTCGATAAGCAGATGTGGGGGAAATGTACCCGTTGTTTCTGGCCACCGCTGAGATTGATCCCTTTCTCACCTATCTCGGTCAAGTCACCATCCGCCAACAAACGGAGGTCGGGAAGCAAGCAGGCATCCTCTATCACTCGCCAATACCTTTCTTCGTGGAAGGGTTGGCCAAACAACACGTTGTCTCGCTGGAAGACATTAGTGAAGTTCAACAGTGGCATATGGTAGGTGGGATACACTTACCAAGGTCGCATTTTGAATCCATGCGTTTTGTGGACAGTAAGCTACGGGTCCACCAAACGCCCAACCTTTTGTACCACCGGCACTCTGGCGCATTTCGCCAATGAGGCCTTGCAATAAGCTTGACTTTCCGCTGCCGACTCGGCCGACAATGGCACTCAGTGTACCACGCGGTACGTGCATTGTTATCTCTCGAAGACCAAACGGCTCTAGTTCTCGTTCGTCTAGATCTGTCTTTTCTGGGGCCAGCGTTTTCTTGTTCTCCTTTTCTTCAGTGGGTGGAGGGCCCTCCCATACCCAACTGCATCCGTCGATTCGAATGGCTTCTGACATCTCTTCGTCAATCGCAAACGGCGGACCGTCACGCAGAGTCGCCTTGAAAACAAGTGAAAGTCGTGCGAGAGCTGTACGTGCATCAGCTGTGGCAGACATGGCTCGTGGCAGGAACATCATCGGTTGACGAAGGAGTTGAAAGAGCGAAAAACTGGCAAAAATGACGGCGACATCGAATTTATTCGACGTCTCGGTATATGTAACGAAGGCCAGTGTTGCTGCGACAACCGGAAGAGAGAACGCCAAAGCGATGCTGTACGGAGTGAGCAAGAAAAAATTGATGCAATGGTGACTGACTTGGCCGATTGAGAATGTTGGATTTTTTGGATACCATTCAGTTCTTGTTGACGGACATCAAAAATATTTGCTAGAAAGCTGCTCTCATAGCAGAAATATTTGACGACACGCATCGCGCTCATGATTTCGTTACCGATGCTGGCTCTCAGGTCGGTGAACACCAGTGACCTGGTGCGCATTTTGAACTGAGAGGCCATCAAGCGTTCTTGAACGGGTATGACGACCACGAATAAGGCAAATCCGGCGAGGGCTGAAGGTCCGAGCTGAACAAGTAAAATGATGAGGCACACTAGAGCTATCGCAGAGAGTCAGTTGAAACTTAGAAACCCCTTCAACATAGAACTTGTACTCTGTATTGGTGCAGTCCAAGCAGCATGGAACCATTGTGCACAGTTGTCTACCCGACTGATGTCTGCGCTGACGTGGTTGAGAACTTGTGAATTCGGGAGTTTACGTCGGGCGGTCGGGGTAAGATATAATGCTCGTTCATAGACAGCTCCGGTCAGGGCAGCTCGGGCAAGAACACCAGTTGACATCGAGCGAAAAAAGAACTGATGCTGGCAAATGCTTGCAATGACGATAACGCCAAGCAAGCCGATAGCCAAACCGATTCCACGCCGGACATTCGGAGGCACTTGGCCGTTGTCTTTTGCCAGTGCTCGATCCTTCGCAAAATTGATCAGCGATTTGACAAGAATGGGCCCCATGAGCTGCGAGGTATCGCAGACAACCTGTGGGTTGACATAAGAAGCGTTCGAATAAGTACAGTTCAACTGACCTTGAACACTAGGTGCCGGCCTTGCCGACTTGGACCTTGCTTTGGGCCTCCCTTGATTTGGTCCTTTCTTTAGCTATTGTGCAGCTTTTAATCATAATTTATAAACAAACTTGTGTCATATTGTTTTTCCATTTGTTTGTTTAGCCCTCAGTGCTAGGGCTCTCTAGCATAAAAAATAATAGAATGGAGAATTTTTTGACAATTCCTAGTGGCCCAAGTAAATTGCCACAATACCCTTGCACTCAAAGTAACAATTGGAAAGTGTCAACTGTCTGCCAATTGTCAGGGGAACCTCCCTTTCGGCCCCTCGGAGACGCCTCCGACTCCGGTCCGACTCCGGTTCCGACTCCGGTCCGGCCCTCCATCTCGCCCGCACAATCACCGATCCGTCAACGCCCTCCCAACGGTCGCCCTGGGACCTTGCCTGCGACGCCGCCCAAGCCTTCTGTGCCCGACAGCGGCAGCTACGGACAAGCAGTATATAGTCAGCTCCCTAGCAGGCGGACCCTTAGAGTTTCTTCTCTTTGGATCCTCCCCTGCTAGGTCAGCTTCATTTGTATTTGCTTACCAATGTTCACGCTTTGGATCCTCCCCTGCTAGGACCTTGATCTCAGGCCTCCGGGGTTGCCCTTACAGCAGAAGAAACTCTCTACGGGATCAACCAGACAAGATTGCTAGGTTCGGCGCTGACTCAGGCTCGGAATACGAGTCCGTTCCGCCCCTCGTCACCCCCCTACCACTTGTCCCCTCCTCCTCTGTCACTCCTGTCATCCCCGCACCTGTCATGCCTTCCGGAGCTACTCCTGACGCTGACACTCGGCTGGATGCACTCGAGGCGAAAATCGACCGCCTAACTGAGGCCCTTACTCTTCTTACCACCCAGGCTTCCGCTGCCGCTGCCGCCGCTAATACTGCTGGCGGACCCCAAATAACACCACCCCCAGAGACGTCGATTCCGACTCCGACTCCGGTTCAGGGCGATTCCGAGGCCCTCTTTGGCGACATCAACCTCGCCTCAAAATTGGTCTTGCGACCAAACCCTCCGTTCACCTTCAACGGCGATCGGAAACGCGGGCCGCGCGTTTCTCTATGCGGTCCGCACCTACGCCCGCCTTGCCCCTGAGGCCTTCGTGGTCAACGGAGAGGCGAGCGAGGAAAAGGCCGTCCGCTATGCTATGTCGTTTATGGCAGAAGGACCCGCTCAGCAATGGGCGGAGCGCCACGGAAGCAAAGCCCCGTTTCCGTTTCCGTCCTGGGGCTCGTTCGTTTCGAGTTCCGACTCCGGTTCGTCGAGGAGAATGAGCAAGATCATGCTCTCTCCAAACTGGAGACTTCCGCCTATCACATGGGCACAAAGGACGTCTACCAGTACACCGACGACTTCGAGGACCTGATGGACCTCGCCGGATTCAAGACGCGTTGGTCAAGGTGACCAAGTTCCGCCACGGACTTGACCCCCTGATCAACAACGGAATCACGTCCTCGAACGACCCCCGGACCTCCGGGATTACCTTAGCTGGCGCACCCGGGCCTTCCGTCAATACGAGGCCCTGGTCCGGGCCAAGCTGATCAAGTCAGCCGCCCCTAAGACGCCTGGCGGTTTGATTCGGACTCCGTTTCCGGTCAACCGCATCCCGGCTCCGGCCCCTTTCCGCCCGGTGGCTCCGGTCGTGCCACCCGCGGCCCGCGCCCCCGCTCCGGTGCCTCCAGCTCCCGTCCCCATGGAGTTGGATCACACTAGGGCTCGGGGTGCCCCTCGTCGCGCCTGCTTCAGGTGCGGCGACCCAAACCATCTCGCCCGGGATTGCCCCCTCCCTGCGGACGTCCGCTCAATGGATATCCTCGACGAGGTGATCCAACAACTCGGTGACGAGATGTTAGCGGAGTTGATCGCCCGCTACTCGGACACAGCCGCGTTGCCGGAAACGGCTGCGGAGTCGATGGCCGGAGAAGATTTTGTCCTCCGCGACGAGTGACTGGTGTGCCCTCGTTCGCGTCCATAAATCGTTTCACTTGTTTGTATGACGAATCAATTCCTTTGCCCTACAACGAGCCTGAAACGAAAGACATACCCTCCCCTGCCCCCGTTTCGACTCCGTCTCCGACTCCGCCCGCGACTCCGGTCATCGTCCTTCGCCGCCTCACTGCCTGGGAAAAGAAATTGCCCAAGCAGTACACCATCGCTGCCTCCCCTGGAGTGAACTCCCTCCACCTCCCGTTGGAGCTAGAGTCCACCACCAGTGCATTGAAGCTCTCCCTTTCTGGGCTTGTTGACTGTGGTGCCACCTCCGACTTCATCGACACGAACTACGTCGCTCGGAATGGCATTCCGGTCCGCACCCTGGCGCAACCGATTCCGGTCTTCAACGTCGATGGCACTCCGAATGATGCTGGCTCCATCAACCAGATCGCGGACTTGGTCTTACGCTACAAAGGCCATTCCGAGCGTGTTCAACTCGCCGTCACCTATCTTGGTAAACAAGACCTCATCCTGGGGTACTCCTGGCTGCGGAAGCATAACCCAGAGATCCATTGGGAAACCAAGGAGGTCAAGATGACGCGGTGCCCTCGCGGCTGCTCCACTTGCCGCGAGGAGGAACACGTTGAACGGACTGAGCTACGGCGACTCCGGCTGCTCCAGAAGCGACTCCGCTCCGGCCCGTTCCCCTCGGTCTGCGCCATGGACCTTTCTGGGTCTGATGACGGAGACGATTCCGTCTCCGGTGATGACTCCGGCCTGCCTGATCTGACGCCGGACTCCGACGACGACGATGACGATGGTCAGCTTGAAGATGGTGACCGCATCTTCTACACCTCGTTCCGCCCCTCGGAGGAGATACGCGCTGGCAGTACTGTCTTGCAACGCCTGGCCGAGGCCTTCGCCAGGAACTCCGCCCCCCCGCCCTCCGACATCCCGGACTGGGCTAAGGAGTTCCAGGACGTCTTCAACAAGGAGTCCTTCGACACGCTCCCGGAACGGAGAACCTGGGACCACGCCATCGAACTCGTCCCCGACGCTAAGCCGACCAACTGCAAGGTGTACCCCATCTCGCCCCTTGAGCAACGCGAGCTCGACGCGTTCATCGAGGAAGGGCTGTCGACGGGCCGGATTCGCCCCTCCAAGTCTCCGATGGCGTCTCCGGTCTTCTTTGTCAAAAAGAAGGATGGCGGACTCCGTTTTGTCCAGGACTATCGGGCCCTCAACGCGATGACCGTCAAAAACCGGTACCCCCTTCCGCTGATCAACGACCTCATCAACCGGCTCAAAGGTGCTCGCTACTTCACCAAACTCGATGTTCGTTGGGGCTTCAACAACGTCCGGATCAAGGAAGGTGACGAGTGGAAGGCAGCTTTCCGGACTAACCGAGGCCTGTTCGAGCCCTTGGTGATGTATTTCGGCCTGACAAACTCTCCCGCGACGTTCCAAACGATGATGAATGACATTTTCCAGGACCTCATCCTTTCCGGAGACGTCATGATCTACCTGGACGACATCCTGATCGCCCATTCCGACCTCCGGAAACACCGACGGATCGTCCAGGAGGTCTTACGCCGACTCCGGGAGCATAAGTTGTACCTTCGAGCGGAGAAGTGCGACTTCGAAAAATCGTCAATTGAATACCTCGGAGTCATTATCTCCCACAACCACGTCGAAATGGACCCCGTCAAGGTCGCAGGCGTCTCCGCTTGGCCGACTCCGGACAACAAGAAGGATGTTCAACAGTTCCTTGGGTTCGCTAATTTCTACCGCAGGTTCATTCGGGACTTCTCGACCCTTGCGCGCCCTCTTTTCGTGCTCACCAAGAAGGACCAGCAATGGACTTGGGGCGACGCGGAGGCCTCCGCGTTCCAAGCGATCAAGGACGCGGTCACCTCGGAACCGGTCCTGGCGATTCCGGACGACGCACGGCCTTTCCGACTCGAGGCGGACAGCTCTGATTATGCGACGGGGGCGGTTCTTTCACAATCCGCCCCGGACGGGAAGTGGCACCCTGTAGCATTCTATTCCAAAAGCTTAAATGATGTCCAGCGCAACTACGAAATCCACGACAAGGAGATGCTCGCGATCATCCGCGCACTCGAGGAGTATAGACACTTCCTTGAGGGCGCTGCGCACCCTGTCGAGATTTGGACTGACCATAAGAATTTGGAGTACTTCAGGAAGACGCAGCACCTCAACCGGAGACAGGCCCGCTGGTCCCTCTACCTCTCCCGGTTCGACTTCACGCTGCACCACAAGCCCGGCCGCGACATGGGCCGACCTGACGCCCTCTCTCGGAGACCCGACCACGGAGTCGATTCCGACAACTCTGACGTCGTCCTTCTGCGGCCCGAACTCTTCCACGTTCGCGCACTCGAAGGTGTTTCCGTTTCCGGCCCTGGTTCTGAACTTCTTCGCGACATCCGTGATGCCCTCTCCGGTGAGCCAGACTTGGAGGAGCCCGTCGCACTAGCGGCCCGGCAACTCCTAAAGGTCCAAGGTCAAGCTCGAGGCCCCCGCTCCTCACGTTCTGACGAGTGGGCCGTCTCCGGCGGTCTTCTCCATTTCCGAGGAAAGATCGTCGTACCAAAGGACAAGGACCTCCGGAGACGCATCATCGAGCTCTGCCATGACACCCGAGTCGCCGGACACGCAGGTCGTTTCAAGACCCTGGAGTTGGTCTCCCGGAACTACTGGTGGCCTCAGATGTCTCGCCATATCGGCCGGTATGTTGCAACCTGTGACTTGTGCTGTCGCACCAAGGCACTCCGGAGACTGCCCCACGGAGAACTGCACCCCACGGAAACGCCCCGGAACGCTGGCATACCGTCTCCGTCGACTTCATCGTAGAGCTTCCCGAAGCCCATGGGTACGACGCGATCATGGTCGTCGTTGACACCCTCGGAAAGCGCGCCCACTTCTCAGAGTGTCATACGACGGTCGATGCAGTAGGGGCAGCCCGCCTCTACTACCGGAATGTCTGGCGGCACCATGGGACTCCGGAGAAGTACGTCTCCGACCGCGGCTCGCAGTTCATCGCGGACTTCACCCGAGAACTTTGGCGTCTAATCAGCATCAAGCCCGCCACGTCCACCGCGTACCACCCGCAGACAGATGGTCAGACAGAGCGCGTCAACCAGGAGCTGGAGCAGTACTTGCGGATCTTCACCAACTACCAGCAGGACGACTGGGATGAGCTGATTCCGGCCGCGGAGTTCACTTACAACAACCACGTTCACTCCTCCACGCAGCAAGTCCCCTTCATGACGGACACGGGACGGCTTCCGCGCATGGGCTTTGAACCCGGAGTCCGTTCCGCTATGGAGTCTGTGAATGAGTTCCGCGACCGGATCGCCACTGGTGTTGCTGAAGCCAAGGCCGCGCTCACTAAGGCCAAAGAGGAGTACAAGCGCTACTACGACCGGAGACGCACTCCGTCTCCGGAGTTTAAGGTTGGCGACCGTGTTTGGCTGGATGCCTCTGACATCAGGACGACTCGCCCCTCGGAAAAGTTCTCCCATCGCCGCCTTGGACCGTTCAAGATAGTCGCGGAGATCAGCAAAGGTGCCTACAAGCTCGACCTTCCTCCGCGCTACTCGAAGCTCCACCCGGTCTTCCCCGTCGTCAAGCTCGAGCTCGCCCAGGACGACCCCTTCGACGGACGCCCCGGCTACGACCAGCCCCCTCCGGACCTTGAGGACGGAGTCCCGGAGTGGGAAGTAGAGGAAATCTTGGACGCAAGGGTGAGGTATAAACGGCTGAATTACTTCGTCAGATGGAAAGGCTACGACGCGTCGCACGACCAGTGGGTCCGCTTCGACCGCGTCTTCGCCCTGGAGAAAATCGCGGAGTTCTACCGTAAGTACCCTGGCAAACCACGGCACATCGCCTCTGCGACCTTCGACTCGATTCCGTTCCGGTCTATGCGTCGGGACGCCGCATTCAAAGGGGGGGGTGATGTCAGGGGAACCTCCCTTTCGGCCCCTCGGAGACGCCTCCGACTCCGGTCCGACTCCGGTTCCGTCTCCGGTCCGGCCCTCCATCTCGCCCGCACAATCACCGATCCGTCAACGCCCTCCCAACGGTCGCCCTGGGACCTTGCCTGCGACGCCGCCCAAGCCTTCTGTGCCCGACAGCGGCAGCTACGGACAAGCAGTATATAGTCAGCTCCCTAGCAGGCGGACCCTTAGAGTTTCTTCTCTTTGGATCCTCCCCTGCTAGGTCAGCTTCATTTGTATTTGCTTACCAATGTTCACGCTTTGGATCCTCCCCTGCTAGGACCTTGATCTCAGGCCTCCGGGGTTGCCCTTACACCAATTTTTAATTTTTTTGTGCCTGAAAAGGCTGAAAGTTTTAATTTTAATTTTAGTGATTTTTTTCAAGGAGGGGTTTTTTTTTTTTTTTTGCTGTGTAACATGTAACACAGACACTTGATTGAAATACTATAGTTAAGGGAAACATGAAAGTTGAGCAATAAAGAGGGAATGGGTGACAATAAAACATAAGCTGAGTGATGTCACGGATAAGACCTGGCCCATCCGCTCTAGCACTAGTGTCAAGCCACCGGGGGCCAACAACACGCAGCACGTAACAACAGGGAACAGGCACCCCAGTAGGGAGGAACGCACACATGGGAAGCATGTGACTGAGAACAATATGTCGGGCTGATGCTAGTGATTGTCATGGGTGGTGTGCCCCACTACGGGCCGCGGGTACGGGCCTCCTTTGGTGCGGGTACAGGCTTGCCTCCCAGAATTTCTAGGCCCGCACTCAGGCCTGCGGGTCTTGGCTGTAGGAGTGCCGAGCCACCGGACACTCCGGGGCCGGGAGCTGGGGCAGAGCTTAGTGCTCTTCCAAGCGACAAGCAAGATCTCTGATGTGCAGAAGGCATCAGAGATCTCCTCGTCGCCAGCGAAGGACCACCTGACCGCCTCAGATGCCTACAGGCCGGCAGGATCGTGGGCCACCCGAGGCGGCCCGCATCTGAAGAGGCGGATACCCGCACCCATGCTTGTGGATACGGGCCGACCACAGGTACGGGTATGGGCCACCCTACAATTTCTCGCAGGTGGCCCATGACAATCACTAGCTGACGCCAAGCCCAACTTACAGTACAAGAGGGATTGGGGAGGAGTGCTAGAAGGCTAGAAGTAGTGCCTGGCCTGCAAGAGATGTATGATCGTCCCCTCTGCAGCCAGGAACAGGGATGAGAAGGAGCAGAAGAGGCCAAGGGTGTCCAATCACCCCTTAGCAGGCCTGTGTATATAAGGTGTGATAGTGTACAACTGCGCTGAGATCATCTATTGTACCACTTCTCTCTGTGCAAGGAGGCATCACTGACTTATCAGGCCTGAAATGACCTGATTCAAACCTAACACTGACTTCAGATGTGTCAGGCTTTGGGTTGGGCCGTGCAAGGCTTCTCCTAAGAACCTGTGCCTGGAACAGAACAGACAGATCGTCGGGCCCACAAGCGGAGCGAGTGGGGTAGAATTGAACCAAAAGGGCCTGTTAATGTGGTCCCTTGTCATGGTCGGTTGTCGAAGGTTCGAGCTACTCCTAACCTCCTAGCACTCCTTCCTAATCCCCTGGTATTGAGTTCGGCTTGGCAACGGCTTGACACATCGTTCTTGGTCACATGCTTCCCACATGTGTGTTCCTCCTACTGGGGCGCCTGTTCCCCATCATCACGTGCTGCATGTTACAGACCCGCAATGGCCTGACATCAGCGCCAGAGCAGACAGGCTGGGTCTTATCTATGACAAGTCGGCCCTTTTGGTTTGATTCGACCCTGCTTGGTCTGCTTGTGGGCCCAACTATCCATCTGTTCTGTTCCAGACGTGTGCTTCTCAGGAGAAGCCTTGTACGGCCCGATCTGAAGCTTGACAAGTGATACCTACCACAGCCTGAGTGGACTGTTCATTATAATATGAAACAACAAGTGGACATGCACATCAATCTGTTAATTTTTTCATCGGTCACACTCATCCGCTCATATTTTGTTTAAAGACATCCAGATGAGGCAATTTTCCTCTGTTCTGGTGCTGGAGGTGCCAAAATTGCCTAATGTGATAGTCTAACCAATTGCCAGGTTCATTAGGCATATCATAGCCTTCAGGCCCTAACAAATTGAATAAGATATGATTTCATTCAGTTTACATGTCACATGTCACACTGCAATATTATCCAAAATTTCTCATATGTCATGTCATTTTATTTATATTCCTATGCCTAAAATAGTAATTTATGATATTTCTGGGTGGATATAATGCCAAAAACTTCCCAATCATAAAATAATTTTAATTCTAATTTTTTGTATTGAATATTACACTTAAAAATATCATTTGAATTGATTATTATTATTGCAGTAGTTCTATTATATAGAATAAAGGATTCTCAGGACTTTGCATATTTTTTAAAAATATTATCAAGGATGAAGTGCAAGCATAGAAAAACTATAATATCATCAAATCCATCAGATAACTTCTGTTTTAACCTAATCCAGACTGAGCCAAGACAACAGATCATCAAAATTAATCTCACTGATTCCTTCCCAATTGGGACAACAGACTGAAAAAGTATAATTAGAATTATTTTCATATGAACTCCTGATATATAAGGCTATGTACAAGTGTATATCTCATAGTTTTCTATGAGTTTTCCAAGATACTGTCATTCACCATCAGAATCATATAAGGATGACAAAAGTCCGGTGACAAATCAGTGGCAGTGAAGAGATTCCCCGAGGAAACTACGGAGGTTTGGGGGTTTTTGGTTCGGGTGGAGTTTGGTGTTGTTTGGCTGCAGACCCATCAACACATCATGATGTGGCGAATATAGACCGGGGAGGGACCTTGCAAAGCAAGGTGAAACCACCGCGCCAGAACAGATGACCCAAAATATCGTTCAATGCCCAAGCGAGACTTGGCTCACGACGACCATCTTTCTCTCGCCAGCGTGTCGCGATCACGACCAGGTAAAGACCATGCAACTCGTTTTAGAAATGGGGGCTTCACTTCTCCATTGTCCAGTCGGCGATTCCACGCATCAGCCTTTTCAACCCGGCACTTCCATGCAGCGTTCAGTTTCTCGGTGAGATAACCAGCCTCTTGCTACCCAGCATGGTGAATAGTGCGAAAGATGCATTAGTAGGACAGACCTCTGGCCCCATTTTCCATAGATCCCCTACTTGTAACGTTCGTTGGAAACCTAACACCATGAGTGGTGTTATCCATGAATAAGTAAGAACACTAAAGAGCGATGCTGATACGAAAGGCGAAACTTTTGCCGCATCTAAGGACGTGGGAGGAGGAGGGGGCATAGTACCGGGCAGCCATATTTGCCACCAATGTCGACGAATTCGAATGTGCTGGATGCCACTATCTAGCTCGAGCCCTGGGTGAGCCGTCTCGTCATCCGATTCAACGTCAGTTTTGCGTTGAGAAGGCATGGGGTCATGTTTGGCGACCCACTGCACTTATACTCGACGGAAAACATTTCGACGGAAAGAGACCGTGATGATGACCAAGTATGTATGACGTCATAAGCCTCGGAAGGTATTTTTACTCCCACTACGCATTCCTTGTCTTCTTCTCGTCCTACCAAATCTGTCTTGCTCTGACATCTCCGTATCCTGTTCTGTGTATCCCCTTTCCAGCCCAGCTCCAAATGTTTCCAGGCCTTTCCTTGACTTGCCTTTATTTCTGCTCTTCTCGTCCAAAGAGGATTTTTTGGCCGAAGGGACCCAGCTGACCTCCATAAGGTCTCCCGCCGATGTGGAAGATTTGGATGTTGGCGCGAATGATTTCCCTGACTTTCTTTGGCCAAAAGTAGCGTCCTTGTTTGAAGCATAAAAGCCTTGACTAGAGCTGGCCCGCATCGGCACGAGTTTACTTTGCCCAGCAAGTTGATTTTGTTTGCGAGCTCTGGTGTAAGCTTCCTGCATACGGGCATTCTTTTGCCCTGGTCTTTGTCGAGGATCGTATGTGTTGAGAGCGCCTTCTTCACTGCTATCACTTTCGGCATCGTCACTTTCCTCCTCCAAACCATCTGATGACAACTTATCGCTTTCGTCTTCTTCTTCTTCAACTGCCGTTTTTCGCTTGCCATCGTTTCCGTTCTTACGTTGAGCGACCGCCGACGGATTAAGCAACGCAAATTCACGACTGCTCTCGTCAACAGCAAATGCCGGATCTTGGAATACTTTGGCAAAACGCGGGTCAGATAGCAAACTGGGGCGTATTGCGTTTTCCTCCTCTTCTTCACTTGGAGCCATGTCCACATCTCCATCTTCGACAGCAGGACCGGTTCGCTGTTTTCGTTTTTCAGCACGACGTTTCTCTCGTTCTTCATCCCGCATAATCTTCTCAGCCAGCGTTTTGTTAACCTTAATACCCGCCAAAGCGCCATCCTTCTTCGTCCGTATCCTTGTCTCCGCCATTTTCTCCATGCGCTGTCGAACCACCTTCTCACGATACTCATCATACGCGAACGGATTAGCGATGATTCGAGCAGCGTCGTATAGTTTGAGGGAGACAAAGTAGCCATGCATATAAGGTTTGAGGGCGGCAGTACCAACTAGATGGTCGAGACCAAGTCTGTGGAGAGTTAGCTTAAGACTGGAGTATACCGGGGACCATACGTTTTGAGCTCGTTCCGCTCAACAAACTTGAAGTCCTCATACACTGAACGCGTGGTTTGGTCTTCCATTTCTTCAGTGATATTCTCGAGGAAACTGGCCCATCTTGGAGCAGGGCCTAGTTGCGGGATATAATACGTTGCCATTTGAATGCCCTCATTGGCGGTCATGATCAGACCACTGCCAGGTATGTGGTGAACTTGATTTAGGTCGTTGGCAGGAGTTATAGCAGCAAAATTATTCGAAGGCTAGGAATCTTTTGAGGGGCATAAGGACTAGGAAAGGAGGCATACCGAATTCCGATCCCAAACTTTTATTACTTTTTTGTCCGCAGTAAGAACCAGCCCATCTCCCGCCATCCGACTGCCACCCTCGATCCAAGCTACGCTCTTCACAGGCAAGCCATAGCCTTGGTCCTTCAATGCGAAAGGCTTCCCAGCGCGGATATCATAGAGTAAAGTGTGGCCAGTGGAAGTTCCCAGTGCGTAAGACAGGCCATCGACTCGGGAGGATATCGCTGTCACACCGGGGGTAGCATCTGTAGAAGAGCCAAGTCGATTTAACGGTAGATGCAAGACGCCCACGCGTGAGCGTGAGCGAGGATCCCAAAATTGCGCTCCCCCACCATCAATACCGAAGGCAAGGAGTTGGTGGGCGGGGTTAACGTCGATGACGTTGACCCCGTAAATCTCTTCTTCGGCATCTTCCAACACAAGAGGGGTCATGAATCGGCCTTGGTCAAGATTAAGACGATAAATTTCGTTGCCGGCAGCAGAAAAGAGTGCATCGCAGGAAGGGAAATGATATGCGAGAGATCGGCCAAATTTGGGTATTCTCGTGCGGTAGTGAAGGCCACCTTGGGTATGAAGCTCGATAGTTCGGTCGTTTTGAAGATGTATTGACTTTGTCCAGTCGTCAGACAACATCTACCCTTGTTTTTCTAGTTTCCATACAGGTTGGAAAGAGACTGAACGCACCACAAAGTCGACATTTTCCGCTTCTGCATGGCGTTCAAATTTGAGCGTTAATTGACCCAAATCCCATACTCGCATTTGTGGTTTATATGTTCCCGTCGCAATTGCATAAAGCCCATCGCGAGTTGTCCTTATCCTGTTGCTTGCTTCGGGAAACTCGAAGCCCTGGATAAGCTCTATCGTCCCCTCAACTTGCTCTCGTACAGCACGTTTGCCCTTGCCTTTCGCAGCGCGTTTGCGTGTTAACCAGTCTGGCAAAGAAGACGAAGAGGCGGCCGTTGCGCCATTGACGGTATACACCTTGACATTGGGTTCGACTGCCATTTCTCCGGAATGAATAGGGAGGTTCTTATGGCAGACAGTCGTTTAGATGAGAAGGAAAAGGGAAAAAATTATGTGCACGTGCTGAACCAAGGCATCAAGGTGGGCATCATCCCGAAATGGAAATTTTATTGGACGAAGAATTTGCGAAGAATGGACTGGACCAACCTGAAAATTTTGTACATGATACAGTATCTAGATTTGGGTCGACCGCGGCTGAATAAACTGCCTCGATATACTAGTGCAATGCTTATTATGAGAGCTTTTGTGAGGGAACAAGACATTGAACTCATCATCATTGGCATTTGCACTCTTTCAGCGTGTTTCGGCGTCCTGTAGACCAGCCTTTATTCGTTTCAAAAAGATGTAGAGAAACTGATTTGTGAACGCTGAAGGCTGCATAGCTTTTGATCTCTCACTTTGTCCACAACGTCAACGCGTTTCGACGCGCTTACATCATGTCCGATATTCCAGCAAAACGGGCTCTCCCTTCGAAGGAGTCTGGCCTGTTCAAGGAGTTGCTTACGCTCTACGAAACAAGGCAGCTCAAGAAGGGGCTCAAAACTGCCGATCAAATCCTAAAAAAATTCCCTGAGCACGGAGGTGAGTCTCTGTTGGCCATCGGTCAAAATGTTCACTCCAGACAGAGACTATGTGCATGAAGGGACTTGTTTATACACATATGGGTCGTCGCGAAGAGGGAATCGAGTTGGTTCGGAAAGGTGTTAGAAACGATTTGACCTCCCACATCTGTTGGCACGTCTATGGGCTCATACACAAGGGCGAAAAGAACTACGAGGAAGCGTTGAAATGTTATACTCAAGCTCTCCGATTCGACAAGGTGCGTCCAACGGTTCTTCTGCTAGAACAGACTCTGATCTATCGCTACCAGGAAAACCTCAATATTCTCCGCGATGCTGCTCACCTTCAAACTCAACTACGAATCTACGACGGACTTGTTGAGACACGATACACACTGCTGAAGACCCGGCCGAACCTGCGTCAGCATTGGGTTGCACTCGCAGTTGCGTACCACCTCAACGGAAACTTGACTGAGGCCAAGAAAATACTAGAACAATATGAATTGGCGCTCAAGGTACGCAGAACTTACACTGGGTGCAAACCCAAAGGCAGTTTGCTAATGGGAGCCCCAACGGGAGTGGAAAGAAAGACAAAGATTTCTTTGTTTCAAACAAAGGAAAAAAAATTGCTTTCAAACTCCCGTTGGACCCCCCTTAGCCAACTGCCATTGCGCTTGCTACCAGTGTTAGCTCTAGTCACGGTCAATAACTCAAACAGTGCAGAATGTGCCCGACTACGATGTTGAACACTCTGAAACCATTCTCTACCACGTACGTCTGCTTGAAGACCTCGGGGAACACACCGAAGCCCTTTCGATGCTTGATGTGAACGCAAAATCCCGAGCTATCGTTGACCGGACAGCGATCATGGAAATACGAGGTTGATGCCGTGGTTGTTTTCTCTGGATACCATGTTGACTGCTTGCTTCAGCACGTCTACTGTCCAAACTTGGCTCTGAAGAAGCAGAACATGCATGGCGCGTTCTGGTAGAACACAACCCAGAGTGCTATGATTACTATCGTGGATATTTGGCAAATTCGAAACTTTCCTTCGGTATGGGAATCGCTCATTAGGTGACTTCGTGTTTGACTTCGAGGTAGACACTAGTGATGATAACGCTTCACGCGCTCTCCCAATACTAGAGGAATTTTCGACGCAACTGCCCCGTGCAACAGCACCACGTCGACTTTCACTCTCGATCGCGTCTGGAGAGCGTTTCAAGCAGCTCATCGAGCCCTATATTCTTTCTGGACTCAAAAAGGGCATTCCTTCCCTTTTCTCTGACATCAAAAGTCTATATCAAGACACTTTCAAGCAGCAGGCGATCGAGGAAGTCTCGACGAAGGCACTCGAGACGTTCAAATCCAGTTCAGAGCCGGATGTTGAACCCACTTCCTATCTATGGACACTTTATTTCCTTGCGCAACATCATTCATACCTTGGTCGCCATGCTCAGGCTCTACAATTTCTAGACGACGCTATATCACACACTCCTACACTACCCGAATTACATATGCTAAGAGGTCGGGTGTTGAAACGAGCTGGGGACCCGCTCGGCGCCGCCCGCTGCCTCGAAGACGCGCGCTTACTCGATGGCCAGGATCGGTTCCTTAACACCAAGAGTGCGAAATATCGGCTGCGAGCTGGCATGGTTGAGGAGGCTAGCGCACTTTTTGGGCTTTTTACCAAGGTGGAATGTGTTTCATCTTATTTCCGTTCGGACTCATATGTTTTGCGCTAGAAAGATGCACCCAGTCCTGGCCAAGACCTCGAGGACATGCAATCACTATTCTACCTAACGGAGGAAGCCGATGCCCACAACCGGAATGGACACCTCGGGCCCGCATTGAAAAAGTACATCGCCGTCAGCAAGGTATCGAGTGTCACGATGTTAGAACCCATCTCATCATCTACAGGTTTTTGACGAAGTTGAAGATGACCAATACGACTTTCACGGATACTCCTTACGAAAGTTCAACATGAACATATACCTGAAGTACAGGTGTTTGCTGTTCTGCGATTGTGGCTCACTCGGTGGCTCAGCTTATTGACATGGGAGGACCGATTGCGCTCTCACCCGGCCTACGTGAAGGCTGCGTTAGCTGCATCCAAGGTATTCGTCATCGTTTCATATGAATCAACAAACATTTGACCGAAAGTTTTAGATCTTTGTTGCCGTTAATGATGATCCCGCTTTGGCTTCAACAGCGACCACGTCTGGTCAACTAACCGATGCGCAGAAGAAAGCTAAGAAAAAAGCCAAGAAAGCGGCTCAAAAGGTGCAAGAAGAAGCGAAGAAAAGTATGGCATCGCGTTTCTATCTGGCGTGTGTTAACACTGACCACCAAAAAGCCGCCCCAACAAACAACAACGAAGACAAGGGCCTTGAAGCGCCCGCAAAAGATGACGATCCAGATGGTTCCAAGTTGCTGCAGTGTTCAGATCCACTTGAAAGAGCAGCAAAACTGTTGAAACCACTCATGACGTTAGCCGATTCGAACATAGACGTGTGGCTAGCAATCTATGATGTTTCATCGCGACGAAGTAAGTCGCTTTGTATTCTGCTGACTCAAGCTAAGACTTGTCGCGTAGAAAAATACTTGCAAGCTGCCAAAGCCTTGTCGCAAGCAGCGACGTTAGATTCGGAGCATCCTCAATTGCACGTTAGGAGAATCCAGTTCCGCCAGTTAGGTCGGCTCATTACTTTTGTCCTTATAAATAGTTGCTCATCCGCACCCCAGTGTCATCATTGCCCCCAGAAACTCAAGGAGCAGCATTATTATCTGAGATCGCATCAAGATTGTTACCGGACCAGGTTTCGATCGAAGTATTCAACTCACAATACCTGCAAAGCCACTCGGAGGATTCTGCTGCGGTGTTGGCAGTGGCTAATGTCTTGGTCGCTCTCAAATCTCCTCTAGACCAGGTCGAGGAAACCTTGTTCACTGCATTCAATGCCTCTCTTGATATCAAGGTCGGTTTCCATCTGTGTGAACTGAAGCTAGTCTCACCCATAATGTCAGACTGCACTGGCAATTGTTGACTTCCTTATGACAATCAAGTCTCCGCGAGCCGATAGTTTCCGGATGCGATGTTCAGAGCAGTTTTCGCTCTCAACAGTGTTTCAGACACCTGAAGAGCTAGCACCACTGCGACTTCTCGTTGTTGCCGGGCAACAGCTGGACGCTGACGGCGATAAACCAGTAGATCTATAGTTTCTTGTATAATGTGGTGTTGGATCAATTTTACTATCAACTTCTGATCCGACGTCTTGTCGCGTCTGTATTCTCTCCAAGGACTGCAATGGCCACGACGCGCCAACCACGACGTGCACCGACTATGCAAACACCCAAACCTCTAACCCTCAATGTTGAGGAATGGGAGGCTAAAGCCCCATTAAGCGATCGGGAAATTGCAAGTGTTGGCACAGTGAGGTTGGCTTGTGAACAGATTCCATTACCGTCCAAGGTATGGCGCGCTCTTTTACACATTTCAACTATAACTAGTCTAGTTTGACGATGATGATGCCACTGGGTCGTCTTCAAGGCCATCCACACCAGTTGGCAGTCGACTTCGACCCCATCCCGCAACTCCTGGTGGCATTAGTCGGCCGAACTCTCCCATGCCAGGGTATAAGCCCTTACAAACGCACGCGCTTCATCCAAAACATGCAATCCAAACGGCACAACAGTTCTATGACTGGTTTGCGTTGATTGAACGCAGCGTTGCGCATAGTCAAGAAGCTCATTTCCGTGCTCATGTCGCTAGTGTTTCGGAGCATCTTGACACTTGTGACCGACTTGTTGAGAGAGTGGATGAGGTTGGGCTTCAAGTGGACGACATGCTTGAAGGCTGGAGGGGAGTGGAAGAAGGTGGTAGGAGCTTGAAGGACGCCTGCGAACGTTTGTTGGAAGAAAGAGTGCGTTTCGAGCTTGTCTTGCGTCCCGCTGACTGACCATAAGTTGGTAGGATCGTTTACTTTCGCTCACCGATGAGATTGGTGCACGACTGGAATACTTTCAAGAACTCGATGTTGCGACTCGAATGCTCAATCATCCAGGAGAGTCCTTGGTGCTCCAAACCGACTTCCTCTACATGGTAGAGCGCGTGGATATATGCATTGACTACCTCAAGGCTCATGTGCAGTCTCTCCTCCTCTTCTAACTCAGTGTCGCTGATTCTATGGCAGCGCCACTTCCGTGAATCTGAGGTTTATCTCCTCCGTTTTCAGCAATGCATGACTCGCGCAATGACTCTGGTACGGATGTACTTTGTTGCTTCTCTAAAAACGCTTTCGGCCGACATTTCTAAACGAATGGGTGAGAAGGTCGGTTGCTCTTTCCTTCCAGCGGTGATGAGACTGACGGAATTGTTCACAAGGACGTGTCTCATACCGCACAAACTCATCTTCTATATACGCGCTTTCGCTCTGTATCAACCCACCTCGCGCCTTTGCTAGGGGACCTTGAACGTCGTGCAGCGTCACATCCAGCAGAGCTTTCAGCTCTCCTCAGCGAATGTCATTCTGCCTACCTATCGACCCGTAAAAGTTTACTCGTTGGTCGGCTTGTGCAAGAAATACGAGGGTTAGACCCAGGACGGACTGAACTAGTCGAGCTGGTGGTTTTTTCTCTCGGGAATTTGTGTCTTGACTAAATGAGCGGCAGACTCGGGCCGGCTGCAGCTATCTCAAGCAGCTTTGTACGGACGAATGGAGTCTCTACCAGGAGTTCTTTAGGACAGGAGAGGATATGCTCTAGTACGACACTCTCGCAAAGCAAGTGTGCCTGGCTGACGAGTGCCCACCCACAGTCAATATCTTGAAACACTTTGCGACTATCTATACGACGACCTGCGGCCGAGAATTTTACATGAACCCCGGCTTACGGCGCTATGCGAAGTCTGTACGGTATTACAAGCCCTAATGGTGCTAGATAGCGCTGGTGCTGAGGTCGATGACGACGAGGAAGACGAATCCTCTGAGGGACCCATTTCTAGAAAATCAAAACCGCGGCCGCTACATATCGCCCATCTACTCTCAATGGTTCTCCAAGATGCACAAACCCGACTGTTCTTCAAGGCACAAGCAGTCATTCAAAGTGACATCCGTTACTATGTCCCCAAAACGGACAATGGTGACTTGGCCTGGCCAGAAGCAATCCTGCTCGATGGTGGAGCAGCGCCGCTGGATCAACAGGGAACGTGGTATCCTACCGTGCAAAAGACCGTTTGGGTTTTGGAGCAACTGAGAGATTTCGTCAACGTACGTCTCTCCTCGATAATGCAGACAGTTCTGATGTGTATCAGCCTGCCATTTTCGAAGACATTGCTCAAGAGGCAGTGACTTTGTGCCGACAATCTCTTGTTCTTGCTGCAGACATGATCAAACAACGTCCGACATCAGAAAAGACCAACAGTCATGACAAATCAACTCAAGTGCCCCCACTACCGCCTGTCCTCGTAGGCACACTAGACGGAGATCTGTTCCTTGTACGGCACCTGCTTGTTCTCAAAGAAATAACCCACAATCTGGATCTGCGATTGGGACATTTTGACGCTGGCGAGCAGGACATCGATCGGTACTTGTATGGTGTCGGTGGTAGGCATATGTCTAATCGTTCAACTATCCGTGCATTAATTGAGAAACAGATACTTTGGCAGCAATTTTGAACCGAACGTCGTCTCTACTGCCTGGGGCCATTCTCGCCTCGCTGGGAATGCCTCGAACGGACGAAGGTATCCGCGACGCTAAACAGGCAAGTCCAGTCCGGGTTGTTATATTCACAGATGTCTGATTGCATGTAGGGTATTGACCATGACCTCAAACGTGTCTGCGAGGAGATAATTATCACTTGTGCTGCGGCAATGTGTGACCCGCTTCGCTCATGGCTTGAGCAAGTCGAATCCCATAACGCCCTCCGCGCTTCAACATCGACATCAACAAAAACTACACCCGAGTCCCTGGCCCAGCCAGCAGCGGAAGCTCTCGAGCAGAGTTTTCGGAAAGCTTGTGCTACTGAACTCTCAGCTGCAGCAATGAGAATACGCCTCTACCTCGGTGGGACTAGCGGTGGAAGTGCGGAGGTTTTATTGGCTCATGTCAGAGAAAGAGCCATCGAAGAGTACACCAGATTCAGAGAGGTAGTAACTGGCATGTATGCCGGGGGCATGCGGGGCATTGTTATGGAACGGGCGGAAGTGCGCGCACTGTTGGATAAAGCATGCTCTGAAGGGATGCAAATCAAAGGGCAATAATAATTTCCTGATATGGACGGTGGATAAGATTGGATAAGATAAGACAAGGATTAGGGGGTCTGAGATAACAACTCTGTCATCTTCGCGACGTTCCTTCTCGGTTCAAAGCACACGGCGAAAGGCAAAGGATGCATGTTTGCTGTATTCGTAAATGCCATGGTGTCGATGGGCTGCTTTTCATCTTCACTGATACGAAACGCCCATAAAAGAAGTGCCGTATTAATGAAAAGGGATCTGGACAGGTTATGAGAATTCCAATGGGGGGTACAAGTGCATGCATACCTATTCGCAACATGGGATCCAGGACAGACCTGTCAAGGCGTGTCAGCTCAGAGCGAGACTGACCAATATTTTCACTCACTCGCCGGCCGAAGCCAAATTGGAACACTCTCAGGTCATTTCGGACCGCACTCCCATCGTCCGTGAGCCATCGCCTGGGGTCGAAGCGTTCTGGGTCGGGGAAAATCTCAGGGTCGCGGGCAATTGACCTGGGATAAAGTCAAGCGAGAGCATTGACGGCAAAATTCACGCCAAACCAATGACTGCCGTAAACACTGGCTCCGCGTGGAATCAAAAGCCCGTTCTACACACCGTGATCAATTGCGCAAAACCAATTTATTGGGTTTACCCACCCAGATGATATCTTGTGTAGCACGATGAGCGAAACCTGACAAGTGGAAGACAGTCGTTAGTAGTATCTACATACAACTCCGCGAAACAAACGCACCTCCAGCACTGACGGGTCGCCTTTGAGTAACCTCGGTGAGTCAACCGGTCTTGTGAGTTGGCCATCCTTACCACCGGTACGATTCTAGGTAAAATGCGGTGACTTGAACCAGGTCTGCCTCGTCCTGGAACGTCGGGCCTACGAAAATGGTGTCATGACGGAATGGGGTCGGGTCTAATAAGTGCCTACATTTGCCAGGAGTTATTACCGCGTCAAGTTCCTTGTGAACCGCAGCCTGAGCCTCAGGGTGCGTCGCCGCAGCCATGATGACGATAGAGATAGCTGAAGAGCTCTGTGTTGCGAGGTTAGATCGTATTCGTCCAAACAGGATTTTCGCAATTGAACTGACCGTCCCTGATCCTGCGCCAAACATAGAGCCCGCCAAATATGCGACTTCGTTGTAAGATAACCCATAGTCAGCTTGTTTTTCGAGGATTGTCTTAGCGAAGCATGACTGGATGTCGCTAGCCTATCAGAAACCAGAGTGAGTGCAGATGCAATGAGCCTATGTAATGCAGGTGGATACCATTCTATTTCGGACAGTGTCGAGTTGGGAGGTAAATAGCTTGAGCTCCAGCTGGTGCTGTCTTCGGAGTTCCGAGAGATAGCCGGGGACGTATCGCAACATAGGCCACTCGTCAACCAGGTACGCCCCAGGGAGCAGGGCTGCGCCAAGTCGTGATTGAGCGGCGCTTACTTCTTGGATGATCGGATCGTCTGAAGACGTGCGCGAACTTTTGCCGTAGGTGAGCGAGAGAATAACACTGGTTGCATAGCTACTCTCATTCAACTGAGTTTTGACCGCAAAACCAAACATTGAACTATACCCTTGGGCATGGATCAGGTGGTTTTGTGGGTCCCTGAGAATGTCAAGAACATGATGTTGCGCGTTATGCTGCTGAATTGGTTGATATTTTGCAGCAACGACCGGTCGAAGCTGGGCATGCAACGCTCTGAAATTTCGTTGAACATGTGAAGGAAGCCCATGAACGGATATGTACTTCCTGAGTTTCCGAAGACGGTCTCCTTGAGGAATAAGCAATGTCCTCATCCCACCACTTAAGGTGTCTCCAGCGGCGATTGAAGTTGGTCTGTCAGCGAGGTGGATACCTCGGACCTTTGTAGCTCAGGACGATTAAATTCTTTTGAACTCACCTTCCTTTTCCATGATCTCAACAGCTGCCTGGTACCGACCAATGACGACTGTTCTTTGTCCAAATCCACGCTGAAACGAGATGACAGGCCCATGTTCTTTTAACCACTCTTCAAACTTGCGGTATGGGCTTTACCAACTAAGTCAATTGACAGCATTGAAGGTCTATTGCCTACTGTTGTTTGGGAATGGCGAGTCCCCTCCACCCATGCCCAGAGGGACCGGGTGGAAATGGAAGGGCAGACCGTCTTCCCTTTAAAAGCAGAGCAAGAAGACAGCAGAAGAGTGAAAACCCCAGTCCTTGAACGACGCTTGACATGGAAATGCGAGCTGAAGTGGAACCATTGAGTAAGTCTCGGGGAAGCGCGCAAAACAATGATCTCTAATCACATCTCATGCCGAAAACCAAGTATATAGCTACCACAACTTGTTCCTCCTCAGCACCCACGCCACGCCACAAATTACAAACGAGTAGGCCGAAAGCACTGTCATGGACAACAACGGGCCCGCGTGAATCGTCTGCATTGAAAGATTTATAATTCCTGTCCCAACATTCGCCTAGACAATTCTCAAACACGACACTTCATCAAGCAAAAAAGATCACGTGCCAGCAAAAAGACAGGGAGTCCGTTTTTGTTCAGTGCATCTAGCAATGGCGGAGCCGTAGCAGATATCACATTGACCGTCATTTCAGGCGAAAAATGGTTTGATTCAGAATTGGGACGTTTCTTTGGAGCTGATGAAGGGGGATAGAAAGTGATGTCAAGCAAAAGGTAGGCAAGTATGAAACTCGTGTTGAAAGCCGTGATCCAAAGAACGTATTGGAAGTTAGCCTGCCTGTGTTAAGGTTGATAAGACGGCCGCAAGGTAAATATACCATTTGTCGCGAAACACCCTCATCTATTTGCATGAAGCGAAGTATCCCCAACGCAGTCCACCACACTATGGCGTATGATGTCAGTTCGATGACTGTCTTCCCGTTTTGTCGCGCCGCAGTGAGATCCGCAGGAGTAACTCGTTGTCGGAGAAGACGTGGAAAGAACTTGGGTGTTGGTGGGAGAACGATTGTTCCCAAGGAGAGACCATAAAGGTATATAGACAAGTAGCCTGTATAGTGTGAGAGGGTTTGTGGTCCATCATCTGCAAGCTGCTCACCAGCGAGAGACACGATGCCTTCTTTATTTGCACTGATTAAGTCGACTCGTGGGGCTGAGCGCACGTATTCTTTCAAACCCAGACGGGAGAGTGTCAGTTGATGTACTGAGGAATTTGAGATCAGAGTTCGCGCTTTAGAGATGTCACCGACCAAGACCGACCCCAGTGGCTAACATGGACACCGGGATCACTCGGATGAGGGGATGGAGGAAGACTTGTAGCACAGGTAGCAAGGCCAGTGTCATGAAAAAGCTCCAATGCGTCCCATATTCTGTTTCGTGCTCCTGGTGAATGTTTTTATTTCGCGGGTCTTCCAATGGGGGCTTGACGTACTGGATAGTCCGTGCCTTTGACCAATAATACTCTGATACCACCCAACGCAATGATAGGAACCGATTTCCGTAGAATATAACCAAGTTTAGGCAGAAGAGGTGATTGGAGATGTTGTGGACTCTTCAGCAAGGGAATGGCCGACACGACACCATTGGAAAAGACGAATGAACCAACACCAAGATCCATCTAACCTGGTTGTGAATATGATAGATCGAGGTAGCCTATGAATGAACACACCAAGGACACCCCGTAGGACTCACACTTGGCTAGAGCGCGAGGAAATACAGGAAAGTCCACTGCAAGAATGCCAAGGACAGTCATAAGCATCATATGCGCGCGGTAGGTGGTTAACGCGGGAACGGGGGTGATGCTATTCGGCTTCTTCCTCCTGGTTGAGCCAGCAACGGAGTCAGGCAGAACAGAGCCCGTCGATCGTCTTGGGCTTCGCGCAAAAATCAGACCAGCCGGGGCAAGTAAGAAGATGCAGAGTAGAATAGGTTTGGTGGCAAACACTGTCATCGAAAGAAGGAGGGGAAGAGTGAGAAGGGTCCATGATATGAGGAAGGGAATATTTTTAGCGCCATATATGCGGCTATGGACAGTGCAGTATAATGCGATAGAGGCCTAATATTTCTTGGATCAAGTCAGACTGTGCGAGTCAGACTAAAAACCAGCTTACGAGAGCCACGAGAGAGATAAGGTTCACATGTAGAATGCTAGACCCTTTCATTCCAGAGACGAACGCTACTTTCAACGTGTTGTAGTCCTCCGTCGGTTGCATGACAGTGAGATTCAAGAATGATCACGGTCAAATGACTTTTTTTTTTTTTTTTTTTTTTTTTTTTTTTTTTTTGAATCACATTTATACTAGCCGCTGGCCAAGGCCAGCACACACCTTGCTTTACTAACCACATCAGCTTTATGTACGATGTATGACTCACTCAATTTACACTTGTTTATCGATACCTGTCGTGCCACGTCACTCAGCCGGCCGCGTCGTCAAGACAAGTGATTAGGTCATCATATTATCTCAGCATTGTTGGCCACTCATCCACTTCTTATTTGACCATCTATCCGTACCTCCGACTATATGCGTCACTATTTCCACCGGTTCGGCTGACTTCTGACCCATATTGGGCATCGTGCACCCCTGCTGGCGTCGGCAGCGGTGGGTTCCTTTGCCATGGACTTGTTCTTGGACCACAAACCAAAGGTTGGTTTCTTGCGTCGTTTCCAATAGATTTGTGGCTAAAAAACGTTGAATAGGCTTCTATCGTTCGGGAGTTGGAGTTCACTTACGAAGAGGGGTCCACCATGGTGCTTAAGGTGCGTCTTGTGCTTTTTTTTCCCTTTTTTGCCTTTTCTGACCTTACCATGGAGACTTCCGTGGTATTGGAAGGTTATGACGCACCGACCGTCAAGGCCCTCGTTGCCCAAGCGCTTTCCTCGCCTCTGGATGGCGCTGGCGGCACCGATTCGCTCGGTGGCGTGGCAAGCGCGGGCGGGTCGCGCTCTGTTTCCAGCAAGCTCCCGTCTCGGGGAAGATACCCTTTTTCGCCCTCCGTCTCTTCGTCGAAGTACGAACCGCTCGTTCTTCAGGTTACGCGCCGCCGTCGCTCTTTCAAAAACATCAAAAAAAATTAGACGTATCAGCTAGCTTTTGCGCTTGAATTCAACCCCCCTTTGTCGTATTTGGACCACCCTCTGAGTTGCTTTCAACCCTCCGGTTTGGACTGGCGCTCGCCCACCCGCTCGTTTTGATGCGGTGCGTTTTGATGCGCTACACTTGGTGGCGCTGCACTTTGATGCGCTGCACTTTGATGCGCTGCAATTTGATGCGCTCTTCGATCCTTTTCTCGGCGCTGTTTTCGGTCTGAGTTTCGCATTGCAAGCTGCCGTTCGTTGACCGTGCCTCTGAGCTGCAACACCGTTGAGTCCCAAGTTGTGGACGGCGCCTGTGTGCGCGTTACGAACCCTCTTCCTTGGGTTAGAAATCGGCACAAGCGCTCTTGTGCCGTTCGCCTGCTAATTAGCCTTTCTTCCCAGCTTCCCAGTGTTCTGATTGTTTCTGAAGGCTGTCAACGCAGTCACTGAATCCGATTTTGCTGTCATAGGTGCGTTTGCTTACCCTTTTTGTCGTTCTTTGACTCGGCGCAGGAACTCAGCTGACCCGACGGAGGTGTGCGCACGGGTTGCACTGTTAGTTGAACAAGAGTTCGTCACTATTTCCAGTAAGGCAGAGTTAGCTCGATTCCCGTGTTTTGGTTAATTGCATGTTTCAAGTTTTCGCATTCAAAGCGTTCGCCAGTTCGCGTGGCCGTACTTGTGCATCGGAGCTTGCTATTACGCATGTGCTCTAGCCTTTGTCGTTTTGCGCTTGGTGAGACTTACTTCAATGGCGAGAGTAATCGCGCTCTAATCTCTGCTTGGGTCCATGGTCTCGGAGAACCGCACGAGGCGTTCTGGGCTGGATTCTGCAAGACCGCTCTCGATGTCGTTTGTCTGGGAGGTAGGGTCTCTTTGCGACGTTTGAGTGTTTTGATTGTTTATTAAAGCTGCGAAGGTAGTGCATGAATTGGTTCTGGTTGGTGTACGTGCGCTTGCTAACCTGATCGCGTGGTAGGTAAGGCTTCTTCTGGCATTCGAGCAGTTTAATTACTTCTAAAGGTTGTAAAGCTAGTCAGTGCCTCGGGTGTTGTTGGGGTATGTGCGCTTGCTCGCCTTTTTCATCCTTATCTTCAACTCGGTGCAGTTACTCAGCTCAGTTGACGCTTGTGCGTCGGAGCTTGCTATTTTGCCTGTGGGTCTGGTCTTTGTGGTCTCGCGTTTGGCGAGACTTACTTTACTACCGGTCCCAAGCGCGCTTGCGTATTGGTTTCAGCCCAAGCATCGCCTGGCGATGCGAACGAGCGTTCCCGGTTGGAAATCTGCACCAGCGCTCTCTGTGTCGGTTGTCCGGGAGGTAGGACCTCTTCCTGGCATTCAAGTGTTCTGTTTTTTTTTTTTTTTTTTTCAAAGGCTGAAGCTAGTCAGCGAATCGGCCTTTGTTGAGTAGGTGCGTTTACTCGCCTGTTTCACTCTTGTCTTAACTCGGTGCCGTTAAGCTGAGCGCACCACGTATGGCGGAGGGGAGGAAGGGGGCTGGCACTGCTCGTCGGCCAAAGCTCCTCGCCGTTTCTGGCAAGAATGGGCGACGTGGCTTCCCTGCCGGCCATGTGACAATATATTTAGTCTCAAGCTAGCTGATTGGTTCTTGGCCTTCTCTTGGCCTATCCGTACTTGCCGACAGTGCCTTCAAACTGTTGCTGTTGCGGTTGCCTCAGATTTGACTTTGGGCGCTGCTGCCAAGCTGATGAATTCATCGTTGGTCGATGGCTTTGCCTTTTGACATGTTGGCGGCGGAAGCGGCGCCAGGCGAGATAAAGATTTATGTATGCATTTCCTTTGGTTATTGTCCGTGGATTTCGCAACTCAGTTTGGTTGGTTTCCCAGGTAGATTTGAAGGTTCTCTTGACTAGGAGGAGATCGACCAGGCGAAACACATGCAAAAGGTGATGTTCGTAGCGTTCCAGCCCCAGCGCCCACAATTTCAAGCCCCTGAAGCATTGGTTGCGATCATGGGCCTGAGTTATGTATGTGGCTCAAGTTCATGGATGGTGTTAACAAAGGTACTGGTGTTGTTTCACAAGCAAATCCGTGATCAGTTACCCGATTTAGATTCACACATCATTCCTCCTGTCTGTCTTGGACCCAACGTCCACCGCCGAATCCTCCAGCGGATCACAAAAGAGTGCGTGCGGTTCGGCGGGGCTGCTGCAGAGATGCAGTTTGCACAAACAGTCACGTCAGGTGCGTTGGTTAAAGGAACGTATTACATGTCGTGAGCATAACAATCTGCTCTTTCCCCATGGCGGCCTCAGCGGATGTGCAGGCTGTTCTCGCTGCCATCGATGTGTTTAGTCGAGCGCTGAGTAAAGTTTCGCTCCATCAGGCCAACGACTGGTCAGTAACTATAATCCTCGCCAAACCGCCTCATCGTTTTCCGACCAGCTGTGCCAGCTTGACTGATGTTTGGCCGACATACAATGTCCTCCTGCGTACCTCGGAAACGCCCGTCGCAGCAAAACTATTTACCGCTCCGACTTTTCGTGCCAAGTCAGTCTTTCTTTCTCAATCTCAATGCGCCACTTTGACCATTTCCAGGTAACATCTCATCTCAGTCAAGTCTAATCCACGAATTTGCCTGGTTTCAGAGATAGCCTGGTGGACACTGAAGCAATGTCACATTGGACCAAGCACCATCATCGTCCTTTGTCTGACGATTGCCGGGCTGGCGCTCCAGTTCCCCGCCTGGTTGCCAGACGCCGCCTCTTTTATGATCACTCACTTCGGGAGAAATTCTGCCAGTGTGCCAGTATTGCTGCAGTTCCTCGCGCTGCTTCCTGAAGAAATCAACAACAACAACAGAATAGCAATAACCGTTAGTCTGTCTGGGTCCTTCCCCCGTTCTCCATTTCACAAAGTCAACGACGATGAATATATGGAGCGAGTGAACTAACTTCTCACTTACAATGCGGAGCAGGTGTTGGATCTGCTTGTCATGTATTTGCAGGCGCCAGGTGTGTGATATGAGTCTCCGCTGAGCAGCGGATTCTGATATTATCGGTAGGAGTCACCGTCCAAGAGCAAGTTTTCCGCTGCCTTCGGAACTGGCTCGTCGCCGGAGAAGTCAAAATCGCGAACTTGCCCACTTCGCCGTTGTTTGCGTTCATTATCGAGGCCCTGGCCTCGGAACAGCTTTTCGATTCGGCGGTGGATGTCATTTGCGAGCTGATCCACGAGACACAGGAAATCGACGACCACATGGCTGCCATTGAGCTCATCGTAACGCGCCTCCTTGCGCTCAAGCTTAAGCCTCAGCTTACTCAGCAACGAGAAGATTCCGACAAAATCAGGGGTTATGCAGGTATTTTCAGCGAGGCTGGCAACGCATATCGCAGTTTGATTATCCGGCATCGTGAGACTTTCTTCCCCATTGTGGACGTGATTGGAGAATGCTCTGCATACCCAGACCTCAATATCGTCCCCATCACCTTCCCGTTCTGGATGCGTTTTGCACAGGTTATTGGGAAGCGGTCCTCTGTATCCCCACTTTTCCTTGACGCGTATGGCGCTCTGATGGCGGTCATTATCAACCATCTCCATTTCCCGCCGAATAGTGCTCCATTGGCTGGCCAGGAAGCGGCGGACTTTCGCTCGTTCAGGCATATCATGGGCGACACGCTCAAAGACTGTTGTTTGGTTTCTTAAAACCAACTCGTGTCTACTTACAGCGCACCAAATGATTACTGTCGCTTTTTATCGATGTCATGGACGACGAGGCGTCTCCAAAATTCTCAACTTCCCCTCCCTCCCAATCACCCGCGGGTTCGTTATGCTGCCCTTCTCATCATTGCGCGCCACACAGAATGGATCAATCCGCATCCACAGTATATTAGTGTTCAGCTGCGGTACGCCTCTGCAGGCTTTGTAGACGCCGACTCGGTGGTGGCTGGCGCCGCGGGGCAGGCGTTGAAATATCTCTGTCAGGATTGTAAAGAGGTGAAAGTTTCTGTAACATGGGTTTTGTGGCTAATTACTGGCCCTCGTCCTTTTCCTGCCCCAGTTGCACATGTCCCTCAGTTCGACCGGCCCTGAAATTTTGCAGTTGTATCAGGCAATTGCTCATGTTATCTCCGCCATGTCGATGGCGAGAGCTGCCGAATCTTTGCGGGCGTTCTCTGTCGATATTCTGGTTCAAATCTACGCCGTGCCGTTTAAACCAGCGCCGGCGACAAGAAGAACCCCAAAGCACGAATGGTACGATTTTTCCGCTTGTCCAACCAAACGACTATTAATCTTTGGGACAGATGCGCAGGAAAATTCGGAAGTGATGCTGCGCATTACCCAAGGGTTTGGCGAAGTCCTGCGTGAAACGTGCCAGACGAGCTGTAAAGAGGCGTGGACGGTTTTGGACCTTCCAATTGTGTCGTCTGTGATAGCAAGGGATGTCGTTTTCGGTTGAAGCGGCAGGGTAACTTAGCTGCCTGTGGATTCAAGTTGCGGGCAAAATGATTGATGGATATGGGAACGAGGAAAATGCGGACCTGCGGGGGCCACCCCGGGGGGTGGACGAACGTTCGGACAACACGGTTGTGTCGCTTTTGCAAGTAAAGTCGGCAAATGACATTCCTGATGGTGCGTCGATTTTTCGTATTGACCTCTAGCTAAGCCTCTTATCATTTCATTCGTTACGGAAGACTACCTGCGGATGCTGAATGCTCTGGTTTCTGTTGCGCCAAACATCTCCTTCTTCGAGTTCTCGGCGTTTCCGCTGGTGTTCTCGGCGTTTCCGCTGGTGTTCAAGCCCGCGATGGAGGACCTCACGCTTGTGCACAATGACATCATTTTCGCCACGCTGGACTTGTTGGTGCTTATCCTGACTGACGACTTTTCATAATGACTGAGCTCGAACCGTTGTACGGCGTTACAGGTACTCGCGACCCGGTTTCTCATCCCCCATGTTTTATGTCACAAACTCTGCTTTTACAAGCCATATGGTGTTGAGGAGGGATTAAATTTCATGTTTATACAACATTCATGCCTGGCCTCTAATCTCGTGCCGAACCAGTCATGTAGTCGATATCTTCTTCTGTGGGTTCTCCCTTGTCCATGTCTCGTACTTTGGCATCAGCTGGGCAGTCGCTACACCCTACGTTACGCTTTCCTTTGTCTTTGGCACTGCTGTATAATCGACATATTTTCGTTCGCTCGAAGGACCCAGGCCTACTATCGCCTCAGTGCTATAGGAAAGTCTTGGAATTGAGACTTACGCATTTCCATGCCTTCGGCTTTTGACCAGCGAGGCAGTGACCCAATCCATGTTCCTCTCTTGCATAGTGTGCTACGCATCGCACGAAGGCGCCCATTTCTAGCGCTGGGCTCATTTCGGTCCCGTATCCAACACCAGGAACGTTGTTACATTCAAGTATCGCCTGTTGCAAGAAAATTAGAGATGTCATTGTCTTGGCTGAAAAGGGCGCAATACCACCGTTTTCCCCATGGGAATTTGGATGCGCAGCACCGTTGTATTCGCTTCAGCTAGGAGGGGCACACAATGCAAGTAGTCCAGTATATTCTGGGAGGCCCTTAAGTGCGTGTTGTGTCCGGTCAATATGTGGGTCCTTACATCGTTTCGCTTCTGGGAGTGTTTCGTATATTGATTGTTGAATTGCTTCTATTGCTGCAGAATGTGCTTTCGCAATTTCATCAATGTTGGGAGAGGTCAATAGGACAGTATCCTGTTTGGCATGTGAGGAGCATTTCAACAACGTTGGTGATAAATCTCTCTCACCCCAAGTAGCGGATCTTGGTATCGAGCGTAAACGCGGCCGCTGATATATAGTTTGGCTGCCATTCCATCGTCTGCAACGAAGTAGCGGCGACGCAGTGTAGATGAGAGATATTCCATGATTTCGTGGTCGTCGAGATGTATGGAAGGAATGTGATAGAGAAAGGCGTCCATGTTTCGTTAGCTGAGCATAAGGCCTCAGGACGCGTGGGCTTTATATGCCAGGCGCGGTTTACGAGCTCGATATTTGCTGTTCACTCGTGAATAGAAAGTCACGGGGCTGACTCAGGCAAATGACCAGACCAGCGATGATGTCAATGACTCAGCAACACGGTCAGGTGCTTTATTGACAAAAAGTCGCTTATTTCCGAGTTTGTTACTCGCTTGACATTTCTATAATACTGATCTCGTCATCGTTTACCGTGCTGAACTCCTCTATTTCTATCATTGCGGTGGGTTCGTCCCCTATGTTCTCAGTTTCACGTGTCAAGTCAATGCAGGTTTGTGCTTTGCGAAACGGGTGAGTCATTGCAGGGAAGGGAGGCTGTGCGCGATAGCACCGCACGACCTGAGTAGCATTGAGGACCCATCGCTAAAGACGATTAATAGAATCGATTTTCAGAGCGCATATTTACCTTTATTTTTAACTCTTTCATAGCCAAGTAGGTACGCTTTTCATGAATTGCACACAATTTCAGTTTGCATTTCAGTACGGCTCCTTCTTCAATCACTTCTGCTGGTGCCCTGTGGTAGTTGGGCAGCCAGTTGAGGTATTCGTATGCGTGTTTCTCCTGCCAGTATGTTAGCCAGCAGTTTGTTGACCTGGATCAACGGCATAACGCACTTGCACGACGCTTGTTCCACATCGGACTAGAATCATGGCCTCTTGTCCTGAGTCGTCCAACCATGCCCATCGCTTCGTTGGAGAAATTTGCTGCACAATATGTGAGGACCTTGGCCATGGGGCAGGTGAAAAAAGAGAGCGAAACTTGTCCTGCACGCTCAAATTTGTCAAAGACGTGAAACAACTTGGTGGTAATTTGCTTGAATGCTTCTTGGTTTGCAAGCGGAGAGTCTTCCATTGGCACTAAAATGAAGAAAGCCTGCAGATGAAGCAAGACTGCGACATTGAGAGCAGGATGAACTCACTTTCCCATCATGTTTTGTTAAACGAGTACACATCCCTGTGACAACCACATGAGAGTGTACCGGTGGATATGATGTTTCATCGACGAGGTTTGCCGGTGTCTGGGTTGTTCCGAATGTGTTTGGCAACGTAGGATTGTCGATTCCCACTTCGAAGTAGAACAGGATAAGAGCAATGCGTGGTTGAGTTCTCAGGGAAGTCCTGTACGCTCGACGTAAGTCCATGGGCAGTGAATGATGAAGTAGAGTGCATTTTATATCGCAATCCAGAAAAGCTTACAGAGCCAAAACGTGATGTCAGCTGCCTTTTCGATTATCAAAAGAGGAGGGGTTTTTACAAGTTTGTCTTGTGATCAGTTCCCGTGCTCTATGTGCTTTATCATCACCTCTACCAAACGATGGCGTATGTCTTGAAGAATCGAGCGGTCACGTTGGCCTGAGTAAATGTCATTGTTCCACCAGTGTGTCTTCGAGTGAGACAAAGTACTTACAGTCGTCTTCTTGTATCGCGTTGAGCAACTCAGTCTCAAATGCTCTTTCCATCAGACATCCCACAATTCCTCCGCCATAGCAGTCGTAGGTTGAAAACACGCCTGATATCTCAACTGCCATACAAGACCACACTCCGGCGCATCCGATGAGCATACGCACATGGGTAGAGGCCCTGGTTAACTTGGCGTGCTGTTCATTGATGCTGTTGATGACTTCTACGGAGGCGAATCGTTGGATGACATTTGCTAGTTGTCGGTCATCGACGTAGCCGCCGGTGATCAACTGGTTGGTTTAGGATGTGTGAAACAAAAGCGGAAAATGTCGCACTTCAAAGGTTGATTTAGTGTCATCTTTGTTGCATCGAAGCGAGGAAAGGAACCTAGTTTTGCGTTATCCATTATGGGTCTACTTAGAAGAATACAGCCCACGTGTGTTTGGCCAAGAAATCTGGCTCGCGACGCCCCAGATTTGCGCCGTGAATGGCCCAACGCACTAGAGAGTGTTGCCAGCGGCGAAGGAACGTTTGCAGGTCTGTTACGCGGATTTGATCCGCCTCTGTCAGAGGCAAGGCCGCTTGGAAGTGAACTTGGCAACTGGTGCGATGAGCAGGCCAGTCGCGCCTCTGGCAAGTTGTGTTGCAATAGGTGGCTATTTTGCATAAAGCGCAGTGGTTGGGTGGTCGCTGAGCTTGACAGAAGCGGCACAGCGTGGAATTAGACGAGTCAAGGGCTCCCATGGGCAACGTTGTTAGATCAATGTTTTTTTCTATGCCTGCTTATAAGTATCAAGCGCAAGCGCTACCAATTCAAGCTGACAGACCGAGTGACAACATAGTAATGCCCCGGTGTTCGTCAGCACCAGTTTTCATCGCCCACTTTTGGCTGGGATGACCGAGTACATGTGCTTAGTTTAGGTCACGAAGGAAAGAGCGGACGGTCACATGATAAAATTTATCATCAATTTACTACAAGTTCCCGTCCCATACAGGGAGCGAATTGCCCAATGGTAAGCTCGGGGTGAAGCATGGGCAGATCTTGGGTCACAGACAATGTTTGTAGAGGCGCTGTGTTTCGAGAAACTTCAACCTCGGAAAAAAAACGACAAATATGATGCGCATTCAATTTCCATACCTGCGATGTGTCAAATTTGTCGAGGTGCAAGGAAGTTGTTGAGATTTGTTGGATGACTTACTGCTTTCCAAAGTAGAGCGTCGCCGTTTTCAGTCACAAGCGGCTCATCTACGCGCTGAAGCGCCACGTAGCAACGAACTACGGCTCCTCGCTCCAGTATTGGCGATGGAACCTTGGTAGACCCCAACCATTGGTGGTCTGGACAACGGATGCGATTCTTTTAGCTAGGGATTAGACTTGATAAGCAACCAGCGCGTTGCGCACCAGTTCCGTTGCTGTAGTGTAATTCACTCGAATTTGACCCCAGGAGGCGTGTAGTACTCGTCGTGGTCCATCGAACGATTTCAATGATGTTCTGTTCTTAGTATTAGGCAACTTGAATGCGTCGTTCACTTTGTGTGGTTTACCTTGTATGGGGACGTGTCCTGATATGTGTCCTCTAGCCAATCAAGAGCATCGAAAAACAACGCGTCCATCGCAGAGGAGCCAGGGTTGTCCAAAAGGATGTACTAAGACTTCATGAGAGGCATGAATTGACGTGTGTTTCCGTATGATACCGGGTCGCTGCCAGTGTCTTGAACTGTTGAGATGCGGCCGGTAAGCATCGCATAAAAGGGTTCGCCCGAAGGGCTGGCCATATTTCGTAGCTCCACGCCGTTGATAATAGCGTCCGGCAAAACAGATGCCATTAATGGGTGGGTTGGGATGTGGAAAAACGTCGGCGGCATGGGAGAGTTGCAGTTGTTGCTCATGGCACTTTATAAGCTCGTCATGGCGGCTACTTGAGAGGAGTTTATCAGCACTGCTGAAAGTCTTCGTTGTGTGTGCAAGTCATGCAGTGCAGCACGTGCAAGCACGTGTTGCCTACGGTCCATCGAATAACAGGCACGTGCATTGATTCTGAGCGTTCTCAAGTACAATACAACCAGGCAGGAACATGTCAAGAGGTTGAAATTTGTACAAGGGTTTAGTTTCGTCACCGCCTGCTCGCTGAGTTTACAAGTAAGTTGGGGTTTTATTAGTAGTGTATGTTAACAGGTGTGCCAAATGAAAGGTGCTTCAAGCATTTGTGTGGGGACGCGTCTTGCCACCGCTTCTATGATCCCACCCAGATACCCGGGGTGACAATGTGGAACTCAAAGGAGTCCCTGCGCGGCTTACTATCTCGTAGGCTGAGAGTGATGGTGAACTTCTGCATCGGAAGGTTCCGTTATTTGCTCACCGTCTTCTTGCAATTCTTCATCATCGCTCGCCGAGTCAATGTCGGCACCATGGTACCCAGAAGGCGTCTTCATGCCGTTGTTTTCCTGGAGCGAAGCCTCGTTATGTTGGAGTAGCGCA